CGATTTCGCGTAATCGCTCAGAGTCGCCAAGTGGCAATCATTCGTCTGCATAATATCTCTTGTTCAAGTCTCAGTTCATGTCTACCGGCGGCACGCGGCCGAGGCTCAGCTTTTCCTAGCATAATCCAACCGTACTTTAGTGGCAGCCGACCCCGGTGGGGTATAGACGCCAGACATGGAGGTCCTCAGCGAAGAGGTAGCAAGTGCGTGATGGTCCAAGTCATCGAAGAACTACGAGGTTTTTTTCGCGACATGAAATGATTGCAACGTCCTTGAGTTCCGACAAGGCAAATCATATGAGAGTGTAAAATGGATTATAGAAACGTAAAAAATAATGCCATGCTAGTGATTGCGACCCGGCCAGGCTGGCTCGACCTTGCAATACGTCCACTGCGGCACGGCAGGAATCTGCTGACTTATTCCACTGCCTCCATCATAACCAAAGATCCTTATCATGATGTAACAGCTCGGAAAGTCGACAATCCCTTGTGTCCTTCGTAAGCTCAACCGCGAAGAAATACCAAGTGCTAGGACAGCCGTGACCAGGTTCTAGAAAGATGGTAGGCTGAAACCTATACCTGGTTCATACAGCTGCAGTGTTGCCACTTAGGCGAACAGCCCGACGAGGCTCCGGAATGTCTTGGGCGTCAAGGGATTCTTCGAATAATCCACTTTGCGTTCAGTACATTTTGAGGGATGTGAACAATTATGTTCCTTGGTCGTACAAGACATTGCTACACTCCTTGTAGATTGCTGTTCACATGCTCTACCGCGGCATCAAGACACGTCGCAAGGTTTTTTACCGAGTGATCTTGTATAGACGTGTGCTTTCATGCAAGCCTCCAACTACGTTAGACGTTGATTACAGGGAGGGTGATCGGCTGCCAAGATCGGGGCATCCAGACGCATATGCGCTTTGGAGCGCTCGCAATGGGGGAGGTTCAAGGAACAAGAATCGAAGGATGTGTCTCTAAACCCATAACTAGCAGTACATACTGAGCTCTTGATTGACTATAGTATCAATGCCTTTGTTCATGCGGAGCTGAAATTTCCCAAGGATCCGAAACAATAGTGGAAAGCAGCTATATTTCCTTCCAGCCTCGCCAGCTTTCGCGGATTCAGCTGGACCACGTCAGAAGGTGGAGCCACATGCCGATATTCCGACTCGTACTGTGTACAAACTAAGATCTACATGCGGGAGACACCCACTCCATGTGGATTTATCGAGATGCCCAACACGGCCAGGCAGCAACCCCTGCCACGGCCAATGAAAATCCAATCATAGAGTGAGGGTGATCGGTGCTGCGACGAGCATCGTATTCTGCGGGTCCTGCTGCACGCATACGCCGCAGATGACAAGCCCTTGCACAGCTCGGCTACAGAATGGTCCATTTTACAATCTTGATGCTGGAAAAACATACATGAATCGCACTCTGGGGCCAAAGTCTTGGGTAATACTCAGGTGGCTTGCGTATAGTTCAACCAAACCTGAGAAAGTATCGTACAGAGGTCAGGCCCAGGCCTGGTTTTATGAGAATTTAGATATCGCCAAGGGTTGCGTACGTTGGCCGTGCACTCGGCTATTTAAGGACGGGGAAAGGAACCTTCATCTCCCTTCCTCTGTTCTCGTAAATTCTTCTATTTCTTTCACTGTACGCAGTAGCCTTAATATTGCGAGTTCCTGTTTTGATTATATGCACGCCCAGGTACTCACCTTCATCATTTTATTCGAGTGCTGCATGCTTCGCGACACGTTCATCCACGCATGGCCATGGAAACGAATTATGATCTTTGTGAAAATTGTTCTTACGGCCACAAGAGCCTCACATCGAGGATACGTCGGGAGTATCGTCAGAACGGGCGGGTCAACGATTGGAAACTGCCTGAAGATTTGAAAGACGGCTGTAGCTTCTGCAGCTTTCTGTTTAAACTGTAGGTGTCTGGTCAAACATCCCCACTCGTACACGATTGAGCCTTTGAGCTGATCTAAATATGATCATAGCACACACGAAAATCCTGATCGTTGCGATCCGGCGGCACACAAACACATTGAGCTGTGGTGCCAAGGAATACCAGTTGATGATTTCATGCGGCCACCAATCAGGGAACCTGTTTTCCTGAAGCTCTCTGGGCTGGGCAGCCACTCACCTTGGTACTTTCTTGAAGACGACGAAAAGGATCATTTGAAGGGCACTACAGGCTTTGCACGTGAGGTCAGACCAAAGCTCGACGAGACTGACTGGCATATAATGCGACAATGGGTAGATGGATGCCTTGAACGACATCAATCTCATTGCCCATGCCGAGATTCATTTGACGTGCCCGGATTCAAGGTCATTGACTGCAGGACTCGAAAGCTTGTGCCTTGGCACCCAGAGACGAAATTCGCGGCTCTGAGCTATGTTTGGGGTTCTCCTGGAACTGCGCCAGACCAAAAAGTAGAATTCACGCATATCGCGCGAGACCGGAATGTCTTGCCGAAATTCACAGAAAATGTTATCGAAGATGCACTGGTATGCGCATCCAAGCTCAATATACCATATCTCTGGGTAGACCGATATTGCATCGACCAGGAAGATACACATGACAAACGGAAACACGACGAAAAGCAGCGTCTTATTCAGAGTATGGACCAAATCTATTCCAGCGCCACGGTGACAATTATCGCCGCGGCCGGAATCGACGCATCCGCCGGGCTTCCAGGTGTTTCAAAATCTCGGCATTTCTCACCCCAGAGCAGAATAGTTCTGGGCAGCCACAAAATGATATCTGTTGTTAACCCTAACGACGATATACGCACAAGCAAGTGGGCTACGCGGGGCTGGACTCTACAAGAAGGTTTATTGGCCCGTCGAAGACTGGTATTTACTGATACACGAGTTTTGTTCCAGTGCACTCAAAGTCACTATATAGAAGGCCTTTCGGGGGAGTTCGACTCATGCCAAGAGAAAGACTACGAACTGGATTTCTATCCGCGATTAGCCACACGAGCCTTCCCAAACTCAGTTATAGGGTCCGATACGCCAAGTTCCTCTATCGCAAGCGTTTGCCATGACTTTACAAGCAGAGACCTTACGAATGACGAAGATGCTTTAAAAGCATGTTTGGGGATCTTCTCGCGATTCTGGACGAGCGAAAAGCCAGAATATCAATACTGGGGCTTGCCTTTCAAAGCAAAATCGAACGATGCCTTTGTCTTGTCGCTGCTTTGGAAGGTAGACCCTCACCGCTACCAGTACCCCGAAACATACGGTCTAATACCATTCAGGCGTGGCTGTGCTCCTTCTTGGAGCTGGCTCGGTTGGAGGGGGGAAATGGGCTTCTATCACAGATATCGGCAGGAGGACTGTGCCCAATCCCAACTATGCGTCGACATCAAGATCCCCAGACATCAAGAGCAAGCCCTCATGTCTACTATTAGTGACTATATAGAGCATATTGATGGAGGCGGGCTTTATCAAGAGTGGCTCCCGTATCTGAGACTTTCCGGCTGGATTGCAACCTTGCGCTTCGAGACACATCGAGGCGATTTCAATACTTTCGACGGCTACGTCAAATGTTATCTCCCGTTGGGTCAAAGCGATATAGGAGAAGGTCAGATATTGCCGCCAATGTGGGCCAATGTCTTGGAAAACGAGAAGGGATTCAACCCATCGAGGTTGCTGGACGTCATACTGATCACACACGACGGCGACACAAGTCGCGTCTACTGTTTGGCCATCCATCCTGTCGAAGGAAAAACAGACACGTATGAGCGATTGGGAGTGTGTGAAGTGTATTGTGATTCGCCCGAGATTAAGGAAATCCAAAACACGTCTTACTTAATCGCCAGAGGGGGCCAGTCTTGGGAGAGGAGGGACTTGGAATGTAGATTCAAGACTATCACCCTCGTTTAGGCATCCGTTGATTTCACTACGCGACTGGGTGAGTTGTTTTGTGGACCAGAAATGTCGGGACAAGAAGATTGGAATAATCATTTCAGGTTTGACACTACATGGGTTCCTCGTATCCCCATTGTCGCCATGGGCAAAAATGTACAAGAAATTATCAGAGCGAAACAGATTTTGTACCTCTCAATGGCCATGCCAGAAAGTAAGTAGCGCCCCATGACAGACTTGATTAAGTAGTGAGTCGAAATACTAACGACGAATGAAACTCTCAGTTTCCGAATTACTGGCGCCACTCATTCCCTTATGCGCCGTTGGGGCATGGATCATTTGTGCCAACCCTCGAAATGATTTCAAGATACATGATTAGCAGTGTCAAGAAAATGCAGCCAGAACATATCAAGTCGCACCTCGACTAGAGGTCTGTGAAGATTGCATTGAGCATGCGGACATCTTTCTGAAATGAACAGCTTGGTCGGGCCCTTGTTCGAGTTGGTTCAAGAATGGCGCCGGTGGCAAGCTCGCCATGTTTCCTGGATCCAGAATCACTTCTTTTGAGCTCATGAACTCGCCCCGGTTTGAGGATTACAAGATTGAATATCGGGATGGTAACACCTTTGCATTTCTTGGCAACGGGTTCTCTACGACCGAATTTGATGGAAGTGACTTATCTTGGTACCTGGGGAACGAGGAGAATCCCGGGTGCAATTTGCCGGGTCCTCTACCGACTTAGGAGAGCACATTATGTATGTATGAAACGGCTCCAAAGGACCGTAGCACATTTTTCGCTTCGTCAGTTCTCCTGGCATTCTAAAATGCTCACTCACAGGTTAGCAATCAGCTTTTACATATTATTTTGCCAATGAGCTCACAATGCATGAACCATTTTGCTCCCGTGATGGCTACGGTTCAACAAGTCCCACAGTGACACTATCAAAGCTCACTCGCCTACATTAATGCTTGAAGCCGAAAACGAATCGTCAAATACACTCAACCATCCGTCAAGAGATCTCTTTTACGGCCAAAGAGGCTCCTGGGCGCAAGTCCCTTTGTTCTACATCAATGCGCGAGTAAAGCATCGTTGGCGATTGGAGAGCGGCCCCAGACCGAGCTGCCGAGCCGAAAGTATCCAGAATGGTGGACCAAAAAACTATTGTGTCAATGTAGTATAGGTACGTACAGTCTATTGCTTACCGAATTGTGGATTCAAGTTGTCAAGGTGTGGGTTTTATTCTTTCCACCGCCGGCGAGGTCACAATAAGCCTGTACTTGCTGTAAATTCGCGGCACGGACGCCTTGCTGGTTTGTCAAGTATATGCGTCTTTGATTTACCAAAACAATGCTTCATTACCATTAAAGTGATTTCATAGTTTGATCAATGCTGCCATGCTCAACAGACAGTGTTTTCGTCATTGGCTGAATGGCAGCTCTTTCAAACTATAGGCCGTGTACCCTATTGGCTGGCATCTTTCTTTCGACCTCGGCTGTGAACCGAGGGCACTAAAAAGTAGCGGCCGATATATGCCCCCGATTTTGGATACCTTATTAGTGCAGACTTTCCATGGCCGCATCCATCAGCGGTCCACAAGAACCATCATGATGGATCTTTTTGCATTATTCTTGACTTGATTATGATACAAAATTTACCATTTCAGGTACCAAAGATGGCCATTATGTAAGTCGGGCTGATTCAAGGCCGCAAGCTTATTAATAACCATCTTGACTCAAGAACCGGGGGGCAAACTATGAGTTTCCAAGAAATAATGATTGTGTTTGGCGCCTATTTATTACTGCCGTTGTGTCGCCTTTTTTTTTTTTTTTTTAGTAATCTATAATACCATTCATACTACTACTAGTCCTACTCGAATCAACCATTTACTCGTTTAATTCTCCATCCATTTCATCATGTCTCAACAGAGTGTGTTTGTAACGGGCGCCAACGGTTATATCGGATTAGCCGTCTGTCGCGCGTTTGTCAGCGCTGGATGGAGAGTATTCGGTCTTATTCGCAGACCTGAAGCGGCTGCTGAACTCTACAGCGCTGAAGTCGTACCAATTCTAGGTACCTTTGATGACTTGTCCAGCCTCTCTGAATTGTACAAACACGTCAAGAGTGTGGATGTCATTGTGGGCGCCACCGAAGTTTTTCCCAACTATGGAGAGCACTACCTCCAAGTGAACCAGTACATTCGATCACTCGCAAAGGTCTCCAACGACCACGGCGTCCGACCTCTGGTACTGTGGACTTCGGGGTGCAAGGACTATGGCAACACTGGTGTCGACGGATCCCCAAGCCTTGTACCGCACACCGAGGACTGCCCGGCTACTCCCAGTGTAGCTTTCCTGCAGCAGCGCGCAACCTTTTCCTTGAAGATTTTTGAGAATACCGATCTTTTCGATGCAGCAGTCTTGCGCCCAACCAATGTGTATGGCCGCAGCAGCAGCCACTATGGTCGCTGGTTCGAGGTTGCGCAAGAGCTCAAGACCACTGGCGCTGAACTGAAGCTCACCATTGATCCAAAGTCGATCTTGCATGCCATGCATGTGGACGATTGCGGAGAGGCATATGTTGCCCTCGCGGAGCACTCTGACCGCAGTCAAGTTGCGGGACAATGTTTCAACATTTCAGCACACGCCTACGAGACCTCGGAAGCTGTATGGCGCGCTCTGGAAAGGGAATATGGCATTGAGGGAAAAGTCCAATTTGTACAGGAAAGCGACGTCGCTGAACCCACGCCATTCTCCCTGGCTGGGGTGTTTGGATATAGCCAATGGGTTAGCAGCGTCAAGTTGAGAAAGTTGACTGGATGGAAAGATCGGAGGATGCTATTCACGGAGAATTTGCCAGTGTATCGCAAGGCTTACGAGGTGGCAGTCGCGACAAAGGCTGACGACATTGCCCGGGCAGACCTGACAAAGGCGTTTCTGGATACTCAATAATTGCCTGGACCACTCGATAAAATCGCCCAGGTCCAACCAGTGGTAGCGGCTTGTGTTTCTTCTCAAACATCATAAAACTAGAACCATGGATGAATCACTGAGAATATCACATGATATGCATGGTATATGAAGCTGATTCGCCGCCTGGAACATGTGTATTGCCATTCGTACGCGAAGCTTATCAATTATGAGAACAGATATGGAAAGACTTGGGGGATCATGTTTCCTTCATGTAAAGCCGTATGACGATGTTCCATTTGAGAGGGATCACACATCATTGACCTAATACTCATTCTTGATAGGCGCCAGGCAGATACCAATGCAATCGGCGCCACCATTGTCGGGATCGCAATCGTCATTGGGGAGGTCATAGCACTACAAAAGTTTAGTGTGGGAATTCTCTATTGTGACATGGAGACTGGATATCTCTTACCTGCAAACCCGATCCATCTTCGCATTGGAGTCCAAGGAATCCGGAGCAAGGCTCGTAGTCATTCGGCACACAAATGCCAGGCATATCACAAGCCACTACGCAATGGGTCAGTCAAGGCTACAAGACAAAATAGAAAAAGCTCACTGCCACATCCACCACGGCGAGGATCATCAATGCACTGGTAGTCGTCGGGGCAAGGAGTAGGCGAAATGACGTGTCCGCCACATGCCTGGTAAGTCGTGGTCGGAGTCTGTCTCTCCTTGACGGTCGAGGTCGGCAGGGGATAGCACTGCCCGGCGCAGACGTCGAGGTCCGTGCAGGAAGCGTCGTTGGGGACGCAGACGTCGCCCTCGTCGCAGGGAGCGATGCGGAAGCCGCACGGGCGACCGTCGGTGATGGGCGCGGTGCAGGTGCCCGGGCATCGGCCAATGACCATTGTGCACTCGGCGCTGTCGGGCACGCACACGTTGCCGTCGGTGCACGGGGCGAGTTTGTAGCCGCAGCCCGTAGCGGAGGCGCCCGCAATCAGTGAGACAATGACGGGAAGGGATAGTCGAACCATTGTGACAGTATTGAAATTGTAGAGTAGAGCTGCTGCAAAAGTAATATTTGTTTAATCAAGGTGTTTCGGTGGTTCTTGCAAGTGTGGAACTAGAGTCACTATGATCTTGATTCTCAGATTTGTTTGTATCATCGTGGATGCACAACAGCTTTATATAGATTCGTGTTGATGCGAATGCGGAACCAAGTTCCATTCTTCTTGTGACGATTTCTACAAAATGAGTAACGATCCTCGAAACTTGGGATCTTTAGCCATGGTGAGCACTGCCAAGGTGATATCGCAAAGACACCAACGTTCCCGAGCCAATGAGTCGCATGTTACAAGCGGATTTGAATGGCACTAAAGATTCGAGTTGAAGGAACACCAGCTTGGCATAAAGTTTGCTCAAGGTCACAAGGGAGAGTTTGCTTGAACAGCCGTTCGTATAAATCGTGGCTTGCTCAGCCCTCATAAGACACGGCGTTGGCCAAGAATTTACGGAATAAGAGCACTATCCAGTCTGATGAGAGGATTTAGTGCACAAACGAGGATCCGCAGACGCCAGGCTGCCGTTGATTTAACTTTATTGGCCAGCCGCAGAGCCAAGGATTATGTCTTGTAATTGAAGGATCCCGTCAGGTAGTCACATAACCAGAAAGGATACAATTATCGATGACACTAACCGGGCCATTTGGACATGATATGCTCATACCCGAGTAGTACATGTAAACCTGGCTTGACGGCATGAATCTGGTACCAAAATAGTAGATGTAATAAAAGGTTTGGTCTTGGCTATACACCACTGCTGTTGCAAGCGAGACAAGTATTGTCTGCTTTCGCGCATTACTTGTTGGTGAGCCCCGCGAATTGACATCATATACTGCCTTTGAGTCGACTTCATGCGCCATCATCATCGATAGGCTGGCTTCATTCAAGGAATTCAAGAAAAGAGTGGGAGGTTTTGAAACTTTCTTATTCACAGCTCTCAACTTACAAGTCAATCGGTAACCCCTCCAAAGCAAACTTGGCCCGCTACTTGTGCGACATGTAATTAAATGTTGTCATTCACCTAAAGAATGGCGTCACTGACTTTGTGGCATCCTATATGATTATACTGATACAAAGCCAAGACTATTCAAAGGTATATAGAGCCATGGTAGCCATCAAGAAAACTTTATTGCAGCATCTCCATACACTGCACGCGGAGCTTACGCAGACTTGTCGTGTGAAACTGCGGTTGCCGAGACCTTTTGCTCTTGTACGGCATCATCCGACGAGGTATCGTGAGCCGGGGCCTGTCCGACAATTGCATTCGCATAGCGCTGCCTTTCCAGCTCGTGCACAAGACCCCAGTCACCAATCTCCTCCTCAAAGAATTGATCCAAGTCCAAGCCATGAGCCTCGGCATCGTCAGAGATGCGAAGATGAAGACCGGGAATGTACTTCATGATGAGCAAGAGGGCACACGATACAGTAAAGGAATAAGCCGAAATGGCAGTAATCTCGGCGAATTGTCGTCCGACCTGGATGCCTTCGCCATCAATAGCACCTGGGGCCAATGTGGCACCGTCAAGCGATGAGACTGCAATAGTTAGACGAGATATACGACTGACCCTGCAAACAGAAAACTTACTCGATGACGTTGCAAAGATACCGGTCAAAAAGGCACCGACCATTCCACCGATACCGTGCAGCTTAAAGACGTCCATTCCCTCATCAATGTGGAGCCACTCATTGACATTCTCCATGAGGGCGCAGACTACTGCCGTCAAGAAGCCAATAACGGCGGCAAGCCAGACGCTGACATAACCCGCGGCGGGCGTAATGCCCACGAGTCCAGCAATGGCTCCCTCGCAGGCACCGACGACGCTAAACCGACGTTTATGCTTGAAGTAATCGACGGCAACCTAGATACACGTGTAAGCCGGTTGACCGAAAACGGTAGCAAAAGACAGCTTACCCAGCCAATGACGCCAGTTGATGCGGCAGTATTGGTGTTAAAGGCCGCCAGCATGGACCGAATCGAGGCGTTCAATGCAGATCCGCCATTGAAACCAAACCAGCCAAACCAAATCAGGACAGTGCCGAGAAAGACCAGGGTCGTGTTGTGAGGCTTGCCGTGACTCTTGTCCTCTGGGTTCTTCTTGCGCTTGCCAAGCACCAGGGCGTAAGCAAGCGCTGACCAGCCGGAAGCAATGTGAACAGGGCCTCCACCGGCAAAGTCGAGCGAGGGAAGCTGTTTTCATGGGCACCAGTCAGCTGAAATATCCACCAGGGTACAGAGCTGAGAAGACTGTAGTGGGATCTCACGTTATACAGCCAGCCGTTGGCGTTCCATGTCCAGCAGGCAATCGGACAATAGACGACAGTCGCCCAAAAGAAGCCAAAGACCAGCGATGGGATGATGCGGCCGCGCTCAAAGGCGCCACCGACGACGATTTGGACGGTGCAAGCACAAAACAGCAATTGGTACAAGCAAAAGACTATCTCGGGGATAGTGGCGTTGCCCGGTGAAGGGGCAGACATGACATTCTTGAGACCAAAGTTGTCCAGGTTACCGATAAACGGACCGGCCGTTCGGCTGTAGGCCAGACTGTATCCCCAAAACATCCATTGGATCGACACGACGGCCGACACCATGAACGACTGAAAGAGAAGAGCCAGGGCAGACTTTCGGCGGGCGAGACCACCGTATAGCAGACCGATACCGGGGATAATCAGCCAGACAATGTAGCCGCAAAACACCAGGTAGGTGTAGTTCCACTCGTAGCCGACATATTGAGCATTGACATCGACCTCGAGAGGATTGCCGCCGTCGGGCTGGGACTCGTCGTAGCTCGGCTAATGGGACATGTCAGCTTTTTCCGATCAGACTTGAAGCTTTGCACTTACAGCCTCGCTCATATTGACCAAATGACACGATTAGTGCTCTATGGGTACAATTTCATGACAGACGGGAAAACAAAAAAGCAGAACTTCCAGTATCCATCAACATGTTGAACCTGGGTAGCCCGGACATATGAACACCTCGGCATGGTCCCGAAACCCCTGATTCCAACAGCTTGGAAATGTCTCACAGCTTATCGGTGCGTATATGAACGATTCTAGACAATTTTACTCTTATCTATCGCCAAGCTCAAGGTGTTGGGGTTCTGCTCCGCGTCTCCATGTCTGGGCAGCGATATAACCAGTGATAAAATCCTGGAACCATGTTGTCATTGGTCCACATTCCCACGTGCGCTAACGCAGAATAGAAAAACTATCCACAAGCTGGAATCTGGGGGCAGTTGGTCTTATCTCTTGGCAGAGCAGAGACAAGCAAGACAAGACGGTCCTAATCCGCAGACGTGCTGAAAGATTAGTCAATCGTGGTTCTTCTGAGGAATCACACAGGTATCAGGTTGTCGTGGTGTCAGTTTTCAGCATGGAAACATGTAGGCTCGCCTGCCGTCAGCCGCGAAAAGCATGCCAAGCTATTCTCATTACCCCTAGAGTGCACTGGTAGCTTACAGGGTTCTAGCGGGGTAACAGTGCCAAGTCGTGCAACCACGCAGCATCACACACCCCTGGAGCAAGAAGCGTGCAATTCATTGGCAAGAAAAGTCATGTTTTCATGGACGAGGCGCTCAATCATGAACAAATGCGAGTCTCTCCACGCTCCGACAACACCGAGCAGTCAAACAATACAGTCGAGCTGTATCGAAAATAACACTTTTGAATTGACATGAATATTCAGACTGCCCACAAGAGATCGCCCCAGCCAGGAAACTCGTTGCCGCTAAAGACGGCCTCCCCGCCTGCTGCATCATTTGCTGCCTTTGCCTTGGTCGTCCAAGGTGCATCAATCCCGTTGGCTTTGGCCGAATAGTACAAGAGATCCCATGCCTGAGGCAGTTTCTTGACGGATGTGCCAGTCGTATTCACGACTCCACGGTTAGCCGTGGAGATTTCCGTCCACGGCCCATTGACCAAGACGGCCTCGCAGCGACGCCACCGTTCATCGTAGGGCACCGTTTGGTTCAGGTTGTACCTGGCCGTGTACTCGGCGCCCTGGCTGAGCAGGTTGTCGGCGTAGCCGTACATGTTGTGGCCCTGACTTGCCGACGTTCGGGCCCCCAATGCCAGCCATCCCAGGCCGGACGTGGCATGACTTTGATCGCGACCCGACTCGGAGCTCTGTCCCGTGCTCGCCTGAATGGTGGCTTGGATGCCGGCACACGGGTCATTCTGCCATGACCAGAGGGCAAAGTTGTACATGGACACATCCTCCAGATAGACGGCGAAATTCATCAAGGCCTTGATGGACGCGATACCATAGTTTGCCTGTCCGATAATGATGCTCTGTCGGGCAAATAGCCAATACAGTTGGATACTGAAGCCACTGCCACCCTGCCATTTGGCACCAGCCTCGACCCAGCCGCCCTCCCAGCGCATAATCTCGGCGGCATTTACAAACATGTCACCTTCAATGGCAATGAGAAGGGACCGATCAGTTCCAATTATATTGGTCAAGTTGGAACCCCATGCGTCCAGGATGCCGGCGGAAACGTTATAGTGCGCCTCGTCTTTGGTTATATACCCTGCCATATTGATTAGCCTGCACGATTCAAGATGGCTAGCATACCTATGCATAGAAAGTTCTTACACATGATGGCATTTTGGTAGGCAGCCCGGGCATCTGCACTAAAAGTGGTGTAATTGGAGATGGAGCCGCGACTAATGACGGCCTTTGGCCCCTGCATGGTGTATGTAGACTGAGAATAAGTGTCGTTGGCAAAGAGGGTATAAGTCGAGTACCACGGATCCTTTTCGGCCAAGACCCCATTGCGTATAGTCTCTAGGTCGTCGTGGGTGTGCCACAGACCTGGATGGACAAAGTCGGATGGTGTTTTCTTCTGTCCATCTGTCCAGGGCACGTATGGTACAGGTGCTGAAGAGTCTTAGCAACGAGCAACATTTGTAAATTACCTTGAGGGAAGAGAGATTTTCCTGTTCTTGGAAACAGAGGGAAAACTAGCTTACCATTGAGGCTGGGGACATCAGCTACCAGGGCACTTGTCAGGCGTATGCCTGCAAGCAAATAAAGCTACATGACAGTCAGCCAGGACCTAATAGAACGCTAAAAAGGCATAGGCAACGCACCGTCTTTAACCACATGACCGTGATCGCGTTGGAAAATGAATAAACGGCGCAATGTAGGGCTCATTTTTGCAGGAAGAATTTCGAGAGAAGTATTGAACAATATGTCTACCACCGTGGTTCTGCAAAAGCAAGTATCAAGACCGGCATAGGTAAACAGGCGACCGGAGAAGCTGCCGGCGATGAAGCCGGCGCCGGTGGATCTGCGGGGAATGCTGGTCATTTTCCATTTCCCAGGATAGAAACGTCGGAGAGGGATTGGTCAATTGAAAAACACTGCAGCAGCCATTGCCATTGCCAGGGACCTAGGACTCTGTGCCTGATCTCGTGCAGCCGCCGCTCGAGTAATTACAATCCGGGGTACGGTGCATCCTTCGGATATTGGCGATCATGTAATTACTATACTGTCTTGAACAGGCGACTTTATTGAACGTCGTCAAAGCTAGGGTCCGGTTGCCGCTCATGGTTTGCATCGTCCCCCGGCGCCTAACTGGACGCCACCATGATGGTATATTCATAATGCTACAGCGCCTCTACCGCTAGTGAGCTACGGGACCATGATTTTCATTGCCATGCGCCGCTCAGATTTCCACCATATTGGAACACACAACTTTCCCTACCAAGATCCATCGAGAGAAGAATGGCAATGGCTAATGGAATTTCAACATCCTTGCTCGCCATCTCCCTGGCGTTGAGCTCTACGTGCACCGCAGCCAGTGTGAAGCTGAGCGCTCCCCAGATGGGCTGGAATAGTTACAACTACTACTCTTGTGCCATTAATGAATCCATCATTGCCGACAACGCCAAGGCCCTGGTTGATACCGGTCTGTCCAAGCTGGGCTACCAATATGTCACGCCAGACTGCGGGTGGTTCTCTGGTCTCCGTGACTCTGACGGGGCGCTTGCTTGGAACCTGACCAGATTCCCAAGTGGTGGCCAGGGATTAGGCGACATTATTCATGGCTACGGTTTGAAATTCGGTGTCTATACCGACGCAGGGTATTGGCAATGCGGAAGCCTGAATCAATTTCAAGGCAGTCTAGGTAGGATGACGGAGACAACACCGCAAAGTGATTTTTTTCGCCACGGAGCAGACCGCTGACACTTTTTGTGAGAACAGGTTTTGAAAAACAAGATGCAACCGCTTTCGCGCGTTGGGGCGCTGATTCTTTAAAGTATAACCTCGACCTAGTCTGGACTCTTGTACTCGGCAGTTGATCCATCATAGGTACGATAATTGCTACAATACCAATACCACGGTTGGAGCCGACTTTTACTCGGAAGAATCAGGATCCTCGCAGCGTTTCCGCACCATGGGACACGCACTTGCCGAGGTCGATCGAGACCTTGTTTATCAGCTGTGTCAATGGGGCGTTGGCCATGATCTCGGTAGCTGGTAAGGAACTTGGAGATTGCTTGTTCAAGCTGGTTCGCATAAGTGTACTGATGGCAATATATCTGCAGGGCCTCTGGCATTGCCAACTCCTGGCGAATCAGTGTTGACATTTACAACAACTGGGGCAGCATCTGGAGAATCCTAAATCAAGTCATTCCGTTTGCCAAGCTGACTACCGCCGGTAGTTATCCAGACATGGATATGCTCATGTATGTTTGAGTCTCCTTGGAGTCGGTCATCAGACTCACACTGACAAACTTTATCAAATAGCGTTGGTCTCGGTGTGTTATCCAAGGAGGAAGAAAAAATGCACTTTGGTCTCTGGTCCATCTTCAAGTCCCCCCTCATTCTTGGCAATTCCATAGCAAACCCGATTTCCCCCGATTCCTTGGCCGTGATATCGAATCAAGAGGTCATTGCCATCAATCAGGATCCACTGGGCGAGTCTGCACAACTCGTACGCCGCAGTGAAAAGGGCTACGACATTTACGCGGGCAAGCTTTCGGGAGGCCGCATGGTCTTGAGCGTCGCAAACTGGCTCAACAGCAGCCAGACGGTCACATTCAACATCTCTCAAGTTCTCGGTATCCAGTCTGCCAGTGCTCGCAATGTTTGGGCTTATCAGGATGTCGGAGAGCTTCGCCAGACGTACCAGACGGAGCTTGCCGGTCATGAGATGCAGATTCTCGTGCTGTCTGATATTGAATATGCACAGACTGTATCGCTGGCCACCAGCTACCACGTCGCAAGCGAGGCCATCATATCCGGAAACGCCACCGTGGTCCAGTGCGCACTCGGCCAGTGTCTTCCTGCCCAGTCCAAGGTGGCAAGTATTGGAAACGGCTCCGCCAATGCCGCCGTCACCTTTACAAACATTTACAGTGACACCGACGGCGAAAGGGTTGTGGGAGTGGATTTTATCAATTACGATATTGCCTGGGAATCATCGTGGAAAAAGCCACAAGGCACGAGCTCGCGCAACCTGACCATGTCAGTCAACTCGGGCCCACTACAGCAATGGAGCTTTCCCATATCCGGCGGCAACTGGTTTGACAGTGGACGACTAGTGCTTGACGTTGATGGCTTCGTAAAAGGTGTAAACAATACGCTTATTGTCAAGGCGGCAGATGGCGGAATGAGCGGCATGGCACCAGACCTTGTAGGCATTGAGCTGTTTGGGTAAGAGTTTAGATATTGACACCGAGTCTCGATGCATGTATTTCAAAACGGGCTTTCAATTTCTCAAAACAAAGCTACAAAACTTGAAATCATGGTCCACATCGAAACATCCACGCACGAATTTACAGATTATTGCTATCACTCTTATGCCGGTGTGACGCTGACCCAACAGCCATTGAGAAGTGAAGTGTTGATGGCCAGTCTTAGGACTGGGGGCCGATCATCCTTGGCTTCAATAGTCTGAAAGGCCTGCAAAAGTCGAAATGTTACCATGGCCATTTGCGTCAATGCAAAATTCTGTCCAATACCTGATTTCAAGAGGTTAATCAATCATGCGCAAAAGTTTTGCACTGGGAATTACTCACAAATACGTGGTCCAGCATTAAAGGGCAGGTATTCAAAGCTGTACCACGTTAGCAATAGATTTTCACTCTTGAAGGAAACAATTTACCCAGCCTTGATCGTCTCCCAGCGCTCTGGAATAAATTCGTCTGCATCATTGCCAAACTTGTCGCGTCTGCGCTGCATGGACCATACATTATATCGCACATTGGTGCCCTTGGGCGCAAAGATTGGCGACTTGCCGTCCGGTCCGCCCCCGACGGGCAAGATGGTGTCCCGAATAGCCTCTCTGGAATTGAGCGGCACGGGCGGATTCAATCTCAAGGCTTCCTTGACTGCCCAATTCAGATATTTCATGTTTCTCAATTGTTCCCAAGTGGGATCTTCAACGCCGAGATCTCGAATCTCTCTCTGTATCTTGGAAACAACATCCGGACGCCTCGCTAATTCATAAAAAAGGTACGTGAGAACGCTCGTCGTCGTGTCGCGTCCAGCTAGGAAGATGCTGAGCAATTGACCGCGGACCACTTCCTCTGGCTCGCCCGATTTCCAAAGCTCGTCGAGAAACACGTATTCCCGCTGTTCCTGGCTGCCTTGTTCGGCCAGTGTCTGCTTCTTCTTTGCGATGAAGTCTTCCACATAGCTGTGGACGAATCGCGCGTACTTGTCCAGTTCAGAGTCGGGCATGAGCTCAGTCAACCAGCCAAGACGCGACCGGAAACCAATCTTTGCCAAGGCAGCATCAAACCAAACTCCAAAGCGAATGTCCTTTTCGGACGCATTTCCCAGGACATTCGTCGTCTGACCAAACATGAAATCAGAAATGCTGTCAATGGTCAGCATCCCAAACAGGTCCTGGATATCAAAGCGGCTTCCATCTCGCGGAATCTTGTCAATGAGCTTGGCTATGTGCTTGTCAAAGCACGCTAGATCCGAGATTTGATCTCGAACAAAAGCCGGCCGGAGCATGGCTCGCGAATGCTGCCACTCGAGTCCGTTTGTGGTGAAAATGGAGTGGCTCCCCAAGACAGGCTTGAAGCCGCGCATACGCGATTCGGGGATGACCCAGTCGGCAAACTTGGTACTGAGGATGGCCTTGATATTCTCTGGATCATCCGTGTTGAATGAAGTCGTCGTCGACGGGAACATTTCGTGCTGAAAGGTATGGCCAAGAGCCGCAAACTGTTTAACGCGTAGCTCAAGTAGAAAGTGCTCCTTGATCCCTCTGCCGGTTTCTAGGAGGAAAGGAATCCCCAGCGGATTATTCTGATACGTCGGGGCCGGAGCACATCCATTTTGAGCCATTTTGCGATAGTACACGTGGTTTGCATGGAGCCACAGCTGAGTATAAATGCCCGAGAGCACAAGAATGAGGCCAAACGCCTTGTGTTGGGTAGTCGGAGGACCTGGGCGTAGATGGAGTATATCCAGCACCAACGTCGCGGCCGCAGCAGTTATGACAACAGTGGCCAAGTGGTATCGCCTAGTGGCTCTGGTGCCGAGGGTTTCCACCCCGAATGCTTGCTTTGACATGGCGTTTCCTAGAGCTTCTAGCTGCTCTGCGTTTCCTATAAATGGTTGTTGCCCTAGAAGACGCTGCCCGACGCGCTTTGCTGATACAATACGCAGGGTGTCGCTCTCTTAAATGCTTGTTCGGGTAGTGAGTCGGCAACCTGACGACAGATCAGCACAAAGAGGACACTCTATTCCGGGCAGTTCATGCTACAAGTCGACAGCCACGTTCTTGCTCTCGTCATGGCGATTTAGCAGACTGTATCCGAGGCCGACGGCCGACGGGAACGGAGGCGGAGTTTTGCTTTCATGTCAGACCATTAGCGTGACCATTTCACTGCCGAGAGTTTGACACGAGGTAGGTAAGCAACTCAAGTGACATGTGAGGAGAAGATTGTAGTACGAAACAAGCTTCTTGGCGTAGCACAATAGGCTTTTGGACGCTCGCTACCGGACTTGCCACCCCACCCTCGGTTTCTTTAGCATGCATGCACCAGCGTCACCCTCGGTTGGGCCACTTAGACGCTGCTACAGATTCGGGACCTACTCCAATAGGCATTCCATGTTTAAGAATAGCCGCTTTTCATTCGATAGGCTATTAGTTCTTTACGTTGTGTAGCATCAGGTGGCGCTTAGCAGTAAATGGTCATTGTCTAATTCGGGTCTAATCTTTCGATGGAGATCGTGTTTTAGTGCTGGCATAAATGTTGACTATATTATTCTTTCTCTTTGCAAGCCATTCCAATTTCATTTATATGGGAGAACGGGCAAGACTTGCGGTGCTTTCATCCTAGTAAAGACGTTGTAGCATACATCCAAGCCGTAACAAGACGTCGAGTCACTGCCAAGAAAGCTTATACACACCCACGTACCCTGGAACCCTGCTGCATCAAGACTGGGCTTCCCACCCCCCGGCAAGTAGTAATCAACAATCATCAGTCAATGTGGAACCTGGGAAAGATGATATATTTCATGTCGCTCAAAACCATCGAGTTATAGTCCTGTAGCCGACATTACAGCCAAAGTATTAGAGAGTCTCCAAGTAGTTGGCCATCTTTCGATGTCCCTTGCTCCGTGCACGCTGGGCGGCTGTATGCCCATGTGCGCCTTGGATTCCTCGCTGTGCTCCGTGTTTAAGCAATAAATTGACCATGTCGGTGTCTGCGCGCTCGGCCGCCTTGATCAAGCACGTATCCTGCACCTGCTCCTCCGCTCTACCAGTCGTTGATCCCCAGCCGTAGTCTGCAATCTTTCCGTCGACCACTAGTCCTTGCTCCAGGAGCATCTCCATGACAACGAGTCTGTCCGCATTGTTGGTCGGCCACTGCGTGATGGGTAGCGCCAGCATCGACGAGTCGCCTCCGGGGTAGTCATTTGACAGAGAATACCCAAGCGGAAAACAGTCCAACAGAATGCGCGCCGACACTGCATCTACGGGAATAAACGGCCCATCCTTGGCAAAGTTGAAACTCGTACCCTCAGTCACGGATAGGAAGCGTGACATGGTGACCGCGCCGAGGACCACACCCCGTGCGCTCAGCGCGCGCAGGTATTCGGCACACGCTGGCGAGGCGCGTAGCTCGTGATCCTTTGCCCAGTAGTCTGCCAGCCAGTGCAAACCGTAGTACAAGCCTGCAGGCAGGCCAGCAGCGTCCTTGGTCTCTGACAAGGGGTAGTGAAGCCAGGCGCCCGGTTCCGCGTTCAGCAAGGCTGTCCAAAAACGCCATTCCAACTCGCGGTTATGCAGAGTGTTGGGCGAATGTTGAAAGATGGTGCTAGTGCCTTGTCGGCTCGATAGGATGGCTGTGCCAATGAGGTCAAAGGTGGTCTTGGCTCTTGTCGAAGACGCTCTGTGATGCTTGACCAAGTACTCCAAGACGTCCACGTGCCGCCGGGCATAGGCAATCATGGCTAAAATATCGACCATCCATGGTGAAAGCGACCCCAAAGTCACAGAGACTTCGAGACTGATGCGGCTTTGAAGCTGGGCAACGTCGGCCTCGTTGTAAAAAAGAAGACACAGGGCCTTGAGCTGCTCGCCGTCTTCAGAAACACCATGAATATTAGAACCAACTCAATATCTGACATGAATATCATACCAATGTCGATCCATCAGATGCTCTGCGAGTCTCACCTGCATGTGATAATTTCCCCAGATTGCGCTTCAGCATTCTAGATTTGAACGCTCCGCCGATTAGGTCCGCCTGCAGGACATGTGCAATGTTGGATCTAGACTTATCCCAAGTATGGCGAACTCCATCTTTCCGGATGTGATCAATCAGTCGATCAAAGTATTCCTCGAGAGTCATGTATCCAAGGGCGTGTTTGGCCATGGCCCAGCCAAAGCATTCTTCGTCTGCTTGCTCTAGCTCTTCCCGGATCTCAACCAAGTTTGAAAACACAGTGACATGAGCACCGTGGGAATGGCCGGGCGGAGCATATCCGTCGATATCTCTTCCAGAGCAGGCAAACATGCTGGCAGTCACAATGGGGCTATTGAATCATGTCCAGAAGGTTGGCGTAGAAAAAATGAACAAGGTGTAGTAGGCTGCACCAAAGCGATTTTCTGGGCAGTGTTGTGTTGGGCAAAGAGGAGGATTGCGGGGGGCACAGCTTAAGAATTGAGCACACTGACATTGCACGCAATCCATGCTCTGGGCCTGCCCCAATTGCCCGGTCATGGTCCCGATACACATTCAGACAAGCGTCAGTATCCAGCTGAACCCCGAAACACATACGAGGTCAAACACTCCAGGCAAATACATGTAATTATTGATAAGGGCCGCAAGATGAGTTGCTTTTTGGCTGGCATCACTTGAAATCTTAGAGGCTACCACTTGCGTTTGCCTCTGTCCAATGTGTGCATTACCCACTACCTATGTAGCCAAGCCCTGCACGTTGACACCAGGGCAATTTGTGAATGCAACTATATTGAGTTACATGGCAAGACTAAACCAGGACATACTTTTGCTCCTTTAATATATTGTCTCGATGCATGTCCATTGCCCGTCCACGCATATACTTGTCAATGTAGATGTCACCTACAAGCCTGTATTTCGTTGGAGAAGAAGTCTCTTTTCGCAGAATTACTGGCGTTTGACATCCAAATGGGACCACAATAATATCGTCAGCGAGCATAGAACCTGAACCCATGCCCATACGCTTACCATTGGTTATGCAAAAGGATCGGCCCATCATGTGCTTCCCAAAGTGATCTTGCAGAAACTGGCGGCGCTCATCGCGCTCCACCCCCGTATCAGCAGTGACAAACGACTGGAGCTCGGAATCAATAGCAAGATAGGGAAGTCGGTCTTTGATCAAGGACGAGAAAACGTGATAGCAAGACTCCATCCATTCATCGCCCCGTCCTTCCAAAGTCTTTTGGTCCAGGTTCAACGTGCGACAGAAGGCCTCGTGCGCCTTTCTACTAGTTTTTTCTTGGTCGATGCGCCCAAAGGTTTTCACAAGGATTGCTCTCCAATGAAGAAAGGCCATCATGTAATCAGCCAATGTGCACTGAGTGCCGACCGAAACGCCATATGATTTGACTGAATCAAGGTAGACGGCAGAAATCTCTAGCTCGTTCCGTAATCGATGATTCGTAAACTTCCAATCCGCAACAGTGCTGCCCGATGCCGAGAAAACATAGGACGAGCTCAACGAAGTAGTCGCAGGATTATGAGACCAATCGGGTACCCAGGAAGGCAGATTGGCCGAGCTCGAGTGCTGGGGGAAATGGATCGACTCGCAAATGACGTCCAAAGACCTCGTGGTATAGATGAGAAAGTCGACGACATTTGTGAATACTTCTTTTACAGAATCATTATAATCCACCGGGAACTGACTCCGTACTGGCTCTGGTAGTACACCCAACAAACCATAGACTTTATCTTTTGGTTGTTCGGACAGTTTACTTCTGCACCGTCTGAGAACGTGAAGGAGGACCGCCTCGCCCTGATTTCGCAACTCTCGGCGATCCAAGAGACTCCTAGGCCCTTCATAAAAGAGAGCCTTGACATGCTTGAATGAAACAGGGAGTGTCGGATAGCGCCTACGGTCTGTAGAAATGTTTGCAAAGTGCGCATCAATGACGCTTTCGTACCGGTCAAAAATGTCTGATGCTTCATTGAGTGCGCGCCAGGCAATCTTGGAAGATCCGCAATAGACGGTGATGTTGGAGGCGTTGTAGACTTCCTGGACAACCCACAATCTCTTCCAATAGCTGCGCGAGAACAAACCGCCCACGGCAGCGAGGTCCTGCTGAAGCTCTGGTGAAACGATCCAGGATTTGATCTCCTGTCCCGAGTTGGATCTGTCGCTTAAATCTTTTAGGAATCCAATGGCCGACTGGCTATTGTCAGCTTCAGGGCCCAACCATATAGCTACGGACTTGGCCTTGGCGTAAATGCTCGTCATGAGCTTGATTTGTTTGCTCTTTTCAATCATATTTTGCTGGTCGATGCATAATGCATCAGCCCAGATGAAGACTTCGTTTTCCCTCTGCCGAAAAGCCGATAGGGCGCCAAAAAGACTGGCCGAGATGCAATGCTTCATCCCATCGACGTAGATCTGCTCCGTATCACCCACATCTCCCCAAGCATAGGATACCGCGACATATTCTGGAACATTTGCTAATGAGTAGTGTTCAATGGCGCATTTAATCGCAGACATTTTGGCGGGCAGGATGCGGACTAGTCTTATTTCGCCACGCTTGAGCTCTGAATATCGATACGATCTCTTGCCGAGCGAGTCTGTAGCCGGGGACGTGGATCGCAATGATCCAGCACTCGATTCCCGCTGCACCGCCGACCCAGGATTTCGTGACCAAGACCGGCCCCTGCTCGTGTGCCGGTCATCAGGAATCTGATCATCCGGCGATACTATGTTGATGCTCGGAATAACACGATCGCTATCAGCAGGCCTTTGCCACTTGTCGCGATAACGCGAGGTGTCAGAAGCTGGTGACACACCACGAGAGCCTCCAGCCCGTGAGGGATTTTGCAGATGGTCCAAAGGTTGAGAGCGCTCCGATTCGGGTGCTTGCCCAATGCTCACGCTCCGCTTTGACCGCCGTGTCAGCGGAGGAGATGGTTCCCGATTCCGCCGCGCCGTATTCACTGCATCGGCAGGACTGGATACAGAGGCATTGAGACGAATTGGAAGCTGCGAAGCCGATAAATCTTGTCTGCTGTCATGTCGCCGGCGGGATTGCTCAACGTCCGAGTGATAATTGGTGTTCTCCACCCGGCGTGTTAGGTAGGTGTCGTTGCCTTCCGAATACCGGTAGCCATACCGATCACGCCGCCGATGATTCCCATTGTCTTGTCCCATTGCCAAGTAATTCAGGCAATACCATGCATGAATGTTATTTGTATTAGATATCTTTTTTCACGGAATTTTATGAGAAGAAATCAACATGTTCTTCCCCGCAGAGCCGCGTTTTGGCCCCCAACACAAATCTAGATCCCACAGGGACAGCATGATAAATCGCGACCCACAGACTGTCCTATTTGGGAAGGGTATTTGTAAGGTTACTGTAATAGTGGTCAGGGTGAATGGCCCGCCCCGAAGGTGTTGCTAGATGCATCATTATTTGCTATCGCGCTGACATGGACATTATCACTAGAGTCAGCAACAAGCACCTCGAATATCATGGATCAGCATGATTTGGAGAGTGCGTTGCATCAGGTATAATTGCGACGGAGTGTGCAATGAATAGACTATGGAAAATCGTGTACAGAGCATGTACCCTGTAGGGCTGCAGCTCAAGCTCAGAGACCCGTGTGCAGCGCCCAGGCCTAGGGTAATGACCGTACAGATCACTGAGCGACAATCAGAGAGTCACGCAACTTGAATTACGCACTCCCGCTTAGAATTCTATGGCCAGTGTCAAACTTTGGAGAAAATTTTTTTTTTTCAACTTTTTCACACTCAATTCTGTGAATAAAGTACTGCGACCCACACAGATGTTTTCATGGCCCAAATAGGTGGCAGAATTGAATCTTTCAAGATATTGTCATCTCATGGGAGCAAATAGTAGATTGAATCAAACAAGCCCTAGAAATCTCTTGTTGGGCCATTCACTTCGGTTACTGGGTGCATATGATCATGCAAGGGATGCTGTCGACTGTGCATATTGAGGGGTTACTGTGCCGTCGGTTCGCAGGCAAGACCATGGGTCTTTACTTTTGCGCACTTTGGTTTCTGCCTGGGAAGAATCACTTTCACATTTTTTCGATCTTTTTTCGGTCACATTGTTATATCAAGATGGGAGATTCCAAGACTCCAGCTGAATCATGGCAGGCCAAGGCTTCTGCCAAAAGAGCCCGGCGAGACTCGGCTATACCAGCCGAGTGGAAGCTGCCTGTAACCATTTGGGACTCCCTCAAACTACCATTGGAGTCGAACAAGAACAATCTCATCGAGCTCGAAATCGTCAAAAAGTCTGGCATCTTGACACGGAAGGAGTTGGAAATTACCGAAAACTATAAAGTCAATGCCTTGCTAGACTTGCTGGCCACTGGCAAGCTATCAGCCCTAGAGGTGACGATTGCATTTTCCAAGCGTGCAGCCATTGCGCAAGAGCTGGTAAGTTTTCTTTCTATTTGCAAACATTCGACTAAATGCTGCCCAGACCCAATGCCTCACGGAGACCATGTTTGATCAAGCCCGGGAGAGAGCCCGATATCTAGATTCTCTACAAGCCCAGGGCAAACTAGCTGGACCCCTTCATGGACTTCCAGTGAGCCTCAAGGATGGATTCCAGGTTGCCGGGGTGCCAGCCACTCTGGGCCTTCTTTCATACGTTGATTTCGTGTCGGATACAAACTCTCCACTTGTCGATATACTTTTAGATCTCGGCGCCATACTTTACGTCAAGACAAACATTCCCCAAACCCTGTTGGTAAGTGATCAAGTATGCCACGCAATGACGGTCTAGTTGACCATGAAAAGACTACAGACTCCTCCAACAATATATACGGACGTGTCCTCAATCCTTGGAACACTGCTCTATCGGCTGGAGGGTCAAGCGGTGGCGAGGGAGCATTGGTGGCATTCCGCGGCTCGCCCTTGGGAGTAGGTACTGATGTCGGAGGTCAGTATTCTTTGATCGTTGACTTGCACGGTGACTAACTCCTGCAAAAAGGCTCCATTCGGGTTCCCTCTACTTGCAACGGAACTTATGGATTCAAGCCAACCACATCTCGTGTACCTTATGGTGGCCAACAAACATGCAACAATCCTGGTCTAAAATTCGTCGTCGCTGCCGCGGGGCCCATTGCAAATGATTTTGATGCTCTTGAATTATTTGTCAAGACGGTGCTCGACAAAAGACCTGCCGCTCTGGATTCGAGTGCGCTCGACTTGCCCTGGCGTACCGTGGGTAGCCAGGAGGGCAAGAAAATTCGATTTGGCTTCCTTTCAGAAGACCCAAACTTTCCAATCCATCCTCCAGTGAGACGGACACTGGAGAATGCAGCAAAGGCTTTGAAATCAGAAGGTCACGAGGTGATTGTACTCTCCCCAGATGAAGGTCTTGTCACCGACTCGGTAGCAATTGCTGGACTCATTCTTGGATTGGACACTACTCCAGCGCAACTCGTTCAAGCCGGTGGCGAACCTTTTATTCCCTCGCTCGTGGCTATTCAGCAGGCGAGCGCCAAGATGCGCATGTCTCCGGAATACAGCAAGTTTGCACATCTCTCGCAGCTCGAAGGACTCGAAAAGCTTGCCGCGTTGAACAAGGAAAGATCTAGAATTCTGGCCGAGTGGAACAAGCTGTGGGCAAAACACCAAATTGATGCCGTCATTGCACCGTCCACAAGGACCACGGCAGTCGAGCATGATGCCATGGGAATTCCCGCCTATACATTGCTATTGAATCTCCTTGATGTAAGCCCATACTCGTTCTCTTGCACACGCAACACACTAGGCTCACAAAACTTAGTATCCGGGCTGCGTGCTCCCGTATGGCAAGGTCGAGCCAATTGATGTCGCTGATGAGAGAGGACCAGCCGAACTGAATATTCCATGCAAGAAGCCCAATGACCCGATGACTTGGGGTTCAGAGACTAACATGTGGTTTTCACAGACAATGCGGAGCTTCTGCAAGGGGCACCGTGTTCAATTCAACTGTTTACAAGCAAGTTTCGCGACGAAGAGTGTCTTTCCATTGCAAAGGTGGTTGACAATTGTTTCAAGCACGTTGTAGTTTAGAAGATTTTGTTGCGCTGGCAAGGACCTACAAGAAACCGCTAGCTGCTGCAGGTCTCATCGGTTGGTGAAGAATAGCTACCAGCATCATGGTACGCGATTAAGCAATTATCTGCATATTTCAATTTGCTAGAGGGAACTACTGCTCAATTTTACGTGCGTCCGACGCAATTGAACAGACAATCGTAGCAGACAAAGTTCTACGAGTCCTACTGAGCAGCACAAGTTGGAGCTTGACCATGTGCCTCGGAGTTCGGTTTCGGTGTTGAACGTGCTAAAGACGGTCGCTCAGTAAAACTACCCCGCTAGTCGCGTCACGTATGGAGTACAAGCTGCGCCTCGGCCACTACCGTCATACCTTGTAGCGATCACCAACACATTATGATCAACAGATTATACAATCAGAACGGAATCATTGGATATAAAGGTATTCACTTCTCACTGATAATTGATCAAGAAAATATCGTAGAGAGTATACGCATTTGCATCTACAAAAGGTCCCGAGTTGATGATCAAAATCGGAAACTGTAAAAAATGTACCCCCCTGTTTACATGTCAACATCACGCGGTGAAGCACTGACGTCACTAAAACGCCAGCTCATTCATGCCTTGACCTGCAGGTAAATAGCATGTACCTTAGGCAACCACTGCAAGCCACGAAGAAACCAAAAAGTCCCACAACTCCGATAAAAGAGGAGTCGTCAGCCCATGTCCGCGATATTTTGCTCAGCTACACCACAATTCACACAAGCAATCAATACAGCACAATAATCGTCAATCCGGCTTCCAAAGCAACCAGCTCACTCACTCATCAGTCAAGATGTACCAGAACGCTCTTGCCATCTTCTTCCAGCTGTGCCTGGCCACTTTTGCCTTTGCCGCTCCCCTCGCCGGTGAGGTCTCGGCTACCACCACGGATGCCTGGCAATACGGTACTGGCGGCGGTATCATTGGATTCGTCGTCCTGGTTCTCGATATCATCGTCTTTAGTGCGTCTCATCCCTTTCCTTATGTCGGCTTCCCGATGAAAGCAGTGCACATGCTAACTCAATTCCTTGTACCACAGTCGAGGTCCTGCAGTCGAACCGCCCTCCCTCCCACAAGCTTCTCTGGTGTCTCGTCGTCTTCATCTTCCCCGTCGTCGGCATGATTATTTACTGGCTCTTCTCCAACCGCCAAGCCCACAAGGCTGGCTCCTATGAGCCTTTGGCATAGAGTGTCCTATTGATGGAAAGCCGGAAACAGCGGTGCTAGTGTTCTTTGAAAAGAGATTAGCTTCACCGCTCGTAAAGACATGTCATGATTCGAGCCAGTGCATGGAAGATACGGCGTCATGTATTATGGAACAACGAGCGAGTTGTTTTCCAATTGTGAATTGTACTGCTGCGCTAGGTTGTTGTTTTGTTTCCTGGTTTGGCGTTGCTTTATGCTCGTCCCTTGGACAGTAGCCATAGGTATTGTGGCGTGCCTGTCGTGCGAGCTTGTCAATTGATATCACTCTCATTATACTATTGTGCCCATGCTGAACTCTGGATGGATCGTTGATGTTGTGCACAGCCATCCGTCGCTTTTCGTGGCTCAGATGTGGTATTGCTTGGGACAGTATACCAGTCAAGGAGAGAAGGTCTTGGCAATCGCAAGGCTGGCGCTGGGCAGTCAAACAATTGTGCAACAATCTTTTCCTGCTCTTCATTTGAACAATTGCCTCGACTGGCTGCAACTTCGGTGGGATTTTTCGGCAAGTACGGCATGATGGAAAGGCGGCTGGCATGATGCGTCGCCACCTCGCTCTAGATCAGTTCGACATTCACCATTCATTCCATACAAATATTACCTTGGATCAATCATGGCACTTAACTGCCGAAGCATGTTTTGAAACAATCACGGTCCGTTTGGAGTCGTTGCGAGCTTTGCCTTGACCAATTATACAATCCTTCATGGCGTTAAATCGCATCGTGGAGCAGCTGACAAGAGCTTCATTCGGCCGTAGCAGGTCAGAGCAGGTCTAGGCCTCGAAACAAGACGAACGGGAACATGAAATCCGAGGCTTAATTTTTGCAAAGGGAAATGAAAGACAAACTGTCATGACCGGGACGGATCTTTGCCTCCGTCAAACCTTTGAACTCGTCAACTTGATTTCCCAGGTAGCCTCGCCGCAGCTAGCCACAGTCATGTCAGTATATCAATTTCGGCTTTGGTACCATGGTCGCGTGACCATGGTGCTCCTTATTCCCGAGAGCCACATAATCGGGAATCGTTTCTATACTCTGAAGAAGCCCAGAGCAATGTCTACTAGAAACTTCCCTGTACATATCCCGCTCGAGTAAGCCTCTAAATCGTCCTTGGTCTTTTGAGCTGTCGAGCTCACGTGCTCACATGCACTTGAGAGGATAATTGGGTCTGTTTCTTGTTGATGAGGTTTCCTCGGACTTACGCCATGTGCTGTTTACCGCTGTCTTTGACGCCGAAGTTCGTGATGTGGCGAATCACTGCTTCCCGTAGTTGCCAAGAGGTTCATTTTTACGAAGCTTTGATATCTTGGGGAGCACCGGCCGGCTGGGCCCGCACTGAGACCATGCGGCTCATGGACAAGTGGGCAGGGCCCCTCCAGTGAAAAGAAGCAACGTGAACTCAAGTTCCTACACTATTTCAACCCCAAAAGCCGCAACCGATGCCTTGAAACAACGACTGTGCCGGTATATTTGGACCCTCAAAGACCCTGAAAGTCTCACGATGCCGCTTCCAATTTCCCCCATCCGCGCCGGCACGGTAGCCCGGGTCAATTCAAGATCACGCTCAAGGTGAACGTCGTACGCGGGCCAGGATTTGTCATGGCATTGTGTATCCGGCCATCATCCAGCACCACATTATGACAGCCGGCAATGTATAGCCATGGAGGGCATACAGTCCCAACAGTGCCGGCGGCAATCTAATTGACGAAAAATGACGAGTATGCAAGAGCTCTCTGGGCCGCCATTTTCCTTGTCGCTCCAAAGCATCAACCTTTTCATGCTTCTGGCCCACGGCATGAGAATCAACTTGTCCATGGCAAGCACTGGTGAAGGAGATGATGCTGTGAGTGGACGAAACCCGGGACTTTTGACCACGCCGTCATGATTTGGATAAATCGTGAAATCTATAAAGACTATTATTCTCGCACTGATGAAGCACTGTTCAGCATCCCAACTCAATACTTTCTAAATCCACAACCACTCGTTTACTCGTAGAACCGATTCGAATCCTCAAAATGCTCAAGTCTATTGTATCCTGCGTCCTGGCCGTCGCGGCTTTGGCCTCAGCTGAGCCTATCCCCCGTGACCTTGAGTCGCGTGCCGATTCAACCTCGAGTGGTAACGCAAACTTTGACCGACTGCCAGCTCAAGACCACCCCGTGTACCCCATTGGCTACTATGGAGGTCTCTACTGGACTGGCATCTGTACGAGTCACGAGAGCATCACCAGACCATTTGACTAGTCGCTAATACTTGCTGAAATCACCAGACGCCGTAAACGCCAGCGACACCAGCGAGGGACTCATCCCCAAGTCCCTCCCCAACATTGCCTCGTTCGGCTCCGTGACGGCCGACCTGCCCATCATCTCGAGCGTCTTCCAGGGCACCAAGGTCAACAGCTTCCAGCTCAGCTCGCTGTACTTTGGGTGCACGGACGAGGCCGGCCGCGTGCCGGTCGCGTGCAAGGTCTCGGTCTACACCTATGACAAGCTGCTCAACCAGCTCTCGTACTCGCCATTTTACTTTGCCCCCCAGAGCAACAGCACCTCCAAGCTCGTCTTTGCCGATTTGAGCGCCACCCCGGCCGGCGTCAGCTATGCCCGCTTCGTCGTCAAATTTGTCGTGGGCTACCGGGGACTCGCGTCCATTGATAATGTCAAGTACTCCATTACTACCAATGGTACCACTGATGCCAAACTTCTCGTCGCGTCGTGAGTAAATTGACTCCACGGAACAAAACATCTGTCCAGTGCTCGAGTTCTTCAAGAACACTGGTAGTCGGTCAGAATCACCAAAAGCTATCCACTTCGACACATTCATTCATCCCATTTGTTCTGATATTCGGCGTTTGTTTTGTCTTTTGAAAGGAGGCAGATGAAATGTATGAGCTCATGATCACAAGACTGTGGAATGACACTTTCCAAGTTCTTAGCTACTAATACATGCGTATCTGAACCAAGTCACACTTAGGTCAACTTTCTTTTAGGTTCCTCATGCTGTGACATGACCATTGCACAATCATTGTATTGTCAACCGCTGCATCGTGAATAAATTGCTCGTCTCAAGGTATAAACGGTAGAATTATTAGCTCTCTCTATGAGAGTATCAGAAATTAGTTTAGGCAATTATTCATGTTTGGTTCCCCTCCTCTTCACAATGGTATCAAATCTCTCTTGTCGCCAGACTTCCACTAGTAGCAATGTCTGTAAAAACGGCATGACACGGCGTCCTTCAACTCTGTCCGTCATTCCACATCTTTCACTCTCATTCCAATTGGGTAGCCTTGCCTTGAGCCTGGAGATCTTCGCCCTTTCCACCGTACGCCTTTGGCAATTTCTCGCCCAGGTTTTCAACCTTGCTGTCAGGGAACTCGAGGGCCAGTGCACCTCCATTGCTCATAGGATGGAACTTTTTTATGGTCTTGGGAGCTACAAATAGCTTCATGGCGCCGTATATGAAACCCATGATGGCAGGAACGTTGACAAAGAACTTTTCCTTGAGCAACTCTGGGTAAGTCAAAGCAAAGATCCGAATGGTCTCTTTCGAGGCTGCCTTGACGGCAGGGTTCTGGCGGAAGAAGCTGATGGACAAGTAGTCGTGTACCTGGAAGATCTTGTAGGGATCCTCGGTGGCGGTAATGGGCTTGGTGGCAGTAGAGAGTGACAGCTCCTGAAGAGCCAACTCCATCAAGGCTGCTCGCCATGCGATGAACCTGGAAACGTGTTAGACTATACGATAACTGCAGTGTTCGGCACTTGGGACACTCTCAAGTGGTCTAGGCGAAAGACTCACTCGTCAACATTGCCGAATGTGGCCTCCATGGACTTTACAATGCCGTAAATGTTCCAGGTAAAGACCTCCTTGGTCTCTGGAGTTTCGCCACCATAGGAAGTAACGTAGCCGAGGCCCTCAAACTTTTCCTTGCTAAACTTCTTGGTCAGAGAGTCCAAGGGCTTCGACTTGGCGCGCCATTCCAGAGTCTTGGTCAACTGGTCCTTGGCCTTGGTGAGATCTCCATCATTGGCGTTGAGGAACTTTTGAAAGACAATCTGGGACGGAACATGCGTGTCGGGGTCGGCCAGCGTGACGCCCCAGATCTCGGGATGGCCATTCGTCTTTGCCGTGGCCCACAGTTGCTGCAGTGGAGTCGCAGTAGTCTCCTGAGCTGCGGAGGCTTCGGGCTTCTCCTCGGTCGCCTTTTCGGTGGTTGCCGGTGCTCCTGCTGCTACCGGCTCCGCAGGCTTTTCCAATGTTTCTGTGGGAGCAGCCACCGGCTCGGCGCCCTTCTCTGCTGTCTCTGCCGACTTTTCTGGCTCAGCCACCTTGGTTGTGTCAGAAGGGGCAGTAGTCTCAGTTGACTCGGCTGCTGGGGCGGCTGCCTTTTCAGGGGACTCAACAGTGGGCTCGACCACTTTCGCATCGGATGCGGCGGGTGCGACGACGTCAGCCATAATGTCTTTGTGCAAAAGGTAAAATAAGGTATCTTTCCGTCACAAGAGTGCCCACACGAAACTGAGCAGTTGTAATAGATGATTGGGTTGTTTGCTTCTCGTCGCCGCAGTGACCTGGAGATCTGATAAGATATGAAACTCGGAGATCGGAAGGCCTCAACCCCGAGACCCCACCCAGGAGATTGATCATATTGGTGCCACTTTCCGACGCCTACTAGCTTGAAGTGCTAAGCTTTCAGTGCTTGGCAAGCACCACTAGGCTCTTGGTACCTGAAATGTCTTTTGAAGTTCGAGGTTTTAGCGCCCACCATACTATACTAGTTAGGATTTCCCACCGCAAATGAATAATGATCGTGAGATTAACAAGTCCTAAATTCGAACAATCGTAACATCCTGGTTTGGTGTTGGCACATTAGCAGCATCCCCCTGGACAACAATCAGTTTGGAATGTCTATATTCTCACATTCAACCTCGTACTCTACGGTAGACGTCTAATGCCATGGAATGCTGCTAGGTGTCAACATCATCGGCAGGTGTGATTGTCACAGTGACTTTGATGGCGGTCATTCAAAGAGTTTGGGATAAGCTCTTTCCTCACCTATCCGAGGCCCTGAGCTGGATATTGAAATGGCAACCACAATTGCTTCACTTGAAAGCATTGGTAGTCGTCACCGATCTGAAAGCTTGTCCGATTGCTACAAGAAGAAAAACAATAATCACCATCTCCGATTCTTGGGAGTTGCTGCACTTGAAAGTAGACTCCCCTTCTTGGGTACAGCCATCGATCAAATCACTATTCAATCAATCATATTTGACTTTACGTATTTCATTGGCGCTTTCTTCAAGAACAACCTTTCATTAATTGTATTGGCAGAGTATATCGTGACTATCAGTCTTCTCGACACAAGACCAATCAGTACTCTGCGTGTCCCGACACTGGAGTCAATTCGGCCGCTTGATACAAAACAGCTCACAAATGCAACCAAGAAGACTTTCGGGTACCAAATCTGACGACGGGGCCGCAAAACTTCGAGACTTTGTATTGAGAGACCGCAGAGCGCGTTCGTTGGGAAACTCTAGAACGCCTTCACCGTGCCTCTCTAGAGCGTCTTCGACAAAGTATTCACCGTCTTTCCACCTGAGCGACGTAAAAGAAGAAACCGCACATCCTTTTAACATGCCCAGCGATATCCAAAACATCGTTGCCGACAGTTCAGATGATGCAAGTAATCAGGCTGATGACGATTGGTCCAGTGAAGATCAAGTCGAAAATGACAAAGTCTCGATCAGTGAAGAGGAAACGGCAAAGACGACTGGCGAGCATCCACAAGCACCAAAAAAGACACCAGCGAACAGATCTGGAACGCCCAGACACCCCCCTAGAAATCGACCCTCACTCAGTCTCAGCAAGTACAGAATCAGCAAGCGTAAGGCCCGAAAGTTACGATTGGAGAGCCGCAAATTCCGAAAGCGACTTGAAAAGATGAGAAAGCAGATGGCAACTGAACTAGAAGCCCAAGTAGCCAACTTGGAACGCCAAGTAGGCCAACAGATAAGATCTGAACTAGAAGCCAAAGTAGCGAACTTGGAACGCCAAATGGAGGAAATGACAATCAGATTGAGTGACACGGAGCAGACTAATAAAGGACCAAACCGCAAAAGATCCTCCGACGAAGGCGATACCCACATGCAGGGCATGGAGGACGACCCCAAGAAACAGCGTGTCAAGTAGGTACTCGATGGTTCCAATAGACAACTCAATCCTTTGAGCGCCGGGTTCGCCTAAATGCCGACTGTTCTAGTAGCTGAGTGGGGAGACGCAATAACCAGCAAACATGGTGACACACAAGAGGGGCTGGAACTCTTAGTCCCAGCATTGGTTCTATACTCGAAACTTTGATAATTCCGCGAGTACAAAGTCATTGTATTAATAAATCAATGTCGCATTACAGGCAGCTATCCACGACTAGTTTCAAATACAAAAATATGACCATATCCACTGCACTACATTGGGAGTATCTATAAATCTAGACTCGGGGTTCATTGTCCAAGTGAGCCGAGTGTCTCTTCTGTGTGATGACTGTTGAGATTGGATTGCGCTGCACGGCATTAAAATGCGAGATAAAACAATGTCCAGCCCTACTTCAATCCCAGATGTAGTAGTGCCACCGAGGGAGTGCGGAGATGTTGACCAGACTCGGACGCACAGAGCCCCCAATTGCGCTCTTTGTGGCCAGTCTGCGTCTCTGTCATGGACAAGGAGGTCGTCGCATACCCATCATTGGCTATATCTTGAACCAATGATGCTGTAGGGACGTAAGCTGCATGTGGGAGGTGCAGCGACATGGTCATACGCCTACATTGCGTATCCCAACACTGACAGGGCTCAAGATTATCTAGGCATTCAAATATCGGCAAGAAATATTTTTTGTAGATAAATACGCATGATTTGTTCTGCAGCGCATCTGGAATAGTCAATTCTTCATCGCGGCTGGCCTGACGGCAAAAAGTACGACGTGAACAACATGGCAGGCTGGTTTGGAAAGGCAGCGCCCGCTCGGGTGCATACTGATACGGTCGCGCCAATGCGCTACTTCGATGACAGCATAGTATTAAAGTCCTTGATCGTCTTTAATATGTCGAGATTCGATGTAGCACTAGATGGCAACCGGCTTCACAAGAGTCTGGAGAAGCTGATCTCAATGGAGGGATGGCGAAAGCTCGGGGCGCGCCTCAGAAAGAATGCAAGTTGAAATCAATATCCCAATGCCAAGCATACAAGATTTGTGTATTAACAGTAAATTTAGGCTCAAGGTGAAATCGAATATCATTTACCAGCAGAGTTCACACCAGAGAGACCAGCAGTCGCATTCTCGCAAGTTCAAACTGGCATGGCCATTGCTGCACATCCGGTCGCATCCCAGCTCCCACGCGCACACGGAAACAGGCCAATAATTGCAGGAGACCCGGAACTATTTACAAGCCTTGTACGACCTGAGGGCATGCCTACCAGCATAAATGACTGGCTGACACAGGATCGTGGCCTGCTCGGTCTCCATGTGGTCTCGTTTACGGACGCAACGATCGTGGTCTTTTACTTTAACCACACCACCTTTGATCTCATGGGATGGGGAGCTCTCATGACGGCTTGGACACATGTACTTCACGGGCGCGAGCATCTGGTGGCCAAACCGTTTGGCGGCGACCCTGGCTCGACCGGCTTTGATCAGCTCAAGGACTTGGGCACGAATCCCACGGAGCCTCACGTACTGGCGCACAAGCATATGAAAATTGGTAGCCTAATTGGCTACGGCGTTCGTAATGTGTTTGATCTAGCTTTCAAAGCCAAGGAGAATCGTATCGTGTGTATCCCAGGGGCATTCATCGACAAGCTGAGAGCTCGGTCAATGGCAGAGCTCAGCGCGGCTGCAGAACCAGGCGCCACTCCGTTTCTATCGGACGCCGACGTTTTGGCTGCCTGGTGGGCACGGCTGGCTGCTTCAACCAGTCAAAGCCCAGACTCGGAGCGTACCATTAGCATCCAATACGCAGCCAGCGCCCGCAAAGCGCTGGGGATGTCGGTTGATTATTCCCGAGACCCCTATCTCAGCAATCTGTTCACGATGCTCTACACCATCATGCCGGCCCGAGATCTGATCAACAAACCAGTCAGCCACACGGCCAAGGAGATCCGACGGTCGATTGTAGAGCAAGGGACGCGAGAACAGGTCGAGTCATACTATGCGATTCAGCGTCAAACTCCGGGAAAAATGTTGCCATTCATGGGAGACGCTGGCATGCACGCCGTGCTCATGTCCAACTGGGGCAAGGCCAATCTGTATGCTCACGACTTTAGCCCCGCTGCCTTGTTTAGTGAAGATCGAGGAAAGGCGCAATATCCAAGCTACATACAGGCGACACAGGTGCCATTCAACTATCCCGAGGGTTTCCTTGTGATTGGACAAGACATGCAAAAGAACTACTGGCTCTACGGATTTCGAATGGCTGGTCTCTGGGCCAAGGTTGAAAAGGAACTTGCAGAGTTGGACGTCTAGGATCGATGGATATTTGAGCGGTACGTCTGGGTCTTTTATTGCCCACTTGATGATTTCTTTCAATTTCATTCTTGATAGTACTGGGGATTCTTTTCGTTGGTGAGTTTGCATACATTTCACAGCGATATCTTATTTCCCTGCCTTTTCGAACCGGCAATCTAAACATGAGCCTGGTCAAGAAATACTGGTCTTTGACAATACGTAACTGTATCGGTGATTTATGCCGGCACAGACTTCTTCAGCAGCTCCTCTGCCTTCACAAACTTCAGGTCTGGCAAGAGCTGGTTCCATTCATCTGATATGTCCCAGCATCCACGTTCAATGGATTGCAAAAGTCCGATTGTAGCCATTCGCGACCAGGCTTCCCCCTGCTCCTCTGGCACGCCCGGCAAAGTGATTCTTGAAAAATTGTCCGTCTTTAATACACCGGCTTGTAGGTCTTTGGTCTCGAGCAAATCGACTTGGAATTTCTTGCCTAACGTCGTATATCAGTCAGCAAATTGGCGACGGCCAGTGCAATCTCTTGCTTCAAACAGACTCACCGCGAATGGATTCACCGATGCGAATCAATTCGGCCACGGACAGTTGGTTCCCCCGGAACCCTCCGATTACTGGCCATTCGCCCTCCAGGTCAACGGCCCGGACAACAACCCTGGCTATGTCTTCGACAGCAGTATATGCCATGGGGTTATCGTGAGTCCATTGGGTTGTAATAGCGGTGCCTTTCTCAAAGTTGACCAGAGTTGGAAAGGTAGAGGCATGCTCTGATGTCTTGTGTGGGTGGCTGAGATAATCCAGAAACCAGCCCGGTTGGAAAAGGCAGTATTCCAGGACCTGATAAACTCGATGTTGGTATTGATTCCGTGCGCTTGAAACAGTCTGCGCAACTCGTTTGAAAACTTACCTTGGTCTTTTCGTTGATTTGTTTCAGATACTCTCGAATCTCTATCTTTCCAGAATACCAGGGTATGACGTCGAGCGACGGAGCCAAGTTCATTCCCCTATATTAGAATCAGTGAATGTCTCTTAGGGTTCTAGCGACATACTTACGCTGACCACTCGGAGGGTGCATAGCGCTTGACGCCCGCCTCGACTGCGGTATCAATGAGCCGCTTCTGCGCTTCGCTGTTCTTGTCCAAATGAGCCGGGAAGAAGCACAAAAGGGTATGGACACCAGCCAACAAGCCGACCAGCTCCGACTTGTCTTCGAACAAGGTTTTGACCCATTCCACGCCCGTAAGCGAGGGTACCGACTCGGGATCCTAAGTCTCGTTAGCTTTGACATGCCGCGGCTGTGAGAAAGTTGTGTGGGATACTTTTCTAAAGAGGGCTATAATCTCGTGTTTACCAGTGGTGGCAAGGTGATTAATCACCTCTCTTGCAAGTTCTGAGGAAAAGGTCAGTCCAGATGTATGCAAGTCTCGAGTCTTTGTAAAGGCATACGGCTGTTGGCTCCGGCAATGGCAATTTTGACCATGGTGGCGATTTCTTGCCAAGTTTTGATTCTGTTCAAATGTCCGGGTGTCGTAGTGATCAGAGGGCATGCGATTCTTCTTTATCTCTCATCCAAGGACAATGTCTTGTATAAATCCTCATACCGTATTGCTGGGCCATGACTTGCCGATCTTCCTTCCGAATGGTTTGGTTAAAGTCTCCAGCTCGCAATTAACCAGCGCCTGAAACAACGTCGCCGTTTATAACATGCTCCGTGTCTTGATGAGATCATACAAACCACGGAATCATTATAGTCGGGTCTTCTTGCGAAAGACGGCACGGTACAATTCTGATTTTGTTTATTCCGATTACGTGGTCAGCGGAAGATTGTTCATGCCAAGCCGCCAACTATATTACTTGTGTGAGTGCAGCAATTAAGAAAATATGTAAAATCATGGCGGTAAATGAAATAAAACAACAGTACCACCGGCTGGACTTTGAATTAAATAATTCATCAATTGCAACATGTCACAAATGGCAAATGGATGTATGTAATTATTTTATTCATGCGTCTGTCGCGGCCTGCTTTCAAGGAATAGCCACAATTGGGCAATCTGCCTTGGCCTTGCTATAAATCATGCGCTTATGGATCGGAAGCTTAATTTGGGGTCGGCAGCGGTCCAGTAGTAGGAACCGGAATTGTGCCCCAAGCCTGTTGCTGGTTCACCCAAGCATCGTCCAGCTCTTGAAGCTGTTGGCCAAAAGCATCCACGCCATTATCTGAAGTCGAGTTTCCGACAAACGACAGCCAAGAAGCGCCGCTGCAAGTGTTATTGTCGCCCGTGGCCTCCACAATCGTGTTGTTCCAATAATACATGCTCGTGACATTCTGACGAACAGCAAGACTCTCTGGTCCAGCAATCATGCCAGACATGAGTGGTAAGAGTGCAACACCGTCACTTATCAAGCTTCTGTCGACCAAGCAGTAAACGGATCCGGGGCTAGTAACGGGATTGCTGTCCGCCAAGTCATAGGAGCTATATAGATTGAGGGGGTATTGAAAAGTTGAGACTTCCGCAGATGCCGAGCCAGAGTAAGTTCCCTGGGTGACCATGCTTGTCGACTGGTTGAGAGCCGCATTGGTCAACTTTTGGATGCTATTGAAAGACAAGTGTTGATTCCAAGAGACGGTCTTGTTTCCGTCTGCCGTCTCAATTGTCGAGCTAATTGAAAGCGTTCTCTCCACACCGAGAGAGAACCAGAGAGACGTGTTGGTGACGGTGCCGTTGGACGATGTTGCTTGTGTAAGATCGGGAAGATACTTGAACAAGGGTTCGCCGGTAGAAGCAGTAATCTCACCTGCCTGGGTCTGATTGACGCTCTCATCGAGCCAGACAAAGAGGGAACCGGAGACGTACCAGTTGGACCCAATCGTGCCAATCTTATCTTCGGCGGTGCTGTCAAAACCGACGACGCGCAGCTGAAACTCGTGCTGTTCACCGTCGCATAGGAGCGAGAGCCAAGGAGTCACATCAATCTCAAAGGTTGGCAGGTCATACGTGTCAATGCCGACAATGGGTCTCCAGGCACCAGGGTCAACGCCTCCGCTAAAGAGGATAGGAAAAGGCCACTCCACACCCGCCAATTGACCATCAATCAGAAGCTGTACTTCGCGGAAAGGGCTGTAGCCAGAAAGCTCCCCAAGAGGACCAGGAAAGGTGTTGGTGTACACGCTGGGTACATTGGCAAACCAAAATTCCTCGGCGCTGTTGCCACTGGCAATGATGGAAACAACGGCCTGCTTGATGTTGCGTGCCAGCGTCAGGTTGACACTCCCGCTGTCGCCGGGAAGCGAAAACTCGGATGTCGTGTTCTGACCAGAAGCCAACTTGGAGATTGGGTGGATCTCGTCGGCAGGTGCGAAACTTGGAGTGTAGACATCATTAAAGTAGAGTGCCTCTATCGTCACTTCATAAGTGCCAGTGTAGAGGGTACCCGATAGGATGTTGTCTAGACTGAGAAAGACCTTTTGATCTTGGGTCAACAAGGTGTGGAACACCGAGATGTCCTTTTGGTAGGTCCACTGGATGCCAGATTGGATGGGCATGGCGGTACTGGTGCGCCAGATCTCAGTGTCGCCCAGGTATAGCAAAGCAAGTCGGTCATACTGGCGGCCCTGCGACGTGACGGTGAGGTTCAAGATGGTAGTCGTAAAGTCGCAATCAGCAGGTGGGGCGTACGTGCCAACATAGGGGCTACCGTAGCTGTTGCCAAAGTCATGCTGCACAATTGTTTGTCGACAGGCCGGGTCATCTAGGGACTTGCGGGGAGGGAAATAAGGTTGTACAACTTGAAGAAACGCGGGTGTCGCATCCTGATCACTGGTGCTCAATGATTCTTGGCGGGCGACGTTCTTGCTGTCGCCGAATGTAGCCAGGGCCTGTACCCAGGTGACGAAGAGCGATAAGAAGATGAAAACCTTCATCTTGAAAAGCGATGCCGAGAAGAGGTCGAGAGCAATACAGCAGGGTGATTCGTAGGGAAGGGAGATTAATATCTAAAGAGTTCTTGCCGTGTTGGTGGTTTCCTCGCATCGACGCTGTGATCAGCGGCAACCACCCAACGCTCCCTTTCAGCGACGGTCAGTATGTGCGGTGAGCCGCCAGCGTTTGACAAGATGATGAATGAGAGACGATGGAAACTCAGGAACAAGATGCCAAGACAGGGGTTGAGTTCCGATAGTCGTCGTACTGGGCTAGCTTGTGATAGGAAGGTGTTCCGATGTGGGTTGAGCAGGCTTGAATTATTCCCATTGGCCGCATGGAATTTATATAATACACAAGGCAATTTATGTGGCCTGTGCGGGACTGTTCCTGTTATTTAACTAAAAGTATCGGATCTTGGACTTTGACTCAAGCTGTGGACAAACCATGGAGGAAGAAGACATTTAACAAACAGAGGTCTGTGGCTGGATGGGTATTGGTCTTTGTACTTTTACGCGACCCCAAGGCCAGTCATGTACAAACAGTGCGATTCAATAGTCTTGCATCATGAACATGCTCTCCCTGGCTTAATGTTGGAATACAAAAATCACTGATGCCAGCAACGTTTTGTTTCGTTTGTGGATTTCGCAAATTTAATGATATGTCGTCAATCTTGCACACTCTGATTTGCGTTGGAGCTGATGGCCTTTGATTCGATTTTGCTTACATCGTTTTCCGAATTAGGCGTCCCTATAGGTGAAATATCCGTTTCTGGGTGGACTTGGGAGAATGAAGAGAACAAGATATTCGTATCATCATGAAGGCCTACCTGAGTGATTGTGAAGGTGTCAAGATTGTCTAAAATTGCAGATTCTTTGCCTGCTGTTTTTGAAATACTAAACAATGCACAAGAAACCAATCACACCCGCCACGATGAACCTGTTTATAGGGTGGACTAGATGCGCGCTTGCAGTGGTCGTTGGACCTACAATCTTTATTCAAATACAGAGAAACTCTGATCTCAATCCAACCGAGCTCTTGTGAGCCTGCAGCAAGATACGTCGTTCTGGTGGAACATGTATCTCGGGTATCATTTTCACACACATGGCAATTGATTATGCGGCAACGACTTTGACGATAAAATGTTCAGCGACTGCCAAATTCCTGACAGAAACGTAGCAGATAACCTCCACACCAATCCTCTAGTATAACAACATTTTGTAGGATGGCCTTGTATATAAAAAGTTCCCATCTGTAATACTCCTCAAACGCCGATACGCAAATGTTATCCCATGCAAAATATGATGCGAATGCTCTACGAAAAGGTCATGGTGACAATGATGGCAATCAGTCGTCCCACTCCTCATCGTATTCGTCAATGAGCCTATTCTCGGCTTCGCGGTCACGGCTCTGCCTTGTCCTAGATGGCGAGCCAGAAAGGTAATGATAACCTCCGCGCTTGGGGAAGAAGCGCGCGCACGAGGCCGTCGCAGCAATGAAAATGTCCTAAGACCATGTTAGTCGTGCTCATTTCTTGTTCAGGGCATGATGAACCAAACGTACCGAAAGAAAGCTCCAGATTCCAGCCCAGAGCGAATAGTTGGGCAACTGCCGCCATCCTCTTTGGTTGGCCACGGTGCGCTGGTAAAAGACACCTCCTCCCAGATACACCAAGATGGCTACAGCCAAGATGATTCCAAACACTGCACCTGGGCCAACACTGCCTGCAGTATGCTGCTCAGCGCCAGCACATGCATGAATCGAGCGCGCCTCAAAGTTGTATGCGCATTCATCGGGGTCTACGCTGACAAATGCTACCGTGGCGCTCGAGGCTGAGGGGTCCCGATCGCAGTGGAAAGAAATGGTCGCAGACTTGCGCTGTTTTGGAGAATCGGTTTCCTTGGACGCATGGACACTTTCGGTAGCCACGGAGCGCTCATCTTCATCGTCATAGTCCGAGTACTTGTACGAGGCGCCGCTGTGCACCGATCGCCTTGTAGGAACTCTCTCAATATCCCTCTTTGCACTCGGTCCGCATGTCGAACCTCCCGTGTATTGAAGGACCAGCTTCGTTCCTCGTCGCTTCAGCTCGCCGTTGGAAAAGCCAAGACTGTACGTGTCGCCCTTGATGGTGTAGTATGCGCTAATGTTGCCCCATTGCTCCTGATTGATCTCGCCGCGGACGTTGCTAATCTCTTCAACCACCGGAGCGCAAATGTTCATGGTAAAGTTCCATCCATAATCGTAGCCATTGATTTTGTAGTCCTTTGTCGGCACACCGCTCTTCACCTTGGATCCGTCAGATGGCAACTTGACGGCAATGTCGGGCCGCAGGTCAAAAAAGGCGCCGGATTTCGGATTCGTCGCCGTACAGGCTTCTGCCGTGGTGGTCTTGTCGGCATCGGCTGCCAGAGAGCCGCCCACCAGGGACAGCAGGGCCAAGAATGCGGATGGCAATGTCGCGCGCATCGTGTGTCTTTGATTCGGGAGTATCGGGATGCGCCAAGGTTGAAGCAAAAGTAGAATGGAAATTGGCGCTCGTTGCGCTTAACAAAGGTTGAAAGGAGCGTTCATGGATGAAAAGGAAAGGGGGAGGAATCGCGTGGCGGATGCGGCTCAGCAACAAAAGAGATTTCGCATGTGGACACGCCTGAAATGAAGCAAATGAGGATGATAGAGTTCAATAATGAAAGTGGTTGCTTGGTGCTTAGGTTGAAGGTTTGCGACACGACACCTGTCGTTTGCTGACTTTCGGTTAAGATGCCGGTTACGTATGCGAAGACGGCTGCGGCTGCCACTGTTGCGTTGCAGCCATTTAGTGAGGGCGCTGGAGGTAACTTTACAGCACTCAAATGCAGGCGTGGTACGCAATCCAGCCCACATGGTAGACCCCTAGTCCACTAAAGTGCGCGTGCCTTGCCGCCAAGAACCCTGCCAAAAACTGCCAGAAGAATGTGTAGAACAAACTTCAAAGTCTTTTTGCCAATAGACTTTTAGTTTATTTGAGCATCTTGTAGCTGGGGGATTTATCAAGGTCCATGTACAGATAAGACATGGCTGTGCATTTTATGAAACTGCATTGAAAGTGTATGGCTTGTAAGCATATTTCGTACATTTGCTCAATACACTAAAAGGCAGCGCGGACAGGTTTGGGGCCGTCGATCGTAGAATGTCAAATCATTGGGACCATTGGGGCGGGACATTTCGCTGTCGACATCCACGGATGCCCCATTCAGTCTTGGTGCACCGCAAGAACATTTCACATTTGCTTCTCCTGGTTAGCTTGCGGGCTGTGTAGGACGATGCCTATGGCTGGGCGGATAACGATGCATCAGGTAGACTATGAATGCGATACCAAGAGACTAGTAGAGGGTATTTCGTATACCGTATATCGTATAGGTGATTTCAACATTGTCTTATTCTAGTATTATTGGGCAATGGGGTAGAAAGAGCTTCGAGATGGTCATGTCGGATTAGGTGACTGCCAATCGTGGTCTGATCGTCCCACCACGGAAGCCAACCGACCCGGTCAGCTAGCGTCGCATGGCCAACCAAGTTGCGATTGAAAGCATTCAAGGTTCTGATTGGTGAGCTCCAACCCAGGCAAATCAATTGGGGGAAAATCATAAAAAGGGTCTTCAACGACGTCAACATTTTTTAAAATTGCAAACCCCCCATAGGAGTCTTGTTCCCCAGCAAGACGCGCCTCTCTTTGTCCGCTCTTGTACGTGGCGTCTCCTCATGGTAATCTTGCTCAGAGTTTGAAACACCATATTCGCAATGAAGAAGTACGAATTCGGCGGCCCGTAAGTCAACTCCAACCCGTCGGCCCAGCTCACCAATGCGTGTGCGAGTCAAGAGACCTCATGCCGAGCTAACATGAACATAAAGAATCGGCGCGCTTGGTATTGTTCTTGGACTACCAATTCTACAGTGGTTCTACGTATTCGGTTGCAACGACATTTCCGGTTGTCCAATTCCTTCCCTCCTCGATCCCAAGAACATCTCGCTCGAAACTCTCAAGGCCGAAGCAGGATGGCCCGCGGACGGCATTTGGGGCCTGGGCAGCTGGGAATCGTTTGGTTGGACCTTGGCCTACTATTTCTTGAGCTTGTTCTTGTTCCGTATCCTGCCAGGCCAAGAGGTTGAGGGTACCGAGCTCGCCTGTGGCGGCAGACACAAGTACAAGTTCAATGGTAGGCATTCGCTCATGCTCGTTGCTGGAAACCCTGTGGAAACTAACCAATCATGTTACAGGTCTCGCATCGAGCAGCATCATCCTCGCCGTATGCCTCGCTGGAACCATTGCCCAGGGCGCCGAGTTTCCTCTGTGGACCTACATTACCGACAACTACCTCCAGCTCCTCACTGCCAACATCATCATTTCGTTTGCCCTCTCCGTATACGTCTACATTGCTAGCTTTTCTGTCAAGCCTGGCGATCCCGAGAAGCGCGAGTTGGCTGCTGGAGGTCATACGGGAAACATGATCTACGACTTTTACATTGGCCGCGAATTGAACCCCCGCATCAATCTGCCGTTTTTCGGCTTGATCGACATCAAGACATTTTGCGAAGTCCGCCCCGGTCTTCTTGGCTGGTTATTGATTGACCTTGCCTGGCTGGCCAAGCAGTACCGCAACTATGGCTACGTCAGCGACAGCGCAGTGTTCATCACTGTTGTTCAGGGTCTCTACGTCATGGACTGCTTTGTGATGGAGTCTGGTATTTTGACCATGATGGACATCACCAGAGACGGATTTGGTTTCATGCTCGCCTTTGGCGATCTTGGCTGGGTCCCGTTCCTGTACTCCCAGCAGGTCCGTTACCTCTCCGTCTACCCTCTGCAGATGGGTTGGCTTGGTACTGCCGGCGTCTTGGCTGTCCTTGTTACCGGTTTCACCATCTTCCGCCTCAGCAATGCCGAAAAGAACACGTTCCGTACAAACCCCAACGATCCCAAGGTCGCCCACCTCAAATACATTGAAACCAAGAGAGGCACACGTCTGTTGACAACGGGTTGGTGGGGCGTTGCTAGACACATCAACTACCTTGGCGACTGGATCCAATCTTGCCCGTACTCGCTCCCGACAGGTATTGCCGGTTATGTCATTCTTAGTGCTGGAAGCGATGTTCCTGGCGCCTTCAAGATGGCGGATGGCCGTGAGGTTATTCAGGGTCCAGCCAGAGGTTGGGGCATGCTCTTTACCTACTTTTACATACTTTACTTTGGTGTGCTTTTGATTCACCGAGATGGACGCGATGACGACAATTGCAGCATGAAGTATGGCGAGGATTGGGACAAGTACAAGAAGATTGTCAAGTGGAGAATCCTGCCCGGTGTATACTAAGGGGTGACTGGACAGGGGATATTAAAAGGCGCTGGCAGTAGTCTCTGTTTAGATCAGTCAGAAGATGTACTAATATGGGCCGTGGAAAGGCCACCTAGATCTTTTATGATCAACTAATATAATTTAATAATCGGAAACCTCTGCGTCAAATAGGGCTCGTAGCATTTGCTGTTTTCAAAAGTTGATCAACAAGATCAAATTGAAGTTGCCTTGATTTTGACTCAATCGCAGGTGTCTACTCTCATCGAACTGGCCCAATACAAAACACATCGCCTTGTTGCGTTTGCTGTCCTGATGCGCCCACTCTAGCAGTTCCAGCTTGGTAATTTCGAAAACCCGTATGAGGTCGGAAATGGGAGTACTGTGTCAATCTCAATGTTTGGCATTTGGGTAGATGAGTTGGACAATTGATGGATAGAGGTACAAATATCAGGCCCACGTATTGCTCCCATACCATCTCTAATCGTTTCTGGAGAAGCATTCTGTACTCCACGGTAACTTACCACGTAACAATTTTTGTCAAGCCAAAATTGCTAGATCTTGATGTTGGATTTCTCTGCAGTCGACATGTGATTTGGACTGCGTGTCCTTCAACTGGTACTACTTGTTGCACAAACGAGACTGGGCAATATTGTTACATCCCTACACACTTTTCATGTCTTGGGGAAATCACAAAGTCTGGAGAATTAAGAAGAGAAAGGCATCGAAGCCAAGCTAGCGACTACAACAAGCATCTCATCTACTGAACTGAACATGAGGGCGAGAGTTGCGTATTAGCAATGGCCTGGAAAACAGCTGCAAATACGCTCACTCTCTGGTCATCTTCCATTCTGCTTTCCAGCATCGTTATTATCCAGACCACGGAACACGAATCCACTGAGACTGGAAGTGGCATCGCGCGGCTGCTGCTCTGCTGTACTTTCCCAACAGTAGTGAGTAATTGACCCTCGTTTCAAATGCTGATTTTGATTATTCCATTTTCATTGACTAATCAGTCGACGAGCAGTCACCGGCCTGGTGCCTGTTTCCAACTTGCCCAACTTTTACCACACATTCTTCCCCTCCCTCTTCACACTCTTTCTGCCACCCATCTGAATGAATCAAGATTGAAATCATCAAGGCGAATACTCTTGTCCATGTCCATCCCACGTCGTCACGCCAACGGTAATCCACACGTTTTTCACTCCTCGCCACGGCACTTTGTTGTCGATTGCGTGGCAGCCATTTTGACGACAACTTCCACTTGACCGCATTCCCCAGCTTTCCCATTCCCATCAGGCAAGGCACCGAAGAGACCTTTCATCCACTTGGCAGACACTGGCTTTTGGCCCTCTCAGTCAAGTCATTCGTGCCTGCCCGTCTGGCTCAGAGTCGATCTGAAACGCCTGTCGGACTTGAAAGTTAACTTTTGTCAGGCCACCTAGGTACGCACTTCATTAGAGCTACGACATATACCAACAAGCACGTCTAAATTTGCATGTGTAACTAATAAAAATACCAGAGCTAGATCTTTCTATCACTACAGCTTCTGCTGTTTTCCTTCCTTCTCACAGAACAGCAAAACTCAGTCTCAATCTCTTCATCCCTCGTACCGATTCTTCTTTCATGTACTTTCCCTCCTCACCACTTTGACGCCATATTCCATGTTCTTTCGATCGTTTTGATCCGCGCGACTCAAGTCCTCCTTCGTTTACAAGCCATCATCAAGGACGTTTCCGATATTCCCTCATCTTACTTTGTTGAAAGACTTGTTGTCCGCACTATTGTCGTATTGATTCATTTCTTTTCCAGGCAAGCACCCTGCGGCTGGCGCTTGCATATCCTTACTAACTTGTGAGAAAGCAGTTACGCTTCACCTCACTCCAACGAGTACCCATCCTGTAACCCAGTGATTGACGACAGCGACCTTCTTGCGTGGTCAGAAACGTGGTCAAGATGCCTAACTTCGGTCGGCCAAGAATGGTGAGGAAAGATCTGACACCTCCTCACTTTTAAAGACCAAACGTCCTGACTTGTCCGATTAAACAGGCTCTGAGCACCTCTGACTATCGGGATGTGCATGAAGACGGGGGTCTCAAGCCTGCGGATAAACGCCGGATCGGACTATTAGAGGATCGAACAGTCGATCACAGCACTCAGATCAGGGATCTACAAAAGGAATTGACGTCGGTCCGCAGCACACTTGAAGAGGCCTTAGACTTTCTGCGTGAAGTCACACAAGAGAATAGTGCTCTGAAGAAGAGCCATGAGAGTACTTGCCAGAACCTTTCCGACTTGTGCTCAGACATGCGCTCACTTTCCACGGAGCACACTAACCATGTCTCCAAGGAAGAGCTTCGGTGTGAGCTCGGCAAAGTCAAAGACATGGTCTATGCAGTCAAAGCAGATCATGATAGCTTGGATATCCGAACCACTGCGGTCGAAAGCGAGATAGACTCACTACATGAGCATGTGGAACGCAATGAAGCATGGCAAGAGACAATGTGGAGGAGACAGAAAATCTCCGACGAGAGTCACCAAACGCTCAAGAATCAGGTTGGGCCAATTCACCCCTCCGGACTGTCTTTGGTGGAGCAGATAGACTCACAGAGCTCGACCATTGTTGCCATCATCTACCAGAGCAACGGTCTTGCTGAAAATGTTGAGTATCTCCAGAACGAGGTTCATCAATCATCACAGCAACTTAACCGGAGCTTGGCAATGGTCCAGGACGACGTACGCGACCTCGATTCTGACATCAGCAAGCTGGAGACAGATCTGTATTCTCTTGAAGACTCACTGCATAAAGAGCAAATGTGTTCTCGTCATGACTCGGAACACATACAGAGAGTCGAGGAGCGGTTACAGAACCTCCGTCATGAGATGAATACTCAGAACAAACGACAAGAGGATAGTGCACAAGACGTGGAGCACAAACTGATTGCTCAAATTGAGCAGGTTCAAGTCGAATGCACCGTTCCGAAGGCACCCCTAGCAGAACAGTGGGGGCCACTTTTGGAGAGAGTCACAAGAATCGAAGCCTCTGCTGAAGTACACCACCAGGAATTCAAGGAGCGTATCACAACCATTGAGAATGACTTGGACCAGGTGAAAGAGGACGAACCACAAAACTTGGAACCCGAGAAAATGATAACTGCAGATCAATGCATCATTCACCAAAATGAATATGTGGATTGGCTCCGGAATCATGATTTCCAGCTCCCATATGGGATGCATAATTTCAAGAATCGGGTGGTGCGTGTCGATGACTACCTGCTGTTCTCCTGGGGAGGCCAAGAGTGGTTCTTGAGAAGAGCCGCCCATTTCTGTTCCGAGCCAAAACGCGCCGAAAGACACCAGCGCGGCCTTGATGATGACGCTTACGAGGCCAAAGGGAGGCCATATTTTGAGTATGCCTATCGCAGCAGCGGGTTCGAAGCTATTCACAGGTGGTCATCCAGATCTAGCGTTTGTACTTCCCGTCCCCTTCCAAAATACTTGGTTCATCTAGGAGAGATATACTCCAATGGAAATCCACAAGGGGCCTCCAACATGCCCCTGATTAGTACTGGCTTTCACTTGTTCATGGACATCATCACGCCTAAGAAGCCTTTGTGGATCATTTTCTCACGGGAGGCATCTGACGGCACTACCGCTGCGTTCAACGACCAGTATAGGATGTTCGACCAGCTGTTGGACAAGCGTTTTGACGTGGCTATGATAGCTGAGAGCATCCACGATTGGAACTCCAAACTATGGGACACCACCGAGCCCCGACTTGTCGCCTGGAAGGCCAAAACTTGTATGGAGAAGTCTTTCCAACAAGCTGGCACAGTATTTACTTACCCGCACCTTGACACCCTGTTTCACACGCTGGACAGTGAAAGGGCTGGGTCTCCAGGTGATGGACCTGACTGGTACAAGGGTGCAGAAAGCGAAGATTATTTGTAGTCCTTAGAGGACGATAAGGTGCTTTCTCAAATGCAATGACAAACAGCATCAGACTCTTTGAGAAACAAGTCCATTAGCACAGACCAAGGGAATCTTGCTCTAATACTTTCAGATGTCGGTTTATGTTTGGAATGTGGTTTGCAGGTCATGACGAAAAGTTTATTGTAATGGATGCGTTGTACAAATAGCCTCAGAAAAGTGTTGTTCAATGCTAGCAAATACCAATGTTACACTGATAGTCCGGCACCTTTCCAAAAGTGGCATGCCAGTTCACCGTGGCGCAGCGAGTCTTCCCCGCATTTGGGATGCTGAAGCCTGGGCCCTGAACCGATGCTTAGGCAAGGGGTAGATCTGTGCTTACGGGCGCCAGGCAGCCGGATTCCTGAAGCAGTGCAGTTTACATGGTGCAATTAGCTGAGTCTTTATATCTCTCTTGAACCACCACCATCTTGTTCCTAGTAATATACATATTCCAGGATAGCCCAGTCAACACCAACAAGATGTCTGACGAGATTGAAGCGCTCTACTATGAATGCGTCAGTGATGGAACTTCAAAACCGTCAGCAATACCGGCACAGTCAAGTCATCACGAGGATGCCGCTACCAAGTCATTCTTCAAGCACTCGAGTGCCCGACGCACCAACACCGACGCATACATCACCAGCGCCTTGACCAAGCAGTATCCCAACCTGCAAATTGTGGTGAGTCCAGCAGGAAGTTGTAACTTGCTGGCTTATGCCCAAGCAGGCTTTGCAAGCTTTGAAGTCATTGAGGAGAATAACGGCGGTTTGCCAAGCTCTTTGCAGTGGGACATTTACGTGCCGCCAACCAGGAGACTCGATGGCGCCAGGGGAGGTTTGATTGAACGTGCTCTCTTTGGCAAGTACATGTACAAGTGGAAGGAGTCTGACTTTATCGTCTACTTTGTCGATGGAAGGGATGGACAGGCTTCGTACCCTACAGTACAGAACTTTTACATCCTCACCACTGAAAAGCAAAAGGCCCATCAGCTCATTCTGGAAGCTGGACGCTGGAATGCAGACTTGCACGAGGAAGTCTGGGTCTTTGATGGTGGCTACTGGCAAAAGAGCAAGGATCTCTACGAGTCGTTTCGAAATGCTAGCTGGGATAGCGTCATTCTTGACCCCCAGATGAAGGAGAGCATCATTGACGATCACCTATCCTTCTTCTCATCCCGGGAGACGTATACTCATCTCAAGGTACCCTGGAAGCGTGGCATCATCTACTACGGACCGCCGGGCAATGGCAAGACCATTAGCATCAAAGCCATGATGAACACATTGTACAAGCACAAGCCGGCCTCGATTCCTACGCTCTATGTGCGGAGCCTATTCTCAGTGGGTGCCATTTCTGTCGTAAGTTCCATGACCTGAAATTCCAAGCTGATGATTCGTTTCTTTTCCGAAATCAGTACCAAGGACCAGAATACTCAATCAAGCAGGTCTTTGGCAAGGCCCGTCAGTTTGCACCGTGCTACCTCGTCTTTGAAGACCTGGACTCGCTCATCAGCGATAGCGTGCGCAGCTACTTTCTCAACGAGGTCGACGGTTTGAAGAGTAACGATGGTATTTTTATCGTTGGAAGCACGAACCATCTGGAGAGACTGGATCCCGGAATCTCAGTGAGTCATTTCTCTTGGGTTCAAGTGGAGGAAAACACTAACAAGGCGGTAGAAACGCCCTTCACGGTTCGACAGAAAGTACTTTTTTCCCAACCCGAATCTCGAGGAGCGCATCGCCTATTGTCACTTTTGGCAGGGCAAGCTCAAGGATAACAAGGACATTGACTTTCCAGACAAGCTCTGCAAGGCCATTGCCGAGATTACCGACAAGTTCAGCTTTGCCTACATGCAAGAGGCATTTGTGGCGGCCTTGCTTGCGCTGGCACGCAAGTCTGACGAGGGAAGAGGGAAGAAGCAGAAGAAGGAGTTTATGAAAGATCTCGAAGATGAGTGGGTCGGGATCGCCATTGACGACGATGATGACAACCTGGATGATCTTGTGCTGTGGGTTGAGATCAAGAAACAGATCAACGTTCTCCGTGAGGGTATCAAGGAAAGCAAACAGGCTTAGTTGCATAGCCAGTGTCACAATAGTGTAGAGATTAGTGGTAACCAAGAGTTGATGGTCGAGAATAATAGAGGTGTGCGGATTTCTCCAAGGCGTAACCCATGATGGTTTAACGATCCCTGGATTATCGACTCCCCCTACTGAAGGACCCAGTAGTAACGGTCTATCCTACTGGATGATCTCGCCTTGAGCCATGCTGTTCCAAGTTTGAGCGATGCGGCGCAGCAGATGCGTTTTGCCAAACATGACATTTGAAAGACATTTCATATAATTTCTTAAACTTGCACGATCTGAGATGATTTGTGAAAAGGTGAGATTGTCCCAAGAACAGGCATGATTATCGGGCTACTACCAGGTCCCAGCACTGTTAATGATAGACTTTGAGCAGTCAGCATACGTAACGAGTATGGCCATGCCGGAGCATGTTGTCGAGGGAGGTCATTTGTATTGTCCACAGTCCAATCGGTTACACGGTAGCATCGGAGCGGCAGGCCCAATTAGGAAACGGTCTCTCGTCTCGAAAGAATGGAAGACTGTTTCGATTTGTACAAGACATTCGGCATGCGTAGGATTCGCGATGGCGCAGGTATTCTTGATACCTTGTGCAAGGGGGCAATGGTGCACCCCGGTGGTTTGGAAACATCGCCAGCCGAGAGCACTTTATTCCACTGATCCCAGGCTGCACGATAAATGACGTACGACTTCAAGTTCTTCATGGGCCTCCAAGGATATGCACTATCAGTCCAACATTGCGTGGTAGACCGCCTACACTATACAATATGATATGGATCTCTTGATCTTGGGCCCATATTTCATGTCAACATTTCAATATCTGACTCATTGCTTCAAAGTTTCTTTGGCGGCCGACTGGTGGAATAAGTCCTTCTCGTGCAAGCTTGACATTGTGACTGTCATAACGCTCTTTGAGCGAGCAAGCATGAATTATGGCCTGAAGTTATCTAGGCACGATGCACGATGCACATGGCACGGAGCAAACCGTCCTATCAGTTCATCAACCATGCAAGTCTAATCGATCGAATTTCAGCTTCGATGACGAATTCCAGAAATGAGTTGTCAGCAGCTAGATGATCTGACTGCAAGTAAGCAAAGTGCTTCAATCCACTAATAAGCGAGAAGAATTGCCCTATAAAGTTCTTGTCAGCACTGTAAATTCGAGATGCGTCACTGCGCAGTTTTCAGTGGCTTTTCCACCTACAGCTGCCCCGCACTCCCCCAGTGCCCCGCCAAAAAGTCGCTTCACTTCTTCAGAGTGAATTATTTCGACCCCGCCATCGCTCAGCACTTTTGTCTTTGGCAGTTTAAATTATCCCGACCTTTGACCAGTTTGAATTTGCGTAAACCTGGAGTATACAAAAAACGACATGACTTCTTCAGACATTCCAACTTGCCGTTGGGGCATCATCAGTAAGTCCAATTGTTGCTAGGTTATTGATGTCCGTACTGACACTTTCCACTCGTAGCTACGGGCCTGATTTCATCATGGTTCGTGGGAGATTTGGTAATGCCTCGCACTGACGCCAAGGCAAATCACATCATACAGGCAATTGGCTCGTCCAGCTTGGGAAAGAGTAAAGACTTTGCAGAAAAGCTTCTCAAGGATACCGAGGCCAAGCCTGCCTTGTATGGCAGCTACGAAGAGGTCTACCAGGACCCAAACGTGGACTGCATATACATTGGAAGCCCTCACGGCTTTCACAAGCGAGATTGTCTCAATGCCATTGCTGCTGGCAAGAACGTTCTCTGCGAAAAGGCCTTTACGCTTAATGCCAAGGAAGCAAAGGAAGTTTTTGCCGCCGCCAAAGCAAAGGGTGTTTACATTGCAGAGGCCATGTGGCTTCGTCACCGTCCCCTGGTTGCAGACCTGAGAAAGCTGCTGTACAAGGACAAGGCCATTGGCAACGTGTTTCGGACAACTTCGGACTTTCAAATGTACTTGGACATTGCCGGACTACCTTCTACTTCACGTTACAAGGATGTGAGCCTCGGTGCTGGCTCCTTGCTTGATATTGGCATTTACCCCTTGACTTGGGCAATCTTGACGCTAGAAGCCGATGCGCCAGCGCAGAGAGAAATGCCAACTATCAAGGCCGCCCAGTCCTTTGTGGACGGCATCGAAGTCACGACGACCATCCTTCTTCACCACCCCAGCACCGATCGTCAGGCCATTGTCACCTCGTCAACGGAGCGAGCCTATGGAGCTACTCCCGCCTCTAGCAATACTATTGCCACCATTGACGGTACCGATGGGTTTGTAGAAGTGGAAGGTCACGTACCCTCCCACCCTAGATCATTCACCGTGTACCCGAAATGGACTGGAGACGAGAAGCCCAAGGGAAAGAAGTACGACTACCAAAGACCCCAGCAAGGCTTCATCTACGAGGCCGATAATACAGCACTAGACCTCGCGGCTGGAAAGAAGGAGAGTAGCATCATGCCTTGGTCTGAGACCATTCGTGTTCTCGAGATCATGGACGAAGTCAGACGTCAAGGTGGCACCAAGTATCCAGTAGACTAAAGTAGATACCTTCCCCGCCTGTCATGGGTATAATTCAACCATATGATTGTGGTTCTTTACTAGATGCCTACGTTAATTTGATCACACTTTTGACGTCACATGACGCATCTCATTGACTGGTTTATGAGAATGTGCGGATAGCTGGGATTCCGTACGATGAATGCTTTCGCAACAGACAAATGCTTTTACCAATGTCAATTTCCCTCGTTCCAAGATTGAAAATATACGGCACGTTCATTCGGCAGCCCAAACTCGAGATGAATATCGCCGAAAATTGCCTTGGCCGTTGAATTAGGTGAGCAGCAGTCTCCGCACCTGCAATAAGGTAACTACCCCAAAGCATTTAGCGACCCGTGCCTGTGCCGCCCGCTATAAATTTAGCGAATGCACTGCTAAATCGTCGGGTTTCAAGACACTGGACGCAAGAATGCAATTCCCGGCGAAAAGTTCCCAAACTGATGCATGGCACATGGAGTTAGTATACCAGCTCAATATCACATTTGCTCTGAAATGTATTCTACATCATCTTGTTCAAATAAATGACAAACTTGTACAAGTGCACCTGGAATCAGACCCATATTAGGCATTCCAGAATCGTACCAGCATAACAAAGCTCAAAAGTGACCCACGATTTCCTTGGGCTTATAGGGTTCCTCCAAGTACTTGATCTCCTCATCCGTCAAGGTCTTGCCCCTCACAGCAGCAGCCTCCTCAAGCCTTGATAGGTTACTGAACCCCACGATTGGAGTGGTGCCCTTTTGAATAATCCAGGCCAGCGCAACGTGGCTCATCTTCCAGCCCTTCTTTCCCGCGAGCTCCTCGACCCTGGAAATGATGATCGAGTCCGGAGTGTCCTTGTCGCCGCGCTTGGTCTCGAACCGCGTGCCCTTTGTGGATTCTTCTCGAACCGTGGGTTCCGAGTCAAGCGGCCGTGCCAACAGGCCGCGGTACAGCGGCGACCAAGGAATGAGGCCAACGCCCGTCTCGTGGCAGTACTTGTTCATTTCGCGCTCTTCCTCGCGGTAGCAGAGCGAGTAATGGTTTTGCATGCTGACAAACGGGGTCCAGCCGCGAGTCTCGGCAATGGTCTGCAGTCGGGCGAATTGATATGTCCACATTGACGATGCGCCTGGCCGCTGCATCAGTAGGCGCTTCCGAGGAGAGTGAGGGGAACGAGTCTACATACCAATATACCGAACCTTGCCGCTCTGGACCAAGTCGTGCAGAGCTTTCATCGTCTCTTCGGGCGGCACAGTCGGGTCATAGCGATGAATCTGGAGGAGGTCAATGTAGTCGGTGTCCAATCGCTTCAGACTGGCGTCGACGGCATTGAAAATGGCAGCTCTGGACAGGCCGCCCTGGTTCACATAGTCCTTGGATTGTTTCATCAAGTCGCCGTACTTCATGTGCATTACGCCAGGTTCCTCTCCGACCGTTCCGAAGCACTTGGTAAGCAAGACCAACTTGTGTCTGGGTATCTCATACTTTTTGATGGCCTTGGCTATTCGGATGTAAGTGGAACGTTGCTGGTTACAGTATCGAGGCCCAACGCCAATGGTCTTTCGGGGTCACTTACCGATCATGATCTCTGATACACCATTAGAGTACACGTTGGCGGTATCCCAGGTGTTGAGCCCGCGGTCATATGCACCCTTGAGGAGCTTGTTGACTTCTTCCTGGTCATCTACGACCCATGGTTGCCAGTCCTTGTGGCCTACATTGCTTCATGTCAGTGGGCAGGTCGGCAAAACTACGAGGCTTGCCGGCATTGGCACTCACCAAAAGACATGGCACCGAGAATGGGCACCGAGACTCGAAGTCCACATTTTCCCAGCTGTTGATACGAGACTTGGGTCGCATCGGCACTTTCCTGTAAAGACTTTGGTACTGAAGCCATTGTTTCGTTGTCTGGTACTGAAGATCTTGTGTCTATGTGATGAATTGCTAAACGCAGCTATGGAAACAGTATCCTACCTACATTGGGGTCCGAATTTATACGTCGTTCCATGATATTTCAATATCGGATTTAAGGACTTTTATCCGTGATGATCAATCCATCATCGCTGTTGCTATGCGGTGCGGGGTAGACTTGCGCCAGTGATGCGCGTAAATACGGATGTTATCTACTTCCGTGTCCGCCACGATGATGAATCCTGGTCATCCAATGATCTGTCCAGGCCATGCTCTCGAGTTTCACATTGAATAATAAAATGGTGATTTCGAAAGAATATTGAACTCTATTGCATGCGGAATTATGAAATTCTTTAAATACCAGATGGATCGGACACCAAGCTCAACTTTGGTTGGCGGGAACTACCGAAGCTATACTCGCGATAGTTGATAATATCCCGAGAGAGTATAGCCAGGCAGGCAGCCCCCACTTGACACTAGGTACCTACACCCAGTCTTCGAGGTACCAAGGTGGTGTCGGTGCAAAACAAGGGCATTTGGGACGTGCTCGTCCCCCGGGCCCACGGCAGTTGGATTCATCATTTCAGGTCCACGAGTCTATCTTCAGCCCACGTGTTTGACCTGCACATCCCTTCAAGCCACAAACACTTGTCCGAATCTGCACCGCCCCCAGTATCCGGCCTTTCACCAAGTGTTGATCCTCGAGATACATGCCCTGCACACAATTGAGAGCGATGAGGTGATTACACTCTAGCGCCAGGTTCTTCGATGGTAATTTCAAAGTAACCACGCAATGCCTCCGACCAGTGAATATCATGGCAGTCAGCCGTTGCCACAGGTCTAGAGGATTGGCAGCTCGTGTATATCAGCTGACTTTGACCGGACTCATGAAGTTTTACGATTCTCAAAATGTTTCCCATCTGTCATGGTCATTGACAAATTTAGGGGTAATCAGGTCCTTGAATTTTGAGTTCATTGCGTCATCCATTGGAGAGGCACCAAGTTCCCCATCGGATGAAGCTTATTTATGTGAGCAAGTGGCATCGTCAACGTCAACGGCCCTCCTCAGCATCCTCAAAAATGAATCAATTCCTCACTCTCGAAGATATTTTCGACAACCAAAGGCCGCAGGCTGAATAAAAATGTCGGCCAACCAAAATATTATCGTACTTGACTGCACCAAAGACTTGAACTCGGTGAAAACCCCTCTCATCGATTGCATAGCGGCTAGGATCCCCTACGGTGAATGGTACTATGGAATTGATATCGAAAAGAAGAATAAATTGGTGATATTTTCTGGTAATAGTCTATCTTTGTCACGACTAGGCATTGAATACGCTGATAAGAATCGGACAGGAGCAGAGACCAAGCCACATCTCGAGGCGTTGGGCGATGAGTGGAAAGACTGCATCGCCAGACCACCGGTAGACCTCTCAGTCAGTCTAAGCCTACCACTCGAGGACATAATCAAATCTCCAGTGGTTGAGCCCGTATTTTTCTATTTCTCCCATGCCGACCCCGAATGGGAAAGGTCCATGGAAAGGTCTGATAAAGTCACCAAGTATACCGCAGAGGGCTATCGCGGTAGCACCTGGGGCTGGGCTACTGAAGGCGTACATCACAAGAGTCTAGGCGATGCCGAGGGTCGATGCTTTGTCGTCATTAGTGGCTGGGAAAGTGCCAAAGCTCACGAGGCTTTTCGGCGGACAGACGAGTTCAAGGTTGCCAGAGGGCAGGCTCACAAGGGACTCATCAAGGCAGTGGAGTGGTTTCATGTTCATGTCAACAAGGCAAAATGATGAGTTGCAAGTCGTGGGGCGTATCTACCATGATGCTGGTGTAATGTTTATCAACCACCCATATTGTAAGGCAGGTAGATGTTTGTCTATAATTCCGTTAATCAAGCATTTCAAGAAAGGTATATGAACTCTGTCATGTTCTCTTTGGGAATGTGTACCATCTTGGTACACGTTTCCAAAGTAGACGAGCAGAGCTGACCATGGCCACTGTACAGTTTACCTTGGGCAACCAGTATCTAATCGCAAGGTCGCACTTGTGACGCTCATTAAAATGAGCAAGATGTATGATCCGTCCTAGAAACAGCCTCCAATCGAACAAGATCGGCACATTGGGCTTAGCGAAGCTGTGTGTCCCCCCGCATTCATTGATTTTCGGAAATACGAGCCCCCACAAACAAGTCCTATAGGCCTAAATGCCACAAACTCCACCATTCCAGTCCTGTTAGCCACTACAAAATATTCCGTATGGCCCTTCACCTTGCAAATGCGACTTGGCAGCGTCATGTTGTGTACAATGGAAATGTAGATCACGGTAAACGGTGCCGCTCCGAGGGCATTTTGCCCGAATCCCCGCATAGTTCTTGTATACCATTGCAATTAATAGGACTTGCCGAGATTATTAAATAGCACTGTAGTCCGTTTCAAGAGCTCTACAAATCATTGCCATTTATAGCGAGACTATAGTAGGAAACAAGAGCCATGACTGTAGCAAAGACATTGCTAACCTGGCTTCTGGCCACGGCAACATGTGCATTCGGTGCCATGTTTGATCCATACTATGCCAACTTGACATGGCAGCCTCCCAGAACCCTCTCAAATTGGTCCAACCTGACTGTAACCACTCCTACTGGAACGTTTATAGGAACACTCAACGACACTTATCCCAACGTGCGGCACTTTTTGCGCGTGCCATATGCCCAGGTATGTCGCATTCAATCAATTGCGTGAACATCTCAAATTAACTCGACGTGTTTATCTATAGCCGCCGGTTGGCGATCTTCGCTGGATGCCACCGCAACGTCCAAAGGTGTCCAATAAAACCATTGATTCTACCTACTTTGGCCCTGGTATGTCTGCAAGATGATTGAACCATATTCGATGCGACTAATAGTCTTTTTACAGCGTGCCCGCAATTTGTATCTGGCACTGCAAGTTTGTGGAACATGTATCAGCCTCCGAATACAGTCATTAACATTGGGGAGCCTACGAATGCTGGTGCAATCGCCTGGAGTACTGCTGAAGACTGCCTGTCTTTGGCAATATGGACACCTAGTTACGCAAATAAAACGTCCAAACTTCCAGTTGCTCTATACATAACTGGGGGTGGAGGTGTAACCGGAGGCATCAACATTGCGTCTCAGCTGCCAACAAACTGGGTTTCTCGGTCGCAAGAACATGTAGCCATTACAATCAATTACCGAGTCAATGTGTTTGGAAGTGAGTAGCCTTTTATTGATCCTGAATCCAATCGCTTACATGCTCGGCAGATCCCAAATCCAGAGCTCTGGATGAGACTTCTCTTACATTGCTAGATGTACGCGCTGCGGTAGAATGGGTCTCGGACAACATTGAGCTCTTTGGTGGTGACAAGGACAATATCATGGTGGGCAAGAATACAACGCGCAAGCAAAGGTCTTGACTAACACTCGACTTAGCTCTGGGGTCAATCTCAAGGCGCCGGCCTTACGCATCAGTACACCCTGGCTTGGCCCGACGACCCCCTCGTTAGCAGGTTTGGCATCATTTCTCAGCCTCCAGATGTGCGCATCAACCTCACACAGACGCCTGACCCGTATGCGGACTTTGATATCCTCTCAGCGGCTCTTGGCTGCAACTATGGGGATGATTATGAGGGAGAGCTGGAGTGCATGCGCCACATTTCGTTTGTGCAGCTCACCGAGACTATAAACAACTGGAACTCTACGCCATCAATTGCCTTTAACAGGTGCATCCGTAAGTGACCATAATCATGGCGAATCCCGCGTAGGCCAAGCTAATAATGAGATGAAGCCGATGAAAAGTACATTTTTACCAACGAGACCGACCGCTATGAAAAGGGGCTCGTGGCCAAAGGCCCTGCCGTCGCATCCAATGCTGCCACCGAGATTCCCACCGAAGGAAATCTCACCGCGTCAATCAGTAATGCACAAGCGTGGACATGCGCCAACTATCGAGACAGCGTGCTGCGACAATCGTATGGTCTAGATACTTATCGATATTTCTGGGCAGGTTGGTGCATTTCTCATGAGTAGATTTGCCAAAAGTATATCTAATGTTTTCTTTACAGGCAACTTTTCCAACATTAGTCCCGTCCCTTGGCTTGGAGCATTTCACTGGAGTGATGTACTAATGATATTTGGCACGTACATGCTGGATGTGGGCGAGTTACCGGAACTTGAAGTCGAGAGCTCAGAGGCGATGCAAGACTATTTGCTAGCGTTTCTAAAAGGCACAGCTGCAGCCCAGGGGTGGCCAAGATTTGATGCGAATGCGACAGATGGAGGTGCAATCCTAGAATTTGGAAATGGTGTTGTAGTAAAGAACCTCACTGGCGATTATATCGACGGGTCATGCTGGAACTCTTCTGCTACCTTTCCATATTATGGTTGAATGCAGTCAGTCCCTATTACCAACAATAGCATTGGGATTCAATTGGAAGTCTGTAGGCAAATGGAAGCATGACAGCTTGCAGTAGTTTATTCCTGCCTGCTGCACATTGACGGCTCCAGTTTGTAGAGACTCCAATCCATGCCACCATGATTGATACCTTGCCAATAACAGTCTTTCAAGACGGTAATGAGGTTCTGTAGACCGAGAATATGAGTTGCCCAGCTTACTGCCTAGTCATTCTCTCCGAATTTGTATCGACTGGCATAATCTCAGGACCCCCAAACCCATCTCATTAGAGTCAGAAAGTTTTCCAAAAAGGTGCCCTCTGCCATCTGATCACCCGGGAATACTGCGTCGCATATGCTTCGGGCCAGTCTGTCTACCCCACATTCTCAACGGCGCATCAGACGAAACAGGGGTTCTCGGCCGGGGAACAACTCGTACGAGTCGGCAGAAGCCGCGTGAGAGGGTTACATTGTGCACAGATTCTTCATCCTCCTATATGACCGGAAATTATCATTGCGGTATCATTTCCAAATCGACTGGCTCGGACATGAGGTGGTTATGCTCTGTCCAAGAACGGAACCCCCCAGCAATATGCTGCAGCCAAGTATAACAAGGCACTATACACCAGGATCGTGCATGCAGCGTCACATGCCATGTGTTGTCCTTGTTGCTAAAAACTAGATAAAAGCTCTGTTAAATCAGGTCAATGTCCAAAGAAATGTCGGGCGACTGCTAGCAGAGTTGTTAGACTTGCTGTCGACCGAAATGTTTGTCAATGTGATTAGAGGTGCCCTTTTGGGTTTATCACTTGGTGCAGAAGCACGTTCTCTCTCGCGAGCAAATAGCGATGCTCGCCAATCCAGTTCTTGCGAGAATACGGCCACATCTCGCAATTGCTGGGGAGAATACAGCATCGATACTGATTACTACCAGACCACGCCCGACACGGGGGTTACAAGAGAGGTATGATAGATTTCGCTCACTTTTGAGCATCAATTATCATGTTCAACCCTTCCGAGACTATGCATTGTAGCAAAATACTGATCCGAACCACAGTACTGGCTTACAGCCGAGAAAATTGTCTTGGCACCCGACGGATACGAGCGGGAAGTACAAGTCTTTAATGGCTCCCTTCCAGGACCAACTATCGAGGCAAACTGGGGAGATGAGGTTGTGATTCATGTCACTAATGCGATACCGGATAATGGGTGCGTAGTGGCAAACTGTAGAGGTTGAATACTTGGACTAAACAGATCCAGCACCGCAATCCACTGGCACGGAATACGCCAGCTAAACACAAATCACCACGACGGTAGGTTTTCCCTCCAAATACTAAACATTTGCTCATGACTGCAGGTGTACCTGGCGTGACCCAATGCCCAATATCTCCCGGGGAGACCGTGACGTACCGCTGGCGAGCAACTCAGTACGGGACAACCTGGTATCATTCTCACTTCAGCCTGCAGCTCGCCGAAGGCCTCTACGGTCCAATCGTCATCCACGGCCCAGCTACTGCCGACTACGATGTCGATGTTGGTGCCGTAATGATTCAAGACTGGTCTCATGTCAGCGCCTTTGAGGTCTGGGAAGAGACGCAGCGAAAGATTGCCCTATACCAGCCCGTCGCGGAAAATGGTCTCATCAACGGCTTGAACCCCTTTGACTGTGATGGATCAACTGATGCCGCCTGCATTGGGACGTCTGAACGATATGAGATCAACTTTGAGCAGGGCAAAAAGTACCTCTTGCGCATCGTCGGAATTCAAGCCGACGGGTGGATGAAGTTTACCATTGATAACCACAACCTCACCGTCATTGCAAATGATCTAGTCCCGATTGAACCGTACACCACGACCAATGTCATTCTCGCCAGCGGGCAGCGCTACGATGTCATTGTCGAGGCCAACCAGGATGTGGACAATTATTGGCTACGGGCCATTTATCAGACGGCCTGCAACAATAACGACAATGACAACAAGGACAACATCCTCGGCGTGGTTCGGTACAATGGATCTGACGCGACCCAAGACCCCGCGAGCACCGTGGACTCGGACATTGACGACTCGTGCGGCGATGAGCCCTACGACAGCCTGGTACCTTGGCTCTCCCACGAGGTAGGCGACAGCGTCATTGAAGACTACCTGGCGCTGGGCTGGTTTTACGAGCTCGACCTCGTCTTTCACTGGACAATCCAGAGCAAGACGCTCATTGTGAATTGGTCGGCACCCACTATTATGGACGTCTATGATGATGGCGGGCCGACACCAGACTTTCCCGACAATAGCAATGTCGTCTCTGTCGATGTGGTCGACCAGTGGGTATACTGGGTGATACAGGATCTCACGCTGGTCAATGCATTCCACCCCATGTAAGTAATGAAAACAGGTGGCATTTTCACATGTCCGCGATTCGGTGCAGGCTTTGTTTCCCGGTCCGTCACCGTGTTCCGGGAAATCAAGGCCGGACCGGGGCTCAGTCAGATGCCAGAAACAAACGACTAAAGCTGACACGGCTCAACTCATCAGGCACCTCCACGGGCACGACTTTTACATTCTCGCCCAAGGATCGGGAGCATTCCTGCCGGGCATTACCGCGCTCAACACCAAGAACCCGCCTCGGAGAGACACGGCGACTCTGCATGGCAACGGATATCTCGTGATTGCATTCAAGACGGACAATCCCGGGTAGGTATCATCCAGAAGCGTATCCCAAATTGCCTTTGCGTGTAGCTTACATGTTTGCAGATCATGGCTTCTTCACTGCCACATTGCATGGCATGCCAGCCAAGGGCTTGCCATGCAGCTTGTCGAGCGAGCTTCAGAGATCCCTTCTCTAATGGATGCCGACGTGGGATCCATGACTGATACCTGTCAGGCATGGAACACTTTTTACAGCTCGCCTGATCAGGCTGATGATGAGCAGGATGATTCTGGGATTTGATTTTAAACAATTTAGTTTATCTGCATGTCGTAGCTACATGGTGGAATATTAATGTTGTACAATCCTCCTAATCTACACAAAAAACAACCACCTTGCGCCTTTCCAGTTCTACAAAGTCTATAATATCAACTGCGTTGATACCCATGTCCATTTCTCGTTACTCGTGGTTCAGATGGAAATTTCCTTGCTGGCAAGTATAGGCTGAACCCATGGGACTGCACCTTGCAATGGCTCGGGGCCATATACAAAGTCAAAGACGGGTGACTTTGAAAAAGTAATAGCGCCCTTGCTCATGAAATATCTTTGGACCGTCTGGTTTGGCATGACATACTTGTCGACAATCTTGAGAATGGTGTTTTGCCAGGTGGCCATGGCAGTGGCATTTCCAGACTGCTGACATCCCGCCGCCACGTTCTCGTGTCTAGCTTCCTGGTACGCCTTGAAGGCGGCGGTGAGCTGCGCAGTGGAGGGTACTTGATCGTGGCGTTGCTCGGCAGACTCAGCTGTGGGCGAGCTGATAATCTTGTGCAACTCATTGACCAATACAACTACGTCGGCAATACCATTGTTGCATCCGGAGCCAGTGCTCGGGGTGAACTTGTGCGCCGCGTCGCCAGCGAGGACGATGCGGTCCCAGCTCCAGTGATCCACGACACCTTCTTCGAGGTCAACAAAGCCAGTGTACAGCTTGGCGTTGTAGGCATCGCGCACAGTCAGGCCATCCGTGAGAGGCAGGTGTCCCCATTTGTCCATCAGTGCTTCCTCGTCCTCTTGGCTGTACCGATGGCGCTCTTGTGTTGGCCGAGGCAGGCGTTCATACATGCCCATCACAGCGGTATCTTCACCAGCAAAGAGCTGGATGCCCAGGCTGTCGCCGTGCGTCTCGTGGGCCTGTCCCGGGGTAAGTCCAATGTTGGTGGGGAATCTCATCCACAGAGCTCGAAATGTTGTGAGAAACGGGTTCTCTGCATTAACCGATGAACCGTCTCCGTTTGATGAGCGCATTGCTAGTCTTCGCATCTGTTGGCGGACTTGACTATGAGCACCGTCTGCACCGATTATGATGCTGCCCTCGAAGCAAGTACCATCAGCGCAATTGACCGTCACTCCAGTCGATGTCGAGGTGATGTTTGACACTTTTTTGTTTGGCAGCATGCGTTCCTGGCGCTCCACTGGAAGTGTATCGTACAAGAGTTTTGTCAAATCATGCCGGCTAATCACTCTGGGATATTCACCATGACTGAATACGTTTAGCGATGGATGAAACTAAAGGGAATATTTGGATATGCTCACTTGTTCTTGAGGTGTTCAAAAATATTGGAAGTTCCCAGGTCGTTCCCCTTGTGATCGCAACGGGAAATGGCCTTGATCGGAGTGCTGACTTGGTTCAGGGCTGGAAGAAGACCTAGTTGTCCGAGCACGCGCAGACCCATTGGTGATAAAACGAGGCTAGCACCAGCGTCTATTGCAATAGTCGGCCGACTTTCGAGACAGACAAAATCAATGTTTGCCCGAGTAAGAGCGTGGGCTGCTGCAAGTCCAACTGGCCCTCCGCCAACAAGGATGACTTTGAATGTCGAGCTCATTTTGATGAGAGGTCGGGAACGACAATGGTAGTGGTTATTGTACCGAGGATAAGAAGATGATGCGTAGCTGCTAATTCGCAAGTGTTGGTTCTTTTGGTCTTGTTCATCTGTGTTGATATCTGTTGTTCAAAAAGGCATTTCCCATGATGATGGATTGCAAGTACTTATATACATGATTATTGTGAAGTCCTGCAAACATTGCATGTGTCGCATATTCGAATGCGAAGATTGGAGGTGGTATTTCTCCGACTCCATGCTCGGACTCGGGTCTGGTATTGACAAAGTCACTCGGCCGGGTGTTTGACAGACTAATAAAAGCAGTGCATAGTGCACCATGTACTTTTACTAATAAAAGCATCGCGGATCCTTCACCTAGTCAGACCGCATCATAGACTCATAGTCTAATCGTTTACGAGTGCGATGCGCTATGGTTTCTGAGGGGGGAACCTAGGACGCACTAAACCGTCAAGGGATGGTGACTGTAGGTTGGCTAGGACGGTAGGACCAAGACTTTGGGCGTTGGATGCAGGGGTGTCACAAGTGGGTTTGTCCAGTCGTCGCACTCGCTTATAGCTGGATAATCGCGCCGGGTGAACGTTTGAGCCCTGGATTAGCGACTATCTGAGTCTTGGTCATCATGGCTGTGGCTGACGGCTCGGCTCTCTTTCGCTTAAGCCATGCTCTAGAATATGATTTGGTTTCGCTTTGTGTACTTGTACTGCAGAATGTGAAAGCCAGAAAAAAAAAAAAAAGGTCATGCAGAAATATGCGCAGTTGGGACTTCCCCCCTGGTAGGACTGCATCATGCTGGAAGCCACCAAGAAAAGACAGGAGCAATCGGTTTCCGCGGACTGGCTGTATCATGAGGCGAGATGAAGTCATTGGAACCGAGGTTTGGTACTAGCAAGTTAGTAGGTCCTTTGGAGTCGCAGCACGTTAGTTCCGATTGCGAAGGAAGCGGCTGAACACAGGTCCGCTCTGACGGTCAACTCAAAACACTGCACAGGCGAATGCGTGCAAACTCTGTGCTACGCAGTCGTCCCGAATGTCTCTGCCCTGCGCGTCTGATGACTGCTATGTTCTTTTGATCATGAACAGTCATGGTGAACAGTGATGGCTTCATGTAAGCAGGTGATTGTATCTTGTACTGGCCTTTTTTCCAGCCGCAGATACTTGGCCAGTTTGTTACCAGCGCTGATGCCTCGCTTCCGACCCGATTTTGTGTATGAGTTTGCGAGTTTCGACGACACGGAGAAATTTCGTGTATCGGTTAAAAGCAAAATTGTCAAGTGTCTCTTATTTGTGTCGATATGAACTGCCAAATGATGCCATTGATGTGTGGTATCCAGCGGGCGTATGCATTCCGTGTCTGCTGTTTTGGACCCGAGTCCGGACATTGTAGTGGAGCAAGGGCACCAAACACCCGCCAAAGCCCCAGCGAAGGCAGCCTACAGTCGGAAACATCACACCATTGACAAGTTCACACTCCAATAGAAACGCACCACCGTATTCAACAGTCATGTCACAGAAAGATGGCGAACGTGTCGCTCCTCTCTGATTTGCTACCAGCGTCCGGCCCGAAGAATCATTTCCGGTCCGGCACTCAGCACATGTATCCTTGCCTCTCAGTTTCAGTATCCGACACATCACCAACCAATTGGAGCTGCTCCTCGCCTTTTGCCGAGACTCGACCCGAACCCGGACATTGCTGATTAATGGCATCTGACATGCACGCGAGGCTGACAATGTTTGATGGAGACTTGTCATATGGCAACTCGTCCTGGCTGACCCCACAAGCGCTCAATCCATCGAGATTCACAGCAAGTTGCGTTGCAGCGGAATAAAATGGCTACCAAGAATGCCGAGTTAGACTTCTCGAGGCAGCCCCGCCCAACTTCACTACGCTACAGGCAGAAACGTAGCCAAGTCGCCAGAGCCTGCGATGGATGCCGCGCGCACCGTATCAAATGCGACAACAACTTTCCTTGCTCAAATTGTGAGTCCCGTGGTAGGCACTGCAGCAATGATGGGACGGCCAGAACGTCGACCCTTTCGCAGGCTCACGATGAGATCGCACGGCTGAAGAAGAGAGTCGAAGAGCTGGAGGCAGAACTGCAGCGTGGACAGGACAAGCAGTATCCTCACCAACAAGCTACCCCATCGGACTCCTCTTCATCTGATCTCGCCAACCTCGAAAGCCATGATCCCAAGTCAGCTCCGCAAAAGGTTCATTGGCAAGGTATAGCAATTCGACCGACTCGCTCACCAAACGAGACTTGGTACGGAGCGTCATCACTATACTATTACATTCATCGCTTGAGCACTTATTTGAGCTCAACTTCTCGAGAAACAAGTTCTGCAAATAGCATGCTACCTGCTTCGGCCAATACAGGCAAGCTTCTAGGAAGATCAGCAAACGAGCCCGAGGACACGGTGCGATCTCTCAAACTTTCAGCAGATGGCTCAACATCCGATGGGGTTTATCTCAGTCCGATCCAGGAGGGATATTTCATCAGCCTTTTCTGGGAAACCTACCACACATCAGTCCTCCCCATCATAAACGAGGCGCACTTCAAGGAGCACTATCAGTCTTTGTGGGCAGAGTCTGGGGCTACGCGCAGACCGTCAGCGCTGGTCGACATTGTCGTTGCAATCGCGATGCAAGTTGGCATCGCCGCGCTGCCGTCCGATCAGCAGGGTGCGCTCGCAGCGGATGCGGATGCCACCATTGCCGGTCGGTGGCATTATCGCCGTGGGCAAATGCTACTGTCGCTCGAGGCCGAGAGTCCTACCCTAAGCACCCTGCAGTGTCACTTGCTTTGTATATGTTATCTTTGCGGAGGTTCGTTTCATAACATGGTTGACATGGCTTGCTCTCTTTCCGTGCGAACCGCACAGATTTTGGGCCTCCACGTGGAGAGTTCCGATATGCCGGAACCGGAGCGCCAACTGCGGCGACGTCTATGGTGGGCCGTATACTTGGTGGATAGCAAGGTCGGAATGAAGCTAGGCCGACCGTTTCTCCTCCGGGACGACTATGCGATGCCCGAAATGCCCAGTGACCGCTTCGATGCCGCCAACACTTCAGGTTCCACCTTTACACCTCTTGGCCAAAATGCTACCTGGCTAAGCTTCAACCTCGAAATGACCAAGCTATACATGAAGGTGCGACAAGCTCACACTGCATTTTATGGCAAAGAGACATGTGCGCACACCAGTCAAGGCATATGGGACGATGACCAAGTTTTGGAAGAGTATGCTAGATTGCTCTCTTCCCATACTAACGGCCTCGACCAGTGGGCTACTTTGGTCCCCGCCGAGCTCAAAACGAAGCGACGGACTGGTGGTAAACCGTTCTTCGATGATGGTTCATTTCTCGAGGTTGAACACTTTTCCCCAGCGTGGGTTCAGCGGCAGAGAGTATTGTTAGAGCTTACCTACCATCATCTTTGCGTCAATCTGTACCGACCATTCATCTCCTTCGCCGCCAGGCCAGTGATGGACTCGGAAGCACAGAGAGTCGCAACGCGATGCGCCGTACACGCGATATCATTTTCGAATATCGCACATCAGATTCTCTCAACGACTCCCATCCTCAACGGTTGGCTTGAGACATTCCAAGGGCAATGGAGCTCGGCCATGACGCTGATTGGGTTCGTGCTAATGTATCCTCATGGGCCCATGGTATCAGTAGCCAGGGCTGGCATCGATCATAGCATCGCAGTTTTTGACATTTTCGGAGCTAGCTTCTCGGTCGCGGCAGAAGCAGCCAGGATCACACGTGAATTGTGCAACAAGGTTGACGCCATTGTGGCGCAACGCAGACCTCGGCATGATACACTGCCATCATCGCTCGATCCAATATTCCCAACATCAGATGCAGATACAAATTCCATCTGCGGTAATGTGGTGATTGATCATGGTCTGATGAGCCTTGATGCGGTCGACAGTGCTTTCAGCATCCAAAACAACCTGGACGGACTGGGTCCTGGCCTGTTTGACATGGCACTGGACATTGAATTCTGGGCTGACCTTGACATGCTATGGCCACAGGCGGAAATTCCGACTGTACCATGAAATGGCGGTGCTCTTTTCCCATAACTTCAAGGTTTATAACTTGGAGATGTGCTGGGGTTATGTTGAGGGTTCCGGTAATGTTGACACTGGCGAGGCGCGTGGTCTTACATGAATAAACATGGGAGACCGCTTTCTCCAGCTGTAAGAGGTGGCGACAACGGTGATACCACATGAATTGAGCGAAGAAAATTCAGAAAACCTTTGCGAGCATGAAATATACTTCATGGCAGTCAGTAAACCTCTAGTAACAGTGCGCGATCCACTTTGACATGGCGTCATTTCTTCCTGTCCAATAGGAGCCACTCCTCGATAGCGCATTCTGTGGTCCAATAGGAGCAACTCCTCAGTCGCTTGCATGTAAGCCAATAGGAACCACTCCTGAAGTTCGAGGACAAACCAGTAGATGACATTTTCCAAGTTCATCGCGGAGTTTGTTCACGACGTTTGTACGACCCGCAACACTCTGACTGAGCACACCATATGAAGCATCAACGGCATGGTCCGGGACTCCGAGGATATGAAATGTGATGGATGCTTCATCAATTTGTATAAAGATGGCGTCCTTCCGCCAAAGATGGACGTTTCCTTTTTCATCATCAGCAACACATTAATCAATCTCAATCAATCAACTCTCATACAATCACTATTTCGCCATCTCAATCAATCAACTCTCATATAATCACTATTTCGCCATTTACAACTATTCCTCCTCCTCAACAAGACTATTACCTTACTTGAACAAGATGTCGCCACAACGCCGTGCCCTAATCAGCGTCACTTCTGCCCAAGCAACTCTCTTCAATGGCACCGAGACCACAGGTCTGTTCATTAGCGAGGCTTTGCACCCTTACAATGTCCTACGCGCTGCAGGGTTCGAGGTTGATCTAGCCTCCGAGACTGGTTCCTACACTCCCGACTGGCTGTCTCAGCAGCCCGACTTCCTCCAGGGCGAGGACTTGAAGACATGGGAGGATACCAACAGCGAATTCCGTAAGAAGCTCGACAATATGCCCAAGGCGGCAGACCTTGACGCTTCTCGGTATGGTCTGTTCTATGCATCAGCCGGTCATGCCGCCTTGATCGACTATCCGACTGCCACGTCTCTCCAGAGGATTGCGGAAGAAGTCTGGGCAAATGGTGGTGTGGTCGCTTCAGTCTGTCACGGGCCAGCCATCTTTGCCAATCTATTGGACCGCGCAACCGGCGAGCCACTGATCAAGGGCAAGAAGATTACAGGTTTTACCACCGAGGCCGAGCACACTATGAAGATTATGGACGATCTTCGGAGTTGGAACACCGAAATGGTCGAGGAGATTGCGGAGCGACTTGGTGCAACGTGTAAGTCTTTGGCGATTATCCTGTGACAATGCCCTTCTTGTTCATTAGCTGACTTTGAAACCGCCGCAGATCAACGAGCTCCTGGTATTTGGGACGACTACCATGTGATAGATGGTCGTCTTGTCACTGGCCAGAACCCCGCCAGTGCAGCATCTACTGCCATTGCTGCCGTCAAAGTTTTTGAACAGCTATAACTGAATGGGACAGGGTGGCGCGAGATGGATTACTCTTCTGAATCTTGGACTATGAATTCGGCAAAGATATTTTTGAAATCAAATACAATCATTCGGGACTCTGCTAGTTGTTCAACTTTTGCTTTGCCGTGACCAAATTGGACATATTGATGGCGAGCCGCTTGATGTAAACAACAGATGTCGCTTCCCAAGTTTACAGATCATCGTGAAAGATTTACGGGTTTATGTGACTTTGAAGGGCCCAAGTCTGGCAGGCTTTGGTCATCGCAGGCTCAGATCTTAGGGTGTCCAGAGCAACATCGGTTAATCCAGCGTAGGGGCCTTCCCCTCAGCGCTTTACTGGGCGGCCTAGTCCGTTCAGGATCAAATGGTAGAATTATTTTAGAGAGCGGATTAAGTGAGATGAGCTATGACTTGCCAGATGCACGATAGTTGTTTGCTGCACCAGGAATGTCCTTTAAGATGAATACGTACTCAGAACTCTACTACTCTTCCACCCTTCATCAACTCGAGGATCAACGTTCGCCGCCGAGCTAGCGCTCTCTCGGTCTGGGTCAGGAAGACGCTGAAAAACCCGTTCAACTGAATGCGGAGATCCTCGATACCACGTTGGTATCTATCAAGAAACTTGCTATCCCCCTGCATGTACGCTGCAAAGGATGGATCAAATAGGTTGTCGGCCCTGACATACCCGCAACCGTGCTCCAAATGGAGATAAGCTGTCGCGAGCTTCTCGAAGTTGTCAGGGTGATACCAACTCATGGCAACAAACACTCCCTGGATAGCGGATTCGAGATCTCGCGCAGCTTGGTCTTGAGCTGCGGTGATCACGATCCACTTTTTGGTATTCTTCTTTGGCTTATCTTCCTTCGTGATGTCCGTGAGCTTCTCGGGCCTGTATTCGTTTGGTAGACTTTTATATTTGGACCCCTTGCCCAGATTATCAAGGAACTTGATATATTCCTTCTTGGGAATGTTGCGGTTAGTATCGTAACTCCCTGTAACCATCGCTACTTTCTCAAGGAAGGTTTTGACGTCTTTCATCGGGTCTGGAGCGAACCAGACCTCGTAGATGATCATGGCCAGACCACCGAGGAGAGCGACGACTATATCGGGTGGAAGATTAGCAAAAAGCTTTGCACCAATCACGGAAGCAAGTGGCTTAGAGTGCTACTAAAGAGGAGAGCTTTTCAGGTGGAAACTCTCTTTTCGTAGCGTCACGCTCAAGGAGATATAGGAATATCGACTCACCCAATGCGAATGGCCCGGCGAGCGAACTGCAAGTCGTCCATCCTGCCAGAAAGGCGATGAACCCCCCAACAAGTAGGAAAGTCTCGACACAAGCCAATGAGAATTGGATCGTAGCAAAGATGTGTTGCGCTTCGTCATCAGGATTGTTGGGGTCGACCTTCTTGTTCATGTCCCAGAACGATGTGATCAGGTTGTACACGCAGCCGACGACAGCTATCGGTTCAAGGACCTAGTTTCAGCTTGCTTCCTAGTAGTCGGAAGGTAATAGACTTACCAACGACATGCAAAATTTTGGCGGCTCTGCCGATCAGCTTTTCGAAGATGCTGCGACGATCAGTATAACAGTCCATCGTATCCCATATGCGGAGGACGCGCGCAGACCCACCTGGCTATCTTGGTGTTCATGCCCTTGGTAGCATTACACACCCAGCTGATGGTCGACTTTGTGAAGCCATTGATGCCCATCGTGTAGGCCAGAACCCGAACACCTGGGTTTACTCCCTTCGCCAGCATGTTTGTGGTCTCCCCAAAGGATGCCAATACAGACATCCCGATCTCGCTGCTTGACTCTTTCGAAAACGCTTGTCCGTTGGACGTCGGCAGCGAGCTGTAGAAGTTGTACAAGGCTGCGCTGTGAATCGCTGACTGCACGAGTGTCTTGGCGCCGCCCGAGCTGGCAAACCACGCTTTGCTGTGCAGAGACGGGTCCGGAATGAGTTCGCTCAGGAGGGATTCTTCGATTGGTGCATGTTCTAGGTACTCGATGAACTGCCGAACCGTTGGAGCTTCGAGCTTCAGGGCGGTCGGCAAGCGCTTCGACCAGTAAGACAGGGCGTCGATGCGGAGCTTGTTTGTCGGGTCGGTCAGAGCGGCCAGGAGCTTGGGCGCGGAAGTCTGCAGAGCTCGCATGGAGTCTCGCGCTGTGTCGCTTAATTTGTCGAACCGTCCTGAGAACTCGGGGCTGCACTTCTTCATGTCCAAGTCCGACAGTAGCTTGCCTGCATCGGAAAGCTCAGTATCGAGTGGCTGGGTGTACGCAGGCTGCATCTGAAGACGCCCCATGAGCTGGCCAGCGATTCCATCGATCTCAAACTCCTTTGAAGTGGCGCCGGCGGCTTCGGCACAATGCTTGAGTAGCGATAACTTTTTCATCCAAATCGTGATCTGCTCCTTCCCGTCGATGGCGTTCTCGTCGGACGCGCCATGTTGTATTGTGTGGGCGAGCCATGTTTGCACATGCTCCTCCGACAGCAGCGTCTTCGCGTACGTCTTGAACCAGTAGGCTGGGAAACGTGTGAACTTGCTCCACTCGGGACATTTCTTGAGATAACCGAGCTCATAACAAGCCATGGAAGCGGCCCGGAACTGCTCCTGCAACGTGGCGATCAGTTTGGCATCTCTCTTTCTGTCAAGCCCATACGCAACCGCGGGATCAGTCTGCCCGGCAGGTATGGCTGTCTTCGAGACCAACTGCAGGTAACTTTCCCATCTGTAGATGATGTGCTTTGCGAGATCTGGGTCGATTTTCCCGTCATCTTTCAGCTTCTCCGCAAGTAGAGCAACGGCGCCACGACGGAAGAATTCCCTGTTTTTATCTAGAATGGTCTGCTCAGCCGGGGATAAGGCAGCTAGACCCGGTAGCAAAGCCTTGATGGTATCGTCGTCGAGTGATCGCATCATGATCTGGAGACCAGTATTTAGCTCGTCCAAAGCAGAGAAGTCGTGCTCGACCTTACCTTTTGCAAGAACTGATTGCCGTAGATTTGAGCCTCATCGTCACCTTGGACTATCTCTTCGCCGCGGCCCACATGTGCGATTGGGTCTATCTTATCCAATTCGTCAATTGTACCTCTCTCTTCCACAGATATGCTGTTGAACCCTGGAGGTGGCGCCACTTCGAGCGAGGTACCCTGCGTCACGCGCGTGGCAAAGGTGACAAAAGAACCTGACCATTTCCAGCTTGTATAACCAAACGTCATGACACCCTCCTTGAAGCACGCGTTGCCGCTGCCGAGGTTTTCAATCTCGATATCAAACTCATACGGTGTGCGGTCGTCGGCTACTTTGCGGTAGTGAATGACTTGATCGTTGCCGGTGGGAATGACGCTGACGCAATGCGATATGTCATTAACCACGCCATCGCCGTCTTCAGTGAAAGGTTTGTAGAGAATCTGCAACATGTCAGAAGATGGCTCTTTGGGCAACACGTGTTTCCACTCCGTGATACGGGACTTACACTGTGATAATTAATGGAAGTGACCGTCTTAACGCCAATGTAGAGCGTCCCAAATGCCTGGGGCCTCTGATCGTCACTGGCCGAGTCGACGGCATTCGTGTCGAACACCGTGTATCGCGATTCCTGCTCCGCAGATGGAGGAGTCTCGACGATATCAGATCTGTGATCAGAGGGTCAGCACCTGTAGGCAGAGCAAGCTAATCTGACGAGACTTCGACTCACGGTGGGAGCTTTTGCTCAATAGCAGCGCAGATGTTAGGAGCTTCCGTCATCTCGATAGAGTCGCACGGGGTTGAGCTGACCGTCCTGGATTAGCAAAGGCTAAGTCGAACGACGAGAAGCCAACATGTTTTAAGTGAGCGTCTCGAGGCCATTGCTCCCGTTGCGTGTTATGTTCCGTTCACGTTCTAGAACCTCGTCGATAGGCTGTGGGGTTTCGCCGTTTGGGCTAGATCGGCCCTGTCCGTTTTGAGAACTTGGCTGAAAATAGTTCGGCAATAGTCGGCACTAGTCGACTAGAATTGGGTTAAGCTTCGTGCAGGTTTCAGCCGACCGCGACTCTCAGCTGAATCTTTAGTGGTCTATATCCGAGACGGGGTACCCGCCAAAGTACGTATTTACCCCCCTAGGGAGGTATATTTAGATAATATCAATCCTACGAGTATGCTCAAGATTCAAATGAACTACAGCAATCACACCCGGCTACCTGTCCAGCCTACTGCGAACCAGAATGGCATCTAAAGATGACAGAATACGGTCTGTCTTTACGACGTCTCGTCGACATGTTTCGGAGGGGAGCAATTGGGAGAGATTCTCTAGCATCGAGATATGGATCGACCCTACTCTTACTAGCCATATTGTAGGTCGTTTTGGAGGGGCGAGTCATATTCAGCCGGTTCATCACTCATGCCCTTTCAGGTATTGTATAGAGTCGTCGAAGGCCCGATTCAGGACATCAGCGAGCACGTGAAGGTACAGGCAGGCGAAAAAGCAATGACACACGTGCTTACCCTGAGTAACGGTGCTGTTGAGCAAATACAAAGCCTTCAGCCTGGGTTTCAGATCACCCTCTCGGATCTGGGCGCTGAGAATGCTAAGTTCCGCGGCAACCTGGGAGAGATGGAATGGAGAGGATTCTGCTGCGCCACAAGCACTATCCCGTTCGCCACGATGACAGAAGGCGAAAGGCCAATTGCCGACAACGTGAAGAGATTTCTTGACATCTCCCCTTTGGTCGGAAAGACGGATGATCAAGGCAGATCCACCACCATCGACCAAGCCCGGGATTGGGCAACGGATATCTTCCACGAGATGATACAGCATTCACTCTCAGATAGCGACCGCAGGTTTTTCTTTCAAAACTTCAAAGTGCTGGGCGGACTCTTCCGATCGCAGCATCTAGGCGACCAGGCACTTCCGACGCTTCTGACGGATTCATCAAGCGCCCTGTGCTTGAGCTCAACGGTTAGCCGCAATTACCTAACCCTCCATCGCGCCGCAGTCTTATCGATGTGTAAAGCTCTCAAGTCGAGCGAGTGGCTCCAAGAGAAGTATCGCAGTGGGATTAGCGATAAAGCGGAAGAGGGCCTGACAACGTTGCAAGCCCTAGCATCGAAACGACGGGAACAGCTACAGTCTGAAACAGAGATATCGTTTCACAACCAGTATCTGGATGCAATGAACATTTCGTACTTTGCTGCATACCTCTGCTCCAATCCTGCGCTTGTGGAGTTCTTGCGCGAGCCCGACGCCATGTTCAAACAGGTCCGGGACGTGTTGAATTCTCCGAACTATTTGGCTCATTGGCTGCCCAAGCTGATTGACGCCGGAAAAGACAAGACGGCTCGGACTCTCAAGATGCGGCTCTCCATCATCCATGACAAGCTGGTGCTTCTTTTGAAGATGGCCAATCCATTGGCTGCACCATGGCAGAATGAAGGTGCTGAATACAAAGAAGTGAACGCCACCGTCAATAAATTGGTGGATGCAGCCAAAGAGTCTGGTTTGATCGATCTGACCAACATCCATTTGGAAACGGAGGTAAGCAGCCTTTTCTACCTGAGTCTCCATGGTCCCATCTTTGTGCGCCCGGCACAACACATGATCCTTGCAAATGCCAAACTAATTCTGACAACCTGGACCCTAGATACTTGACTTGAGAATCGACGGCTGGGCCATGGTCGACACACAGATCCTATCTATGCGTAAAGTCATCACATCCTCTCACATGCCAGCCCAATACTGACACAATGGGCAGAAATTACGAATCAAAGCCTACATGGGATGGGTGAATATTCGGTCCCATTTGACTATGTCGGGAATCAGACCAACACGTTCCTCAAGGACGAAGCCACGCCTTTGGGGCTATACACCGCGCCAGGTTTCCTCTCGGATTGCACATTGATGTAGGACAGAGCCTACTCAGATTGAGCAATGTGGTGTCTGCCATGCCCTATCCTGGCTGAGCATAGAGTGCGTTCCTCCGCCAGACTTCCAAGGCATTGCAGGTTTGTCCTCCCCACCATTCAGCCTGAGTACCGTGTGAGAAACTCCATGATCTCTGTGTCGTGGTTCCTTGTATAGTGGGCTCGTGCAGGGCGGACTAGACAAGATGGAGTGGTGGCTTGTGGTTTTCAGTGGCTGTGGACAGCCACACGTCTGTTTAGTTCAATTCTTGCACCTAGCTGTCGGAAAATAAACGCTCCTTTTTGCAGGAATTTGGTTCCCTGCAGTGGTGGGGTCGTGTCAGGCACGATTTAATAGTAAGGCTATCTGGTTCTCCCACTGTGTCTCTCAGCGCGGGCCATTTCCACGCCGTCTTGGTATCCCGAGTAGTTGTTCTCGAAGGCCTCAAGTAGATCATCGTCCAAGATATCACTTCGCGGCACCCACGACGAGGAACCATATTCTAACCACCTAACGAGAAACACATCTTTCTTCCATCTCTCCAGTATACAGTCGATGGCATAGCTAGGAGGCTCTGGGGTGCTTTCTCGGTGGCCTGTAACATCACCCGGGGTACCTCCGCCAAGCACTAATGGACTGCAGGCTTCTGGTATCGAGGTCGGTGGCGTTGGTGGCGCTCCACGCAAGAGCTCTGGGTCGATGAGGTCCGTTGAAACGGGTGATGTCGCGTTGTCGGAGACATGGTACGGTGATAGCGGCCCTAGGCATTCGAATTCCTCGCTTCCAGCTCGCAAGCGCGATCCAGGTTGGGCTTTTTGCATTTTTGTTGTATTATCTTTGTGGCGTATTCCAGTTATATGATGTATTCTAGATCAATTCTTAATCAATGAACAACACCTAGTATTTGGCAATAATTCCTCTACATGTATTTCATATCTGGCCGGAGATTCTGGAGTTTCCGGAGCTCATGGTCCGGCGCGGTCGTGAACGCGCATCGTCCAACATCACCCTTTACCTGAATGACACCCCATTGAACAGGTAAAAGATATCCATTCTCCCGATCCCCTTCTAGCCCATGGCAAGCAGCGCTGATCGCACGACTGTTGGTTGAGACCATACTCATTGTGCCGTCGTATGTTGGACTTGGAGGGACTTTCTGGGACTTGCCAGACCTTCCTTTGGAAATGAGCCCAAACACGGACGAACTAACGCCATGTTGAAGGTGTACATTGACCTATCTTTCATTTCCGTCATGGTAGATGACAATGGTGAACTAAGCGAGTGCTCGGCTGAACACCAAGGCCCAGCCTGTTGACACAGGGAGCTTTCTGCGCCAACATCCCGTCAAGCGCTTCCAGGAACTTTTGAGAATTTTTAATAGACTGATGAGAGTGGCTGCAGCTAAATTTGGGGCACAGATACTGTTCCTGAAGTAAAGAACCGCTGCTAAATCAAAGATCTTTCGTGTGGTTCGCGTACCAGCTCCGCATGTATTGATCGGGCGGCAAATTCAGGCGTAGAGATTTGGGGGCTGACCTAACCCTATTTGAAAGCCTGCAGCAGTGTTGTCCAATAAGAATAGCCGAGCCATGCATTCAATGCATCCTTCTCGGCGCAATACCTAGCCGCATTGAAAGTACCGGCCGGTCCAATGTCACCTACAAAAGTTCCTTGGCAAGCAGGCACGGTTCTCTGTGGGGTCATCTCCGTTCAAAATCGATCAGGCTGTCCCAAGAGAAAGTGCTCAGTTCTTTACCACGAGAAAGGCTTCTGATCTTTACTTTTAGTATGCACATCTTCCTTGAAGAGCGAGTTCACATTCCCAAGCCAGGACAAAGCAGACAATGAATCCACAATCCACATCTCGCCTGCCATGGATCACGTGATCGCACCCGAAACCGGCCTCCCTGCTCCGGTTGACGAGTCAAACTGGTTGGCCGAGATAGAGACCCTCGTCGGCCAACTTGATAGTGGCGTATGGGCAGATCAATGGCCAGAATTCCAACAGCTGGATAGAAACCCCTTCGAATCTCGGCGCATCAAAGATAAAGAACCACCCATATCAGCATCACCTCCTCCGAAAAAACCAAGGCTTGGATCCAAGCAGACCCGAAGTCACATCACCCCAGCGAAATGGGAAAATGTAAAGGATATAATCTCCGATCTTTATCTCGAAAAGGACTATACACTCAATACAGTAAGAGAAATCATGTCCAAACCCCCACATGACTTCCATGCATCGTAGGTGTTTCTCCATCTAGGACACTCCAGCTCGTGCTCACCGTGGAAAAGTCCTAAGATGTACAAGAACCAATTTGAAATATGGGGGTTCGCCAAGAACATTACAAAGAACCGAGTGCAAAGGATGTTAGTCCCGCGTTCCATCAAGACCAAGGTCGCCAACAGGTTTAATGCAAGCCGCATTGACCGCTATCTGAAGCGGACGAAAACACCACAAGTCATGACAACTCACGAGTCGGATCCGCTTAGCACAATATCCGAGCTTTCCGATCCTTCAGTTGAGGCAATGCTAATATCCGAGCTTTACGATCCTTCAGTTGAGGCAATGCTCAGCCCAGCGTCCGAGCTTTCCGATCCTTCAGTTGAGGCAATGCTCACATGTGGTTTCTTCAACAGAGGTCATAGAAAATATACCATTACCATGGACTCAAATGCTTGGTCGGTCTTCTTCTCGTGTCTTTTGCCATATTTATATTCTAACATTCATGCAGCGATGGAGCTCCTTTTGTGGCTGACTCATGGGGACGACAAGAATATCATGGACTTGACGAACGAGAATGCGCCCAAAGCTGCAGATGCCGAGCCGCTTGCGTCTTTTCTGATATTGACACCGAAGGCCATGTCTACCACAATTTAGTGCACGAACACACCCACAAATTTGGAGTCGTCTGTGGTGCAGGATCTGTATTCGTCGACATCTACGACACCAGACTCTTATCAACCTTGAAGAAAGCCATCCCAGATGCATACAAATTCTTCTCAGAAACTCAGCCTATTCTTGGGGCTTGCAGTTCTTGGAGGATCAACGGGATCGACTTGCTGAATCACTGCCAAGAACTGAAGAGCTTCATGAATGGCGATTCTTCTGGTTCTGGATTATCATCAGACGATTCATTAGACTTGAAACTTCTCGTCGATGGATTATTAGAGGATGGCCAAGTATGGAATCATCTCGACATGGAACACCTTTACAGAGAAGGCCTCGTAAATGCAACTATCAGGGATAAATTCCTCCACCAGCGGCTCATGCGAGGTATCCAAAGCCTTGACACAGTGTTTAAGACTGCGACAGAACGAAGAGAAAAAGTCGACGGGGAATTTGGACCAACAACACCCGAGTCGAACCCGTGGTTCCGCGGTATTTACGAATTGGAGTCATCTCCAACTGGATTTGAATTTCATCAGGATACGTGGGACCACCATCGACAGCAGGTCGACGAAAATGAAGACTCAAATACTCCACTTGATGCGGACACCGAACAGCAACACCAGATTGACCTCAACACGAAACTTGTTGCAGCATGTAGAGCCGGTTGGGAGCCCGCTGTCACCTCTCTTCTTTCCTCGGGAGCGTCTCCTAGCTGTCTCGTTGAAATAGGTGGCAGGGTTTACACTCCCATCATTTCTGCAATTGAGGGTAGATATGAAAGTATCGTACAACAACTCATTCTTACAGGCGCAAACCTGGAGCACATGGCATCTGTCCAGTCCGAGGAGGAGACACTGCGGTATACCGCACTCTGGGCAGCAACAAAGACTAATCAGCCCTCAATCGTTCGCTTGCTTCTGGAACATGGCGCAGACTTGATTGCGCGGTCCATCGTCCAAGATGGCGTTTCACAACGAAGCTTTACTTGCATGAGCGAAGCTGCACGGCTTGGGCTGGCTAATATGTTCAACCTTCTCCTCATGTGGGACACTTCTTATTCGGAGGGTTTGAAGAAGACCAAATTCATCGATGATTCGCATCCAGACGCAGAACAAGCAAAAAAGCTCTTTGAGGCCATCAAGATGGGAAGTGAAACAAGCTTTGTCGAAGCCCTGGAAAAGCTCGGTGATCCGAATATTCTCATGTCCATGGGCACACCACTAAGTATGGCAGCACAATTTGATCAACCAGATAAGATTAGAACACTTCTAAATCACGGAGCCGATGTTCAGTTAGCATCTCTCTACCTCTACAGATCGGGTCAGCAACAGACTTCAAAGGCACTTGTCAAAACAGTCTTTGGGGCACAGAACATACGTGTCAGATTCATCAAACAATATGAGCGGCTTGTCCAACTCTCCGAATCGACCGATGAAGACAAACTGAAGTCATTCAAACGTCACTGTTACAACTACCGGCAAGCATGGGCCATTGGAATTGAGACAATGCAGAACATCTGTTGCGGAAAACCACCAGATGGCCCTGATGGCTTACAAAGAACCTTGGCTTTGCTCGCAGTTGCAAGAGCTATCGCCGAGACCACCGTTGCTGATACTGGTGACATAGGCGTTCTGGATAAGTTTGATACTGACCTCCTCCGCTGGCAGCTACTGTTCTCAGATGACAAGGATCTCAGCCCTTACCGGCGCGCCGTACATGATCTATGGAAAGTCGATCTTGAAGGTTCACTGTTCCTGGACCCAGACTTTGAGGATCCCGACACTCTTGGGCGCTTCAATGGTCTTATATCGGGGCTCATAGAGGGCGCGCGAGAGTCGCTTGGACTCGACTACCCTTCTGGCCACGGACTGAATGAGACTTTCTCGCGGTGGAAAATGCGGCACAAAGACAAGTCCAAAGCCACGCCAGCAGCTTCTCCAGCTCCTAGCATTTTGCCTGTACAGACGAATGAAGTATGGGGGAAGGCGCATGAGAATGAGCCACCGGATCCTTCGCCAGAGAGTACAGCCCCCCCTACATGCGATCAAGTCGTCAGCCGAAAAATGATACTTCAAAAGACGAGCTGGCTTGATTCAAGATCAAAAGCTGCTACAGGCATATTCTTCCTAGACTTTACGGGCGTGGCAGAGGATTTGCTGCGCGGCTATATCTTCTCTGTTGTTTTCTTTTTCATTCACGGTTCGTTCATCACCATGCAAGATGTGCTGATATAAGATTTTATGAGTTGCTAATGCATATACAGGCTTGTATTCTTCGGCTAGATTGTGCATGGGGAAATGTTTAGGCCTCGTGGAACGCTTTATCGTCATGTTGAGAGTTTTGAGTCTTCTACAGGCTTGTGAGAGAGTGTCGTACCACAAGGTGCAAGACGATTCATCCAACTCTCCGCACGAACAGGACACTGTCACGGATTCAGTGCAACTAGCGGGTGTATGGCCTGCGACAACGTCAAGCAATCAATGGTACAGCATGATTGGTTGTTCCTTGGGTACCTGGCTGTAAGCTAGCTCGGCTCAAACTGGCAACGTCGCAGAAGCTGAGGTAGCCAGATTGGGAGTTTTCTTACGTGACAGTTCGATCCCATTTCGGCGTTTGGGGGCACCGCTTGTAACTATTTTCAAATCTTTAACTTGGATCATTGTGATATGGGGTATAGTAGGGTACCACGTGAACGCTTACATATTGGCGTGTGCATACTCTTCTTTGTACTTTGAGTATTTCCACTGCTTGTCTGAATCCAATTCGTACCGCAAGACTCCAATCCTGAGAACCCATAGAGCATGCTGATAGACAGGTGCTAAAAGATCCTCACAAATAAGCGTAATTAACAGGACACTCGATCTCCATGGCATTATCGTCTCACAGCACGAACAGGTCGAAAAACATAATACTTGGCACATCCGGATCTCGAGTTCATATGACCAACATTCATCTCATGGTTCGCTTCATGCATATGGTCAAAGCGGGTATTCAAGGTCCAGGTGATTTGATCCAAAGTCTCGCGAAGTTTGCATAGTCTTTCCCATCCTCTTTCCTTCTCTCCTTCTGTGGGTCTTTCCTTGTTGCCAGAGCAATAGTCGAACTTTAGCCGGATGCGAGCCCGATCCATATCATAGTAAAAGTGTCCTTTATAGTAAGTTCGAGGTCCCACCAACCAGAAGATGCGACATTGACACTTCTGGGTGAGTCCTGCATAATAACGGAAAAGCTTTCTATGTCATGGCGCCGGCCGCCGACGAGGTCGTCAAAGGCCACTTCCGAATCCATGAGTACTCTGTAGTCAAACGTGGTGCGATAATTACACCTAGACGGTAGGGGGTTTATATGAATTAAATCGTTGTCCATTGTCCGGTTTTCCTCCTCGGAAAGAAAATCAATAAATCTTTCCGGAGCAACATATATGATATCCAGGTCAGGGTCGGAAAGACGCTTAAATGTCCAGTTCTTGGGATCGCCGGTTGCCTCGGGTGCCCTATCTCCATCACGAAATAATTGGTAATGTTGGTCGCGAAGCCAGGCTCGAGCGACTGCATGAGATTCGTGATTGACCAAAAGCGTAGGAACTTCGGTTTGCGCGCCGTTGTGCAAATACTCATGCTGATAAAACATTTCCAAGTTGTGATTCATGACACTGAAACGAGGATCACCCTCATCAATTAGGCGAGTATCCCAGAGTCCAGTGCGATAAGGGTATATTGCTGGCCCAATGCTTGGCAAAGTATATTTCCAAACTAGCACCCGCAGCTCAAGTGGGAACTTTGCGAACTGAGCGAAAGACGCGGGGGCTTTGGTGGCTTTCAACATGGTTGTAGAGAGGCTTTTGCAGAGTGTTTCACAGAGGGGAAATGAGGAGAGAACACAGGGATGTGATATTGAGACTAGTCAGACTGGTGTTTGGCCTCGGTGTAAGACCTTGAGATGATATTGCTTGAGCTTTCTCGAGGGAAGCAAATTGATAACAGAGCTGCGCGGTTTAATGATGGGCGTTGCGCGATGCCCCACTGCTGTCCGATTCTCTAGGTCAACTGTCCGGAAGTCGGCATTTTAAATGGCTTTTGATATCTTCATTTCTAAGATAAAAGATGAGTTCGGCCTTTGCAGCTCAGCTTACCATGAAATAAATCACGGCATAGTCCTATTCATTTATCAATTCCGTAGCACTTTATACTATCTATCCTTCAGAACCTCCGTAATGCGATCATTCGGCTTATTACTGAAGTGTTCCATCTCAAGTTCCTCATATCCATCCGCCACGCTTGCACGTTCTCTTGCGCTAGGGGGTTTCCTTAGCCGCGATTGAGACGTTTGATTCTCTGGGAGCGATTGTATATTGTACCTGCTCCTGACTGCTCTGGCCTCTTTGTAAAGAACACGGAAAATAGGGATAGTTTGGAGAATAACTGTGACCGCGGGCTCGAGAGTGTTGAATATCTGAAGAAATGCAAGAGAATCTATAATATTATTAGCGGTCTCATTAGATAATTACCCATAAATTTTGGGCGGAGAAAGGATAATGCTAATTTCTTACCAAATCGCCCAACTAATTTCTTGAATTGCAGAACTGAACGAAGAATGACTATAACACCGGTACTAAGCCCGTTTCTCAGCGAAAAAGTTCTCATACTGCAGTCTGTGCAAAACACGTACATTGCTCCTAAACTCATAGCAATAGCTACACCTAGTCGCTCGCGGTTCTGAAGTTGGAGGTTCCGAACAATCATCCACGGATATAGTGATAGCACGACATCCATAATCCCTCCGTAGACTTTAATCAAACACGTTAGCCAACAAATATTGGAGCAAAGCCAATAGCTCCGTTCTGGGCATAATCTTACCGATAGGCAACAAGAACATGAATCGCACCACGGTCTCTTTCAAACATACTCCAGCATAGTAAGGGCGCAGCGGTATCTTGGGATCGCCACATGCGGGCGCATATATGCCCAGTCCGCTGACAACTAGTAGAAGATGCGAACTGGCCATGAGAAACACAAGAAACAGCTTGGCTCCACGGCTATTGGTAACACCCCAAAGAGTGAGAATGAAGGCGCATTTGCTCCAGGTGGTGGCCCCAGTCAAGACCACGCTGCTCGCTTGGTGGTAGGTAAAGAAATGGCGCTTTCCATCATTATTTGAAATGTCACTCGCAAAGGAAACACTGACGAGCACACACCCAGTGATCAACGCGGCCTACACCATTTTGAAGTAATCATGTTAGTGAAATGACAACTGCATACGGTAATCTGTTGCATCACTTACAGTTGCCAGGAATAGCAGCCAATCATCCAACAGCCATGAGCCAAGTCTGCTATATCTTATGTACAACCTGACTGCAAGAAATATGACGGCAATTGCAGCAGGTGTCCACACGGCGATCGTAGATTCGTGGACCTGATGATGGTAGGCAGCAAGCTCAGCGGCAGTACTCATGGTGGAGCGATCGACACTCAAAGTTTGGGTGTCGGGAATTGCACTGCGTAAAGGCTCAACCAAATATACTCAAGCCTCTACCCTGACGGAAGCACAACGCATTGGCCGACATTGACGGATGAGAGCGATGCCTATTGAAAGCAGGTAACCGTGGGGTCAAGAGACACATAAGGCAGTTCTCATAAAAGGAGTTTATTCCACCTTGTTCCCCTCTGCATGCTGCGAAACCAAGATCTTGCCCGCCCCCGGATGGTGATCCTGGGGGTGGAGCCCACTCTAGCTTCGCAACAGAACACGCGCCGAGTCAGTTCATCAACCTCACATGGTTCCAGGTGGGGCTCTGTTATCTCCCGCAGTAAGGGTCCACGAGCCACACGCGTCTGTCATGCCAGGTATGCATTTATTATACTTTGACAAGTCTGTTTGGAACTACACAGTAAACGTCGCTTCGCATCCACATCCATGTTAGTCCCCGAAAAAATGCATGGGATGATGGGAAAGGGGGTCCCCTATCCTCCCAACTGCGGTTTGCATCGTATAAAAATGAGAACCAGGTTCGTTGGCGTCTCCCGTAATCCTAGCTTGCCCAACTCATTCCCATCATCAGACTTGCTTGATTTGGCTGATTTCCATTATGAGAGACAATCGATGATCAATCCATGAGCCTTGGCACGGGATGCAGCCGGTAATTTTGTAAAAATGTATTGTATACGTCTGATGAAAATCATTATAGCTTGAAATACGAGGATACATCACATGCATCTCTATGCAAACCCATCGCTGAGCATGTTACAATGCTATAATACAGGCGAAATCATACAATATACAGGTGAGATACTGCAAGACTGAGCGGTGGAAAGCATACGCAGTCGCAAATCATGAACGTGCTGGCGTACTGCTTACTCTACCCAGACCACAGCGCTCAGTCCATTCTCGCCGCCAGCCGTACCGCGGGTTGCAACTGAAACATTGGCAACGAGGTCGCCCAGTCTTCCGGTAGTGATGTCCCTGGCGATGATGGCCACATTGCTGCTGGTTTGACCTCCAACGGCAACTAAATCACCAGCCTTGTTGATCTGAAAGGATCGCGGGTACCAAGCATAAGCACTAGAAGCCTCTAGCCAGGTCATGTTGCCAGAATTCGGATCAATGGTGTAGGTGACGAGCGAGTCCTGCTCGGTTCCAAAGGTCTCGTCGCCACGATTGGAAACATAGAGGAAGTTGTCGCGAATATGAATTTCGGCGGCCTTGGTGGTATTACCCGGCACCACACCCTCGGCGTATGTCGAGAGAGTTTGGGTCTTTACCAAGGTAGGGCAACCCGACAATGGGTAGGACACCGTCCAGGCTGTGACGGAATTACCAAGTTCATTCACCGTGTAGAACTTGTCGCGGCAAGTGCTCGACGACCAGAAGACGCCGTGCCGTGGGCCGCTTCCAGCTTCCGCCTCTCCTGCTCCACAGGCAGTGAGTTGGCCAGAAGTCTGGTTGATGCTGAAGATGCGGACCAAGTCGGCACCGAGGTCGGGAACGAGCAGATAGTCACCCGTGGGGTCGGGGATGCCAGCATGAGGGTGCGGTTTATCTTGCCGGGAGTTGGGACCAGCTGCGTCCATGGTGAACTCCAATGTCTGGAGCGCCCCCGTTTCGTTACTCAGAGGAAGCTCATATGCGGTAATGGTGGATGGCGTGCTGCGCTGCAGGTTAGTTATGCAAGGTACATTGTCTCTTGGTGACTCGAAAGTATTACTATTCAGACGTGACAACGAATGATCGACCATTGACTCCCCCGTAGACCGCGCTGTGTACAGACATGCCAGCCGTTGAAGAATTTCCGGTCTGAGTCAAAGAGCCATCGCTAGCTACTAAGAAGGACGCAACGACGCCAGGGCCAGACCAATTCTCGTCAACGCAATATGCGGTCTGAGTCTCCGAGTCGTACTGCAACCATGCTGGAAGGCGGCCGCAACCGGAAGTTGAGGTCGATATTATCAGGTCCGAATTTCCCTCACTTTCGCTCAAGGACAAGGAGTAAATCTGCCCACCAAAATGCGAGACCAGAAGGTTGGTGGCCAGGGTTGGGGACAAGAGTCCCAACGCGAGAATGTTGACTGTTCTAGCGCGAAACATGTTGGCTGTTGTGCTTGATTGACACCGAACGAGAATTGATGTGGTTCTAGAAGCACCACACTGGGGGAAGAATGTCTTCATAAAATCATTGCAACGGCGACAAGCTCAGCCGGCCAGGATTGTAGGACACTTATCCTTAAGTGGTCAGACGAGCCGAAAGCATAGACAGTATGATCGGATGCACTATCGTATGCTTGTAATTTGGGCTATGCGATTCGGCTATCGCCTTCATCATCTCAGGCGGCCCGGTGAGTCCACAACTATGTACTCGGTAGAAAGAAGTCCGATACTGCCCTGCAAGCTTTTACACAGCGTAGCTCCTCTCCATACAATACATGGTTACTCGCTAAAGTTACAGGCTACTAGCATAAATTTGCCGTCCCGCGCAGTGGAGTGGGGAATTGGCTGCAAGCGAAATAAGGGACCTGGGGAGACCAACAGGGGCCTTAGGAGACCCAACACCACCACGTCTGCTGAGCTTATTAGAGTGACAACAAAGGGCTCACAAAACTTCTGCCACGTCCATGATCAACGGCCCAGCGTCCATGTTCCGTGTATATCCATTACATCCAAGCCCCATAATAAAAACGAGGAGGGATCTGCCATAGACTTTTCACGATTTTCTCAAAGTCCCGGGGAGATCCGACTCTGGAATATCGTGGCCTTGGCGCACGCGGGGGCACGAGCTCATCGTCGAGTACGTTTTGGGCTATCCTCAACTCATCTATCCTGAGAGTCCACAGCATCAAGGTAACAAAGTATCTGAGATGGTGAATCAAGCTAAAAAGTTTGGATCAATGCTTGATACTATCTTGCCACATTTTTTGTTATACTTCCTCTCACCTGAGCCGATATGTGAAGGGGGAACTGAAGACGAGATGATCGAGGAAGCATTGAAAGTTGTCTGAGTTGATCTCTAGTCTACAAAAGAGAGGTGCTAAAGAGCGACTATATACCCACGCAGGTGATCTACGGTGGGTACTGACTACGTCAGTACGATAGCTGTTGATCGGTATGTTGCCAGGGAGGGAGTCAAATTGCAGCTTCATTTTGCGTCTGGCAATAAGACCATCATGGGCCGCGAGATTCTAGACGGTGAGGTTGGCACTACAGGGTCTAATGAGACTTTATCAGTGAACTCAAGCGACGAGTACATTGATGCGCGTATTAGAGCGCAAATTGGGTGAGATTCTGTGCACCTTGTTTTGTTATTCGAGGGTTTGGTTTGCTAACGTTTGACAGCACGAGCTATCATCCCATGGGAACCGCGGCAATGGGAAAGATGGTAGACAATGACTTGAATGTCAAGGGAGTCAAGAGTCTCCGCATTGTTGACGCCTCGGTCTTCCCGGTACCGATCAGTGGACATCTTCAGGTCCCTACATTCGCCATGGCAGAGCAGGCTGCAGAAATCATCTATGCTAATAGGCGCGCCGCAGAGTAAGGGCGTCAATACGTGTATTCATCGTAACCACAGTAAGCTCATGAATCTTCAATTGAGCATTTGAGCATCATGATGACTGCTGAATCTCCATTTTCGTTTCATGTTACTTTGTAAAGTCTATTCCCTTGCAGCAAATATTGACATGAATTATGATTACAAGTACAAATCGCATGGATGGATTTACTTGTGCCTTGGAATGCGCTGTTTAACCCTTTTTCTTATCCCACACGTCGGAAACAGCGCCAAGAAGGATGTCTCTTATATCATCATCCGATTCACGCGTATCAACAATATCCCTAGTACTACTGTTAGTGCTCGGAGTCCGGCCCGGAGATGCGTTCAGAATGGTCACTTACTTTCGTGTAAATTTCAGATCCAAGGCTTCAAAGAGTTCGCCAAGCTTGTCATCTAGAAATTCAAGTCGGCGCCTTCCAATCGTGTTCTCGGATGATGGTTTGTTATTGAAGAATCCGATAAACTGGATACCCAGCCACTTTTTACCAAGTTCAACGTTAACATTGTCGAGGTGTCGTAGAGCCTTTTCAATGGCTTCATCGACACCACAGAGCGATGTCGGGGTCTTGTCACTCCACAGGGCGTTTGTAAGCACATAGACGCTGACAGGCTTCGGATCCGCCGCATAACGCTTAGGAAGAAGGTCGAGAAGGAGGGCCTCGAGCGCCGTTCCCATTTCGCAGACTGAATCTTCAAACGGCCAGTCATTTATGGCATCTTCAAGAGGCGTTGACTTGGCGTTTTGTTTCTTGTCACCTATTTGCGATGCGAAGCGGAGTTCAATACTTCGATCTGGATCCACGTCGCCTTTCTTGATTAGATAGGCTAGTACACGGACAGTTTTGGCGATGGAAGTCTGAAAACGGCTCATGCTCTTAGAATCATCGATAAGGAACACCTGCAATAAGAATTATTAGTCGAAAACTCTATCATCACAATGAAGATCTCTGATGATGGCTAAAAGCATACCTGTTCTCTGCCGCTGCTGCCCGAGTTCTTGAGTTTCGATATTGCCAGGCCAAGGTCTGGGTGAACCTTGAGTGGATCTTTCTGATCACTCGACGATCCAGTAAACTTTGAAAATGCAGCTCCAACTCTACCTTTTCCATCTTTTCGCGCGATGAACTTGTCGTAGATTGTGTTAATCGTAATGGTGTCATTGTCAAAACGAGGCGGATCCTGCTGCGTGTTCGTGCCCTCGGCGGTTTGAACCATCTGATTCATCAGATCTCTGATGAGAGAGCTTCTGTCGGGCTTGGGGCTCAGCAAGTGCATGGGCAATCTCTCAAAGGAGTCCTCGTTTTGCAGAATTGGATTTCGTGGCCGATAGTGCTGACTAGGACCTCGACGCACGGAGTGCGCATCATAGCTCTCATGGAAACTATTTATGGGTCCTTCAGGCCTTCTGTAGGTCACTGAAGAGTACCTACTCATTGCTGAAGATTCATCGGGGTCGAATTCGGACTGTTGTAAGAAGTCGTCCGCTGTTACTATCGTAGCTAGCACTGGTTCTGTAACGGTATGGTGCAGTCGACCCCTGACATCATCAGTCGAGTAAGGGCGAGCCAAGGGAATCATTTGAAGCTTCATCTTCCAAAGACGATGTGTTTCTCTGGCTCTACGACGAAATTGAGGATTCGGAGAGGCTCTCCCTTCAAGAGCACTTGGGTGCTCGACCAACATGTGCTCGAGTATCATCTTGCTGACCAACGGAGAAATGTTGTCTTCCGCAAGCCTGCCCTTCAAAACCTCGCGATGATGATCGTCGATGATTGGTAGTCTGTGAATGCCATTATGGAAACATCCACGGTGGGTTTCTGGTAGTCCTTGCACCATTTTGGCCGCTCTTAGATTACAGTAATTTTCAACGCCTTTCCAGCCTTGAATGGACCAGACGAGTGTCTCACTGGCAAGAGCTCCAAGCGCCCAGACATCAGACTCTGGCTGCAGCCTATCATTTAAGCTTTCCGGTGATGCTGTACGTTGTTAGCCTGTACTCGACCACAGATCAAGCTATAGCTTACAATAAGTGGCATTTCCAAAATTATCTCGATGCGTCTCGCGGAATTGATCCAAGGATTGCTTCTTGATGTATCCCGTGCCAAAATCAACTAACTTGAATGTTACATCATACGGGTGGCTGCTAGATGGCTTTTTGACCAGCAAAATGTTGTGAGGTCGAATGTCTTGATGGATCCTGAGCTCAAATTAGCTTACGACTTTCGACACGACGCACGAATCTCGCGTGAGTGCGTGTGTGTGTTGGAGGGAGTGTATGGTTACCCTTCTAGATACCAGCTTTCTCTGCCCGAGTGTGGCGGCACGAGATTGTGTATTGCCTCAAGTCCCAAGAGAAGGTCAAAGAAGTTGGCCCAAAAAGCAGTGAGATGTTCCACCTCGGACGGGGGTTTCAATTCTTTAAACCAAGCCGATAGGTCGCTACCGTCGGCATATTCGAGCATAATGGTCCTTTTTCCGGATGCCAATATTTGGAATGAACCGTAGTATTCAATAATGTGCTTGAAGGCTGACGAACCCGGCTTTAGTGTTTTGTAGATTGATATCTCCTTCTCGTAAGTCGCGGCTGCAATAGGATCTTCCCTCTGGTATTCTTTGAAGACCACGTACTCCTGTAAAGTTTTGACTCTTAGTAACATTGAAATGTGCACCTATGCTCGTCTTTGACTTACCGATAGACTCCCCCTGCAAGATGGATGTAGCTTGACTTTGTAAAGGATTGCCAAATCACCATCCACCGCTTTGTCTTGCAAGCATTCTTTGCTTTGTATCGGTAGAATATAGCTTTCCGATAGTTCTGCATTAGATAAACGGTCAAAAGTGTACGGGCAAAACATCCATTGCTCGTTGATAAAGTCCTTCCAGAGATCTTCCATATGACGTTGATCAGTCCACGACTTTGGCATGTTGGAGTCAGGCCGCAGAGGTAGGGAGCTGTCTTTGATCTGTTTCTCGACGAAATGACTTATCCAGTCGGACTTGTACATCTTTGTGAGGATGGAGAAGACAATGATATACTCGCTGAGGATTATCGAGGTATCGTAGGTGGCTGCACCCGACAAACTAAGCAGTAAGTCGCGTATGATATCTTCGGTCCAGTAAGTGAATAGGAAGTCGTTGGGAATGAACATGACAGTTTCGTCTAGTCCATTCCTTCCGCGACAGTTTTCAGCATTTGCGTGCATTTCTAGGGCCTTGACAAATTCGTCCATCAGGTGGTGCGCACCCGCACCGTAACTCATCCGAGGAGGCATATTGGTGAAGGTGAATAACCTCTCTGTATGGCAAACTTTAGAATGATCAGCATTTTTTCGGATGATCAATCACCATCCGCAGTGCCGTCCGGCCTAAGCGACAATGTTTCTGGAAAGCAGTTGAATGAAAACAAAACGTTAGAGCTTGAACGACGGGGCAAAAGTTCGTGGGATGACGCTGCAATTGCGATGACAGGAATCGCTTAACCAAGAAGATTGACGGTTTTGCCATGCGAAAAGCCTAGCAGCAGCATTTGGAGCACTGGTTCTACTTATTACGATCCTGCGCACCCATTGCTCAAAGAGGAACGCAACTCTGACAGTAGGCTGCAACCACACACCAACTCGGTAAAGGCTGGAGGCGTAGGTAAGTGTAAATCGACTTGGACCCTGGTCAACTTGTTTATACTAGGTAGGTATGTACACTGGCAAGCTGCTTACCGAGTCCTCAGCAGTCCTTACAGGGATCAAATGCATTATTGCCACCTATCTGCAGCTCCGTATTGGCTGCTGGTGATGCGCCATGGTACTTTCTTGCATTGGCATGGGTGACTGACGGGAAGTGATCAGCCAAGCTGCACAGTTTCGAATCCTACAGCCTTGTGATTTGATTTCAGAAAAACTAACGACACCGATGGTTTGGACGGTGCGCTGCCCAGACAAAGAATGATAATCGCAAGGCCCAAGATGAGGATATATACAAACGACAATTCAATCAAACCGTCGGCCTATACCCAAGATATCGTCCACCTACCGTTTGCATTAAATTGCATGAAAAATCGCTCGAATGCCTGTACTACCCTCCTCTTAATACAGCCTGCTAAGATTGATGAAATGCAGTTGCATGTACTGCCGTACTCAACCATAAGGCTCTGCGTTTGGGGTGTGGGCAGGTGGCACAGCGGGGTATTTTGCACAGCATCCCGCGCCGAGGCGATCATTTAATAGAGATTACCAACCCAATCTGCCTAAGTCAATTGATCCCAGTTTTTCTACTTTGTTGGTTTGCCTAGCAATATGGCTGACTACTATACTGGGGAAGCCACTTCCGTCTGGTCCACCATCGACGAATATCGCGTACTCGAACAAGTGCTTCTACAATACCTTAGATGGCGATATAGTAATTACGGGCAGTCTGCGATAGATGGCATTATTGTCAAGGTCAGTACAAAGGTATCGGCGATAGTGATCCTATGAGTACTAAAAAGCGAGAACAGAAAAAGGAATATGGTGATGGTTTCAATGTGTGGGCGCCCGAGGCACTTGGGGCTGTAAGTAAACGCAACGTGGCAGTGAGCACAAGATTAGCACAGCTAATTCACTTGACAAAGGACGAAAAAAGGGCCATCAGGAGGCTCAAGGGAAAAGACAGATTTGTGCCTCCACGTCAACGATGATCAGGCTGTGGGATTGATAGGGAGGGATGAAAGCACATATATGCATCATGTCCCACATGCCATGGGTGATCACTCGCCGAAGGACGAGTGCGCCTGGCCCCCCCCCCCCTGGGCGCCATCCATCTGGCCGGCCATGTCAGCCGTAGGCGCGTGAGACAGGGGTGGCTGTGTGTGAGGGTGTTGACCTGCCACCGATTTTTGATTGACTGGGCTGTTTCTGTGTAACCATGTTCGAAACCGGTATGCCAGGCGGGGGCTGTCCGTTGACAGGATGATGAGGCGTTCTTCGGGTTCTGTAGATCCAAGGCACTCTTGTAATGGGTGTCGAGGCTGTGCTTTTTCCTGTTATGATATATTGTACAAATGTCGAACTGATCTCGAAGGTTCCCGTAGTTTACAGATTCTTATGTTAGCTAGTACCTACATACCTACGTCAAGGTAGTACATATGCTTGAGGCGTATTGTTCTCCACTTTTACACGATGGTCGCCCCATCAAGTCAATTCCAACGCCACAGGACACTATGCGCGAACCCGGGAGTATACCCCAATACTCAGCTGCGCGAGCCGCGACCACATGAGGTGCATATACTCAAAAAGCATGCAAAGTACTTGGAAGAAAATGACGAAAGGCTGTTCAACGATGATCCGGAGGAGCACTTGACTGACATCTTTGAGATTGATGCCGAAAAATGTAGGGAACAATTTGCTGCTTCCCCTTTCTTGGTCGTCCGCGTTAATATTAAGTATAGCAATAAACTTGAAAATGAATCATTTCCGCACATGCGATACACAGCTTCAACATATGCAGCATGAGGCAACCCAATGGGACATTAGGCATGTGTAGGTATCGCTTTGGCTCTTACGCTTTTTGCCTCGTCTAATTTGCGGTAGATTTTTCAAGGCGAATGATTCGAGATCTCCTCTAAACTGTTCTTCGGACATGCTCAAGTCGTGTTTCACATTTCACCAAGTTGACGCTTCATTTTTGGAATCCCTGTATACATTTGGTGACCAGGAGAAGCCATTGGACCTTTGCCTTGCTCACTTCAAAAGTTCTCATACCATTGACCTGGATGAGGGTAGTCTGATTGCTATTCCCGAACTACGTCTGTCTGGACGCGATCTACGAATGTCCTATCTATTGAGATCCATGGAATATGATACAAGTTCAAGTAACCAAAACAAGTGGAAGTGGAACTTGCGGCAAACCGCTGTATACCACTCCTTTGACGTCGAGACTGGACAGTCATTTTGGTGCAATATCAAAGCAAACGATGAATTCAAAAACAGAATCAAGGACAGCACGTCACATCTGAATCTAGGCATACCGGGACTGGAGCAGGAATTTCGAGTGTATCGTTTATTTGCAGCAGCTCTGTCAACACACTTGATCTATTTATTATGGTGTGACGAAAACTGGAGGTGGTGCATAAATGATATGGAGGTCGCGATCAACGAAATTCTGCAAAAAGCACGGCTCGCCGAAATCGACGATACAAAATCTACGGTACCCGAGCACCTCCTCAGAAGAGCCACCACGATGAACTCAACGATTTCAAGACAAACACGAGGAACCGCTCCACGAGCCTCATCAGGACTCATGCACCACTTAGTGCAAGCTCCGCACAGATACGTGCTGGCACTGCGTGAGTCATTGTTTGGGCCACAAAAGTCTATAGACGACGTGGAAATGGCGGCGCCTGTGGGCAATTCTGTCGACCGAAAACCTCAGCCCGATCGGAAACCTCAACCTATGCAGCATCCCTTGCTCACTCTGGATCAATTCCGTGTCAGCGAACTACAAGCGCTGCAGCTGTGGGGAGAAAGGATCGAGCGATGGGTGTTGGCGGTGCAACTGAACATCACAGTTCTCCGTGAAATATCTGCATACTATAGCAGTCTAACCGGCTCATTGCTTAAAGTGCACCCCAGTATGGCGCAGAAATACGAGCTAGAGATCAGACATTTCGGGCAAGAAGTTACAAACATTGTAAGGGGGCTTGAGACAAGGAAGATACAGTTGCAATCTCTTGCAGCGCAGCTTTCCGAGGGGCAAAAATTGGTTAGTCGCCAACCACACTACCAAGTTGACTTTTTTTGCTAATATTTCTTTTCAAAAACAGTACGACGGTCTTTTACAGTACCGAAATATTCAAATCGGGCAAACATTTGCAGAAAGTGCTGAGACTTCGGCAAAGAAAATGCAGACTATTGCGTACAAGACGGCACAGGAGACGGCATCGATGCACATCATTACCATTGTCACCTTGATATTCCTTCCAGGCACATTTGTCGCAGTAAGCATATGCTGGCTAGCTTTTTCTTGGTTCAATCAGCTGAGTTAATTCCAAACGGAGTAGACCTTCTTCCAGAGCGGTGTATTCTGGTGGAAGGATGCACCTGATGATATGGAGGGCGGGTGGAGCTATCGCGGGGACGCATTTGCTTTCTTCTCGTGTCTGTGCTTCCCACTCATGATTGCAACGCTTGGAGTGTGGCTTGGTGTCTGGTACAACATGAGGAGGGATCGGCGGAAAGAAGAGGAAAATAATCATGCGGCTGGATAAGAAATGCTACAGGTAGGTAGTCATCCGAAGCGGTATATATTCTCACCAGGGTCAAGGGAAATAATAGGCGAAAGCTAAAGGAGCCTGTTGCTTGTGTTCTCAAGAACGAGCAGCATGCCAAAATAATGCCACAAACGTCTTCGTCAAGCTGCACGGGCTCTTGTCTCGGTGTCATGAGAACGCTTGCCATGATTTGCGCGGCCGCAAAGTGTGCGACTGTCATGGCTGTTAATTCGTTCGTATACCTCACCCCTTTCAAGCTGCTAATCGGCAAGGTGCTGTCTTGTGCCATCAAGTCAGCCTGGTAGTCATCCCATAGCTTGTCAATGCTGATCATTATTTCCGCAACTCGGACTTTTGTGTTATTGATAGTGCTGTTATTGCGGCTCCGTTGCACGAAAACCTCTCCGAGTCTAAACAATTGGTATGTCAGACGATCCGAGACGTTAGGAGTAGACTGGTCTTGTTTGAGTTGAAACCAACACAGGTCACTCCAACACTCGCTATCCCAGCTGGCGGCAGCATCAACTTCTGGAGTAGTCACCATCGTGAAAAGCTTCTCATCATAAGTGTGAGTGACACGTTGTGAAAATGTTATCCAGATTGACATACTGTTTGATACTGGAAATGCACGGCATTTTGCCTCATGAATTGACTGCTGGCAAGCTCCACCCTCGCCAATGCCAACAACTTCTGTACTGCCCTCATGTGCCATGAGTATCCATTTGGACCAGTCGGCCATACCGTCTCAAAGAGGGATAAAAGCAGCGTTGTGGAAATCGTAGTTATGCTAGGTGCCAAAGCGCTCTGCGTGATAGCTGTATGGTGCTGCACAATTGCTCTACCATAAACCTCGACGGCCGCTGAGACCAACGACTGATCGTGAGCTGCTACACCACAGTAGACAGCAGAGACTGCGTAAAGAGATAATTTTAAGGTGGATGATGTCTCGTTGACTGGCATGGCGCCAAGTTCGTCCAGCAACGGCGACATTGTTGGTCCTCCGGTGTGCAAGGACATGAATTGAATGAACCGAGATACGTAGTAGCTCAGCCAAATCGCACGAGGCGAAGGCACCTTGGGAAGCCGTGCAAGACGTTGTGTTCCGCCAGTTGCTCTGCTCTGGCATCTAGTTGTAACAGCCTCGGTTTGGTCAATGATGATGGTATCAAGCTTTGCGCCAGAGCAGGCTCGATTCGTCACAGCGCATTGCCGACAAGTAGGCCTGGACTGATCGCACCCGATTCGCCTATTCCGACACTCCTGGCAGCCTCGACTTCGACGAGGCATTTTGAGACTGTACAGCTGGACGTATGATCTCGATAAAGCTCAGTTCTTACAAGACTGCACGGAGTGACAGTTCGACGTAGTATAACCTGGGGAACAGGGCCGAATTCTGGAGATGGATGACTTGAAGTGCCTGATGGGAGAATATTGTTTGACTGCAAGCTTCTCACCTAGGTGGGCACAATCACGAGTTTCCCCCGTACACGAAGATAATTCCAATACTTACACTTAAACCCGAGTGTAAACAATTTGAATGGAATTAACCTTTTCAGAACCTGCTCCGTGGAAGGCTTTAAATCCGTCCGCGCAGGGCTTAAATCCGTCTGTATAGAGCTTAAATCCCCCACGTGTGATTCGCCAAGCATAGCACTAGAGAAGGATTGAAGGATTCTCATGGCCTATCGTGATTATAGCACGACATGAGGCCTGTCTATATCTACAACGCTAGCGAATGTTACCATATCTGTCGTAGTGTAGGTACCAATCTTGTTCAAAAGATGGATCCTATTGACAAGCAACGTGTTAAAAGATACGATAGGTATGGGTAATAGTTGATGTATTAGTTGAGTTGTTCACATCCAATAGAGGTTGGATGGTCAAAGATATATACATGTGTGGAGAAGCGCTCCACTTATTCCTACATTTTGACACAACGATAATGAAAAGTGGCCCACAACCGATAGCGAAAGCTTCCATTCTTGGACAAGTACGTCGCCAAGCTAGTTGTGGTCGCTATAATTGATTACACGGCTGCAGGTTTGGGTGAAGGAGCGTGACGATGATGCAAAGAGGGATGAAGTATAAATTATCAAGAACTCGCACCAACTTGAGACATGATACAAAACAAAATCTCACTACAACAATCCTCACTGATTATCCGATCATCAACAATATAGCACTCATACAAAATGTTTCAAATTCCACTGTTTACGAACATGCTTCTCACTTGGACACTGGCAAATGCTGTCGTAGCCGGGACCACGACACCACCCGGTTTCACTCCTTCTTGTGACAGCCTTCTTGGTGTCCTATATGGCAACACTTCAATTACCCCGGGCATGACCATTGAAACTTCCACTGTTTCAACTGCTCCAAGCCTCATGTTGCCAATTCATAATAGAAACGATACATATGTTGTGTTGCTAGCGGATCTCGATGGTACTCTGAACAATCAATCTGGATTGTTGCACTGGCTATATCAAGACGGTGCTGTTCGCGATGATGGCACCATTTTCAACTCGACAAGTCTTGCGGTTTATGTTGGCCCATCACCACCAGCTGGGGAGACGCACCGATATTTGTTTCTCGCCTTCTCCCAGCCAGAAAAGTTCGCGACGAGTATCAACTACGATGCCGATATACCCATCAGTAGAGCTGGATTCAATCCTCAGGCATTTGCCAATCAGACGGGCCTTGGTCTTCCTTATGCGGTAAACTACTTTCTAGTTTCAGGCACGTCCTCCAATACAACGACTACAGCGTCCTCGCCGGTGGCTACAGTGACTTCTACGTTTGTCTCAGTGGCATTATCGGCCACGCAGATGAATAGTGCAATGCTGGTTTCTGCCGTATTTGGAATCAGCGCAATATTTGTAGCGCTTTGAATAAGTGCAAAATGGGAGAGGGAGAATTTGAGACGGAGGAGAAGCGTAGGGGGGTATGTGAAGCGCGAAATCACCTACGAGGTTGTATGGCGTGTTGGTCCTGTAGCAGTTCTAGCTCGTTTGTGTATTTTGGAAGTGTCGTACTGACGTAGTCAGTGCCCACCGCAGATCACCTGCTTGGGTATATAGTCGCTCTTCAGCACCTCTCTTTTGTAGACTAGAGATCAACTCAGACAACTTTTAATGCTTCCTCGATCATCTCGTCTTTAGTTCCCCCTTCACATATCGGCTCAGGTGAGATCATCACAACAACACTCGTCTTCCAATTTACACATGCACTTTCAATACACTTTTATATGAGTTTCTCTATTATATCGTCACTTAAGAAACATGCATGTGAAGATCCCGTCTTTCATTGACTGATCAAAATCATACAAGGGCTTTGGCCACCAGGCTGTGGTCCTAGTGAGGGGTGGTTTGGTGTTTGGTTTTCGTTCCCCATCTCAGTATATCGCTACACTAGCCTAAGCTGGGTGTGGAGCTCCCACTTTTGTGATATAGCTTAGCGGAATATCACGATAATTATTATATCCGCGGAAACGGCATCACTTAATACTTGATGTAGTCGGATACAGAACAAAGCTGCAATCATATTTGCGCACGATAGAAACACAATTTCGGGATTTTTTTTTTCTTTTAAAAGAAGGAGTCATGTGGACAGCTAAATCCATGAGGGGTAACCTTATCTACCAATCTACAAGCAATGCTTCGGTCAGGTTGTGTTTGTTTTAGGCAGACAGGCTGCAAAGCCACAGCCGAGACTGGGGTTGGAGCATCATACCTGCGACTTAAGAAAAGGCCCAACTATAGCGAGCTTCGTTAGGTGGTTGGCAAGAAAATTAACCTAGCTTAAGCGTGACCTCAATGAGAGATAGCTTTGTATTCGCAGGCAAATTAATTGCTACTATACGTCACTGAATGCATCTTTTTTTTTTCGCTTATATTAGCGTTCGCTTACGGCACAAATGATGCCTGAGTTGTAGGTAAGCTTTTTATATTTCTCAACGGGAGCCCCTCGCAAGAACCACCTCATCCAACATCCTGATTTTGTGTAGAAATCTCCTTCACGAAGAAACTCATCGCCAAGAGTTCTTACACAATGCTTTGCAGCAGCAAAGCCTGGCATGCGCCACCACGAGTTTGCGCCTGATATCTTTGCAACTTCAAAAGGGTGTCAAGGAGGACTTTCTGCACACCAGGAACTGCAGACTGGTTGGCCGGCTCCTGGTTCCCCTCACTTTGACTATCATTACATGCGTCTCCATGGCTGTGCACAACATAATGCTCCAATAGAGGATGAACACCTGCGCCGCACTGCCTCGTATTCTACAAGGTTCGCGCGGCATAGAAGTCTGATATTTATTTGGCACGAAAATAATGGCATCTGCAACAATAACCCAGACCTCAAATCAAACTCTGTGGTCAGGGATGTTATACTCAGTTGCCATCCAGAAAATATGTCTTGTCAGTATGTCTACCAGTCTTTGACGCGGTCAGGTAGTACGCGACTACTCCGCCTTTTTCCTAGTCGAGATTCCGGCGACCAACTTGTAGGTGAACTGATCGAATATCATTTGGCCGACTTGAATGGACCTTCTCATCCATACTAAGCTCTATCATATGTGTGGGGAAACCCGGAAAAGTCTCAGAGCATCGCCATCGGCGGGTCTAAACTTCCCATAACCTCCAACCTTGATGCGGCGCTCAAGGCCCTCAGACATCAATCTTTCGAGCGGATCCTCTGGGTAGATGCTCTTTGTATAAACCAGGACAATGATTCTGAGAAAGTGGAGCAAATTCGTATAATGTACAAGATCTATGCATGCGCCAGATTGGTCATTGTTTGGCTAGGGTGGGAGGAAGATGGAAGCGACCAAGCGATAGACGACTTACGCACGATCGGAAGCATTGGGTCGAGTCAAAAGATCATTAAGTCTACGGATTTGGAATCGACTTTGAGCAGAATTGTGAAGCTCTGCCAAAGAGACTGGTTCACGCGCATTTGGGTATTGCCACAATTTCCTCTCAATGACCTTGATTGTTAGCTAATTACTTCAGGTTCTGCAAGAGGTCGGCGCAGCCCGTAGCATTCAATTTCGATGTGGCCACTCAACACTTGATGGGTATGCTTTTGCACTAGCTATGGATCTGTTGGAATCAGTTTTTACTGCACGGCGCGAATTGCACACCCTACATCATACCATCCGATCTGTGGCATATCTTTGTCAGGGGTCCATATTCAGGTCTGCATATAGTATTGATGCAGGTTCTGAAGGTGTTTGCCCCTTTGACGAGCTCGTCGATATGTTTCACGACCGAAAGGCAACCAGATCACATGACAAAATATACGCGCTACTCGGCATGAGTTCGGATGACATGGGAAAATCAGGACTGATAACTGATTACACGATGCATTTCGGGAAACTACTCAAACGAGCAACTGCTTTGATCCTGTCTGATAGACTCAGTATCGAGTGCCAGAACGATATGGAGGCTGTGGTTATCAAAGCCAGAGGCTACGTCCTTGGTTACGTTGAAGCTGTGGATGATGATATGAGAACCAACAACAGGCAGTGCATTGACGTCAGTTGGAGGGACATATTTGGTACCGAAACATTCAGGGGACACGACATTGTCTCTTGGACGATCCAGACGTCGTCTATCCCCTTGAAAAGGGGAGATATTGTTTGTCTGATCGAAGGTGCGACAAGGCCTACCATCATTAGAGCCTATCGGGACTTTTCAGCTGTTCTTGTGATAGCGGCGCAACCCCCAAAGTACCTGGACGAGCACGATGTGCATTTGACATGGGGTTCGGTTTCCAAGCAGATTGCTGTTCCTCAACGCGATTTTCTCCTTGTTTGGGATTGGAATTACTCTCCAGAGATGTTCACTATACACGATTGCTATTCAGCATGGGCACACTCAAATGAATGGTCTGAAGAGATAACAAACACGGACACGGATGTTCATCTTGCCAGAGCAAATCAGGTTTTGAAATGCGGAATCCTTTCGCTTGATGCAGGCAATCTAGCAATTGCAGAACAGAGGTGCTCAGAGGCGCTGTTGTACTATGAATCAGCACTTCAAGTGCGAGATTCGGTCGGAAGATGCCAAAAAGAATTTGCAGAGCTACTTTGTAAAGTACAAGACAGGATCGACGCCATTTTCTATACGCCCCTTTCGCATGATCCGGAGAGTCAAAGGGCAGTGGGAGTCCGGAGCATTTCCTTGCTGTTCTTTTGGGTATTACAAAGCGAGTACCGGTTTGTCATGAAACTTCTGTCGGAAACAGGCATGGTGGACCCCAATATTGGGGTCCATGGATGGCCATCAATGCTATCGCTAGCAATTAGAATGGGACGGTTAGACATCATTGACTGGCTGCTTCGAAAAGGAGCAAATGTCAATAGTCTGTCATTCCAACATTCTAAGGAGATGATACCACTCCACGAGGCGACAGAAATGGGGCATCTGGCGATGGTGGAGCGATTGCTCAAGGCGAAAGCAAACGTGAATGCAACGACGAGATTTCGAAAAGAGACAGCACTTCAAAAAGCAGCCGGAGCTGGCCATGTTGCAATTGTAGATTGTCTGCTCCGTGCAAAAGCACATGTCAATGCTACAAATGGGCCGGGAAGTACCGCACTCCACAAGGCATCGGAAGCCGGCCACCTCGCCATCGTGGAACGACTACTCCAAGCCAAAGCAGACGTCAACGTGGGGGGAAGATTCGGAGAGCACCGGCCACTTGAGGCTGCCTCTGGTGCTGGTCATCTGGCTATTGTAGAGCGCCTGATCAAAGCGAATGCAAAGATCAACGGAGGCGGCTACTTTAGAGAAAAGTCGCCCATTCAGGCAGCGTCGGGCAATGGCCATCTTGCAATAGTGGAACGGTTGCTACAAGCGGGGGCAGATGTCAATATTGGGAAGGAATTTGGGTTAGAAACGGCACTTGTAGCTGCTTCCCATGGCGGCCACCTTGCTGTGGTAGAACGATTGCTCCAAGCAAAGGCTCATGTCAACGGTGGAACAGGACCACAAAGAAGCGGACGGACAGCGCTCCAAGCAGCCTCAGAAGCCGGTCATCTTGATATCATCGAGAGATTGCTACAGGCAAAAGCATGGGTCAGAGAAACAAGTATCGACGAAGAAACAGCACTCAGTCTGGCGTCAAAGGCGGGTCATTTACACATTGTGGAACGACTCAAGTTAGCAGCAGTATCCAGGTGACCAGGCGGCTAGGTTACCAGGCGGTTCCAAGCCCATCACATTTAGATTCACATATTAAAAACAAAACAAAAAGAAAAGGTTAGTTCGGGCGACGGTTCTGTAGTTGGAGGCTTAGCTCCGGCATCGCCATCGCCCTGGGGATAAATAATAGGATCACAGCAGGGATCTGGAAGGTAGAGATCAGTCTTGAGTATACATAACCACTATCATCATCATCTGGATCCCTCACTCTGTTTGCTATAAGCCCCTGACACCTTAACTTTTGCACCAGCTGCTATCCTTCTCCTCCCCTCCCCGCGACCTCTTTCAACTCAAAAGATGAGACTGAATGTCTTTATCCAAATCGACTATTCAAAGTTTCAAGTAATGTCCCACTTCAAATTATTTTCAATGTGAAATAAGAGAAAAGCTTTACCGAAAAGGTCGTTCAGCAGCGGCCCTAAAGGATCCGTTTCTAACAGGTTCCGTCCGTCAAAGCATCCCAAGTCACCGTGCAGGTGCTTTCGCACGCAGACCCAACGCCAATGACGTCGCAGTCACTTGATCCTTCTCCAGTTCCGGCACCTGTTACCTGGCAACTGACAATGTTGCCATACCCGTCGTCGCTTGCGGCAAAGTCCTTCTGATTGACGAAACACCTGGGTTGCCACTGAACGAGGCAGGTTTCAAGACACTCGACGGACTTGTCACCGTCGTATGTATCAATAGTCTCGCCAGTTGCTGCATCCTTGATGTAGAGGTGGCTGCCAGAGCCCGTCTCGCCCCCGATAGTGTCGAAAGAGCCGGTATACCACACGGTGACCACCTGTTTGTAGGTTTGTTCTCGCTTGGTAGGCGTGGCCAGAGCAGCGGCTGATAGAGCGACGATAAGGCTGAGGGACTTCATTTTGAACGACGATGATATGTGGAGTTTGCAGAACTTTGTAAAGTGAATAATGTGGTTGTATGTGTTGTTATGAGGGTTGTCTGTATGGCGAAGAAAACTGATTGAAGGTTGCGCGAACATATCCATACTTATACTCCTTTCATTCAGAACTTCTCGCCCAGTTCCCACGTTGATCCAACAAGCCATTGTGTACGGGCCCATTGTGTACCATGCATCACCGTTGTAAGTCACCCATCAGACTTTGAAAGAAAGCAGATCTCGATGTAGATAATGATCGACGAGATTTTCCACTCAAACATATTAGCTGAGATCCTTGTGTAAAAAGTCTAGTGGTGTAGTGAATAGATTCAGCCTCAAAAAACCCAGCAAAAATAGACATAGAGCAGCAAGAATCGACTTTTTTGATGTGGACATGAGTATGTCGATGAAGATAGGGAAAGCATACCCAACTTCCCGCTGCTAAGACTATCTGAGTACTAGATTGATACGCACTTGGATCTGGCGCTCAAGGCTGCCCAGCAACGACATACCTGAATAGGCGTCAAGAACCATTATAGGCACATTGCGAGCGTAAATTGCGAGAAGGAATTGCCAAGTCCGCAGATCACGCCCTTTCCAAACTGTGCACCTACGGGTTCTCCATGATGGTCAGCCTTGGCTCTCAGCAGGGGCGGTAGTCTTGTCAAGCGAATGAGTCTTCGACGTCATTCTGCGACTCGCCGGGTTCACACGCCCGACCAAATTATTTGAACGGGTGGATAAATCCAATAGACACTCTGATCTCTCGATGGGCTCCGTATACCAAGTTCGTGGTCTGATGCAGATAGCACGCGTGGTGAAGCCAGCCGATGGCATCGTGCTCAAGTTCACAATTGATCAAAAGGCAGGGTGAGACCGTTGAGATCGTGAAATCGGAGCATAGTGTCATCGCGACGTAAAGTTGGCGAGCTGGCATTTGAACTATCAAAGTGTATTTCCTTTTTGGACAACTTTAGTCTTCCACGACAATCAAAGCTCTTTTTACAGAAAAAAAAATCTTTGATTAGTACTTTGGATAGCAAGTTCTTTTCTAAAATAAGAATCAATTGCTTTTCATCAAAACACCATCTGGTTGCAGAGAAATAAAGATACAATATAAACGTAAGCCAGTGACGTGTCAACCTGGATAAATCAGAGACAGCACAAGATTGCGAATCAGGATAACAAGGCCTTACTCAATCAAATTGACGCTTGACACCGCACATTATAGATGGAACCCAAGGACGGTCGAATAATTGCTGTTGCAACTGCTATTTCATAGCTATGCTCGTGAGCTCTACGATCCGACAGCGTCTTTTTGTCGCAGGGCAGTTGAACCGCTGGTTTTGTGGCAGCAAACGTGGAAGTTTTTCTAGACTTTAGTGGGTACCTAGTACGACACAGGGCACTGATAGCGCCTGTCTTTGCCTAAATCCCCATTTCCGGGGTAAGGATTAACGCAGATTAGCTTTTCGAGATCGGTTCTTTGAGCCTATTTTTATGAGAGCTAATATTCGGGCTGTGTCCACTTTTTTATCCGGGCTGTGTGTCACCTAATTCCATAGCCATATTTTTCTATTTTAACGGCTCGAAAAAAAAAGAAAAAAAAAATAATAGACAAATGGATCCTGATTTAGAGTTAATCGTCGCTGTTTTTTTTTTCCAGCTGGTGCTGGCGTAGAAGATTGTATTGTGTGGTTTATGGTAGATGCTACGTATCGTCCAGGCCTAAGTCCCATTAGAGACCAAGTATGTACGTAAGCCACTTCCTTTTATTCATATACCTCTCTCAAATCAAAATAGATATAAATAAAATTTGGTATATATTATTATATATTAATAAAATCTCTGTTATCCAAATTTGAGCTTAATGCGATCGAGGCTTGGAAAGTTATTAGGGAAAGTATCTTGTTAGCACTGCCCGGATAAAAAAGTACACACTGCCCGAATAATAAGTCTCATTTTTATCGACTCCACGCCTCGCATCTGCAGCTCGCACCCGCCCCCACATCTCCAGCGCTCGCACCCTCTCATCGCATTTGATTTCGTTAGCGGGATCCTTCGCTCTCAAACAGAGATTAAAGACAGAATCCTGCGAAACGATTCTATTGGACTGAACATGTCAAAGGACAAAGACTATCTCTCCCTAGTGGATTCGAGAGGAGCTGAATGATTGCTTGTACAGAGCCCGTCTCGATCAACACCTTTTTTCCTATTAATGCTACACAATGCCGTCGGTGCGGGCACGGCCGATCACTGGGCCTCCATCACTATTCCTCTCCAACCCAACTTGTGGTTCAGGCCAAGAGACCCACCATGCGGCGCTTTACACCATGGCTCATTCTTCTACGTGTGGCGTGCTTGCTTCCCGGCACCTATGCAGACACCATAGCCGCTGACAATGTAACCGCGGATCTATCCAGCCTGCAGACGTGGTGGCACGAAAATGGCGAGATCAATTATGAGACTCCAGTTCAAGAGGGCAATGTCCGGCAATCGCATGTCTATTCTGCGTGGGTAAAATCAACTGTAGATACCTCAAACACTTAGTAGGATTTCCTTGGTAATTTGCGCTGCAACGGCCATTATTAACCTCAGTCTTCAGCTACAACACGTTCGTGTACGAGACCATCCCTCGAAATGGCCAAGGCAATATCATCATCCCTGGTGATCCTACCTCCACCACTACCGCCGACGATGCTGTTACGATAGAAGCCGATATTTGGATTACAATGGCCTGGACGCAATTTCTGTATTCATCGGACACATGGGTCAAAGTCACCCGTCGCGGAGATAACCCATCAGTGGCAAGCAACGTAGTGATTCGTCCAACAAACCTCGACTTGACGGTCACGGATGACGGGGCTGGCAATGTATACATACTTGTACCGTATAGTGCCCAAGGACTCAGATTCTCGGTCGAGTTCAAGGACAATCTGTACGACTACCATGACAGCTGTGCGACGACGACTTGTGACTTTGTCCAGAACTGGCACTCGGATGGACCGAATTATGTTTCGTCGTTCACCGATAAAAACCCCATCATGGGGACTGAGCCGCATGATGCTCTTCTCATCTTTGCTAGCCCGTTCCCATCTGATGATCTGGTGCCAGATCAAACAGCAGCGACAACCTATATCGTACACCCTGGAGACGTCCCAGATCTTAGTTCCATCAGCAATGAAGTAGTGTATTTCATGCCTGGAGTGCACTACATGCCAGCAACCACTCACGCGACACTGTCAAGTTCTGTCAATTGGGTCTATTTGTCTCCCGGCGCCTATGTCAAAGGCGCGATGCAATTCACCACAGAAGCGACCTTGATAAAAGCAACAGGCCACGGCGTGCTGTCTGGCGAGAGATATGTCTACCAGGCCAATACGGCTGAGAACTACACCAACACAAAGAGCAACAGTGATTCCCTACGTATGTGGACCGGAGACAGTACCGACAACGTACAGCAAACCTTCTTGCTCGCCGGACCAACAACAAATGCCCCCCCGTTCAACTCCATTGATTTCAAGGGAGACTTGACCACCATCTCCATTCGCCAGTTTGACTACAAGCAAGTTGGTGCCTACTTTGGCCAGACAGACGGGACGACATTGTACAAGGGCTCCACTGTTCGCGATACTTTCTACCACTCCGGAGACGATACGATCAAAACCTATGGATCAAACGTATTGGTTGAGAATGTCGTTGTCTGGAAGGGCAAGACTGCCCCCATCATTCAGTATGGTTGGGCATCCCGAAACATACACAACATTACTGTCAATGGTGTAAACGTCATCCACATGAGATACAGCAGCAATGGCTCGCACCCCAGTATTATTGGAGCTAACCAAGTCTATGACATCTCCGAGTCTCTGTCGAATAATGCAGATCTGTCAAAGATAATGTCAAATGTCTATTTTGGCAATATCAGAGCAGAAGGTATAGGAGGCAACTTGATGCGGATCTGCCCATTATCGAATTACAAGAACTTTACTCTGGAGAACATCAGTCTCGAAGCTTTTAGTGTAAAGACAAACGGTATCTATAAGAGTGAATTGCCACTCTTTACGGATTCCACAGGGACCGTGGCAGCATTGGAGGGGTTTGTCATTAAGAATTTCTCAATCAACGGCACCCGCATCACGCAGGCTGCTGGTAATTACGGCCCCAGCAGTCTTGGAGCCCTCCACATTGCCTCTACATATCTCACGAATGGCAATGTGACAATTATTTGAGCAAGGGTGGTAAACAATTAATAGATTGGATAGTCCTTCTGAAAGTGGTATCTCAACTTCCGTGGCTTCCCCGCGTTTCTTGTGCCTATAAGAGAGGCAATGCTGATAGGTGGAACAGTGGTATCGAGATTTTGGGGCACATGAATCCGGGCCTCAACATCGCTTATACTAAACCCATAATGACTTATGGAGAAATTGCCACCTCACAGAAAAATGGCTTTGGAAAGTCAATAACATTACAAATAAAGTCTTGGATCAGGATCTCGTGCTGTTATTCGGGCCCGAGACAGGTACGGATCCTCTTAAATCCTATACTAGGCCTTTTGAATGGGAGCCGTGATCCGCCAATCATCTCAACAAAGGAGCTCTTCCATGGAAGATATTTATAGTCACAACGGCCCATAATGGAAAAACTGTGGGGCACGACCGAGCTCTATTTACCAAGGCAGAACAGGATACACAGTAGTCCTGGTCCGGTGGCGGTGTGCTCAGTTATATAGTGGCACATTGAAACGTGGCTGTGGAAATTCCCCTTGAACAATTGTTTTGACCCATTCCATGAAAATATCGGGCCTCTGAAACTACTTTTGGCTGTTTACAAAAATGGAGCTTCCTTCGTTCTCACCAAAACGGCGAGTTTCTGACACACAAGCGAGGCGGGTCTTGAATACACCCGCGCAAGGGCCACTCATTTCGCATTGTTATTTCGCAAGATCACCGACGCTTACAGAACAGTGGAGCAATTTAGCTCAGCTATTCACACCTCTCAGAACCAATTGATCATGACTCGGGGGCCGCGATCTTCATTTCGACTCAATTGATCATACGATCCTACTATCTTTATACTAGCCAAGCCCTTGATATATCACTCTTATTGTCAACTCTGTCTCTATGGTGCATATTATGGAATAATTTACTTCTTTCGACCCTCCACTTATGCCTGCGACACAAAACTCCCATCGGCATTTGTTCGAAAACATTTAAAGATCATCAAAATCGTTGAAAAGTTTTCCTCCCTGCTCTCGAGCACTCGAAAACCTCAATAAGCCGGCATAAAGAACCGAATCATTCGTCCCTTGGTATAAAACGTAATCTGGCTTTCCACCTGTCATACACCCGGAAGTCAAGATGGGTGGTTTTCACCGACATGCACCTGACGACTTCCTAGCCCCCCTCACGACACATAATCTTCAGCGTCTCGAGAAAAGTCTTACCATTCCATCCGAGCTTTCATCCGCACACGTGGGACCTCCAGCTGTAAGAAAGAACCAACATCGGACAAATCAGCACTGCAAAAGGACCGCCGACCATTGCCAGCCACGTGGTCATGTTGACCCGCTGGATCCAAACCAGCAAGTCCGCTGCAACGTTATGGAAGTAATGCCATCCAGGCAGAATGAAAGGCGGCGTCCGAGCCACGGACTCAGTGCTGGATCAATAGACGCAAAGAAAGGGTCTTCCAAAATCTTTTACACCACAACATCACTCCATGATGGACTTTGGGATCCTGAGCTCAAGGTAGTTCCCTCTGCTAGGTCCTCAAACACCAGCCGTAGTGTACAACATCTCAGTACTTGGAAGCAACTACCAGCCTTGCCCCAGGTAACTTATCTGGCGGAAGCTACTCCAGGTCCATCGGCGTCCGCCTGGCATGGTGACCAATTTGATACATTACGAAACGACACTGCGGACAGAACACCCGACTCTCAGATTCACCCGAAGCAAATACAAATTTCCTCGAGGTCCTCTCGCAGCGCTTCATTATCTGATCACGACAAAGATCTAAGACTGCTTTCAATTGCGTTGATGACGGTCGACAATGGATTCGAGGATCAGTGGGTAAGTAATTTCAAATATCATCATCTACCCGTTCTGGGTTATCTCATGAGCACACCTTCCCCAACACGGTGCTATAATAGAGCAACTCGGACATAATACTCAAAAGAGCTACTCGAGACTTGTTCATCATGTCGAGAAAGGCAATTACTGACACGCATTGTTGTAGTGGTTTCAGGGGCCCAAGGAGCAAATTGACTGGTGGTCCAGGGGTTGGGGAAACGAGACCAACTCGACCTTGCCTCATAATGTGGCGTCGGCTGTTGAGTTGCCTGTAGATGCAGACACGCATATGCGAGATCTATCTAGCATCAGCAGCCAGCAAGCATTTCCTAACGACCTTGTCTCGCCTCTGTCGGACTCGGGTACTTTATAATAAATCAATAATCAAGAGAATGGCATCAGGATATCCTTCTCTTATAGGCAGCGAACATATTACCATCGGCTGCACTGCAGACTCATGGAGGCAGGGTCACATACCTCGAAGTGATTAAAAGGCTTATTTAGTTTAATTAAGCAAGAGCGGCTTCATTTCATAACCGCGGCGTAAATATATTAATAGGCGGGTTAATTATTAGTCTTGTTGCTCATTCAGTGAATTAGAAGTTTCAGTTCTACTTTATATATCCCAAATGTGTTGATTGACTATGTGTACAAAAAACGGGTCTTGAATCATATTACAACCTTGACAACCAGCTATTCTGCGTCTCTCTCGCCGTGTCCATTGGCCGATTCGTCTGCCCTGGTGGCGACAAGCCGACTCAAGCCCGTCACCGTAGTCCCTCCCAAAATATCAAATACGGCAATGTCAACATTGTAGTCTTTCCGCATCCAGTTGCGCAGCTCTACCGCCATCAAGGAGTCAACCCCGTAGCTAGAAACAGGCCTGCCTATATCCACGTCGCTCAATTCAACGTCCAAACCCCGAGCTAATTTATCTCTGAGGGCATCAATGACGGCATGATACTTTTCCTCAAACGACGTGGCTGCCCGGAACCGAGCACTTGCGCTCTGAGTTTCGGGTACCGAGTTCAGGGAACCGCCTCCGCCATTGATTCTACTAGGGTCAACTCGGAACCCATCAAACAGGGGATAATGCATGGATGGCGGGATGCTCTCGCCATGACGGTCCAGGTCGGCTGGAATCACCGCGCCAACCAGCAATTGATTGCGGCCATGGGAAGAGCTCGATGAGTCCGGTGCCGACATTGAGTGCCGGGCCGGGTCGCAAAAGTGATCCAGGACCGCAATCAGGTCCGTGGCGCCGACGCCGGCAATATCCTGAGCACCCTCCCATTTCCGCCGGTAGTCTTCGCGCTCGCTGACGATACCGGCATCGAGCAGCCATCCAAGATCCAGCGAGACCGAGGTACCCTGGTACGCCTTGGAGGCAGTACGAGCTCTGGCCAAGGCGTCTTGGAAACTACAGCCGGCGGCATAGTTGCTTTGACCCATAGCACCGTAGATGCCTACCAGCGAAGACAACATGATAAAGAAGTCCACGTCAGGAGCCAGAAGATTGTGCAGGTTTAAGCTCGATTGTACCTTGGATTGAATAGTCCTACTCCACTGGTCGTGTGTCATGTTGCTGAAAATCGCATCTTGAAGTGCCATTGCGGAGTTGATGCATCCCTTGATTGGAGCATGAGGCATGAAATCTGTGTGTTCTCTCAGGACCTTTGAGAATTCGGCGGCCGAGGAGACGTCACATTTTGGCGTTGCTATGTAAATGTCCTGACCCCTTAGTCGGGCCACGAGGTCCGAGGCGGCTTGGGATGAGGCGCCGGAGCGTGAAGGGACGAGAAAGTTTCTGGCGCCTTTGGATACCATCCAGTCGATTATCACACGGCCCAAGCCTCCGAGACCTCCGACAATGACATATGTGGCATCAGATTCAAAGCGCCACTCGCTTCTCTGAACAAGGAATGTCTGTCATGTGTCAGTGTGGTCAAATGTATTGGGCTACTTCTCACTTACAGTCACTTGGTCATTCCCTGTCTTGGTGATGATGATGCGGCCAGTGCTGCTTCCACTTTGCATGAATCTGAGAGCCTTTTCAGTCTCTCCAATCGGATACAAGTGCAAAGGCTTTGGCACTTGCAGTGAGCCCTTGGCAACAAGCTCCATTGTACTGGCCAGAAGTTGTCTTCCCAGCGCAGGGTTTGCCTTGACAATCGACACCAGATCCACAGCGGCAAAGGTGACGTTCTTGGCAAATATACCCATTGGGAGCGAGGCGTTGGCCATGATGTCAACTTTGCCAATTTCAATGAATCGTCCAAAAGGTGCGATGCATTCCCAGCTAGCTTGCAGGCCTTCCCCGGCGAGAGAGTTTAGAATGACATCGACTCCTTGCCCATTTGTTGTGCGTGCAATACCTTGCGCAAAGGACGTGTCGCGGCTTTGGAAGATGCGGGTTTCTGGTATGTTGAACTCTTTTTGAAGAAACTGCTTCTTCTCGTCCGAGCCAACGGTGGCATAAATTCTATTGAGGGTTAGTAACAAAGGACATGACGTGCGGACCGGGAATTAACTCACTCTGCCCCAATCATTGTGGCGATACTCATTGCCATTTGCCCCGTAGCACCGGCGGCCGAATGAATCAACACCTTCTCGCCCTTTTGCAATCTAGCAAGATTGACCAGACCATGCCAAGCTGTCATGCCAGGATTGACATGTGAAACTGCGTCAATACTTGACAAGTTGTCGGGAATCTTGAATACAAACTGCATTTTGCTTCGGGGACGAGTTTTGATTGAGCCGAATGTACCCAGAACAACTCGTTCGCCGGGCTTGAAATGTTTCGAGCTTTCAGAGCCCACCCGGGTGACAATGCCTGCGCATTCCCATCCAAGATGCTTTCCATTGCCGACCTTGCCAAGAGCACTAAAGACATCTCGGAAGCTCACTGGCCATGCCTCGGCGTCAATCTCCACGTCATCATCGGCAAGGTCGTCATTGTAAGATGGGTCCTCAACAAAGCGTAGCGAATCCAACATGCCAGGCTTTTCGATTTCAAGGGCCAACATTGGCCCGGTTGACCAATCCTGGATCTGCTCGTGTGGTCGTGCGTGAGACTCGCGCTCGTCGTCAAGCTGCTTCTCATACGCTAGGCGCCCAATCGTAATGTGTCCATCCTGGACAGCGAACTCGACTTCAGGGCTGTTGAGAGACTCGTCCTTGGCAAAGCAAGAATCGAGAATTTTGGCAACGAAAGTGGCCATATCTTTTATCTCATAGTTCTGTGCTTGATCGATGATGAGAGAGACGATGCGTTTATGGCTCTCCTCGGAACGAATAGTTCGCAAGGCTCCAGTCGCAATCCCACTCCGCGGATCGAATGGCAAAGAGCCAGCAGTCTTGCTCGATTGGGAGATATCTCCTGCACCTCCGCCAACCCACAAAAGGTTCTTGGAGCCCTGAATGAGCCACTGGAATCTTTTAAAGTCTTGCTCACTGAGATCGGCAAAGCGGGGACTTCCGACGTCAATGAGACATACAACGACGTCGCCAGGCGATGCCGTCCATTCAGGACCAATGGTGGCAAAGTTGACAACAATTTGCTCGATATCGCCCAGCAGGCCAAGCTCTGTCGCCAGGGAAGTTTGACAAGCTGATTCTTGGTCATTGACAGTGATGAGACGGCGTTGTGCTCGGGGAGCACCGACTGGCTTGCCCTGAGTCGGCAAGTCGTCTTGTGCATCAGACGCTCGCGACACCATAATTGTGCTAATGTGGTACGCGTCATCCTCGAAATCCTTCAAAGCAAGGCCGATTCCCTGGAAGCCATTATCCTTGAGCACGCGATTCCAGTGCTCTTGGGTTACCAGTGGTCCGTTTTGTCGCCATTTCTCCGCGGAGAGCCACCATCCCTCTAGCGTGCCAAACGCGATGTTGACACAAGCGACCTGTGCAGAGGTAATCTCTTGCAACACTAGATGGCCTCCTGGCTTCAACAATTTTCGGAGATGGCGCAACGACTTTGAAATGCTTGATGTTGCGTGCAGGACGCTGCCGGCAAAAATAATATCGTAGCTCCCAGCTTCTAGCCCGCCCTGCTCTCCGCCCGCGTCATGTTCAACGTTCCACGGCTTGAATGACATTCTTGCAAGGTGATCTTTGAACTCGGTTTGGGCATTTGCAAAGAAGGATGTGGAGATATCTGTAAAGACATACTCTTCGAATGCTGTGCCTCCTCTCTCCTTCTCAATGCCGTGTAGAGTGGAGAGAATGTGTCGCGTAAAGCTTCCCGTGCCTGCGCCCACCTCCAGAATTCTCAGTCTAGGATTCTCGTGAGCAGCCAAGCTGATAAAAGTCTGGAAACCGCCGGAGAGCATGTGGCTGCCGTACACATTGGTGTAGAATGCCTTGGCGGCACCCGTTCCAAACATGAGCTCTAGTGGATCGGTTTCCTTGCGGAGAATGGATGGCAGGGCGCGAGCAATGGCAGGGAAGAGGTGCCACTGAGGGTATTCAACCTCGCATTCTTGCAAAAGGGCCTCTAGCGCCGCGGGGCTGAGGTCCTTGTCGTTGGCTGCTTCTGCGCTTTGGTTTGTGCCTTGCCATCTCAGAGAGTCGATATATTTGCTGAAATAGGATGGGAGGTCGCTGAGACAAGACTCCGGCACTGTGTGCAGAGCTGATTTTGCCGCTGACCGTAGAGCCAACTCGACTTTGGGAAAAAAGGCCGCCATCTTATTGCATTCCGAGTCATAATTATTCAAGCGCTCAGATGTTGTGTCACAAATGTTTTGCAGTTGCCCCGGTGCGAGCGAACTGAGCCTTGGCTTCCAGTCAATGCTATACAGAAGCCGCCTGTCCACCAGCTCATCCTCGGGCTGATCAGGTCGAGAGATCTCGGTGCACTGAACTCCTTCCACGGAACACAACGGCGTGTCATCATCTGCCAATGCCCAAAAATTCATAGACGGGTTCCCGTCATCGGCAGCTCCTGCTAATGCACTTGCGACGTGCACCGCATTAGTCATCTTGGACCAAATTCTGTTCGACAGCCAGACCTTTTCGATCCGCCGGGGAATCATGGTCGAAGTACCCTTGAGCCCTTTTGGTGCTGTGGCCAGCAAGACCTGCAAGATTCCATCAAGGATTCCTGGGTGAACAGGACTATCACCTGCTGTCTCGTGGGCAGCGGGGTCCCAGTTGACTTTTCCAGCGGCTGACATTTGTCCGACTGGATCATATATCGTGTCACTCACCACTGTGAACGACGGACCATAGCGGAACCCGTACTTGAGGAAGCGTTTGTAAAATGTTCGCACGTCGAGCGGCTGGGTGCAATGGGAGCGAATCTCTCGTGATCGCCGGCGCATTTTCTCGTCCTCCAACTTGCGCTCGTATGCAGACAGACTTGTGGCTTCCTCTTCAAAGAGCACCTGGATTTGGCCCGTACATGTGTTGGTTACACGACCGTCGCTGTGACTAAAGATGCGAAATTGAAACCATGTTGATTCCTTTCCGTCTGCTGGCTGGTGTTGGTCGAGATGGACCTCCATCTCCACGGCGTCTCGAGCTGTGCGGCCAACCCGAAGCGGAGAGAGTAGCTCCACATTTTTATAGTTGAAACCGGAGATTTTACGGTTTTTACTTGCAACTACATCTCGTGCAGCTTCCAAGGCAATGACGAGACTCCCAGTCCCTGGAACCACGAGCGTGCCAGTTACCTGAAATAGAAGCATGAGCCACATTGCTCGACAATGCGATAAATAGGAGGGCCATGCCAGCAGTATATGCATCGTATGGTCCGTAGGATACGGTATACAGTTAAGGGGCACTTACGTGGTGTTCACCTAGCCATGCAGCATTCTCGACGCAAAGCAAGTTCCTCCATCTTGGCCTCAACGGATTCCAGTCATGTGTTCGACGGCCAAGCAAGAATCCTCCAGAACCCTCCCGCAGTCTCCAATCCTTGCTCAGGCGAGATTCGTCCCAGTACCTCCGGCTGTGGTCAAAGGGGTAGGCTGGACAATCGATCAAGTAAGGGGTTTTGCCCTGATCTTGGCCGTTTGCTGCGGTGACAGAGACAGGATATCCGAGACAGAATAGGCTGCCGACCAAGTGCAACGTGGACTGCAACGGTGAAGCTGAGCGTTGCAGCAGAGCATGATAACGAAGTTGTGGGGCTGTCTGTTTTATAGGTCGCCGGAGAGCCGCGTGAGGGCCAATCTCAATCAAGTCAGTCAGTACCAGTGGTTCGCTTGTGCTGTCGGAAAGTTTTGCAGTCGTCTGGGTCGTCAGGGCTTTCAAGGCCCCAGCGAATTGCACTGTGGATACCAGATTGTCAACCCAATACTGCGGCGATGCCAACGTGTCTGACTGCACCGGCTTCCCGCTCACTGAGCTTATCATGCGGATACCAGATTGTTTTCCAGCTTCCAGCGGGCCGATCTTGCTTGCATACTCCTGCGCGATAGCACGCATGGCAGGAGAGTGGTAGGCAAGTCCAGTGTTGAGCTTTTGAGCAAAGACGCCTCTCTTGTCGAGGTCAGCCTTCACAGTGTCGATCAGGTCTGCTGGTCCCGCCAGCGTGACATTCTTGGGGCTGTTGACACAAGCCAGGCAGACCGAGGCCTCATCCGGTGCACTGAGTCCTAGGTTCTCCAAGTAAGTGGGCACCTCATCCTCGGAAAGATTGGCTGATAGCATGGCACCGGGAGTCCCAGATATATGGAGTTGTCGAGCCAATTGTCCAGCCAGCTTGCCCCTCAAGTATGCCACTTTACAAGTGTCGTGATGCGATAATGCCCCTGACGTGTATGCAGCAGCAATCTCTCCGCTCGAGTGGCCCACAACGGCCGCAGGAAGGATATTGAAACTCCGGAGGAGATCCACCAGGGCAATTTGTAGCGCCGTGCAAAGCGGCTGGCTGTACTCGGGTGTGGCAATTTTCTCTTGATCTTTTATGGCATCTACTCAAAAGTTAGCACCAGACCTTCACTTGAGACATAATTATAGCTTTAGGTCGAGTGCGATGGAGTAATTTGAACTCACCAAGAAGAGACCATTCACTTCCTAGACTGTTAAAGATCTCATCGGACTTTTGTAGGCTTTTTGCAAAGATGGGGTAATGCAATAACTCTAGTCCCATGCCAGCGTACTGTGCTCCTTGACCTGTAAAGACAAATGCGATATCAGTCTTGCCGAGGTTGACGCGTAGTGGCTTCGCTGTTGGCAGCTTCGTTATTGTAGCAGAGTCCTCATCTATGGCTTCGGGACCTGGAGCAACGAGGTCATCTTCCAGTACTGCAAAAGACCTCCACGACATGATGCTTCTTCGCGCAGCCAAAGTGTACGCGAGCTGCGCAAGCTTCCGGGGTCGACCGGTAATGTGTTTGGTATAGTACTCTGCGTACGATTGGAGCATGCGTTGAATAGCAGGTTCATCTACCGCGCTCCACACTAGTAGTTGGGGCACTGAAGTGGCCGACGCATCAACGCCATGGATCGCGCCGTTGACAGCGGAATGTGACGAGCGGGTGAGCCCGTTGAGGCCGGATGGCACAAGCTCAGGAACATCAGTGGAATGATGAAAACCTTGCAGGTTGTTTGATCGCATGTAATGGACAGCATCGTCGAGAATGGCGTGCGCATTAGCTCCGCCAAAACCAAAAGAGTTGATTGAAATGCGACGTACGCCCGGCTCAGGCCACGGGGTTATCGCCGTCGGGATCTAAAAGATGAAATAAAGCAGTCAGCCAAATGCGTTCGACTGTAGTCACAGTCTCATTCGTTCAAGAATGGCGTCTACCTTGATATTATGGGTAGCAGCGTCAATAGCAGGGTTCAAGCTTTCAAAGAGTGCCTGTGGAGGGATTATTCCTCGTTCAAGCATCATGATAGCCTTGATGACACCTGCTGGGCCGCTAGATCCTTCAAGATGGCCTATATTTGCCTTTATTGAGCCCCTGGGATTCTGGTTAGTGCCTGGTCAGAGTGCAGGGCTTCGATGAGTACATACAAGTACAGCGGCTCATCGGGGGACCGCTCCGCCCCGAATGTTCTTCCACATGCCCTTGCCTCAAGCGGATCACCCATGGGCGTGCCGGTGCCTGGGCAAGCTGTCAGTCTTGGGACTTTGAGACATTGCAAGGAGAACCAAAGAAAAAGAAGAAATCAAGACAGCGATTGCTGCCAATGTCACTCACCATGTGCTTCAACGTATCTAGTCTTTTTCAGATCTAGACCAGCTTTCGCATATGTATGCCTGATCAGCTCAATCTGAGCATCGCTGCTTGGTTGGGTAAGTCCAGGGGTCCTGCCATCTTGGTTCGAGGCGGTCCCTCGCACGATGGCGCGCACAACATCTCCGTCATTAACGGCTTGCCGCAAAGGCTTCAAGTACAGTGCTGCGACGCCTTCGCCCCTGCCGTAACCATTGGCCCGGGAATCAAAACTGTAGCAACAGCCGTCAGGGGAAAGAAAGTTTAGATTTGCAAGATGCAGGGATGCTTCTGGGGTCAACAGAGTGCTGGATCCAAATACCAGAGCCTAAATGTCATTAGCGTTATTGTCAACGAATGAGGGGATCCAAGTTGGCAGAGGACTGAAGCCTCTGCTTCCAGAGAGGATAAATGAGCCATACCGCCTTTGCATTTCCGGAAAGGATACTCTGACATGCTAGATCCAATGCAGTCAAACCACTTGAGCAAGCCGTGTCAACATGAACACTGGGTCCGCGAAGATCAAAGAACCAGCTGATCTTGTTTGGCAGCAAGCTTGCTGCATTCCCCGTGATACTCATTCGTGGGACCATCTCGGCATCCTTGGACGACATGAGCGTCCAGTCATCTGCCATGGACGCACCGTATACAGCCGTCAGACTTCCACGAAGGTCTTCCATTGGTATACCAGCTAGATCAAAGACATGAACGGTCAGTCGGGGGCAACCATTGAGTTTGATAATGGGATCATCCTACCGCTCTCAAATGTGTGATATGCCACTTCCAATGCTTGACGCTGCCTGGGACTCATCGAGGCAGCCTCCTTGGGCGTTATGGAGAAGAAGGGGGCATCAAACACACCCGGATCTTCTTTCATGAAGTGTGCATAGTGGCTGGGTAGCTGTGGAAATTTAGGAATCAGCATCCAGTATCACGGCGCAAAGTGCACAAGAGAGATGTGACAGGGCTGGCCCTCAACGACAGAACAACTCACTGTATTTGGATTCTTCGACCCATTGTCGTGGAATGCATCTGGATTGGATCGAGACGCCGGCCATTTTGTTTTGACATTCAGTCCCTTCTCCATGATATTCCATAGGCCGGACTCGTCGATAGCATCCTGGGGCATCCGAAAGGAAAACCCAGTGATTGCAATGGGCTCTGTAGGGTGTTTGACTTCCATGATGGTAAATCGAGGCAGTATTGTCACTGTATGTCACCGATCTAATGTCGAGATAGAGTAGCAAGAAGTGGCCTTGGCCATAAATCATTAGAATGGCGAGATGGCCACACTTTCTATAAGTTGTCAGCAACCATGATAACCGCCAAATTTTAGATATCTGAAAATGATTGACGAGGTACATGTTACATTTGTTATACTCAAAATAGACTAGAAGAAAATGCAATTTTTCACAGTTGTTTATTACGGGCGCCTGTTGCTCAGCGTATGTGCATCACTAACAACACCGAAAAATAGGCCCTTTCCTGAGCTTGCAACAGTACTTCCTTGATCCGATTGTTACTCTCGTCAGATGATTGCAGGGCAGTGCCAACTCGGTTAGTACATATATCACAATGTGTCTGGGGAGGCCCAAAAAGGTAAGTTCTCCGTAAAGTTGCTCGCATCCTTGTCGCGAATCTGTACCACTGCAAAATTGAATGGAACGTGCCGACACGAAGGATCCGAATCCCAGGAATGACTGCAGGTCTAGACAATATTATTCACGATGACAACGCCTGATTGATGCAAAGAGTATTTTGCAGTGCTACTGCAGGTGAACCGGCATAGGACTTCTCCAAGAGGATGCAGGATGCTCCCACACAGTAATCCTGAATCTAAGCGAGACCCGATACATGAATAGATTGACGTGTTCAAGCCAGAAACTCCACATTTACAAGGATAAATGTCATTCAATATTCATGAGTTGGATATTTCATGTCTCCACCATTACATTTATTTAGCTATACGATATACAGCAACAAAGCAAGCAATAGGCACCGCAGCTTGGGTCAGCCCGCTTTTTGGCCACTTCGAGGGTGCGCGCTCTCAACTTAAAGGTGTAGACGTGCCATTTCTTACCGTCTGAAAACTCAACGACAGCGTTCACAGCTCCACACGTGCAAGTGCGACCTGTATGGTAAAGATCGGATTGCGACGGGACGGATTTGGACTCTCAAACCCAACGAACCATCTCAAGAGGCTTCACCATCGCGACATTCAAGATGAGTTCAAGTTCATTCCCGGGTTGGGACAGCATGTCCTCGGCGGAACAGGCAGACATCCTCGCTTCTCCCGCTCTTGCAGCACCCAACGGCACCGTGTCCAATCTCATCAACCCACCGAACCGTAATGATATCGGCATTCCGGTAATGGCGACTTTCTTCGCACTCGTTATCATCACCGGTCTGCTTCGTCTGTACTCGAGAGTTTTCGTCGTTCGGAACATGAAGCTTGAAGATTGTAGGTCATTTCTGGTGGATCTGGGGCAATGCGGTTGCGAGCAGAGATGTATGCTAACCATTTCCAATGATAGATCTTGGTTTCACTGCATATGTACGTGAAACTGGGACGATGCGTCCATCTCAGATCTTGTCATATTCTCGCATGCTCACGCCAAGAACAGATACCCTTTGTGGCTCTCACTGCAGTGGTCATTCACACGATCAGATTAGTTGGTTTCATGACTGATAGATGGAACATTAGTGCTGGGACGTCTTTGCAATGGTCAATGGTATTTACTCTACCGGTGCACTTGATTTGCGACATGCACATGCTGACGACCTTGTCCAGTGGATATGGATCTATCGACTCATCTACGCAGTGGTCATGCTTTTCGCCAAAGCTGCCATTCTTCTGGAATGGAGGCATCTTTTTGTCCCAACAAGAACAAGAAACTGGTTCTTCTGGGCCACGACGGCAATGATTGTCGTCAACACAGTTGCCTACGGCGTGGCCATCATCATGACCTGCCGCAGGTGCAATCCACCAAAGAAGATTTGGCAGCCATGGGTGGACGGTACTTGCGCGGATCTGTACTCGCAAAAGTCTACTGACATTGCGACTTCATACATCAACCTAGTCATGGATATTGTCATCTTGCTGTTGCCACAACCGGTCATCTGGAAACTGAAATTGACAAAGCAACGTCGGATCGGCGTTTCGCTTGTGTTTTCTCTCGGTGTCTTGTGAGTCTCTCTGTTCTCGCCGCCTCGATCGTCTTATCATTTGTTTTATGACTTTGGCTAACTTGCTTATCCAAGTGTTCTCGTTTGCGCCATAGGGCGTATTCATTCCAACACGGTAATGGACTACATTGCAAATTCAACCCGAGGCGGTGCAATCAACATGATCTGGGCCTACGGTGAAGCTACCTTTGTCATGGTGGTGTTTGCATCTCCCGGAATTCCGAGAGCTTTTACAAAGCAGGCATGGGTTGTGTCTCTCGTCTCGACGTTCCGATCGTGGACAAGACTTGGAGACAGTACTAAGGGCAATAGCAACGGCTCTGTATGGGCCAGGAAGACACCGCCGTCGTGGAGCATTGGTGGTAGCAACGGCAAACGGCGAAAGCCCACCCAGTCAGACCTGGATCTAATGGAGACGCGGGATGCCGAGAATCTCGAGTCAGGCTACAACAACTACCCGTCCAGCGTTTCCGAGCTAGCCAAGTTACCGGGGGACGGCACTTGGAATACCGCAATAATAGAGATGGAAGAATCCGCTAGATTCAACGCATCCAGCGCTCGAGGGCTTGGACAGCATGGCCCCTAAATGGACAGCAAGGTAAAGCGATACTAACTATGCAAGAATCAGGACGGAGACGTATTTAGCACTGCGGTTATAACGGCGTTTAATAAACAATCAAATGTTCACAAAGCACACAAGAGTGACTATAACCTATAAGCGTAAAATTTCAACAACAACAATCACAACAACCCTTATAACATAGCGATTAGGGACTTCTCGAAAGAGCGACCATACTGCTTCACAGCACCAAACTTTCACAATTAACATCTGCACAGGCTAGAATTACCCGATAAGGTTTAAAAACTTGCCTACATGCATGAATGCAATATAAGCAGATCATAAGGGGTCGACTAGCGGTTATGCACATGAATCGCCCAAGCTCATAATGACTTGGGAAATTAATTTGAAAAGATGACGAACCGCCAGCGCCAGGCATAGGCAATAAGCTGACCTGCTAATAATCCTAATTATGGGGGGCTGGTTTCAATATTGGGGATGGGTCATTGGGAGATAAGAAAATATGCAGATCGGGTGTGACATCCGTTTAGACGATTGGATCCATGCTCTGAGACCACTGTAGAATTTATGGTATAAACCGATAAGTGCTCTTCCGGTGAGGAGTGCTAATTTTGATATTATGAATATAAAAATTGAATAATATCTTTTTTTTTTAATAAAAAAAACCGGGGGGGGGGGGGGGGGGGGAACACTTTTTATTATCGTTAAATGGTGATTATAGTTCCCATACACTGGGGTGTGGTTGAGCACACTGATCAACACTATGATATTTAGATGGGTGTACGGGACCTCCCGGGAATGGGCCAGGGCCACCAAAACAAGCGTACACCTCTTCAAAACTAAGAGGCGTAAACCATAATGTAGATTAATACAACACACATCAGACCAGTTTAAGCTCCAATAGGAAAGCATCACCTTGTTCAACAGTTATATGTTCTTTTGTATTTGCGTGAAGTACAAGTGGTTTAGGGGGGACTATCTGGGGCGGGTGTGCAGGTTTCGGATCTTGTCGCTCGGTGACAAATTGCCGGAAGGATGAAGGAGCTGGGAAAATATACTGATTGTTCTCCAACATTCATGGCTGGGCGACCGGCTTTTGCACGGCAATTGACGACGCTAAGGGTCCATGCTTCCCAAAGGGAACGCAAGAAAGCCATACGTTAGCGGATTCTTGGAATTCTCGGCGTAGTTATTTCTGTTGGACGTTGCTGACAATCTGGTTATTCATGTCGCTGGCAAACATTAGTACTATGGTATCAGGCCTAAAAGACCGCAGTGGGTCAGGTTTTTGACATGGGCAGTGTACAACAAAGCTCTACGAAGACCAGTCGACCGGAAAAACCCCCCCTGCAATGAATTCGGTACCTGCCCCGTAGCGCTTTTTTACCCATCCTACCATCAATGATAGTAAGTGCCAACGCGACGGGAGCATTGGTGGACAGGTTCTTGGGAGCCAAGCCCTGGCTCGCCTGGTACCGGTCCGGTATCTGCAGTATGCCATCGCTGCCTCCACCACTCCAACGCAACCCCGAGATTGACAATCTCATGAACATTAGTACCCCAGTTCATGCAGTCAATCCTATCGGTCATCTACCTGATATGTAGCACGTAGCAATATATGTAGCACTAGTATTAGATTGGTCTTTTGATTCGAGATTCGTGGCGTGGAATCCTCCTTGATAGTGGAAGCGACCTGGCGGATACGGATATCTTGCCTGTTTCTGCGATGAGGATCCCTGTCGGTGTGTAGGGCAGACAAGGTGCCCCGAACTTCTCCATTGCGGCTCAGCCAGATAATTACCGGGGAAGCCAACAAGCGTCGCACAAAGCCCGTATCATCAGACAAACATGCCCGTTTGGACCCCAAAAGTTCCCCCTGTTTCTTGCTCCGTCCTAAAGCCCACTGCCACAAGGTCTACCGTTGAAACCAAGAAAAGCTACCAGCCCAACCGTTTTCTGGGCATCATGAACCAATCACCCATACACGATCCGTCAAGGAAAAAAGACTTTTAAAGTCGAAAAGGGCCGTGCATGAGGGATAGCATTCCCTTGATTTCGACCCGACCGGACCGACTATGCTTGCATACATCAATAATTGCCAAGCATATCAATGTGGGTCGTGAAAGTGGTCACTAAGCTCGTATATGTCAGCTTGGTATGCTGTTTCTACCCCTCTTTTGAACTTGCACTTTCCAGCCCAGAAGTGTACTTTCGAGTTCAATGACAAGGCTGTGCTCATTGAGTCCAGTTATTTATATCTTTTGCAACAGCGATCACGGAATATACAACTATGACTGTACCATGAATGGCACTTTTGTATTTGATTAATCAAATCTGTGACACTTGATTTGTACTCGACGTAGATATGAAAAGAAATGCAGACCGAAACCATCCTTGCCCCCCACGGGTTTTCTTTTTTAAAAGGATCAGGGCTCCATCGGTACAAGCCATGAAGGATGAACATCCCGGAAACTTGGTACTTGATTCCAGTTCCAATGCCGTTCTGACTAGGACTTACTAGACCAGTCCCTCACAATGCTTGTCTCGGGGGCTAAAAATCAAATTGGGTCCTTCATGGTCTGCCATGAAATAGTCGTAAAGCTGGTACTCATCTGGCCGATCTCTACCCCCGCCGGCACCTTTGCGGCCACTTCCAAGCTCACCAGTCAGTCCCGGGGCCCTCTGGAAATCGAAATACCACATTGTCTTGGCGACAGTCAGGCTAATTTCGAGGTACGCCACAGCCTTACCGGCACAGGCACGATCGCCCAGAATGAAAGGAATGAAGGCGCGCCGCATTGCCGACCGTGCATCCTTTCCCTCAGGGGTCTCATCGTTGCCGCCCTCCAACCAGCGCTCGGGACGGAAAGCAAATGGCTCTGGAAAGTACTCTGGATTGTGCATCAAGCTGTAAGTGCCCACGCCTACAAAGGTTCCTGGAGGTATGACGTGACCATCGACAATGAGAGGCTCGGGAGAGAGCGGATCCTTCTCGCGCCACATGACACCAGGCGTTGGAGGAGAAATACGCAAGGACTCGTCAATGACGGCGCGGAGGTACTTGCACCCCGCGAGCTCTGGTCCATGACGAATGTCACGGCCGGAGGAGAACGTCGTCCGCACTTCTGAAGCGAGTTCTGCGTAGGCTGATGGGTTCCTGGAAAGGTAGTAGAAGACGGTACACATGGCTGTCCCTGTAGTTGTTCCACCTTTTATCAAATCGTCAGCACTAGCCATGTCATCAATATTTGATAGGCGCGGACTTGCCTGCATTCACAAACACACCCGCCTCGCCCCATATTTCACTTTTCCGGATGCCTTCGTTCTGCGCCTGGTCAATTCTCTCGTCGCTGGCAACGAATGAAAAGAGGTCGTGCTTTGCGTCTCTGGGCAGGGCCATGCGATCAGCTATAAACCCTGCCAGGATTTTACGGAACTTTTCAATGCGCTCGCGAACGAGCCATTGCACTCCCGGGTCAATCTTGTGTGTCTTTGGCCAATTCATGAACAGGTATACCCGGGGGTTTAGGGCAGAAAACGCCCTAGGTAGGATTCTGAGTTTCTCTTCCGTTTGTGTGTTCCAAGAAGCACCAAAGGCGAGGAGTCCTACAACGTCCATGGCGAGATACTTGCAGCACGACGTCATTTCAACGACGTCTTTTTGCTGGCTAGAGCGCAGCAGTTTTGCGAGAAACACATCAATCTGCGACATCATGATTGGCTCAAAGTCGCGCATGGAGCGTTCGGATATGGCCTGTCCCACGACTCTGCGCCGACGTCGGTGGTCGGCTCTGTCCAGTGCAGTAAAGACGCTCGGCGTGCTTCGAAAGCGGGCATACGCATAGATTGGAGCCTTTGCGACGCGAGGGTTCAAGTATATATCTGGCAAAGTAAGTTTCATGACACTAACCAGGGCATCTCTGAAACGGTAAAGTATATTCTCATGATACTTACCTTGGATGGCGGTCAACGTGTTGAACACGAGTCTGTTTGGGGCTTGCTGAACGACAGGTCCTTTTCCCTTGGACGTTAGAACAATCTATCATGCATTTCACAGATTGTTTGGTCAGTGTTAATCTCACCATATTTCAAATGATCTCGGTATGTTACGAGATGAACATCTCCCTTTATGGCATGCCAGCCAGCATAGCCGTTTGTAATCCGGCCCACCAAAGGCCCCGGGTATCCCCTGAGAGGATTCAAGAGCAGGCGGGAGCCCAGAAACACCAAAAGCTAATGAAAAAGCGATAGTTGGTGGTCAGCAGCAGTAACTTGGCCAAACTGGATAAAGTCTTACTTACCAAGGTAATGATGAAGCCTGCAGCATACTGAAGTTTGTTGTCCATTATGCGCTTGTAACAGTAGAATGAGCACGGCGTTGAATGGTGAAAAGTGTGAGAAATGCACGACCGATCAATGATTCAAACAATGTTGGATCAATAAATGCTACGCTCAGTAATTGATAATTGTCGGGGCGGGGGAGGCTGCATATTAGCCGTCTCTTAGGTACTACTGTACTGTCCTGTCTAGCCCGTCCGCCCCCAGGTCCGTTCATTTCGCCTGCTGCGCGTAGGGTCCCTGCAGGGTAAAATGCCTACCTGGGTTAGGTGCCCAAGTCCTATATTTTCCTTGCGTCCTCTGCCGATAAGCCCTGAAGGGTATAAGGCCATTCCAAACCTCTTTACCCTCGAAAGATTGTTGCAACACACTCCTTTTCGCGCCGCGCCGCACCTCAACGGGCACTACCTGGTTCCCCACATTCTCTTTTGCAGTTCCCTCTCAGCGCCATGTATTCGTCAGACGACATTCACCATGTTGTCGGTTCTAATCATGGAGCGGCAACAAACATTCCTGCTGGCGTCCAAGACAATAAAGTTGACGATGCGGCTGCATTAAGCCCAACGCAGCCGAACGAAAAGGACAGCATAGCCACTGACAGCAGCCTCCACGGCCCGCGTCTTTGGATAGTAACCATTCTGAATGCCACGATGCTCTTCTTGGTCCAGACAGAGATATTTATCGTGACTACCTCACTGGTCGCTATTGCTGAAGAACTTGGCGACTTTGACAGGGCAAGCTGGATTCTGGCCAGTTATTTCTTGGGCTATGTGGGTAAGTGATCCTTCTCCTTGGCGCCCAGAGAGCTTGTTCAAAAGTGGCGTTCCTAAATGTTCATGTCGACCAGGTTTCGTGGTGATCGTGGCAAAGTTTAGCGACATCTTTGGCCGAAAGCCAGTCTACATCTTCTCCATCCTTGTCTTTACCATTTTCTCAGGCTGTTGTGCCGCCGCCAAAACCATGGAGCAGCTGTAAGTCATTACTTTGTCGCCCTTCCCGAAACCATGTTCTACTATACGCACAAGATGTGACTAGTCTTTCGTGGCTAACGTCGTGCAGTATCATTCTGCGTGCCTTTCAAGGCTTGGGCGGTGGTGGTAGTTATGCGCTCGCCACCATCTTGACCATTGAGATTGTACCCCCGGAAAAGTATCCGGTGCAAATGACCTACATGGGCATTGCAGTCATGTTGGCCTTGGTCTTGGGACCCATAGCTGGAGGTGGTATCAGCTCTGTCACGACATGGCGCTGGATATTCCTGTTCAACGTGCCCATCGGCGTCGTGGGTCTCGCCATGGCCATTGTCGGCATTCCATCTGGCTTTCCCCACAACAAAGAATCATCCCGCCCCAGTCAATCGCCGCCACCTGCTCGACCTCTGGACAGATTGGACATACCGGGCTGTGTGATGCTACTTTTGGCAACCATGTCCATGGCTGCTGCTTTCCAGGAAGCCGGTTCGCGGTTTGCATGGGATTCTGCCTACTTCATTACCCTTTTGGTGGTCTCTGTTCTGCTGTGGATAGCACTGATGGTCTGGGAGCGTCGTGTGACGCTGGCAACCACCACTCGCGAGCCCGTCCTACCCTGGCGCTTTCTCACCAGCCGGGTCATGGTGGGCGCACTGCTGTATGTTGTCTATCTCTTGTCATTCCGAGGCGGGACACCCTCCTGTTTGTGATACGAGCTAACAACTTCAATCAGTGGCATTATCCTTCAGGGTGGACCACTGACTGTGACAAACCTACAAATTCCTCAGAGACTCCAGCTAGTCAATGGCCAATCCAGCCTGAACGCTGGAGTGCGACTTATACCGTTCGGCGCTGGACTCTCTGTAGGAACCATACTCAGCGCCAACGCGGTCAAACGAGCCAAGGTGTCCATTGTCTATTTTGTCATTGTTGGAGCGCTACTTCAGGTGCTTGGATATGCACTCCTGTCCTCCATGGGATCGTCTGTCGAAGTTCCCCGGGCCATATATGCGTACCAAATCATTGCTGGTTTGGGCTGTGGTATAAGCTTTCAAACGCTTATACTGACTATACCCCTAGTGGCTGAAAAGCGCGATCATGGTAAGCACTTTAGTCGACGATTTAGCATATTCCAGTGTAAGACACTAATTCGGAATGCGCTGCACAGCGGTCGCTATGGGGGCAGCGAATCAATTTCGAGCTATAGGAAGCACTATTATGGTGGCGATAACCACCGCCATATTCAACGGCTATGTCTATCCTCGACTATCCGCGCTGGGCATTTCTGATCCCAATCGTGTGATACAAACTTACAGCCAAGCCGATATAGATATCTCGCCGGAATTATGGGATGAGGCCAGACAGGTACTGTCGAAAGGCTACAATCGCCAAATGTACGCCCTTATTGCCTGTGGCGTCGCGCAGGCCGCCGCTGCATTGCTTCTGTGGAAAAAGAACCAGGCCCCAAGCCCCCCAACTGATGTTATTGATGCAAGGCAAGGAGAGAGTCCTACAGAAGCTTAAGAAAGCGAAACGTATAGCCTTCTAGGTAGGTCGTTTGGCCAGGCCGAGTCTAAGAGGAAAACGACCCTTCTTTTAGTGTTTATCACCTGGTAAAACTAATATATCATAATACTGAAAGTAAATATTTAGATTAAAATTTATAGCTGTATGTACCTAATAATTTAAGTATGGTTGATATAAGTGCAACAATAGCTGCGGCGTATTGAGCGGGGGTCACCCCATCCTCTGTAAAAACTGGTCGATCGCCGGGGCCCGCCTTAGGCATTGACACTAGGAGCTAGCTAACCTAGGTATGGGAATCTTGAATTTGGTCAACCAGGGACACCTCATCGCTGCCGATATATCCTCGTCGGGTATATTCCCCACAAGAAAGTGCACTAACCTAGGAGAATCTCAAGAGTTTTGTTCATGTACTGTACGAATAACTTCAGAACAATTGTAAAAGTTAGTCAGATGGATTATTCGAAAAGCAAGGGACTTTCCCTCGACACATCATCGGCAAAGTATCTCGCTGACAGTGATCACTCATGAGATACTTATCAAGCTATTTTTTTCAAATGAATGAGCTTCCAGCATTTATTCAAGCCTAATTACCTTGATTACAAATTTATGCTAGATGCCAGCTTTTACTCCATCATTTACGAATAAACAAGCATTCTGACCTCGATGCTCTCCCGCAAAGGATCACCAACGGCGAACTCGGGGTATGGAAAAGAGGCATGCGGGACTCCTTATCGTGGAATATTAGCTTTCAGGTACAGCTGCAAGTCAAATACCCACCTATGTAGGTAAGCAAGGAACAAATGCATACCTAATAAGCCATTTGAGTCGGCTTGCCGAAAAATCCAGATTTCGCCGGGCATCTGATCCTTTAGATAGCACCATTTCTGCTCTGGGCGATAATGCACTAAATACTGCTCCGATACTTGTTGTATATCAACAACATCGCATGGCTTCAAGTCCGCCGCAGGCTCAATAGAGCGAACATCGCAAAGTGATAGTGGCCAATCGCGCACCGGACCTCTGAGAGGCATCCACGCACTTGTCTTGTCAGAAACTGCTTTCACAAGCATGATTGACCACGTACTTGAGGACTTGACACCGATATTTAGAAAGCGCCGAATAGTGATCTGGATTCATCTTTTGCACGAGACGCTGGGAATCACTAAGAGTTCCGTCTGTGAAATGATTCAGTTCGAGCTGGGATGCGATCTTCGGGCAGGACAAACCGATGTGTGCCATTGCGGCCGGCTGCATATGCTTGAAGTCTCCGCCTTCACCAGCACGGAAATCAGGATGCCTTTTGCGTATCTATCAAATGTGAGCTTGGGACTTTGTCAGGAATGCAGCTTACCTCGTAGTTGAAAATTTGAACGCGCTTGGCTCCAATTAGATCCTTGACAGCTTTTGTGAGCAAGGGAAAGTATTGAGCAAGAAATTTTTCCTGCGATTGAGGGTCATCAGAATTAGGGTGAGTTTCCAACTGGATGCAACAAAATCCGTTCACGTCGAGGGCGAGGTCTCGCCCACGCATGTTTTGTATCTGTATGTCCTGAATGCACTCTGTTCGCTGATTCGTTTGTGGAATATCAGGAAAATCATCTCTCCTAATTTCGTAGAGCCTCTCTGAATCATACAGATCATCTCTCTTGAGAAAATAAAGAGACGAGCGTGCCATGGATGAGTGTACCATCATGAGCACCAGAATAAGACACAATGCTTGCTTGTAATGGTTGGGTGTCGAACAACAGGAATTCAAAGTTGAGTCGCTAGTCGGCGGCGACAATTAGTAGCAAGAATGAGGCTCTAACAACCGCAGTGCTTGAATGAACGACGGGTGCTCTTGAAAAAAACCACTTTCCCTCGTCCCACATTTAGTGTGATTAAAGCTAGAGTTTCAATCAAAGTTCGGTCTATAATAAAACCTCTACCATCATGGAAGCACAAACTCTGTCTACGCTTCGATCAAAGTTCACTAAGTACTATCACCTCTTCTTGCAGCAGGAATAAACTCTGTCTAAACCTCAGTAGAGGCTAGGTTCGCGGAAAAAGCTTCCTAGGCGTATAGAGTTTGGCCTTGTTCTAGGAAGGAAGTTGATGGACCAGTCACATGCATTTGATATTTGTTCTAGTCAAGATTTGACAAGACTCTAATGTGTTGTGAGTTACTTGTCATGCCTGAGGAGAACGGTATCATCGAGGCTGATATCATTGAGGCCGATATAGTTGGACCCCACGCGGTTCAGATCTAGCGTTGTCAAAATTGATGTTGTCTGCTTTGACATCATTAAACCTAACAAAACAATAGCAGTATCTCTGAATTGTTTCTAAACCGCAATAGTGATGGTTTGGAAGTATCGTAGTCGGTTGAGACGCTTTCCGTGATGTCCAGCTGATAGTCAGCCCATGTTGAGTTTGACTTTTGTCATCAAAATAGTTTAATAAGCAAGCCTTCTTAGTTGAATGTGTTTGGATGAATCTAATGGCTCTGTCTAAATGGTTCTGGCCATCACTATATCTTTTATGACAATCGCACATGATTCAGATTTTCGATTCGCAATCTTTTGGGTCTTGTTCTGAAGTGTTCCTATTGCCCGAATCAGTTCGTTCGAACGCCATTAATCAGTGGTCTCACTGATACTTGCCTAGCCTTGAACGCAATTGACATTCCCTTTGAAGCAATATTCTCTGCAATTGACTCTTCATGAATGATCAGTCAAAGTTTAAAATCCAGTCAAGGTCATTAGAGAGTTGGAGGGTCGAGCGAAATGGGTATAAAGTCCATGTCATGCTCCCGCACAAAAACAACTTTCTAGATTTCTCTACAAACACCAAGTTTCATTGTACAACTTCACACATGTGTGCATGGTGAGTCGGTATATCTCAATGCGACAAACTATGTGCTCTAATTCTTTCTAGCATGATTCATCACCATGAACGCCACTCGAAACATGAGTTATCCAAACGGTCTTGACATGCCGACCAACAACACCAGCGAGCCACTGCTCCATGACACTGCTACTGTCCACAGATGCACTGGTGGCTTCTTTGGCAGGGCCTGGGACGAGATGCTCCTTTACGATACTGAGACGGCGGAAAGATGCACTGGATCATTGTTTGACAGGCCGCAGGGGGAGATGCTTGCGGATGAGACTGAACAGAATCAGTTGGAGTGATTCATCCATAGTGAATGGCTCGCAGCATGAGTCTACCATATGGGCTGTACCGGGGTTCAGCACTGTTTCTAGGTACCTCTGCAGTCCTTTTACCGCGTACCAATACACTCATTTCCACTATTTGTCATATCTGAAGTCTTCGACAAGTCAACTTGACAGTGGATTTGCGAGATCTCCACTTGACAATACGCCAAGTGCTGAAATGAGAGAGCTGGACTCTGTGGTGTGTACAGGGAGATCAAGTTATCTGTAAAAGTATCGGTGTCGGGTCAGAGTTTGTAAAGGGTAGGAGCACATAAGGGAATGCGATTTCTAACAATTATCATACTAATATTTAGATCCCTTTCGAGGTGCACTGCTTAGGGGCATGTCCCATGATCACAGGTAACCCTCCCGTGTTGTAAGTAACACGCTCACACCAATGGCCATTCATGAAACGTGCAGTGATCAATAGCAACAAATAAGCACATATCATGGCTTCTGAATTCGAAAACCGAGTGAAAAAATGGTTCAATCGTACCTTTTCTAATGGAGAGCCTTCCGTGTCCGTCATATCATCGTAGGGAGATTTCAAACTCCAGAGAAGTTCATTTCAGATACGGATCGCGGAGAGATGCTCTCCGTACTGACGGATGAGACCTCCTTGTGATTTTTGGAGGCAGTGGCGGCAAGGTTGCCAAGTGCGTTCCGATAGATGGATGCCATGAGCATGGACTCCTATTCCCAGTCGTCATCGTCATCTTGGATACTGCACAGGGAGTCGATCCAAATGTAGCTCTTCCCAAGCCTTTTCGTCATCGAAAACACCTCCTCAAAAGTTCACGACAGATGAGGTATTCAGCCTTGAAGAGTGCCAAGCGTGGTAGCTTCTTCTATGGTTGCGGGTTGTGACATGCAGAAATTGAAAGCCGTGATATAGAAGGGCAAAGTACGCTTTGGGTTAAGTGTAAGGAGTGAAGTAGAAGATTGTCACGTTTTGCAAAGAATACCTCGTATCGGACCACTTTTATGAAAATATATTGCTCTATATTTGGGTGTCAAGGGATGAGCCGTGGTGGGCAAGCAACGAAACTTCGCCATTCATGGCCAGAAAAGAAAATAAGCTTGCAAGCGCACCACTTTATCGACATATAATTGGAAACGCCATTGCATTTTATGATTCATGTACTATTCTGCTAGAGTCTTTGTCTGCATGACGGACTCAGACATCGGGAGTCAAAATGAAAGTGACAGCATCTAATAGCCTATCCAAATCCCAATGATACCAGCTAGTACTAGTAGCATCATCATATCAAGAGTAGACCTGAAGGATCCGGATGTCGGCGTTGGGCTAGCTGACTCGCTTGTGGTGGTAGCTAGTGGCAAGTTCTCCGTCCCGGCCGTGATTGCGACTGGATACTCATAGTAATTATCGCCTGTAATCACAGTGGTATAAGATGTGGAAGTGCTAGTCCCTCCTATACTCTCTGCAAAAGTATAGTTGCAATACGCGGCAGTACGGTCCTCCACAGTGCACGTTTCTTGTAAAAGTGCTGTAACATTTGCAATGGCAGTCGAAAGCACACCTATCATCAAGGAAGGCCCATTGGTGACAGTCCATGGCTTCACCGCGGAACACATACAATGGTCAGCGGATCATGAATGTCAAACATTTAAATCTTTCAAGGATAAATACCGGGTCTCGAAGATCGCACGTGGTGGTGGGAAATCCGGGAAGATTCAGTGCACCTGACTTGCACACAATCTCGTACGTTGTCGCTGTAGAGTCGGCTGTGATTACTCTGCCGTCAAACGAGTAGTTGCCCGGTCTCTTGGCGCCAAGAAACAGGTCCACGACCGTCTGGGTACGAGCCGGCGTGACAGCGGCGCTTTGTGCGCAGGCCATACCCACGAGGAGAGAAACAGATAGTGTTGATTTCATCGTGCGTGCAGTTTGCTGATCAGCTGTGTGACGGAAGGATATGGGCACGCGAGATCGGGCGGCTTATATATAGGCTTCAGCTCAAATTGCCTAAGGTTAGGTAGGTTGGGGCACTGCGGGTCCTGTGCCGCAATATTGTAGGTGTACACTATGCTCTGAGATGAGTCAAGCGGCTTGACGCAACGCAGCGCCAGGATGCTGTAACCGACTGTTATTTATCTTGCTCGGCATGCAATCGAGGAAATGTAAGCTGCAGCCAGGTATTGGGCAGGCATGTATTGAGCTTAGCTGAGCATTGTGTGTCAAAATGGAGGAACAAGTGGAGAGCTTCTCCACCACACGTATATATTTGACCATTCCAACCACAGTTGGACCTAAACAACTCAACAAAAACAACATCTAATAGTCATACCATAACCATCACATTTTTAACATTGTGCATCAACAGCAGCCAAGACCCGTTCTTATGATCGGCGGCTTACTAACTGACGCTTCCTGCGGCTATTGGAAACATCAATACTACACGGGAATATTCAGTTTGACAATTTGTAGTTTCTTTCGATGCCCCCCCCCCTTCTCCCCAACAAAAAGACGATGCTCTGCTTTGTTATTTGGATAATACCGGAGGAATGACTATCCCAAACTATCTTATCTACTGTACGAAGACTATGCCAGAAGAATCTCGTCGGCGTCGAACCAACATATAGCTCTCGGGGTGGAAGAAGAGGAATTCGTGCATGATCGCGCGCTGCAAAGGCTTATCCCCTACGAACGCGAAGTCGTACTCGTCCAAGAGCTTTACAAGCAAGATCTTGGCCGACATATCAGTGATGATACGCCCGGGGCAGGCCCATCTGCCAGCACCCCAGGTCAGAGTGTCCATATTGATGCTGCTGAACGGCTTGGCGCGATGCTCTTCGATCTTGTTGTCCTCACAGAAGCGCAAACCCTTGTATTCAAGAGGATCCTCAAAGATGGAAGGGTCCATAGTTCGCTGCGAAGCGGACATTGTAACAAATTGACCCTTCTTGAGGGCAAGCCCATTAGATAGGACGTGGTCTTTCTTGACCACACGACTGTAAATGAGCAGAGTTCCAGGAGTAAGGCGGGAGGACTCCTTCATGGCAGACTCAAGTTTTTCCAGACTAGCCAAGTCGGCAGCAGTCCATTGTCCGTTAATTTCGGCATGCTTCTGGCGAATTTCTTCTCGGACGATCTTCAGAGTCTCTGGGTGTGAGATAAGATCTAGAACAGTCCGACAACAGAAATTGGTGATGCTATAGGTCGAACCAGCTGCGATAGAACCAACAAGCGTCGTTAGGACTTTGGGGTCTCTTTCCAGCTCATTACGGCCGTCCTCTACCATCCATGAGATGACGTCTGGATTTACGGGCTCCGATTCTTCACTGCCGATGTTCTTTTTCTGTGCCTTTAGCTGCGCAACTCTGGGCATAACATAGCTCCTGAACTTTGCCCAGCCACTGAGCAAGCGCCATTTAGCGGGAAGGAGCCAGACGAGAATGGGCTGCAGGCATTGTGGCACGCATCGCATGGCAAAGCATACTTGAAAGACTATTTCGCCATATGAATGAGCATCGAGTTCAAATTTGGTGGAAAGTTTCGGATCCTACCGTTGTTGGTATGCTCGTGTGTGAGATGAACGAGCTCGGGGTTGTTTTCCGTCATTTCAGCCCCGAACAATGAGAGGGCAATAGCCTCCCCAATGCAGCGAACCACTGCTCTGTGTGGCTTCATTTGAGTCCATTCGTTGCTCTGCGAGAACTCTTTCTCGAGTCCTGCCGCAATGCGCTTCCCCGTCAAAGCGAACAAGCTTGGGAGAGCTGGGCTGATGTAGGACAGGAGCACACGGACATGGAAGCTGGTGTGTCGGACCACGTCCATGCCTGTGAGATGACCAAGTAGACCGAAAGCATGAGATTCACGACTATTAAGAACGTTCATTCCCAAAGCATTCAATTCGGGTATCATTTCCACAGGCAGCACAATCTGATCCGTGTCGCCGCGGGCCAGGCGATAGGGTCGCCCCTGCGCCTTGATGTCGGCTTCGTCCATGATCACATCAGCATTTGTTATCCACCGGAGTCGCGAAAAGTATGAAGGCTCCCATGAGAAGCGCTTGTTGACAGTGAATAGACCATCTTTACTTGCAGGGCTATTGGAGTTGAGCACAGAAGCTATGCCCACTGCGATCGCAAAAGCAAACAAGTACAATGCTATATGGTGGCTATCGAGCGACTGCTGAATCGCATCAAAATGTGCGGCTGACGCATTCAAATCGCTATAGGGCGTCATGTCGTTGAGCGCGATCCTCGCGGTTTTCCTAACTTGAGAATTAAAGCTGAACTTCTTGGCAGGACACCTAGTCGAAGGCTTTGGTAGAACAAGATATTCGGCGTACGCTCAGGTCTGGTATTACCGTACGGGAGAAGTAATATGATATGCATAAAGTAGGTATGTCGGGCACAAAATGTAGTCCGAGCCAGGCCAAGGCTGTAGCCACGGACATATGGCCAAATTCCCAAATAACTCGCGAACGTATCAACGAGCAAGGGCTGCACAAGTATATAGTCTAATGTAACAGGCGGGCCTGGCCAGCAAGCATAACGCGCTTGACTGATCACCCGTTTATTCTTTGAAATGCATCAATCTAGCGAAAAGGGTGGCCAGTTGGCCTACTCCATCCCTACAAGGTCAGGGGACCCTGCTGAAAGACAGAGGTCCGAAAAAGAAAAAAAAAAGTATTTATGAGAAAGATCCTATTGACTGCTCAGAGTACGGAAAGATGCACGTATATCTCAGCTCCAAACAGGCGCATGGATAGCTCATGTTCCTTGGCCACGCACACGGGTATCCTTGCACTTCATCTTTGTAGTACATAGTGTTCTCCAGGGCATGAATGATCAACTCCCCGGTCACAGTTTCAATCGGGGCACCGGGAAAACGCAGCTTGGAGGCACGAACTACGAATTCGCTTAATCATAGAACACAATCATTGGACTCAGAGGCCCTAGGTATCTAGTCATTCGATATACACAGCTCCTAGATCGCAGCGTATTCTATACCATACCGAATTACATGCCTTAGGTCAGTGCTCATGCACGTACTCTAAGAATTTCAATCCAATACAACGATATTATCGCCATGATAACTCGAGTGCAGCCCGGTCGATTTAAGTCTAGGATGCAATCAAGGTGGCGCTCCTGACCACCCTCCTCGATCCATTCCAATATTTCGCCTACCCATGCCGATCCTTTACCAGCTAGGGTCTTACTCAGAAGTTGCGTGAGAAAATAGATAGCAGACATCATGCAGGTGTGCACAACCGAGGACCAACCATAGCCTCTACAGTGATGCCAATGACTTTTTAAGTTGGACAAGAACCCCACCCTGCCAGGTGAGTTGCGCCTTGAGAAATGGAAAAAGACCCAGTCCTAGAACATCGCAAAATAGGACGAATGGTGCTACTATAGCCTCAGATCCACAACCAGGTATTCTGCTCCAGCATCGCGATATGGATTCAGCTACTGTGCCAACACAGTCACCCTCTCTCATAACGACTGCGCTCGTCGTGGTCACGATTCTTTTCCCCATTATATCAGCTGTTGCGATATGGCTTCGGGTTGTTGCTAGGCTACAGTCGAAGCAGCCGTTCTATGCAGACGACTATTGCATTTTCGTTAGCTGGTGGCTGTCACTGGCGCTGAGTATCCTCGTCTGGATTTATGCTGGCAAGTCGGGCATCAACTTCTACAATGTGGACTTTTTGACCGGCACGGAGGCTTCTCTTGAGGTATTTTCAATTCGCCCATTCTTACCGATTCAACTTGCGAGAGAAGTCTCTTTGGGCATCTGCTAACCAAGGGCTTAATCATAGCTGATTTACATTTCTTCCGTCTATGTGCAATGGCCGCTGGCTGTCGTGAAGATCAGCGTGCTTCTTTTCTACAAGCGCATCTTTTCAACGCCTATTTTCAAAACCGTCTGTTGGTGTGCGATTGGACTGATTGGGACATGGGGAATTTTATTCTTCATTCTTGTTCTCGTTCAGATCGACCCGGTTGCGTTTCCGCTCACTCAGGTTTCGCTGCGTTTCAACGATACAGCCTTTGGGCTGGCCCAGGTGGCCACTAGCTTCACACTCGACATCATCGTCCTCTGCCTGCCCATCCCAATCATTATTGGACTCAATATGAAGAGGCAGCGCAAGCTAGCGCTTGTCTTGATCTTCTGGCTCGGTGCCTTTTGCGCGGTGGCCGCCATTGTCCGAACGGTCTTGCTGGAGCAGTCCATCCGCGAAGTGATTGGTTCTAATGACTATGCCCGCGTCTGTGAGTTGCACTATCGAGCTCGCATACTTCTTTACAGCGCCCTTGGAATAGTACTAACAAATGACATTAAACAGCCAACCAATCCAAGCAATACATTTTCCTGATCATTGAACCCAACTGTTCTATTCTGGCGGCCAGCCTACCAACATACGGGCCTCTGTTCTCGGGCGGAGGGGGCATGGAATCAATCTTTCGAAGCTTGCGCAGCGTCTTCAGCCTCCAGAGCTACAGAAGTGGCAGTAAGAGCTCGAGCCGTAGGATGTATGAAAGCTCGCCAAGCCAGCAGCTCAAGAGCTCGCAGTCTACCGAGTCTCAGATTGAACTTCACCGTGTCGAGAATTGGCAAGGAAGGGGCTTTCAGGAGGTCTCGGTCTCACATGATGACAGAGCGCCACCAATGCCGTCAGCATTGAGGAATGGGATTGCTGTCACCAATGGCATCTCCGTGCAACACTGAAGGTTCGGGTTATGTGGTGGCAATGGCGACCACCAGCAGTGAATGCAATACCATTTGTAATGGGTGGGGTTGAAGTAACCTAGGATATGTAGGAAATGAATACGATTTGACGATTATTTGCCGTACCCTTACTACAACGTTCCCCCGATCCGTGCAGCTGCCTCTAGGCTCGACAATTGTTATCACCCTATATGAAAAACGGTCCTCCTTCAGTCGCGACGCAGCACGCCAGTTGGTCATAGCGGCAAGAGCATGAAGGTACATATGCAATGGGCTCAAGCTGCACAGCTTCTTGGACGATGAGAGGGACCGGGTGGTGAGATAGTAGGGTGGTAGATGGATCTTGAGAGGATGATCGGACGGTGATGCGATCTGAGGATGATCTTTCAATATTGTGCTGACATGGATGCATGCAATGGGTACACCACAAGCAGCCGCCCTAGCCTGAGCAGCCAGCTACCGGCAATCCACCAAAATTAGCGCAAAGACCGTGTGGGTTAGCAGTCCCAAAAGGGAGGGCGAGTACTACCTCCTCTGTACACTAGCCTTAATGTACATGAATGCACCTCCACGTTACAACTAACCTAGGGCCCAAGTCCCCGAGTAGTAGCGCCCTTACGGCTCGACCCGAGTCTAGCTGAGTCCTGTATCCGAGGGGCGGCGCATCATGTTCCATGTACATACAACAGTAATGTATGCATGAGATTTTCGAACTTTACACATAAGCGTACGCGCCCAGCCTGGGATCATAGTGTGACCGCCCTTCATGCCTTCAATGACAGCAGGGCTTGATCTCAATCCCCCATTCGGGTGCACTACCCCCTTCGTATTGTACATTGCCCTTAGCCCTGATTACTGGCCGGGGCCCCTTTGTACCAACATCGTAGCATCCAAGTACTTGATCATATGATCACTCCAAGTTACATAGTACTGCTGCTGGGGTAACGTCTGCAGTTGAAGGAGGTAGAAGGGCGCGATGCGAGGAGGAGAGGAGGTCGGCGCCGATAACACCCCGCATTTCAGCAAGCGATCAGGAGGATTTGTGCTACTTCGATGGACGACATAACATCGTTCTGGGCAGCGCTTAAGTGTCACAAAGTGAGGATATCTCGTGCGTAGTCAGATTCGGCAAACACAGCCCCAAACCATGGATTCTCACGTAACAGTTGTATCAGGCCTCTCTGGCCTATTCTGGTCGTTTTGCTACGCCCTTCCATTCGCCCTGCTGCTCTATGGTGTAGCAGATGCTATCTCAACCGCGAAGCTTGTACGCAAGCAAGCTGGGTATCCCTTTGTGGGCGCGCCTCTGCCTTTTGTGCCCAAGTCTTTGTTGAACATTCTGTACGCCTGGAAGGCAACCGAATTGGCCCAGCGTGGCTATGAGAAGGTAATTGGCAACTGGGCTGGACGATCGCCGTGCCATCTATACTAATCATCCGTCTCCTACAGTACAAAGCCAAGGCCTTCCAACTTATTCGCAATGAAGGATCTGTCATACTTTTGCCAGTGTCCCTGCTGGAAGAGCTATCCCGTCTGCCGCCGAGTGTTGCAGAAGGAACATCTGCACTCAATGGCGATCTCACAGGCTCATTCACTGGAGTTGACCTGATTCTCGAGAACAGATTGCACCATTCCATCGTCCAGCGCAAATTAACTCCGCGAATTCCGTTGATGTTGCCTCAGATGGAGAAGGCGGTCGCGGACGGCTTTGCTAGGTTTATGCCAGACAGCGAGGAGTGGACCGTTTTCCAGCCCTACAAGGCACTAGCCTACGTTTCTGCTCGACTTAATGCCGAGCCTGTCGTGGGCCCGACATTCTCGAGCAACCCAGAGTGGCTACACACTGCAGTGGAATATACCGAGAACCGTGAGTACTAGAGAGACCACGTGGAGATTCTACCCGACTAAGGCTGTTACTAGTGTTCAGAACCGTTGTTGTACTTCGCAGCGTCCCGTTGTGGATGCGACCCTTGGTGTCTAGATTGCTTCCTTCGTACTGGGCAAGCTGGAGAATTCTCCGCAATGGCCAGGAGCTCTTGCGGTCCAGAATCCAGGATCTAATCGATAAGAATAACTCTGGCACCTGGCAGCCGGAGAACGAGAATATCGAAGATCTGAACGTATTAAGCTGGTTGAGTGGCGTGGCCAAGGGACGTGACCGCAGTGCTAGCGTTATAGGGCACGTTATGATTATGGTGGCTCTCGCAACAGTGCATACTACGCTACTTCGCATGGTCAACGTCCTATATGACGTGGTGGACGCTGGACCGGAGCTGCTGCATGAGCTTCTCGACGAGATTGAAACTGTGGCTCGGCGCGGCTGGAATGACAATGGCAATTCGTACGACGCTCTCGATAAATTGGACAGCGTACTGCGCGAATCGCAACGCATGTCGCCGCCGACTACACTTGGCATGAAGCGGCTATTCAAGCAGGCATACACATTCCAGGATGGTACACATATTCTTCCAGGTACATATGTTGCCATGCCCGTGTTTGCCATAGAGAACGACCCTTCCACCACGGCCAACCCAGAAAAGTTTGACGGCTTGCGAGCATACCGCGCGGCACGCGCAATCGATGCAAACTCAGAGGGGGAACACCTATTCTCTTCACCAGGGCCCAACTTTCTCAACTTCGGCTATGGCAAAACAGCATGCCCTGGGCGCTTCTTTGCCAGCGTTGTAGTCAAGATGGTCATGGTAAAGGCTTTTACCGAATACGAATTCAAGTTCCTGCCCGGCACGGAACGACCAAAGAACATTATCGCGCACGAGTTCCTCTTTACCTGGCCTTGGACCAAAATGCTGGTCCGGCGCAAAGCCAAGGGATCCTGCCCGTTCTGATGGCATCATGGGGCGCATTACTTCCAAAGACGATTTGGAGCAGGGTAAACGGGACCACGCACAGGCGTCCGGCACAACCCGGTGAGCAAGGGATATAGCAAGGGATATAGCAGGGGATATAGCAGGGGCCCCTGAATCAGAGAGGAGAGGACGCTAGTGTTGGTGGGATGCTGTTGTTTACAGCTGCTAATGTAGATGCGCTTCAGCAAGGTAGCCAGTCTATTGGCTTCACTACATTCTGGAATAGTAGATACCCCTACCTAAGCAAGTATACAACCATATTCACTTTGACCGATATCGAATTTGATGACATTGGGCAATACCGACATATCCATTTATCATTGTAATTTTTGTTGGCGAAATATTGCATGCACTCGGGGATTTCTAAGATCATTTAAGCCTAGGTAACTCTAGCGCGACTTGTTCAGGTGCGTGGTGAATTTTGTGCTGGATTTAAGGCTGTCGATCAGGTAACGGACAGTCGATTTTGGGGTCTGGTGGCGCTTATCTCGGAAGCTCCTGGCGTTATGGCCAATCAGAGATTCGAAGTTTATGTTCCAAAGAGAGAGAGATCCATACCTTTTACGCTCGACGATCTGCAGGGCTATCTATAGATGAATTTGTGTGATTTGTATTTATTGTATGGTGTGTAGCACTGCAGCCTTTACGGGTTATGGTCATATACAACATGCAGGGTTACATTCGCATTTATGCATCCTTTCCTACCGTGGCCAAAGACGGCTTCCGAGAGTGCACTGCACAAAGTCACCTCGACTCCAATACTCTGCGCTCTGTTATTGATGAGTATCAGGGCTGGTCCTTCGCAGGGATTTCTGCAACGTACACCTACAGACACGTAGAGGAGACATACAATAAGGCGCAGCATGGATGGCTGCTTTCCCGCTGTCCGTCCCGCATCAACGAGGCCGGGCACGTCCACCCGCGTGTCGTTGGAGATGTACATTGTCCTACCAACACACCCAACCGAAAACACTCGTGCAGACAATAAGTCGGTCATAACAGCCTCCAAATTTTATTGCCGGCCCCCTAATCTCCAGGTACTCTTGCTTTCCCGGACGGCTTGGTAGCTTTTTTGTCTCAAGCCTGTCCGTCTGTCCTGTTTTCCTCTTCAGCGCCCAACTTTTTTTCTCCTTAGCTCACATGCATCTTCGATACCACTGCTGGGTTAGCGTCACCACCAAGCTTTTGGAAGACTATGCAGTCCAGCACAGAGGCCCCTGCCCCTAGTTCGGTCTCTACCGTACACAATGAACATGACGATGCAAAGGAAACGAAACTGGATCCGGCCACTGGTGGTGGTTCAGAGACCCCCATCAACGAGGACATTGATCCCCGCAATGAAGTCCAGGGCGTCAAGTTGATACTCATCCACCTGGCGATTTGTTTGTGCACCTTCATCGTGGGCCTGGTAAGCAGTATTCTTGGTGGTGTTGACCACGGGCACAGCCTGTTGAAGACATCGGAGCTGACGGGATTCCGCGCAGGACTTTAACCTCATTGCGACCGCCGTTCCCGTCATCACTGCCGAGTTTGATTCAACTCGCGATATTGGCTGGTATGGTGCCGCTTTCATGGTCGCTCTATGCGCTACTCAGCCCTTGGCGGGCAAGATGTACACGCTATTTCCAAAGAAGCCCACGTACCTCATCTATGTCTTCTTTTTTGAGCTCGGGAGCCTTGTTTGCGCCCTGGCGCCGTCCTCACGCGCCTTGATCGCTGGCCGTGTTATTGCGGGCTTCGGCGCCTCGGGTATATTTGCAGGGGGCTTTACGATCCTCACCACCATCATTCCGCTGCACAAGCGGGCCGTGTGGACGGGTATCATGGGTTCGACCTTTTCCATCGCCAGCATCGTCGGCCCAGTGATTGCGGGTGGGTTGACACAAAACGTCACCTGGCGCTGGTGCTTTTATATCAATGTGCGTACCAAAAGGCAGCCCCAAAACAGGCGGGCGACCCTTTGGTTGAGAAACGTATGAGCTGACTCGAGACGAATAGTTGCCCATCGGAGGCGCCGCAGCGGCCATCTTCTTCTTCCTTGTCCACCTGAGACCGGCCCCGACCGAGATGGCACCTCTCAAGGAGAAGCTCCTCAGCATTGACGGGCTCGGCCTCGTGCTCTTTGCTGGAGCGACCACGATGCTACTCCTGGCACTTCAATGGGGAGGCGTCGAATACGCGTGGTCTTCATCGGTGGTGATTGGATTATTCGTGGGAAGCGGGCTCGTTTTCATCCTCTTCGTCTTTTGGCTGGTCCGCCGCGGAGATAGTGGTCTGATCCCGCCCAGGATCTTCACTGTCAATCGCAACCCTGCTCTGCTATGCGCTGCCGCCTTCTTCGTCAATGGCCCGTTCCAGACGATCATCTACTGGCTTCCTGTCTGGTTCCAGGGCGTGTTGAAAAACTCTCCTACTTCCAGTGGAGTCAACTTTCTTCCCACCGTGCTCGCGGATGTCCTCGCAGCTTTCATCGGTTCGGCGCTCGCGTCCCAGCTGGGATGGTGGAATCCTTTTGTTATTCTCGGATCCGTCACAGTCAGTATTGGAAGCGGCCTGCTTACGACCATCTACCCAGACGTATCGGGTGCTCATTGGGTAGGATACCAGATACTGGGTGGCATGGGCTATTCCCTGTCGTCTAACCTTGTAAGTGATGCATAAGTGGTGTTCAATCACTCACTCTCGGTAGTAGCCAGCATCATGGAAGCTAACATTTCATTGTAATTTGCCAGTCACACCTTGCCATGCAAACTTCACTCCCACAGGACCTCGTTCCTCTCGGCGCCTCGACACTCTTGGCCATCATATCCACCAGCTGCGCCATCTTCATGGCCATTGGCCAGGCAGTCTTCCAGCAGCTTCTCCAGAAAAATCTTTCCCCTGTGGTACCGCAGGATATTATCGACAAAATCATTGACTCGGGTGTGACCGACTTCAGCTCGCTGGTAGACGCTGATGCGTTGCGAACAGTGGTTGCCAAGTACAGCCTGTCCGTCACTCAGGTTTTTGTACGGTCCCTTTGCGAATTCAGCCCCACATCCTCTGTTTTTCTTACCCTTTGCCCCGCGCCTCGGTGATCAGTATACTAATATTTCCTCGACAGTACATACCTGCTGCAGCACCTGTCATTTCCTTCTTCCTGATACTTGCGTGCAAGTGGATTTCGACCAAGAGTAAACAGAGTCCGGCACCCAAGACGGAGTTGAATGAGAAAGCCGTGGATACAGAACCGGGGTCTTCTGTATGATTTAGTACAAGGGGTATATTTCTCCTGCAGCGCTGCAGACATCCACATTGTTCGTTCGCACTAGCATGTCAAGCCTTGCATCATTATAATAATTAATCGAATTACTTTGTATCCAACAGCTCTTTCTTACATGGCTGTGAGAAGTTGAAGCAATTATGATATGTGGCAAAGCCAGTTCCAACCACCTGCAAATTATAACACCATATTCGCAGCAACAACATCACGGCAATGACACCACCAAGTCTTGCAATTATTGGCCGAGGATATTGCTGTCTTGCGGCATATCAAAGTACGTAGTATTAAGGAACACATTCAGCTTTTGGGGACTACTAAGTAGGCTGCTTTCTCTACTGCGCCTTGGCTTTCTCCCCCTCATCCTTTGCCGCAAGTTGCTTCTCGTAGTCATTGAAGGTCTCAATACCCTTAGGGACACCGTTCCACTGCAGTCCCTGCTCGTCCATGAGCACGGCACGGGTCTCCATGGCACGCTTCCAAGAGGGAAGGGCAACCATGCGCTCGTGCCATGCGCGGACGTGGGGGGCGCCCTCCCATACCTCATCCCAGGGTGCATTGAAGACCTCGCTGAGTCGGAAGTTCCACGGCACAAAGGCCATATCGGCGTAGGTCATCTTATCGCCAACCAGCCACTGCTCGCCATCCCCCTTGGCAGCCAAAATGCCCTCAAGTACCTGAATGACGCGCCTGATCTCGCCAAGGTAGCGGTCAATAGCAGACTGTATTTTTTCCACGTGAAGGTGCTGAAACCAGCCGGCCTGGCCGTAATAAGGGCCTTGACCACTCATCTGAAAGTGCAAATATTGGGAGCATAGGTGGCGCTCCTTGACACCCTCGTATGACAGGTGACGGCGCTCGGTATCATACAGCTCGATAATGTATTGGTAGATGGCGCCAGACTCCCAGAGAGTGATACCCGTATTGGGGTCCTCAATGGCCGGGACACGGCCATTAGGGTTGACATCGATGAAAGGCTTCTTCTTCACGTCGGCGAAGCTGAAGGATTTGATCTCGAAGTTGAGACCAAGCTCTTCCAATAGAAAGATCACCTGACAAGGGCACGATGTGAGCAAAAGCCCATGTCCGTACAGAGGAGACCGGCCGTCGTTGATGATGCATAAAGCGGCTAACTTACTTTCCATGGGTTGGGCCCAGGCGCTACCCAGTTGTTAACGAAATGGCTCGGAGACGATGATGTGATCCGGAAGGTGGTCACTTACGCGTTAGCCAGACACGGATTGGCTGGGGCGGGTTGCTGCTGGACATCTTGAATGGATCGGGCTGGAGTGCTCTAAGCGTTATGTGGTGGCCTGTCTGGGCTGGGAAATGCTTCAAAGTAAATCAGAAGTCTGGCGAACAGCAAGAGCGCTTATTGGACCCGCCTGCAATGATATGGAATCGAGAGCTATCAAGAAATCGTTGGCCACGTTGCAATCAGTGCTCTGCTCTTGTAAGCTGCACTTTGCAGGAACGTCAATCAATAAATCAACTTGTAGACATGTAAGAGTTGCATGTTTCAGACATGCAACTTGGTTGCAACAAACATAATGCAAGGACTTTTACAACCTGCACACGGTTACAAACCAACGTACTTCGTGCATAGGGTGTGTCTTTTCCAACAGTGATTCGATGGCGACTCTCAGTGATCCACTTCGGCAGCTACGGGTACGGCAAACGTATTGATCAGCAGGCTCGGCAGGTGCGCTGAGAAATGACAAATTACCAATATCTGGTAATATGTACAGACATATGTCGGGCAGGGTAGGTAGGTAGGTGCCTAGGTTAGGTAATGTACTTGGTACATTGGTGTCAGCTTCCAAACGTTATCCCCCGCCCTCTCATCTCGCTACTACCCACCTGCACCTGAAAGCAACCACGTCATCTTATTGGGCCTGCAACTGCGATAGCTGTGCCGCCGGGCACCGTGCTCCGGTGTTTCTCCAGCAGCCTTGTTCATGCATCGGTATCTTTCATGTATCCCACATGTACTATAATGGCCAGCAATCAAACGTCTTGGAACCAATTACATATCTCCTGGCTGACGATGATGCATAGGCAGATTTACTTGCCTGGATTATTTCGACAGCATGAAGAGATCGTGGCAAAACAAGGAAGGAGCAGACGGAATCAAGTTTGAGGCCGAGAGCACGGGCGGGCGGTAAGTCAATGTCAGCAAGCGTAAGCCTTCAGTCTTTCTTATCAGGTACTATACATCTCGTTACTGACCTGTCAATTGCGTCTCAACATTGGCGGATTTTGTTCTTGACACTTGCTCGAAAATCAATCATGGATCTTCCCAGTGCCTGGCGCCGTCAGGGGCAGGAGCTTTTGGAGAAACTCACAGCTCAATGCAACGGCAAAGGCGCAGGGTCCATGTCATCGGCCATATACGACACAGCATGGCTCTCTATGCTGCGACGGCCAGTGGACTCTACATCTGGTGCGACTCAGCTTGGCGACTGGCTGTTTCCAGAGTGTTTCTCATTCTTGGTTACACAACAGCTTCCGACTGGAGGCTGGGAATCGTACGCCACCCATGTAGATGGTATTTTGAACACAGCCGCAGCCTTGCTGTCTATTCTGAAGCATCTTCAGACCCAGCCTGATAACCATGATTGGCGAATCCGATCCCAGAATGCTACCAGGGCCTTGGAACAAATGTTAGGTGAATGGGACATACACTCCACAGACCAAGTAGGTCAGGAGATTTTGGTTATTTCCTTATTGCAATTGCTGGAAAAGGAGGGTGTTCTAGTAGCATTTCCACTATTTGGTGAATTGCGGACTATTCGAGATGCCAAGCTAGCTAAGCTTCCTGCCTCTTCAGTGTACAAGAATCGATCCACATTATATCACTCACTGGAAGCTTTCATCGGCCACATCGACTTTGACCGAGTAAAGGACCGGAGGGAAACAAACGGGTCGTTGATGAACTCCCCTGCGTACGTCAAGGTGACAGCGTTATAATTGTAACTAGACTGACCGCCGTAGGGCTACTGCTGCTTACTTGATGAATGCTACATCTTGGGACGTTCAGTCAGAAGCATACCTTCGGGATGTTGTAGACCGCGATGGTGGTATCCATTGCGGAGGAGTGCCATGTGCCTGGCCTACAACCATCTTTGAGATTAGTTGGGTGAGTCATGATCTATTCCAATTAAAAAAGAATTATGACTTATCATCTCCGTGTAGGTCGTACCTGTGCTTGCTGAGGTTGGTGTGCAGCCAACCGAGCAAGACTCGGCTGGGATTGCTAAAGTCTTGATGGATGCACTTTCTCAGTATAATGGTGTCCTCGGCTTTGGTACGTCCCTCCTCCAGCTTGATACGTATATCTTGAACAGTGTATACTCACCACTATAAGCAGCTGCTGGCATTCTTCCTGACGTTGACGACACAGCTAAAGGGATAGAGACACTTGAGCTCTTGGGCCATGGTGGCAGTACCAGCATAGAGCCTCTAATCCACGCTTTTGAAGGCGAGCAACACTTTCTGACATACAAGGGAGAACGTACCCCTAGCGTTAGCGCCAACTGTAACGTTCTCTCTCTGCTTCTATTGAGGGAAGACCGTGCGCAGTACGTGCCTCAAATCGCCAAAGCAGCGAGCTTTGCCATAAACCTGGCATACAACGGGCACGTAAAGGAAAAATGGGTGAGTTCACTATGAAACCATCAGAATGCCATACTAATGGCTCGTCAAAAGCATCGCAGTGAGCTGTACTGGATAATGCTTCTCGCCCGTGCCTTTGCACTGTTTTACGACCATGAGGATATCATTGAGGCTGTATTCGAAATGCATCCAAACCTGCGGGAGCAGGTACCCATGGTTTTAATCCAGATCCTTATGCGTATACTACATGATCAGCAAGCAAATGGATCTTGGAGCGAATGCTGTGAGATTACTGCGTATGGCATCTTGACGCTCTCTTCGCTCGTGAAATTACCCTTTGTCCGTCAACTACACAAGGGCAATCTAATCGCTTCAATGGCGATAGGAAAGTCTTACCTGGTATCTAACAGACAGAGCTGGAGCAAGAGTCGATTCATGTGGATTGAAAAAGTGACATATGGCTCAAATACACTCAGCGAAGCATACTGCCTGGCTGCCTCGCTGACTCCTATGCCGGCAGTGATTGAGCCTGAGCCTTCGAGCGCGATTTCATCATGGTCAGAAGCCAACGGACTCTTGATTCCCGAGAAGCAGTTGCTTGGAATGATGAAGACGGGAGATCTTTTGGCTCGTACCCCTCTATTCCTTGGCACCACGCCCAGCAGCTTGCGAATGGCGGAAATGCAGGCTTGCTTTGCCATGCAGGCGCTGCAACGCCGACCTTTGGACATCTTCCCAAGAACGGCCAAGGGGAAAGACAAGTACGCCTTCATCATCCCGCTCGCCCTGACGTTGTGCGCCCAGTCTCGTGGGTGTTCAGTCAGTGTCTCCACCTTGTACGAGATGATGGTCCTATCTATACTCAATTTCCATGTTGATGAGTACATGGAGGGAGTAGTTGAAAGACATTTTGGGGAGGTACTCGATGATGTCCGCACACTTGTTGTACAGATAGTTGATGTTTATCACGATAGCGACGGTGAAAGAGACTTGACGTTGACGGAAGCAAGCAAAGAGGAGTCAAATGCATTACAAAACGGCGGGCACAAACAAATCGGAGGTACCAGTGGCCATGATGAAGTTAATGGTTCGGAGAGGAAGCCCTCTTTAGGGGATGTTGGCGCCGTCTTGTCTCGCTACTTGGATCACATCCTCAACCATACAGCGGTCCTTTCGGCGTCCTCAAGGCATCAACAGCGACTTGCTACAGATTTAAAGACATTTCTGTTGGCTCATATCACACAGGCCGAAGATAATTGTCGCTTTCGCGGACAGTTCGCTACTCAGAGCGGCGTTTCAAACGGCAGCAATGGCACGCACGTGGTAGAAAGCATACCACGGCAATACCACAAGCCGGGGCGCTCGTTCTACAACTGGGTGCGTGGTACGTCGGCCGACCACACTTCTTGCCCGTTCTCCTTTGTTTTCTTCGAGTGTCTCGTTCTGGCGACGAAATATGATGGTGGCAAGACGCGTCCCGCCGGTACGTTGGCATCGGCTCGCACTGCCTACCTCGCGGAGGACGCCTGTCGTCATCTGGCTACCCTTTGTCGCATGTACAATGACTACGGGTCAATGGTACGTGATTCTGAGGAGATTTCTCTCAATTCGGTCTGCTTCCCAGAGTTCTCGGATCTCGCCACAGGCCAAACACACACAAGCGAGACGGCCAAGTCAGAGCTCTTGTTGATTGCAGGGTACGAAAGGCATGGGCTTGGGGTCGCCCTCAATGAGCTGGAGAAAGAACTTGGGTCTGGCAACTTGATGACATCTCTGAGAATGTTTGTAGATGTTACGGATCTGTACGGCCAGATATACGTATTGAAGGATGTTGGTACACGCACGCAGTAGCTACTTGACTTTCCCCGCCTCGATTTTCTTCAGAACGAATAAATCCAAGAAGTCTCATTTCCAGTCGTGACACGCAAAATCAAATTCGGGCACTTCAATGACTTATGTCTTCAAAGGCTTCTATAAGGAATGATCTCTGATGGAATCTAGCTCAAGTTGCAAAGCCTGGACATTCATAGTCCGTTTGCCATGGACCCGGACATGAGTGACTATGGGTAAACTCCCACGTCTCTTTATGGCTTCCTCGCAACTACGGTGAACCTTAAAGAGGTCCCATAAGCGCCATTCTTGGTCTCCTCAACAGCAAGAGGCAACAGCCGCTTCACTTCCCCCGCCAAGAACTCGTTCTTGGTCTTTCGGGCGATGAGCTCGTGTATCATGAGCCCACACTCGTGCCACTGGAAAGCAATGTGAGGGGGGGCGTCTTTGGTGTCCTTTTCAATATCCACAAAACCAGCCTCCGAGAAGAGGTGATGGATATTATTGGCCCAGGTCGGCTTGAATCGTGGATCTTGGACTAGCAAGAGCTTGAAGAGTCCTTCCAGATTGTCCGTCTTGCTCTCAGGCTTGGCCTTGTCAAAACGCAGAGTCTCCATGTCGGCCTCTTCCCATTGAATATGCCCACCAGGCTCTGTATTGCGAATATTAGCATGAAGAACTCTTTACTGTGGGCCAGTGAATATAGCCCTTGAAGTTTGTAATGACAGATATGGGCCTACTGAGCATTTGAAAGATCTTGGCAATCACGCCGGGAATTTCATCGTTCATCAGCACGAATGCAAAAAATCGAAGGTGAATCACGTCAAACACCCCATCGAGACCTTCTGGTACGGGCTGCTTGACATCCCAGTGATGGAGCTTGACATTGGCGGGGAGCACTTCCGGCGGCGGAGAAGCATCGAGAGATATGTCGAAACCATCGAGCTGAGCCTGCCCCGGGACCTGGCGCAGGGCATCGAAAAGCCAGATGCTATTCAATTACCGAGTGAGTTTATTCGAATACGAAATGTAGACCAAGGCCAAGGAGCGTGGCCAACCCAACATACCTTGTGCCAGTCCCTACATCAGCGATCCTTTGAATATTGTCGACCGGAATCTTTGGATGAATGACATAACCAAAGGTCTGGGTCCAGAAATGGTGCATCAGGTTGATGCTGTACTCATGACATGGTTGGATTAGCGATCACGCGCAGATTGAAAGGATAATTTTTATGTTTGGCGCACCGATTGTTATCGAGAAAGTCTCGAGTAAAGACGTAATCTTTCCTGGGTTCCGCCATTGCTCTGTCGCGTTGTTGCTGGTTCTGGTGTCAGGTAGAAAGATGAAGAAGAGTGCATAGCTCTGAGACCAGGTTCAAGGTCTACTTGGTACCTACATAGGCTCACAGATGGGCTTTAGGGTGTGTGGCTGACACAACCGACATCCAAGGTATGTAAGGGAATGGCGCAGCGGACAGGGAGTGAATGACGCCCGACCTCATTCGACGCGAGGGCACGTAAAGGGAATATGCATGTACTGCAAGGCCTCGGGTGTCTGCCAATATGTACCTAGAATAAGTAACGACGGAAGGCTTGTCGGGGCTATTATTTAACATTCGACTTTTGTGTTGTGCTGGATTTATCCATGGTGGTTAAAATCTAGGACGCCCTCCCCTCAGCAGAAGTCCTCGCTGCATGCAATGGTGTATCCCCACGTTCCGACCCCCCCACCCTGTCAAGTTCTATTTTCCTTACGTTGACGTGCTCTGGTCCCAATTTCTGACATGCAACGGAGCTGACCTGAGTTTTCGTGCAGCAACATCTCACCCACAGCTTCTCACTGGATCATATAGATCGTTGACGGGGGCAATCATTTCCTCACCTATGCACGAATCGCTTGCACGGGACAGCGGGCACATCCTTCTCTTCCCAACCAAGCAGCGGTGGACGTGGGTGCGTCGCACAAACAGCGGTGCTGCGTCTACAGTCTTTGATCCAATCCTAGGTCAGCCCTGGCCCTTGTTGTGGTTGCCAGGTCGAAATGAATAGATTATCGTGTCGTTTGCCAAATGTAGGTAGCAATCCTCGCCCACCTCGCAACTTCCAGACACCAGAATCCTTCTACCACCCTACCAGACTGGCCATGATTCCTGTGTGGCGACACAGCTCACTCCGACAAACTGCCATTGCCGGTCACTACTGACGGACGCATTGGACCGGGTCGATCAGCCATGGTAGATCGGCTCGGAACCATCGTAACTACGTGCTTACTTGGATAGATAATCACACTAAAGGATGTTTCGTGCTCACTTGAATATGTAAATCTAAATTTTTTTTTTTTTCCTCGCGCTCTTCATTTGACATGTATCGTCAAATGGTTCGTGCAGAGGGCACTGCCCCTGCACCCGCAGCCATCACAACGCCACTGATTGTTGTCTCGATCATCTTCCCATTGCTATCCGCAATCGCCATTTCCCTAAAGCATTGGGCTCAGCGTCAGAGCAAACATGTCCTCCATGCCGAAGACGGTTGGCTGTGGCTCTCCTGGGTATGTTTACCACTGTCCCGCGTTCCAAAAGCACTTATCCATATATCATATCGACGTGGGCTAATAGAAATTCAAATTGCCTCTCCAGCTTTCGTCTCTGGCCTTGAGTACCATTATCTGGATATTTGCACGATCGGGAATCAATACATACAAGGTTCCAACTTTACAAGGAACCCAGGACTCTCTTCGGGTTCGTGACCATGTCCCCTCAGCTCTGGGTCGTGATGTTATGAAGGTGGTGAATACGCGCTGACTCGCCCCTCGACGTATTAGATGATATGGCTTGGGTCATTGGTGTTGCAGCTACCATTGACGGCAGTCAAGATTGCCATCTTACTTTTTTATAAACGCATATTTACAAAACGGACATTCGCTATTTGGGCGTGGATAGCAATCGCCTTAGTATCGGTTTGGGGCGTGCTGTTTTTCCTTGTAAGTGAGCTATTGTTAATAGCCTGTTGGAATTAACCTAGCCATGAAGCTGACATGCTACTTTGTGGTAGCTCATCCTCGTCCAGATCGACCCGATCACGGTATCGGACATGACAAAAGTCAAGCTACGATTTGATTCCACCGCCATGGGTCTCGCTCAGGTTGGCACGAGTATCACACTCGATCTCCTTGTCCTGTGCTTGCCAATTCCTGTCATTACAAGATTGAACATGAACCGATCCCGCAAATGGGCTCTCGTCTTCATATTTTGGCTTGGCGTCTTGTATGCAAGCCCTCAAACTTTGCAAACCCTGATATTGTACTGACTCGTCATAGCTGTGTTGTTGCTGCGATTATGCGATTGGTTTTTCTCAAGGAATCACTTGCAAAAATTGATGCCAACTATAGTCTAGTCTGTAAGTTGATTCATGTTGAAACTAGTTTACCGAATTACCTAGATAACTACATATCGCTAACACTGTTCAAATGCAGACCTACAAGACAAAATCTTCATTTTCAAGGTCATTGAGCCGAACGCTTCAATCATTGCCGCCTGCCTTCCACTATATGGACCGATCATCAAGGGGTGGCGTGCCCCATCGTCCATTATTGCCAGCATAAGGTCCATGGTGTCTCTTGGAAGTAACGGTCAAAGAGGGGGTAGCTCTGGGTCTGGGCAAGATCGGCAAGCGAACAGCGCCTCAGCAGAAGGGCAGAGTGAGCTCGGCACCTACCGTCGCCTCAGTGAGCAGGAGAGAGCCAAAGACTCTCAAAAGGGCTCGAAGATCTCGGATTCCCAGTCCTAGATATCTCTACATGCGTCACTTACTGATCACGGAGATGCAAATTTTGAACTATTGGGTCGATTATCGATCGGAAAAGTAAAACTACCATCAAAAAGATACTTTCGAAACCAATTTATACTCATTTTGTGGCAGTCGCTAGGAGAGTCATGCAACAACAGACGAGAAATACGACAAAGGCTATCGCCTGACCCTAATGCGTGTCGGCAACTTGTCTTTGATATGACCAAGCCCATTTCCAACACGGTATATCTGGTGACCATCCAATACGTCGGGCATCCGATCACCTTCGCTATACAGGGTGAAAAAACAACAACCATTAGTTACTCCACACATTGGGCCAGTCCTTTTGGGGGTTTTGTTTTGTATTGCTTACCAGGAGGCGTCACTCCCTTCTCCATGTCCAAATTTGTATTCGATATGCCTCGATGTGAGCGCTAGAACAAGTTGCATCTCAATCATGGCCAGCTCTTCACCGATGCACCTGGTAGTTCCCAGCTCAAACGGGCGCCACGCATTCTTGGGGGGATACAAGTCGTGGCCAGGGGACACCAGAAAGCGCTCAGGCAAGAACTCGGAGGCCCTGGGCCAGATGTCGGGACTTACTTGGGTGACGGTAGGTACCGTCTGGAGGATGGAGTCGTCGGTGGGGTACAATATCCCTTCAAGGTAGAAGCTGAAGTTGGCGCTCCCCTCCCGGTGCGTCTGGCCCAGGGCATGGATACGAAGTGACTCCTTTATGACGGCACTCGTGTAGCGAAGATCTTTCAATTTGTAAGGCTGCGTCGAAAGGACATTACGAGCCTCGTTCGGGTCGGACCCCAGAAGTTCATCATGTTCTGACTGAATTCGCTCAAGTACAGCTGGGTTTGTGTTGATGTCGTAAAGCAGCCAGCATCTGTAGAGGAGGCATGTTAGCTTTCCGGATCCGCAAGCAAGCCGAGAGATGCAACATGTTTTGAGTCATTGCGTCCAAGTGGCGAGAAACGTCGAGCTATGGACTGCAACACCTACATTGCTTGAGCAGTCGTGTGGTGACCGGCCAGAACGAAAACCTTGACTTGTGACAATACAACGTCAATGTACTCCAAACGTTGGCGACTAATGTCAATTCCCTTAGTTGACGTTGGGATGTTTTTGAGACAAAGATCCACGACCGTTTTGCGCCGGCCGGGTTCGCGCTCCCGGCCAATGCGTGATTGAATATGAGGCACCATTATGTTGTTGATGATCGAAGTGTGGCGCGACACATCATATCGGTAGGCCGGAAGCCAACGTTCGAGCTTTGAAGCCAGATTCGGCTTCTTCACAAACTGTATGAGCTGCCGTATTGACTGTAACAAAGGACTAGGGCCTTGTGTTTGTTCGTGCGTTGGATAGTCCCTGCACCATTGGGTCAATTGCTACTTTGGAGGCTACTTTCTCTTTAATGTACTTACAGGGTGCTTCTGATGATGATGTCAAAGGTCAGTGGCACGGTCTGATCATAAAAAGGGAAGGGATTTCCCCAGGAACCATCCTCTCCTGCCATTTTCTCCAAGTTCTTGGTGAATACTACGACCTCTTCCAACAGCATATCCATCTGTGACATGAGGTTCATGGATGAGAACCCGGGGTTCAGCCTCGACCGCCAGACCTTGTGCTCGGCCATATCTACGCACGTCAAATCCTTGCCTCCGGTTAACGGTGTCAGTGACCATTTAAACAGCGAATGTCTTGGCTGTGGATTCTCCTGCGTCAACTGAGCACAAGCCTGCGGGCTGTAGACCCAGATCAGCGGCTGGGAGAGAAAAGGCCATAGGTCCAGATAGGCCAGGGGCGGCGCGGTGGTAGCCTTGGGGAAGTAGTCTCTCCAATCGAGACCTAATCTACGAGCGGGATAGGTGTCATGAGCATCGCTTGGCAGCCCTTTTTTCAATGCCATCAATAATGGTATGTGACCGAATAACATCGAGTAGGGCTCCGGGACTGGCTACTGTGTGTCAGTCGCTTTTGCGCATTGAATATTTATGGCTGCCAAGAATGACTTACTAGCCCCCGGGCCCGCAGGCTGCGAAACCTCAGCCGAATCGACAGGAATCTGAAAAGGATATGTCCGAGACATAATAAGGCAATCCCAATCATGTAAGTCACCAGATTGGCCGGTACAAGGTTACGTAAAGCCATGGGGAAGTATCGCGATGCGTCGTTGGAAGAAACGTGATTAAAAATGCGCCCTGGCTTTTACCCAGGTAGTTACGTGGCTGAAATGCTGCTTAATTTACGGTGTTGGTGTAATCTTCTTTCTGGTGGTTTGTGCAACGCTTCTCCAACAGGACAAATTGTGCAGTATATTGCACGGATTTCAAGATGCTACTGCGAAGGAACAATTCTCGAAAGGACGCGCTGGCTGGGTGAAGCGAAAGCATCATAGTCCGATTGACACAAAGCCAGGGTCTTAATTCGGTATGCCCGTGTGATGAGTACGTTGCATTGCAGGTTGGGTATTGATAAACTTGCCTACAGTAAACCAATTGTACCAAAATGCAGTTTTAGACTATGTCGCTCGTACATACAGGGAGTTACCCGCAACCCACATGTATGTACCGTGTACTGGTATGGATGGATAGTGCATGATCAGTGCATACATACTGGACACCGGTCGAAAAGGGTGCCCTGCAGATGATGCCCTGCAGCCTTTCCTGCCCCGCTCGACAGACGGATTCCAACCCTGTGGCCGTCCGGGGTTCCATTGGGTGGCATCTCATATGCGGCTGACGAGTGGCAACAGCTCTACCTCCCTAATCTACTGGGTAGTTGTGAAATGGTGGGAAGCAAGCGAAATTCAGCGCTGGGAATCATTTGGCCCTCCCTGGGGCATGACTCCCTTGCGTACGGTGCACCTGGCCTGCAGTAAGCATCGGGCTGGAAAGCTTTTGGGGGGATACTGACCGGATCTTGGCATGTTGACCCCGCAAGACTTTGCAATGCGATAACGTACACAGTAAAGAGCAAATCCACATGCGTGCCCTGGTCCGTTTTGTTTGTGGTAGTGGGATGGAACGCCGGTGGGAAGAAGCTGCTCATGGTCAAAAGCCTCTTCGTTCTAGCCGTCTTGCTTGTTATCCTGGCCTGAGGTGATTACGGGAGCCCGTCTATGGGTACGTGTCCCACTGATGTAGATTGCAGGCGAAAACCACGCGTGCTATGAAATGCCCTACATGACGGGTTGGTTGGTTAGACTGCGTATTTACGGCAGTCCGCAAAGTTCTCATGAAGCCATTCATAAAACAGTTCAACACCAAGACCTGATGCTGGTATCAGGATATTCGATGTGCTTCACGGATGCATTACAAGAAATTATGGTGATAGAATGCCTAGTAACAGGCCAAAGAAATGAACTCTCGATACCAAATCCTGCCATACCTACCAATTAAGTGTTTGATTCTCATCCGTAGTACCCCTTGCGCCCTATTTAGCCCAACGTGACAGCATCTTCCTCTTGCTCAAGTCGTCCAGTAGTCTGCAATTTGTCGAATATCATCAACCAGAGCTGGTGGGTTGTCCAAGGCTGGAAAGTGCCCGCCAAAGTCGTGGTCTGTGCCTTTTCGTTAGGAACCGCGCATGCACAGAAATGTAGGAGGCAGTACTTACAGACGTATGAAACCAGGTTTCCTACCCACGACACGACCTCCTCAGTCCAGAAGGCACCGCTCCACTTGAAGCTGCTAAACAGCATCGGCGCATCTGTGCGCGCCTTGCTGTAAGTCGACTTTAGTGCGCCAGAGTTCTGCGCATATGTGAAGACCGAGGAAACAAAAGACTTTGTCAGGTAGTACAACGAGACCTCGCGAAGAATCTCATTGTGCGTGAGGACAGATGGTGGTGTTCCCGCCCGTGGATCGGACCCTTTGACATGTGTCAGTGTTTCGGCGGCAGACAAACCATGCAATATCGTTGAACAGTCTTACAGTTGATCCACTTCTCTCCCATCCAGGCCAATTGTCCAACAGGGTTGTCGTACAGGGCGAGTCCAATCGTGTTGGGCTGCGTTTTTAGCTGTCTGGGAAACCAAGTACCGAAGGGTTGCAGACTTACCTTGTTTGTTTGCTCGAGGCTGTACCCAGCGTCAAATGCCAACACCAGTGACTCCTGAAACTGCTCGTCTTCGTTAAGAGTGATATTGTAGTCAGGAAACTGTTCCGGACTCAGAGGGAGAAATGGTATGCCGAGAAGATGCACAGCCCGTACAGTCGTATTGAACTGGTCGTACATGCTATAGGCCACTGTGCTCCCCCAGTCGTTTCCGTGTGCAGCGTAAGTGTTATATCCCAGGACTTCAGTCATGAGGGTATTGAATATCCTCGCTGTGTCATCCAATGTCCAGTTGGCCGGTGGTGCGCTCGAGAATGCATAACCAGGTAGCGAGGGCACCACAACGTCAAAAGATACAGCCGTTCCATTGGATGTAGTAGCGACGGTAGTCAATGGATCGATCAACGGCACATATTCGGCAAAAGAACCAGGCCATCCGTGATTCAATATGACCGGGATCGCGTCTGGCTCGCCGGACTTTTGATGGATAAAGTGAACTTTCAGGCCTTCAATGGTCGTGGTGTATTGAGGGTACCTATCAGGTCAGTCCACGACGGCGCGTCGAACGGGTATGGCACATGGATACTGACTTGTTCAGGGCGGCTTGTTCAGCGGGCCAGCTAAAATTTGTCGTCCATTGGTGCTGCAGTGACTTGAGCACATTCAAATCAATGCCGAGCGACGCGCCAAGCCCAGGATACTCTTCCTGGGCGGGTAACTCGGTGAGACTGATCAACTGGAGCATTCGAGACGCGTTGAGATTGATTGTGAAGTTGGTCACCGAGGCGCACGCCGCACCACCCGGCAGAACCCCCAAAAAGCTTTGAAGTAGGTACGTAGCCTTCATGATGCTGACGAGTTGAGCAGGTTACGATGGGTTGGGATGAACCTACAGCGTCCTTCAGTGGTCAGGCGGGCCGCGAACTTAAGTAGACTTCTTGCTGTATCTCGGAGCGAGACAGTATGCATAGCACGCGTACCTTGCACCTGACTGTGTCGCACGGAATGACATATGATTAGTTCGCTTCTGGAGTGATTGCATAGTCCACGTGCTAAGCCGTGGGTACATGCATGAAGTGTGGCTCATTCCACGTGAAAACGTAAGGTGGCGTTCGATATTATCTTGGCTTGGCCTCGCTGGCGTTGTTTATTGAGATTCAGGTCAAGACACCCATGAAACGGCCCATGCTTCTTCTGACCACTCATGTCCCCAGCAACGTGGCTCTCCAATCCTACGCCGGGGATAAAATAAAGCATTTTTTTTTTTATGTATGGAACTCGTGGGGCACTATTCATGTACACAAATCCTTTTCCACTCGTGCATGACGACTACTTACTGGTTTTCTAGATAAACCAGACTTTACCAAGGGGTGTTAGGGGTTTTATGCTAAAAGAGATCGCTAACCAAGAATGACTGTACTCAGAAAACAGTCAGATAAGTAGGGCGTCTTGAAATGGTTCACAAGTCTAGACTTCAATTGTATTAATTCCTAGTCATGTTACGGCACGACATCAAAAAGAAGGATCAACGAACACATAGTAAGTTCTAACCTAGAAGATTTGGCCATCTCTCCACCCTAGATAAGCTATAGCGCTCGCTAAACATTAGGAATTGTAGGATTTCAGTCCTTTCCCCCACTACTGAAGAGGCCGTATATGGAGTACGCTAGCAAAAGTCCCGGCCCGGTTACCAGGCTGCAGGCTACTGATATTCCAAGTTCCCATGCGCGCCCACTATTTCAGCTTCCATAAAACAACCATCCATCAACTATAGTATACCACCCCTTTGGTACTCTACACCAGCATGACGGGCACTACCCTTGCCCATTATTCTCAGCTCCTTACTATACTTTGCTTTTTCCTACCAATCCAACCTCGCTAACACGACCATTCCATTTTCACCCCCCATGGTTAGCTCGGTTTGCAGCTGATGAGGAGCAATCAGGCCTTGCAAGTGCGGGTGGTGACGGGGTTCTAGGCAGGCATAAACTACTAACAATCCAACATCTCTTACATACCGCAAGCACGTTCGCAGAACTGTAAATGCGCCATTCTCAGCCAACCACGGGCAACCAAAATTAAAGAATTGTATCGCAGTCATTGTTCAATGAGCGCCTTACCGACTCTTTGTCTTTTTCCCTCCGCGATAGTGTACTCTACGGGCAAAGATCATCACCCGCAGAGATATCGCAGGCATTGTCAGACGTTTCCGGCAGTTCTGCACTGTCGTTCAGCTATAGAATCTACGGGTCCATCGTATTTCCCACATCGAGCTGCACACTCACAGTTGTCTACGCCGACACTACAATTGGCACCCTGACATTCACGTTGACCAACATAGCGACTGCTCGCTCGTACAGCCTGGCAGACTGTGACGGTCCCGGTTGAGAACACCGCATCGTCGGGGACGTTGTCGGTCTCCTGATACTGCAGTAGTCCTACCACAGTCGATGCGGACCTCGCGCTTGACAATGTCTATTTTACCAAGGCCACTCACTGCCTGTACATGACAGCAAGAGGATTCGCCGAGCTGAAAATGTGTACCAGATGACTCTTTGGCTTCACTTACTTCCTTTATATGTGTATCATATTTATTATAACCACAGAGTCTCCGACTTCCATTGCCCACCGTCCTGCTGTCAAGATATACTAGCACCTTTTGTGGTCACTAACTGCGCATGACGTTGGATGGGCTGACATCTGGCAGGTGCCACTGAGCACACTTGGTCCACAAAGACCTGGGAGGAAAACCAGACAAAGGTCTTGGCTCTACATAACTTCTCCCCTCTCCATCACCACCAATAAACTACTATTCGCTTTCGGGATTTTCCCAGTTTTTTCCACTGTAAATTGTTTCCCTTGCATAGCTTCATCAAACGTATATCTGTGATTCTATCTAATGTCTTGGTTCTACCCACAGTACTGGCTGTCCCTCTACATCCGACTCTTCGTGATCTTAACGTGAACACTACTCCTCCTTCCATTAAACTAAAGCAAAATGAACAAAAATCTCACAGTTACGAGAAAAAGAAAAACATACAACACCGAGGATTCCCCAGTGGTCACCCACCTGAGTACTGATTCGGCGATTAGTTGCTTAATGAGGGCAGAGCGAACGGGATGCCATGTTTTCAACTATCTATGGTCGTATGTGCCTAAATATTCAGTCAAACATATTTATATGATTCAAACACTTTACATGCAGAAAACGCGACAACTGAGCAGGATCATGATGAAAAGTATCACCGTACGCGACGGGGATAGAAAGACGAATTTGCGATAGGTCAAGTCGGTGGGCAAAGGCCAGGCGCCTATTTTCCTTGGTCTGTCATGAGAACGAGCGATTGGCAAAAGACAACAAGAAATGCGAGAAACAAGCTGGCTGATTCGTCATTTGTGATATTTCTGGCAAGCAAACGAGGGTCGTGCGCCTGACTTGCCTAGTGAAAGGCTTCAAGGTTGCAAGCCCCATGAAGAAGAAGAAATGGTTCGTCGTCACAATACCTATTATACAATGGATGAAGGGGTTTGTTTGTCGGCGCCTGTGATCTAGTGGCCTTTGGTGCCTATGAATACCTAGGATTCTCATTCAAATGAGCGAGACCTGGCTTCCTCCTGATGGCTACTGCGTACTTCTCGTCTGTCGATCAACGCTTTGAAAAGCAAGGTGCATGCGTAAAATTCGCAAATTATACCATACCAACCCTTCGCATCTGGTTAAAGGCGGTTCTCTTCGTGGCATCCCATATCTTGCCATTTCCATCAAAGTGCGCATAGGCCGCGCCAATGGCCAAGCCGGCCAAGTGCACCGAATGTCCCCAACGGAGGTAGGGGATACCAAAGATGAGTCCATACGTCTCAAACGCCGCCATCAAGCTCAGGGCTAGTTGCGCATCCACCGATCCAGGGACGAAGATGATGCCAATCTGCGCATGGGGAAACGACATGCCAAATGCGCCGACGAAGGCCATAATGGCACCACTGGCGCCAGAGCCACGCCAGAAACGGCGAGACGGTACTCTCGCCTCGATCTGGGCTGCCAGACTCGACAGGATTCCAGCAGAGAGGTAAAAGGCCGCAAGGTGAGGTGCGCTATCTTGAAATGTAGACGTACGCGCAAGAGCCGGCCCGAAACTCTAAGAAGAACTCCAGTAAGCTTGCGATACCACAAACGAGATCAGGACGACTGATTGAGACCTACGTATAAACAGTACATATTGAATAAAAGGTGCATTCCCGAGAGGTGTCCAAACATGGAGGTGAGCATGGTGTAGTTTCGCCCAGTAATGGGTATGTGGCTAAAGTACCACCGAGTGTGTGGTCCTGAAACGGAAGTAGCGGCGTAAATGCCGGTATTCAAGGCAATATTGGCCAAGATGACCTTTTGCGTCTCGGAGAGGTTGCTCCAAAGGTCGAACGGAGAGACACTGACGGCCTGGCGATGACTCTGTTGATGCTTTCTGCTATAGCTCGCCGCGAACAACGCGTCATACGAGTCGGGCTTTGAGTTGAAGCCGTACTTGGTGTAGTTCTTGATCTCGCGACGAACCTCGAACGCCGCCAGTCCAAAGTAGATTGTGCCAATGGCAGTGACGCACCAGACGACTGGCTTGAGAATCGGGACTTTGGGTCGCATGTTTTGGAACAGGCGCTGAACATATCCTTGAGTGCCCATATATCGCCTATGGACGCGAGGTGCTTGGTGCGCCAGGCGGGGCAACGCCCGTCGACCCAGGTGCGCGCAGAGCATCGTCATTCACTAGGCGCTCTGATCTGGACCGATAATTGAATCACAGGGTAAATGCCATGATGCTTTGGCGTCCCAAACGAGTGCAAGTGATGAAAAAGGCAAAGATATATTCTGGCGTCTTTAGGTAGGAAGATGTTAGCGCGCTCTGTCTTGGCCTGAGCTGTCCCCACTCAACTTTTATTCTTTAGAGGGCCAGCGAACTCCATCCCCCCGAACCAACTTGCTTATGCCCACCAACCTTCACTGTTAAGTTTACCACATTACGAATTCACTACCAAAGGAATCGAATTTCATTTTTTAAATCCCACGGGATAGAAGAATTGGTATTTCTTCAATTTTTCAAACTTGCCTCCAAGACAACCTCATGATACTTTTAATTCATCAGAATAGTCCCATTACTCGAGACCCTAGCGATCGAGTCCTGCCTATCTGTCCTTACACACGACCTTTTTGCAGAAGACTTGTAGCCTCTTGTCAATATGTTTCGCATTATTGCGACAGGATTGGCACGACGGATGGAGGTCATGGTGCTATTCTAAGTTTTAAGGTTTTTTTTTTTTGGTTTTTTTTGGACGGCTCTTTCAGACACTGGAAGCAGATGGCTGTGAAGGAGAGATCAGTATGGTCTCGCCAGTCCCAGCCAGCGATTCCATCGGGATCAGTCGTCAAACTCCTCGCACTTGACCATCGCCATGGGCATCCTGTTTCATATTGCGCACAAAAATTGTGTATGATCTCTTGGTGATGTCGCTGAATCGCCGTCCTGATTTTCTCTCAATTCCTTGCGATAGTTGTTCTTGTCGTCGTTATCGAGGCACAGGATCTTTCAAAGTTTCTGCAATCATGGAGAGCCTCTCCGAGTCTGTCCAAGCTCGTCAGCTAGAATTTCAGCAGTGAGTGAGGCCGGGCTTTTCAGCTGGAGCAAAGAACCCGCGATTGTCCCGATATCTCTATTCGTCACGAATCACAGATCAGCAGAATGACTCTCCATAGGACTTGGTGATAGGCCAGGTAAAGCAGCCTAACTGAGGCCTGACCAATGATCAAGACGGACTGCACTCTGTTCAACAATCCACGACACAATGCCGGAATACCGGTTTTCGACCTGTCCATCCCATCTCGTCAGCACGTGTGGTAGCACGAAAGGTCTGGCAGTCTGGGAGGTGCCGTTGCCATCACAAGCTCAAGTTGTCAACAGTGTGCGGGTCTCGGAACATGAAATATATCTCCAACGTCCGTCCCCACCAGCGACGACGACCGACTTTGCGTCGTCGTGATTGATCTCTATCTTTGACATCTGTAGGCCAAGACTATGCGCAAGGATTGAATATCCAAAACGGAAGTCGTAGATAGAGCTTCGTGGTCCCAACCGGGTTAGCACAGCACCAGTAGATCCTCTTTGTGGTTCAACAACCTGGTACCAATTGCCCATCTGAGACTGCAACTGTTTGATCCCCTTGGCGCAACGCCAATCATGTGAGTGGATCTGCCCACTGTGTGCGCGACAACAGCACACCCACTCAATTCTTGTACTTCATTAAGCTCATCATAGAATGCGTGTTAATTTGAGATTTCCGGGCTTTCTTGCTCTCTTAGCGAGCTTTTCATCTATATCGCTCTAATTTTGAAGCGCCTCTTGCATTCTGTTGAGCCTCTTTGGCACTTCACCTCCCTTTCTGGTGTAAGTCGATTCATGGAGTGCAGCATGTTGTAAGGAAAACATATATTCCTTTCGTTTTGAATCACTTTACATTCGTTTCCATTCGTTCTTTCTTTTGGGCTGCATCGTCCATCATGTTGCTACACAGTATAGTAGCGTTTGCATCGATACCGATTGCATTTGCAAAGGTTCAATTTTTGGGTGTCGCGATCGCCGGAGGAGATTTTGGATGCCAAATTGATGGAACATGTCCGACCTCATCGGTTCAGTTTGCCGGTGATGCCTCTGATCAAATGAGCCACTTTGTTGGTGAGGGCATGAACTTGATGAGGATTCGTGAGTCCTGATCCTACCTCCCGTGAAGGGACAATGACACTAACGTCCACAATCAAGCTACATCGTGGCAATTTCTTGTAAACAATCAGTTGGGCGGAACTCTGAACGATGCCAACTTGGCAAAGTATGATCAGCTCATTCAAGCCTGTCTTGGTACAGGAGCCCATTGCATGATCGATATTCACAACTTTGCACGCTGGAATGGCGGAATCATTGGCCAAGGCGGACCATCAGACGACCAGTTTGTCAGCCTTTGGACTCAGCTGGCCACAAAATATGCGGCAAATGACAACATTGTGTTTGAGATCATGAACGAGCCGCATGATTTAGACATCGACCTATGGGCGCAAACCTGTCAGAAGGTAGTGACAGCAATCAGAAACGCCGGAGCGGCATCGCAAATGATACTTCTTCCTGGTACCAACTTTGATAGTGCCGCAACTCTTGTGTCAAGTGGTTCAGCAGACAAGTTAATGACCATCACGAATCCAGATGGCAGCACGGATGGCCTGGTCCTCGATATCCACAAGTATTTGGACGAAGACAACTCGGGCACGCACGAAGAATGTGTTACGGATAACGTGGACGCTTTCACTGAGCTCTCTCTGTATCTAAGGAATAACGGGAGGCAAGGTCTCATTAGTGAGAGTGGAGCGTCAAGCGACGCCTCCTGCCTGACAAACTTTTGTTCACAAAACGCATTCATCAACCAGAACTCGGACGTTTTTGTTGGCTTCGTGGCATGGGCAGCGGGAAGTTTCTCGACTTCATACGTCCTCAGCTTGACGCCCTCGAAGCAAAGCGGTCAATATGTCGACAACAGTCTCATGACACAATGCGTCTTTGGTCCTTGGCTGAGTTCGAGTAACACTTCTACGCCAACCACTACGAGCCAGATTGTCTCTTCAACTACATCAGCATCATCAGTCTCTTCGTCGTCATCATCACTGACGGTTTCATCAGCAATAGCAGCATCAACAACCACAGGTATTGCCTCGATCGTGCTCTCGGGTACAAGCATAGTCATCCCATCGACGTGGTCCCTCCAAACCGTGACCTCGCTCCTGATCGATACCGAACCGCCCACTCTGTTGCCGCCGAGTGCTACTGCATATAGCGGCATGACTCTCATCACGGCAGCGACCAGTACAACCGCCACCTCTTTGGCGTCTGCTACGACTGCATCGAGCACTTCTCCCGTGCCAACGTCTGGATCTATTCCTGCCTCGGCACTACTCCAGTCTGTTGTCGCCAGACTTGTGGCCTGCGGTCTGCTTGTGCTGTGCTTCTTGTGAAGTATCTCTTGAGCGACGCATCTCATCGTGCGAGTGTGCAAAAAGACAAACAAACAAATTGTCGCGGAACTCTGGTGCGATTTTTCTTTTCTGTCTTACTTTACATGCAAAGAGCTAGAAGATTACGGAGCACTTCCATTCGACCATTTATCTCGCGGTCGGAACAACGCTAGGGCGTGGCAGCAAGGGCGAATATGTCTCCAATGGGGTCTCACTGGGCGATAGTACCACGGCATAAGAATAACTTTGCGAATTGCCATGAAAGTAGTGTTGGTTCGACTTGAGTGCTATGAACAGACGCTGCCCGTGGAAACATTGGGCACAGTCTACCTGGCAAATTCTGAATAAGAAGTTGTTGAAGGAGCACTCAAGTCGGGCAAACGACACCACTCCTCCTCGATCGTGGCGTTCTGATGAATGAGTTATCTTTACTCTATACGAGGGATAGCTTATACAACTGCATGAGGGGAACATGTTCGTATTGATGCATTTGTTGCATGAGCAGTAATTTGGCTACAAAGGGTATCGAGCGCAAACATATCTCCTTCATGAAGCGCAGTAAATGACTGAAAACTTGGTTGGAGTTAGCAGGTATTGGATAGCACATACGAACTAGCGAGTTTGTATTTCCCAAATCTCGAACCGTCAGATACGCCCAAGCCTTTTTGAGACCCATCCATCTTGGAGCGGCAAGTTTTAATGAACAGTTGGAACGATATTAAAGCCGCTGTCTCTGGCACGATTTCAATGGGAAAGCAAGGAAATATCACCAGCCTTTGATATCATGAATTTGCTTAATTTTTGGGTCCAGAATTTATCCTAAAACGCACCTTGAATCTCAGTCCTGACTTCAACAGCCTGTTCCCAGTGATGTGTATGTCAAATCAACATAACGATAAGCAATCAAGAGAAGGTCAAGCGAATATCCACGAAGCCATGTATGAGCGTCGAGAACATCTGGATTCTAGAATGCAAGCTAGGTCGGATGCGCTAGAGCATATTTGGTTAGCGAGGGGTGGGCCGGACCACAGCACAGCTCGCTGGGTGCAATTGAAGGGCTTTTGCTGGGCAGCTCAAGCAACTTTGCAGGGGTTCGGCGCAGGTAGATACCTGCCTGGGCATTTCTATCTAGCAAAGGTGTTCAGCCTCATCGACCTCTGGAACTTTTAATGCAAGGCCTTGCGCAACACCCATCAATCCATCACCTCCTCGTTGTGCGCGCCGTCGCAACACTCGACAAAAGACGCGACGTATCGAGGCCCCTGCGTCGACTCTCTTTACCCTCGTCGGCGCCTGCGTTGCTTCTTTGAGATGACTGAGCTGTCCTGATATCTCCATTCACTTACGCGACGACGCGACGCCTCAGACGCCGACCCTTCCCAAACGTCCTTGAACACTTCAATTCATCAAACACACACATACTGCCACCATGGCAGCAACTCAAAATGGCCACCGGAATGGTGTGCCTCTAAGCAAGCGATTTTCGGATATCCCTGCGAGTGTGGATGTCCCCTTCCAGGGCGGACAAGAAGATGAAGCCATCGAGATCAGTCTTGGTGCCCTCGCCGACGACCCTACCGAACTTTGCGAAATGCTCGAGAACGAAAGCGCCGCCCGAACCTACTGGATGACCGTCGCCATTGCCTACGCCAAGCACAGTAATATTGACAATGCAATTGAGATGCTCATCCGCGGCGGCAATGCCATGCAAAATAACAATCCCAAGGAAAAGTTGAGCATGGTCAGCGCTCTCTGTTGGATGTACCTCTGGAAGAGCAGAGAGGCACCACGTGTAGCCCCCGAGGGCACGTTATCATCCGAGGCCAAGACAAAGGAGTACTATCTCAACCAGGCCACACAATCCCTCAACGAAGCACTGCGCATCAACCCAGCCTTTCCTCCGTTGTTTCTAGCAAGAGGTGTCATCTATCTGCTGAGGGCCTCGCTAGTATCACCATCCAAGTCGTCTGGGCCCACTGCCATTGACCCTGAGAAGGCCGATCTCTTGCGCAATGCACTCAAGTGCTTCGAGGACGCAATTCGGGTTTCGCATGGCAAGAATGTCCTGGCTCTGATGGGCAAGGCAAGAGCTCTGTTCTCGCTAGCCAAGTACCCCGAAGCGTGCGCCCTTTACCAGGACGTATTACGCAAGATGCCCGACATGGTCGACCCTGATCCCCGCATTGGTATTGGCTGCTGTTTCTGGCAGCTCGGTTTCAAGGATGATGCTAAACAGGCCTGGGAGCGAAGTCTCGAGATCAACCCCGAATCCAAGATTGCCAACATTTTGCTCGGTCTTTACTACCTTGACTCGAGCGCCAAGGTGCCCACGAATAGCCCCGATTTCATTCGCCTCTACAAGAAGGCCATGACCGAATTCACTCAAAAGTCTTTCAAGATGGACAAGAACCAACCTCTCACATGCGCAACCTTTGCCGGCTACTTCTTGTCCAGGAAACAATTGTCCAACGTCGAATCGCTTTCCAACAAGGCTCTGCAGTACACCGACGTCAACAACATTGCCAGTGATAGTTGGTATCTCCTAGCTCGTAAGGAGCATGTAGAGGGCAACATTGAAAGAGCTACAGACTACTATCGTCGCGCCGACGAAGCCAGAGGTGGTTTGGAGAGAGGATACTTACCCGCCAAGTTTGGTGTAGCGCAATTGTCAGTACTCAACAACGACTTGGGTGAGGCCAAGCTGCGATTGGAGAAAATGATTCAGCAATCCAAGAATTACGAAGCGATGGTACTGATGGGTACCTTGTACGCCGAGGAGGTCTTTGCAAATCAGTATGCTGCCTCAAAGGAGGACAAGACTACGGAGATGAACAAGGCTATCCAGTATTTGGAAAATGTTCGTGGTGCTTGGAAAGACCCCAAAAGAAATCAACTGCCCGACGCGTCTGTGCTTCTGAACCTCGCCAGACTCTACGAGAACGACCACCCTGGAAAGGCTCTCGAGTGTCTGCAACAGGTCGAACAACTCGAGCTTGATCAGATCCCAGCTTCCGAGTATCCGGCTGACGTGGAGGAACCCGCCTTGGTCAAGAACGCACTGCGCAAGAACTTGCCACCGCAGCTTCTGAACAACATTGGCTGCTTCTACTCACAAGCTGAGAAGCATGACTTGGCAGGAGAGATGTTCGAGGCTGCCCTTGGAGCGTGCATGCGAATCAGCGAAAAGGGCGATGATATGGATACCGATGCATTAGTCACCACGATCAGCTTCAACCTGGGCCGAAGCTACGAGTCTCAGGGCCGCACTGATGAAGCTATTGAAGTCTACGAGCGATTGGTTTCCCGCCACAGCGATTACACCGAGGCCCAGGCTCGTCTTGCTTACATCAAGCTGCGCCGCAACCCGAACAAGGAGGGTCCCGACGCCGTTGCCAAGTTGTACCAGGAAAACCCATCCGATCTAGAGGTTCGAGCTCTGTACGGTTGGTACCAGGGTAAAGTACAATCTCGCAAGCGACCTGCCAGCGTGAATGACGACCCTGAGCTCCGGCATTACAAGCACACATTGCAGCAATATGACAAGCACGACCGGTATGCCTTGGTTGGTATGGGTAATTTGTACATGATGGCTGCCAGAGAGATGCGTCGAGAGACGGACCAAGAGAAGCAGAAGCGATCTGCCATGTACAGCCGCGCAGTCGAGTTCTTTGAGAAGGCTTTGCAACTAGACCCCAAGAACGCCTATGCTGCCCAGGGTATTGCCATTGCTCTGGTAGAAGACAAGAAGGATATGAAGTCGGCTTTGCCAATTTTCCTCAAGGTCCGTGACACGATCAGAGATGCCAATGTGTTCGTCAACCTTGGTCATATCTACGCTGAGCTCCGCCAGTTTTCTAAGGCCATCGAAAGCTACGAGGCCGCACTCGCCAGAGACAACAAGGCCAATGACACTGGTATCATTGCTTGTCTTGGCCGTACTTGGTTGAACAAGGCAAGGCACGACAAGGATATGGATGCCTACAAGACGGCATTGGACTTTGCCAAAAAGGTGAGTACTTGGCTCTGTTTGGTTCCCTTGATGCCATTCACTAACAGGAATTAAAGGCCATCAGCATCTCCCCGGATCAGGTTCATTTCAAGTTCAATGTTGCATTTGTGCAGATCCAGCAGGTCCAGGCTATATCCAAAATACCCGAAGCACAACGTACATCTGTGCAGCTGGAAGAGGCTCTGGAAGAACTCGAGTCAGCTATCAAGGCTCTCGAGGAGATTGCTAGTCACCCACAACCTCCTTACCCCAAGTCTGATCTTGAACAGCGTGCAAGCTTTGCGAAGACTCAACGAAACCAACTATCGCGTGAAGTTGAAAAGCAGAAAGAGTATGAAGAGAAGAACAAGGAAAAGCTTGCAGCTGCCATGGAGCAACGACAGGCTGAGATGAAGCGCCGCGAATCCGAGCGCGAAAAGGCTCTTGCTGCAGAACGTGAGCGCCAAGAGAAGCTCCGTAAGGAACGTGAAGAGATTGCTGCTCGAGACCTCGAGACAATCAAGCAGCGTATCGAAGACGAAAAGGTACGGCAGGAAGCCGAACTGACGACAGATAGCGAGACCGGCGAAAAGATCAGGCGCAAGAAGAAGTCCCGAGCTCCGCGACCCGAGGGCCAGTCCAAGAAGAGCCGGCCCCGGAAGAAGAAGACTGAGGACGACGAGAGCGGAACGGAAGGGGAGGAGCAGCCCAAGAAGAAGCGCCGCCTTACGAAGAAGGAGACGAAAGCCAACAGCAAGTACAAGTCGGCCGAAATCATTGTTGACAGCGACGATAGTGGCGATGACCTTGAGCGGGCAGAGCGTGCTATTAGTGCTGTATCTGAGCGCTCCGAAGCCGATGACAAGGTCAGAGCAGACAGTGACGATGATCAAATGGACGTTGACAATGGTGCTGGTGGCGATGATGACGATGACGAGGCTGCTGGTACGACAAGACGTCGCGCTCGAAGAGGCAGAGTCCTGGAAGACAGTGATGAAGATGAGGATGGCGGTGATGCGGAACCGAGCGGACACAAGTCTGATGATGATGACGCCGAGCCGACCAAGTCAGCTGATGTTGATATGGCTGACGAGGATGATGAGTAGGCCAACTCTAGTCGGTTTGCATTTCTAGGAGTCATGGTGTATCTTGAATTGTTCATCCCCTTTCCGGTTGACGGGGATGTCTTGTGCAAAAGCTAGGTAGATGGGCGAGCCAAAACAGCATTCTTCAAATTTGAAAAAGATACAAAATGAGACCCAAATGGATCATGCAATCATTGATGAGATTGACTCTTGGTTCCGTGTTATAGATAGTGTCATTCGCGGGTAACCCATATTCACCCACCCCGAGGGTTCAACGGCGCCTCGCACACAGCTTTTTGCCAGTGAAAAGAAGTGTCTATTACTTTCTATTTGCGTGTAATTATCGCTGGCCTAGATTGTGTCGTTTTGTTGACCTTTAACCCGTGCTTCTTGGCCAGGCTATCCATGACCTGATTGAAACAAATCAGACTCGGACTTGGACCCAGAGGCAAGGCACTTTTGGAGCACAAGTGGTAGCCATTAGGGCGTGATTTTCTCACCATTCTCAGTCGAATCCGGCTTATTTCCCTCTCTTTACGTAAGGGTTTCATGACACTGATCAACACCAATCAAGCCCGACGTCAGTGAGGGAGTGACTAACTATATCAAGGACGAATCTCACACATCTACATAGACGACAGTCAGTGCCTCGGTGATCAATCTAAGCATCTATCGTACCCATAGGTGAAGCTTCCAATACGCTTTGACGACTACACTTGTAAAATCAGTTCAACACGACCAACTTCAGTCACTCCTTGCTAACAGTGTTTACTGCTGCTCCCTCCTCTGCATGAAATCATCGAGGCGCGCTGCAAACTTCCGGATTCGCGTCACCTCCTCGTATAAATGTCTCTCTTCTTCGGGCAGGACTGCGATGTGGTCGTGGCAGTGACTCCCAGTGGGGGCTTCCCCCGTAGCCTGAGGAACAGGGGCTTCAGCGCTGTCTTGATCAATTGGTAGCATAAAAGGCGCTGCGATGTTCCCGTCGGTAATTTCTACTGCATCCTCGGTGATTTCAAGGTGAAAAAATCGACTAAAAGGGTGAAACTTGGTTCGGGCCTAGCATGCCAACAATACCAGTGATGCTTGGGTGTTGGGTGGCAGCCAGAAAGAAAGCAAGTCTGTCCTTGGCATAATCAGTGGAGGCCCGCATATGAATCTCACATTTGACAAAGCATGTGAAGTTCTAGAAAGCTTGCCAAATGATATCCCACGACACCATGGCTCCAGGTTACAAGCGTACAGGATGACTGGACTACCTCGGTCACATGCAACCTTGTCCTGTCCGGAAATAACCCCATTGTGAGAAAAGCTATTCAAAGTTCGACAGATTATGAATTTAACGCATTCCTATCGAATACAGGCTCGGATACCCTCAATGATGATGCCGCAGATACGACCATAGTTAGTGAACCTTGAAGCAGATTAGTGTTGCGTGAGAAGCCAACATATCCTCGCCTAAGTTCTACTTGTTCATCGACTCGCCCATTGAGACCTTGGATATTGAACATGTAGTGAAGCCAGCGAGAATGTGACTTGCTCTCGCGCATCCATACACACGTGGTGGTTGCGGAAAAGATTATTGTTGACTTGGTCAAAAACTAAAGCAGCTTTGGGCGGATACCCCCATTGCATATCCCTTAACCTTTTCCGTGGAGGATATTGATGCAGATGATACGTCTGGAGATATGCCCGGCGGCAGCAGCCGCGATGTAGGTACGGACTCCACTGTTCCTGCATGGCAAGGCCATGGCAGCTCTCGAAAGACTGCAGACGGACATGTCCGTTATATCTCCAAGTATCTCCTCTAATAAACTTACTCTTATCGACCACGGAGGGCCGGATGTAACATTCTATGCCTGCTTGAAGACTGAATAGAGAATTTCGACAGGGCTGACACGGGTACACCCGTCCTGCAGACGACTATTCCCGCAGATCCTGCATGTGATGTGCCGGCAATTGTTTAAGGTCCATCCCATGATCATATTGCATGAACTTTAATCTCTCGTGGATATGCAGTAGGTCCAAGTTTCACCTTGTCGAGATGAGAAGTTTCCCACTACTGCTCAGAAGTCCGAGATCAAAGTACGGTCATTTGCAGTACTTTTTATTTTCAGTATTCAAGCAATGCTTGTTGCATGATTTACTACCTTTTCACACTCACAATACCTGCTACAACAAAATGGAGCTATCTGACAACCAGATCATAGTGCCGGCCTTGGCCTCTCTCAGCTATGACCCTATCCATGGTGGATGGAGTGTGATAGGTCTAGTCGTTGATGATGATGCCTCCGCACAGATTCCGCAAGCTGGGGTAACAGATCCATTCCCTACCAATAGTCAAGATACGGCAGATGCATTTTGGCAAGATATGCAGTTTTTCGAGCCGGACCCGTCCGTCGTTTGCGAGTTGACTCAACCAGTCGGATATATTTTCCACGAAGATCCACTAGTAGTGTACTTTCCGGATTTCCTTGCACCAAACATGATAGCACACATACTCGATTCCACGTAAGCAGTGAGCCGAATTCATTTGTTCCAATTTGGGCTGACGGGGTTTCTCATAGTCACGAGCAATACGAACCATCCTATGTATACAGTGAACGCGGTACAGAGCAGGATGACAGCTTTCGCTCGTCACAGAGTGCATTCCCCCCCAGGGACGAGGTGCTAAAATGTCTTGAGCAGCACGCGCAAGCAGCCCAGTCGTGGGAGGAGAACATGAAGTTGGAGGCCATTTCTGTACAGCAATACCTAGAGGGCGGTTTCTTTCAACTCCACCATGACACTCTCATTGATGAACAGCCTGGCGCGCCGTCTCGAGCCTCGACATTCAATGTCTACTTGAAGTCGGATTGCACTGGGGGGGGCACGCATTTCCCCAAATTGCCTCGACCCCAGGACGAATCATGGTGTCAATTCATCGATTGTGACTCGGCAGAAGATGGTGTTGTGTTTAAGCCGATTGCTGGAAATGCCGTGTTTTGGAGCAACACACGATTGGACGGCAGCTTGTACGAAGAAACTCTTCATCAAAGTCTTCCTGTCCTTTCTGGGGTAAAGGTTGGATTGAACATCTGGACTTGGGTCTTTCCTGATGATGAAAAGAAGACATGATGGATACGCATAATGTATAAGAATTGTTGCACTGCGTATTCAATACCCGTCGCAAATGATCACCTGCTCGGGTATATTACTAGGTAGATAGTTCTTCAGCACCACTCTTTCGAAATCTGCAGGATCAACTCAAACATCTTTGTTACATTCGATCAGGTGAGAGACACACATGCAAGAAAAATATCCTTTGCACTATTGCCATGTCACCAAGCACGATCAGAGAATGTATTACTTGCAGTAATATTACGTCAATGCCTTTCAGCATTCGTGCAGCATTATGTTGAATCTATCATCGTTGCTTTTTATATCGCTGCCGAACTTCACAGCATCACAAGTCTTGTATACATCACGATGATTACAAAGTAAGCTTCAAATAGTTGAATTAAACTTGTGGCGAATTGGTGAATCAAATGCACGAATGTGTCGGACAATATTCACATCAATTAGACTTTAATCCTCCCATGACCTCGGGGTTATTGAACGAAATACGTTCTTTCTCAGCCTTTGCTTGGTTCTTACACACAGACCGGCAATGCACCTCCCTGATTCCAGAGATATACAGGACCACAGCACTTGAAGGCTCCGCTGGAATCGTAGAGCGGCATATCCAGAAAAGGATCCTTTCCTTGACACATATTAACATCCACAGCTGCTTGTGTCGGCGCTACACACTGGGAGACCGTCACAGTAGCGGGCGGTGCCGTCACAGTAACAGGCGGTGCCGTCACAGTAGCGGGCGGTGCCGTCACAGTAACGGGCGGTGCTGTCACAGTAACGGGCGGTGCTGTCACAGTAACGGGCGGTACAGGCGGTACAGGCACTGTAGATGAAATTCATTAGTACGTAACGTATGGATGGGGATCCGAATATGGAGAGCATACGAACCTGGCTTGGGTGCTGGTACCTGCACAACGGGCGCAGGTGGAGGCCTGGGTGCTGGTGCTGGTGCTGGGGGTGGTGGTCGAGGAATCGGTATGTTCAACGGAATATGTACACCGCGTAGAAAGGCATTGCCCAGGCCTACGAGGCCGAGCATCTGAAGTAGAACAGTTTTCGAATGCATGGGATGAGATTTCGGACGAGCTTGGCTTGTGGCTTATCACGATGCCAAAAGGGTTATGTTGCTCGGTATGAAGGTAAGGTCATACTTATAAAATCGGCCGGATATTTGAGAATACCTTGGTGGTATGGAATAATCGGAAATAATATTTTTGTAAATGTCATTTTAGAGCACGATATCAAGAAAGATCACATGTGTACGTACGTACTTGGTAGGTTTCTTCCGGTGATCTTCTGATAAGTCCTTGTTTCTCTCAGTGAAACGACTCAAATCGATGTATTGACCCATAACGTTCCGCCGGCAATACTTTACTTTGATGTTGAGACCATCTCCACACATCATCTTGGAAAACCGGCGAGTTAAAATCTCATGTTAAGCTTCAAGAGAGGGATGCAAGTGCGCCTTTGTGTTTTTCTATCTTTGTCACGTGCTAGGCACTGCGCTGAGTACACCACACTTTCGTGGCTTTACTTGCCAATCGTAGATTGAGAGATTCTTTCAAGCGATCATCACTCTCCTGGCTACGCAGCTCATCACTACACTCGGTCATTTCTCCGTTGTTTCCGCGTGTACCGTGTACTTATCAACGTCTCTGACCTTAGAATTTTGTAGCTTTGAAGTGACCACCCACTTACGTATAGCACCCGCTAGCAGGTGAATCATGATCTGGAATCGAGCAAGTGGATTCGATTGAGCCAGCACCAAGTAATAGACAGTGAAGTTGGCCTTGGGCATTCAAAGGTTTAAGGGTTAGGACCCAGTCTTTCCGACTGCTGTCCCCATCCACGATAAAGGCTCATACTTTTGTGTACAGAGGCAGACAAAAGAGAACCACTTCGTATGTTGTTTTATTGTTCTCCACGATATTGATCACTCGACTAGATATTGTAACCTCCAATATGAAGAAATCGCTTCCTAGTATCCTTGCTGTCCTCCTGGACAAAAGCTTGGCTCAAAAGCCATTTGTTTACGGAGCACCACCAGCAGGTTAGACCCCGTTTCCGCAACTCGGTCCACGTTGCTATTTGTTTCATATTTCCTTTCTCTTGTGCATAATTGTCAAAAGCATTTCTGTATGTCTGACTTGCAATAGCTGCTCCCGCTGGTGCTGTTTTGCCAGGAAACTTGGCGAATCCAATACCCGCCGGATCCGGGGCTCCAGCCTACGTTTACGGAGGCCCCAACTCGGGCTCTGGGAGCACCGGTTCAGGTCCACAAGAGCAGAAACCTTTGGGTCAATCTTACGGCGGGATCCCCATCGAAGCTGATGCAAAACCATCAAGCGCACTCATTGGACGTGGGCCTGGCAATGCAGGCGAACACCCCATTCCAGATGGAAATGGGTGTCCTGCTTCCCGCGCAGAGCTCATGGTCGATCAGCTCGACTATGCAGACGTGCCCATTTGTCCCGACGGTATGCTTTATGCCAAACAGAAACGTTGGTTGCCTTTATCTGACGGAGGGCATTAGGCGATGGCAAGCTATACTTGACTCACCATGGAGTGAGCATGCGCATTCAGTGCTGTGTCCATGGAGGCAAGCCCGATCTAGGCGAATTCATCGCCGACGACTTTCGCCATTGCATGAATACTTGCGCCCAAACAAAGGACTGTAACAGGTAAAGACGCAATCCATCTTTCCGCCTGGCACGCTGCGACTAATTCTGGTCCAGTGTGCAGTATTTGGCCCACAGGGGCGATGACAAGACTCGGACTTGTGCATTGAGTACAGAAGGCGGCTTCACGAAAGCCTCGTGCGGGGCAGAAGACATGCATCAATATGCATACGTGATTGATGCACCTGCTATTGAGCCAATCATTTTCCCTTCTCTCAAGTGCACCACCGAATGTCCGTTCTCAAATGGCCAGCTTTTCAAATCCTTCTACGGCGAGGTCAGTTTGCTTTTCCTATCCCGCTCCCTTCCCAAAATACTGTGATGGCTGATTGATGAAACTTCGAAAATAAACAGTCTTTTCTTATTGACTGCGGGATGCGCCACGGCACTCAGCCTTTCTACAAGGACCACAAATCAACTCTTAGGAGTTGCATAAATGCTTGCGGCAAACTTCAACAATGTCAGGCCGTCGATTACGATGGTAATCGAGATGCTTGCTACTATTATACTCATCAATCTCTACCCACGATCACTGCTCCTGGGTTCGCGAGCGCCCGTTCGATGGGCTGCGAGGGAGACACATGCGGAGATGCTGCCAAGCAGTGCTCCCATAACATAACGGTATGCCACCTTCCTTGTTCTTCTCTTTTTCCCTTGCACAATATCATCGATCTCGTTCAGTGATAGCGTTAAAACCCATGAAACCTTGCTGATAGCTAGGTAGGCCGCAGATCAGGAACCTGAACAAAATAAAGCCTTCCCGCAGGATGGTATCTTGGGAAATCCTTCCAGCTTGATGTCTCTCTGCGAGACTCCGTCTTCTCACTGGACCCAGAGGATTGGCGGCAAAGCCCATCGATTCACTTGCGGGTCGGGTACAAACTGCGCTTACGACATGAACATTTGGCCTGGACTTCTTCCTACCATGACCATTGAGGACTGCATCAAGGAGTGCGGAAAGCATCCTGAGTGTAGAAGCGCCAACTTTTTCCTGGATGGTGGTAAGTTCTTACCATACCTGGCTGGACGGGCCTTGATGCTTCCAACTACTGACATCTTATCAGTGGCCGACGGAACCAAGGGCCGTTGTAACATCCGCAAGTGTAATTCACCGACATTGCAGCAGCCTGGGCTCGTTGGGATCTATCCGCTTTGAAAAATTCTCAAGTCAATCGTTGCCTGAGATAGTTTTCCCTCTTACTCTTGAACAATATTCGTGGGAATTGATAGGCCAATCATCTCTCATGTTATCAAGTCCGACATGTCGGCATGTCAAAGGCAAAATCACCCAGTCCAGAGACTGCAAGGCAAAGGAGACATTACTGGGCAATTTCTCTTGCTTATTGATACTAAGAAATAATAATACATACGACCATACAAATTCCAGGCTGGTATGCGACTAGTATCTGACCGAGAAATGACAAGCGAGCACATACTGAATTTTTGCGGGCTGAGCACTGACGGGCCCAGAAAGACAGGAATCACACTTAAAATGCCCTATGATTAGCTCATGATTCCACAAAGGTATATTGAATGTTGTATAGCAGCCCAGCTAGTAATTCCATCTCGTGGGTGATGTTGTAACGCGTTCCCTGCTATTTCCAGAAGCTCAAAAGCTTAAATCATTTCTTGCTTGGTTTCGGATACGTACCGGAACTCTGCGCCCTACTAACTCCAGTAGCTTTGGGAACTTAAAACGATTCTTCTCCACACAGAACACACGTGGCCATGTAATACAGAGGCTTGCGATTTGCATGAAGCATGGATGTAGCTCGAGACTCACCACTGACTGTGACTAATGCATAGATAAATGATGGATACTGAATTTCGGATGGAGGGCTTGGCATGGCTGGTGTTTGAAGAATGTTTTGTGGTCAAACTGTGATTGGGAAATGTCCGGGAATAGAAGAGTAGCTCATAGTTTAAGTAGCTGTGTGCTTTGGATAAGGTTTTCTCCTATGCTGGTTGCCTCTAGTTCGTGCCTCTTGGGAGGAGGAGGAAGCTGCTCTTCCATCGAGGTATAGATGGCGACCTTGAGATGTTCAACTAGACGTGCATGGATGTGACTTTCCGCCATAATCTCACTTTGCTTCTTCGCGAGAGGGAAATTATCGACGAGGGTGGTTCCAAGCCTCCGTAAAGTACATATGCAATGTCACCAGGCCGACATGATTGGCTTGTCCACGCTTTCCCCCCACCTTCATGAACTCTACCGGTACCCTTTTGCATTTGTTCGAGTTACATATCAAACCAATTTTTATCACAGTCTACTATGATAATGGTTGGTTTGATAGCGTTCATACCAGCTCAGAATTTCTTGGCTCGGCCCCAAGTCACGCAACTTGGCATATGGAAACTTTGGCAAGGTTCTGCGTTGATAAACACTGCTAATACAATGCCTACAGCTATTCTAGATGAATAGTTTGCTTTCAATCATGTGTTAGTGATGGGTCGTCGTGACCTACCCCTCGTATGATAACCAATTGAACCCACAATATTACCATCTGCCAGTCAGGGAACGGAACGCGTATGCAAGAATGAATGTTCCATTGCTTTAGTTTTGAATCTCGCTACACGTGATAAGAGTACTTGAGAGAATGTGAGGACCGCGTGTCGCTTTTTCTATAAAACACGCTGTAGCACTTCTTGAATCGACATTTGAAACATCCATGAGCATCATTCTTCAGAGTATCTTGGAAATATCTCTTCAACTGCCCGTCAAAGATGCAAAAGCCAACAGCAATCTTCTTGCTCTTGTTGCATGAGGCCGCTGCACAGAAGCTGCCGAATCAACCCTATGTCTACGGCGCACCCCCTCCCCAGCCTGAAGTCCACGAGCCATATGTATATGGCAAACCCAATCCTTCAAACAATCAGAATCCCTCGAGCAATCAGAAGCCCTATGTCTATGGCAGTCCTCCCTTTAACTATGGGTCAAACGCCTCCAACGGAGGAAATGACGCGTCCAAGTACATCTCACAGATTACCATAGACGAGATCATCCCTTCCGACTACAAGGGAAATATCAAATGTTGCCCCAAAGACACCTATTTTGACGGCAGCTCTTGCGTATTTCCCGAGTCATCAGTTTGTCCGAAGGGAACATATCTGTCCAACAATGTCTGCGTAAGCAGCACCGGACCAAGTTGCCCAGCGGGCCTGGTGTATAACGGCAAGGCCTGTGTTACAAAAGCGCCGCCCAGCTGCCCGCAAGGGTCAACATTTGTCTCGGATACTTGTGTCGCAGACTCTGGGCCGCAGTGCCCTTCCGGATACCGATTGGAGGGATCCAATTGCGTGTCGGAGACTGATGCCAACTGTCCCCCAGGTACAGCTCGCAAAGACAAGCTCTGTGTTTTGAAGCAGCCTCCTGTCTGTCCCCAAAGCCTCTATTACGATGGTAGCAACTGTGTGGCCAATCAGCCACCACAATGCCCGTCTGGAACAAGTTTGGGCGGAAGCTTCTGCGTCTCCACCAGACCGCCCGGCTGTCCGTCAGAGCATAGGCTCGAGTCGGGCAAGTGTATCCATGACAGAGAGCCTACATGCGCCCATGGTTCATACTTTAGCAACGGCGCGTGTATGGCCCGCGAAAAGCCGCTGTGTTCCATTGGAGTTTTCAATGGTCGGGTCTGCGAAGACACCCGTGAACCAGAGTGTCCCTCTGGAACTATTCTGCAGGACTCTACATGTATCGGAAGAGAGAAGCCCGCGTGCGCTCCCGGACTGGCCATGGCTCAAGATAAGACGTCAGGAAAATCGGCCTGCTGTCTTGCCGGCTTGGAATACGATGGGCAAGGCTGCTCAAAGCCAGCTCAAAGCAGCAACGAATGCCCTAGTGGCACTGTCTTTGACGGGAAACGATGCTTTTGGACCCCACAGACGGAGCCAGTTTGCCCCGAGAATACCAGGTTCGACGGCAAGGACTGCTTGTCCAGTGCTCGCCCTTACTGCCCCAACGGCTCCACGTTCAACGGCAAAGCATGCATTCACGGCACGAGTCCTTCTTGCCCCCTTGGCTCAACCTTTGATGGCACCAACTGCGTCAGTAGCTCACGTCCTACTTGCCCATACGGAACATTCCTGAACGGCCAGAGCTGTAGCTCCAACAGCTCGCCAACGTGCCCCGATGGCCTGACTTTCAATGGACAGGCCTGCGTGTCTAGCAGCCGGCCCAGGTGTCCGACTGGCTCTGTGCTTACTGGAGATGTTTGCGCCTACCCGGAACAGCCCGACTGCCCAGCGGGTTCCACACTCGTCGGCAAGGACTGCGTCGTCTCGCAGACGCCAGCCTGCCCTCAGGGGCTTGCGTTTGACGGAAAGGACTGTGTATCGCAACACCGTCCTGCTTGTCCCACTGGTTTCAAGCACGATGGCAAGGGCTGCGTGGCAACCTCGGACCCCAGCTGCCCGACCGGTCTGACCTTTGACGGCAAACACTGCGTGTCGCTGGCCCGGCCAGAGTGCGGATCTGACGCGCAGTTTGACGGTGAGCGATGCATTTCCACGGTCGACCCTAGCTGCCCCTCGGGCCAGACCTTCAACGGGATGACGTGCGTCTCGCGGGACCGCCCGCAGTGTCCCCACGGCACCACCTTTGACGGCTCCGAGTGTATCTCCGAGTTGAAGCCAGAGTGCCCGTATGGCACCAAGCTCGAGGATGGCACATGTGCATCGAACAAGGAGCCGGAATGCCCCCAGGGGACGCGCTTCGATGGCCAGAGCTGTATTTCTGTCGTGGCGCCTTCGTGCCCAGCATACCTCGTGCTCAGCGACGGCAAATGTATCTCCACGACCAAGCCGACGTGCCCGCCCGGCCTGACTGCTTCGGGAGGGTCATGCGTCTCTACTTCTCAAGCAGAGTGCCCTCTTGGAACAACTCTTGATGGAAACCGTTGTGTCACCAAGCAGAAGGATTCCGATTGCTATGACATGCGCATTTGCCCGGCTGTTCAGCATCAGCCGCTCGGGACTGCCGTCATCTAGTGGCGGATGAGGATTTCATGAGTGTGAAGAGTGGTTGCCTGCAGTACTGGTGCCTTTGGTATCACCCAAGTCCCAAAATTGATCATGTAGGCGGCTCGAATTGGCTTGAAATTAACAAAGGACGAGACAAGTTGACACAAACCATGTAACTCTTACATAATAAAACAGTCTCCCTCTAATAGGTATTAAATCACACCCAGATTGTCCCAAATCTTCTGTTTTTTTTTCTTTTTCTTCTTTTGCTGGCAATTTCATTTGTTTCAGATGATTGTATTCGAATCACACGCTCCTTTTCGCGATATCGACTCTGTTCTCGATAATCTGACGAGTGTATTTCCACGTATTCTTTCGATACAACTTGGCTTGCGCAGACGTTAGGCCTGGGCACATGCGATCCAAAGTACGGATATTCGACTCTATTTGCTTGAGCGTTCTCGAGTTATCGACCTGGAACATGAGCTCCTCGCAAAGATGGAGCGATTGCATCGAAGCGATTTCCTCAAGACTGTGGCCCTGCTCAACAACTGGACCAAACTGCCAAATCGTGTGTATAAGCATGCCGAGATCTTCGGCGCCGAATAATTCTGTCCATTCTTCGACTGAAATGCACTCTAGGTCTTGCCACAAATGCGAAAGTTCCGGGCGTAGCGGGTAAATGGGTATACCAACGAACCAAAGCGGCGCCTCCTGTTCGAACATTGATACCATTTTTCGCACTATTGGACTCGACGTATCTGCTCCGGACCACCCCCATATTCGTAATTTTTCGGCGGCGGACTGCAAATCGCCGCTCTCGGCACGTATCTCGTTTTCTGCGTAATCCCCGCAGAACCGGAGGAGAAGCTCTTCCACAGCCGAAAGATCTCCTATATCCAGAGAAGACATTTGTTCGAGTGTGCGTCGCGTCTGATTCCCATTAGGCAGGAGCAGTTTAGCGAGCTGATGCAGATATTTTATCATGGACTGGCAGAGATCCGGATGCGTCTGGTTCATCCGGAACAGGACCTGACACATGCGCACAGCCGGTGGAGCATTTTCGAGAAATATGCGACCCCTATCCAGACAGAATTGTATCACGCCAAACCCATAGTCCACGTGACCATTTCTCACCATTGTTACGGCGGCGTCGACCAAGTGGAACCAGCGGTCGTTGAGGAGAATCAACGGTTTATGGCTGCTGCGTTTCTCTGACTGCTCCGGCTCTGGTCTGAGAATCGTCGAGACGTCGTCTCGAAATACTCGCAATAATCGCTCTGGATTTTCCAGTTTTGCAGGAGGGTTCAAAGTTTGAGCCACCGGATTTGGACATGTCTCCAGCAGCCTCAGCGCCCCTTCCTTGTCCAGACTTGTCGAGGATACATATGCCGATGCTGCTGAGGTAGAAGCTGCAGCAATTGCCATTGCCACGGCTGTCCTGAATCGAGAATATCTCTCCGGTGGCAGTCGGCGAACATATGTGTCGATTCTATCCATCGCCGGCGATACGGCGCCCGGATTTTTCAGGCAGCGATGCGCTACAATCTTGACGACTTGGTCGTAACTTAGGCGCTTCTTCAAATTCCATTTCCGAAAATGATGCTTGTACATTCTCGGGCTATAGCGGGATGAGCAAAATGCACTCTTTCCATCATCAGAAGCGCAAGGGGCCACTCACGTCGCATGAAAGTTGTGGTTGGCTTGCACTGTACTCATTCTTAGTATTATCACGGGATTATGGACTTGGGATTGTAACGGACTGTATCGCATGACATCCTCCAAACTGAGGCCCTGGCCCAGGTACAACTCTGTCAAGACATCGCGATTGGACTCCCAGTCTATTGGCCGGGCCCACTCACGTGGAGGCATGGGGGTGATTCAGTCGTCTCAACGTGCAGGCGCTTTTTGGTTTTGCGGGGGAGATAAGATAGGATGCCGCCAATTATGTAGCTATACAATACCGCCAAGGAAAAGAAGAGATATGCCTAATGAACGACGTCTGAAGCCGCAGCGAGAGGAGCCCGTCCCGTTATCAAGGCAACTGCCGTCTATTTTTGGACCAGATAAAAGGAGAAGTAGTTTAATTTGTGGCTCGGAATTTCTTAGGTAATTTCCGAAGTCGTGATGAACCCACTAGTTTCCCCGCCCCTCATGGGGATTTCAACGAATAGACACCCTGGTATTATCTAATCTCAAGGTCTCGCCAGTGTCTCCAGTTGGGTATCCTTGTCTTTTGCGGCGGCAAATACTGGCCACAACAACGTCAAGTGCATAATCGATTCCATCGAGAATGATGTCTTCATCGACCTTGTCACAGTCTGACACAGCGAAGGGGGATTCAAGATTAAGGAATCCATATCTCACAGAGTCATTTCGAGTGAGTATTTGTGGATGATTTGATCGAATTCTTAGGATATTTCAATTGAGTACCCCTATATTGTGACAAGAGGTGAATCGTGTTTCAACAAGACGACAAATATTCTGCTATAGTCCGTATCCTCCCCAACCGCCATGAGACGAACTGTAACATGCTTTGGAATATAGCTCTTTAGCAACCACCGGCGTTGGGATCGGAGCTAGAAAATGGTCAGTCATTTATGAAAATCACACTGCCTCAGCAAAGATTCCAACTTACATGTATCGCCAGTTGGTGTAGCTCGAGTCGCCGCCATAACCGCAACCATTGATCTCCTTTTGGAGTCCATCATAACACTCGTCGTATCCCAAGAAGCGATCGTCGCCAGTCAGCTTGAAAATGTTAAAGTTGACGTGCCTGTTATTGCCGAGATCGTAGCACGTGGAAGTGCTGGAGCTCAGGGCCGTGTACGTGCGCTGCCCCATGGCCGAATTGCAAGCGCCGGCGGCGAGCTGGAAGGCATAGTCCTTGCTGTCTCCCCAGGGCTCGCCGCCAGAGTAGCAGCCGCGCTTCTCTACGCTGTGGACCTCGTTGGTGCCGGATCCAGAAGGCAGAGCAGTGGAGGTGGCAGAGAGTGCCAGGATGAGGAGGTTGTGGAACTGCATGATGTTGATGAACTTGGGGAGGGGCTTTCAAGAAGGTATTGATGTGCTTGAGGTTGAGAGTCGATGTGATGAAGATCTGGGTTGATGAAAGAATTGTCGCTGAAATACAGGCGAGACCAGGCCCCTTTTATACATCAGAGAGGACTGTTCCTCTCCAGCCAAGGATCATCGTCTCTACTATTTTGTTGTCGCTACACTTGGGATTGAATAGAGGTACAAATGGCTTACGCCCAGTCGACCCCAATCGTGACTTTTGCAATTATTTTGTCAAGGTACCCAGTGGAGACTCATCAACTACGTATGAGTCCCACAAGGCGTAAAAGCCTGTGCATGATGGTGTTTACATCCGTGAAGTTCTAAAAAGGGAAATGCGCCTGCAAATCTCTGGTGAGGCTCACGATGTCCTCGTAGTATATAAAGTTTGCTAAACATACGAAAGGTGCAGAGCGTAAGACATTAAACAACCCTATTATAACGACTAGACTACGGGTTTCTAGAATAAACCTGGAGTATAAGGTATTAGGGTTTATGCTAATAAGGAACGGTAGCTTCGAAAAAAAATATTAAGCAATAGGTCTCTAAAGGTAAAGGTAATTAAATTAATTTATAAATATAATCGTTAAAGCGTATTAAATGCTTTACCTATAAGTAAAATAAATGCTTAAATTAATTACTAAGGTAATAACTATTTATAGGAAATCCTTTTATATTATATACCTATTTATTCCTTTATTAATTCTTTAATTACCTAGCCCGTAGGTAATTATTATAATATTTTATTAATAAATATTATTAGCGTTTAATAAATATTATTTTATTAAAAAATAATTATTACTCCGCTAAAATCGTAATTTTATTTATAGCTGCTTATAGCTATAAAAAAATAATAATATATTTGCTATAAGGTTCCTAGCCTTTATATTAGCTATTATTACGTTTCCGTTATTTTTCCTATTTCTTTTAATATATTAGTATTATTTTATAAAAATGCATATTTATAATATTAGCTCCCTTTTTTATTATTTTTTATCCTCGAAAAACGTAGGTTATATAAATAGGTCGCCGTCGCCCATTTGGTTCCTAACCAAATTTCCTTCCTATATATTTTCTTATAATATATGCTTATTATATCCGATTAGACTAAAAAATAGCTATTTTATTTTTTTTTTAAAACGAATTATTTTTGCGAAAAAAATTACCGATACCGGTTATAAAACCGAAATAGCGTATATTTATTATTTGCGTAAAAATAAAAATTGCGTTATAAATAAAAAATTATTACGCTATTCGCGCTATGCCTAAGCCGGTCGATCCTGCGACGGCACGTTCGTAGCTTCCTTTTTATCGAAACTTATTATTTAAAAAAAAAATTAAATAACGAAAAAGCGGATACAAAAAAAGCATTATTTATTTTTTAAACGCAATTATTTATTACTTTTAATCGCTTAACTCGTTTTTATCGAATAAAAAAAGTAATAAAAAAAAAAATCTAAGGTATTTCGTCGAAAAATATAAGAATTAAATAAAATAAACGGGATTATTTAATAAAAATAACGCGTTATCTAAAATTTTTAATCTTTTAATATCTTTAATAATTTCGACTAATTAATATTAGGTTTTAAAAATAATTTTATAGATTTTAGTCCTTTTATCGAAACTAAAAATATTAGTTAAAAGCGTTATAACCCTTAATATATTTCCTAAGCTCCTATATATTTTTTTTAGGTAGGTAATTCTCCTATTTAACGTAAAACTAATATCCTCGTCTAACTTTTTTATAATTTATAATTTCTTCGACGTCGTAGCTTTGCTAATTTAATTCGGTTTCTAATATTTCGTTAATTTTAGCGTTCTTTAATGCTAATTCGAATAATAAAATATAAAAAATTCTATAATTTCTTATAATTTTTAATAGCTTAAATCGGTAATTAATATTCGAAATTTTTTTATCGATTTTAAATAATCTAAATTTTTTAAAATCGAATTTATCGCTTAATCGTTTTATTTTAATATTTTTGCGTAAGAGGTAAACCTTATTTCCTTTTTCAAAAATTAGTCCTTTAATTTTTTTTTTATCGTATTAAAGTTTTATTTTTTATTAAATAGCGATAAAGGTTTTCTAAAGTTTTATTTATAGATTTTTAAGCTATTTAACGCGTAAAATAGCGTATAATATAAATTCTTTTCCTTTTAATAATTTTTTAATAATATCGGATTCGTATCCGTAATTAGCGTAAAAAGGTAATATTCCGGTAGGTTCTCGTATTATATTATTATATGCAAATTATACAAATAGTAATAATATAACTTAATTATTTTATTTATAATTAACGTAGCATCTAAAATATTCCTCGAATATCTAATTTATTTATTTTATTTATCCGTTAATTTACGGATAAAAAGCCGTTAAAAGCTTATAATCGCATTTTAGCTAACTAATAAGTAATTTCCAGAATTTCGATATAAAAAGCTTATTTCGATCCGAAATAATTTTATTTAATAATCTATATTAACTAGCTATCGTCCGAAGGAATATATAAGCTAATTTTTTTACGTTATTAGCTTCCTTATACGAAAAAAAATATATATATTTTATAAATCTTTCGGTAAATATTAGGATACTATCGTAAAAAGTCTTAATTAAAAGTTTTTTTAAAAATAATAGTTTTATTATAAAATTTAAAATAATAAATTTTTATACCTTATTTAATAATAATATAGGTTATAATTCCCTATACTGCTTATATTATACTAATTTTGCTCTATTGCACAAATTACATTTTTTAATAACTTTGCTAATATATTCTCGCAATCGTAAGTAATTAAAATATTATTAAATTCGCTTAATTATCTTAAATACTCCTTAATATCCTTTAATAAATAATTCGTAATAATTTTTAATTAGTTCCGTAAGCAATAATTCCTTAATTTTAATTTTATCGTTATAATATTATTATCCGGGGTTATATCGTCCCGCTAAATTATTATTTAAATCTAGGCATTTAGCTATGCGTTTTATTTAACTATTATCGTTAATAATTTTTATAGCTGCGTATAAAGTTATAATTAGTATTAAATCTTTATTATTATCCGTCGAAAAAATAATATTAGTTTTTTTCGGTATTTCCTAAAAATAATCCGGTTTTCGATTAAAAGCGTTAGCTCTTTTATTTTTTAATTTTTTACGATAAATAATTTTAAAATTAAAGTCTACTAAAAATTCTGCCTATTTAATTTATCGTTTATTAAATTCCTTATTAATAATAAATAAAGCTAAATTTTTATAATCGGTATAAATTTTAATTTAATATTTAATTCCGCTAAAATAATATTTCCATTCTTAAAATGCTTTAATAATAGCCATAAATTCCTTATTATAAATTTAATAATTTAATTATTCTTTTATAAACTTTTTATTATAAAATGCAACCGGGTATAATTTCCCGTTATTATCTTTTTATATAAATTACCCACCTATAGCATAATTTAAGGCATTTATTTTAATTTTAAATTTTCGTTTTAAATCTGCTATACGCATTACGGGTTCGTCCGTAATTCGTTTCTTAACTGCTTCGAAAGCTTCCTATACTTCGGATATTTAATCGTATAATATATTTTTTTTTTATTAAATGCGTAAATAATGCGGTAATACCTCCGAATCCCTAAATAAATATTTGGTAAAAATTTACAAATCCTAAAAAGGATTTAACTTTTATTACCGAAATCGGGGTAAGCTAATCCCTTACTATTAAAATTTTAGATAATTTTATCTTAATTTCTCCGGGAAATATTATATATTTTATAAAGGTAACTTTTTTTTTATAGAATTCGCTTTTTTTTAGGTTAATTAGCAAATTTGCGTCCTATAATTTTTATAATACTATTTTAACGTATTATTAGTATTCGTTAAAATCTTTAAAATAAATAAGTATATTATCGAAATATATTATTACAAATTTATCGAAATATTTTTTTAAAACGTTATTAATTATATTTTAAAAGCTTATTAATACGTTAATTAATCCGAAAAGCATAACTTTATATTCAAAATATCCGTATTTATAACGGAAAGCGGTTTTTTATTTTTCTCCTTTTTTAATGCGTATTAAGCCGTACGCGTTAGGCAAATTTAAGGCTATAAATTATTAAATTTTATATAATTTATCGCATAAATTTTTAATTAAAAATAAAAGGTATCGATTTTTAATTATAATATCGTTAAATTTACGGTAATTAATATAAAGTTTTTATTTAGGTTTCCTATTTTTACTCTTTTTTAATACAAAAAATATTAAATATCCTACGGGCGAAATAAATTCCGTAATCTATCCTTTCTATAGCATATCCGCTAAATATTCCTTTAATACCTTTTCGTGCTAAAGTTTTACTAAATATATCGGTATAAAATATAGCTTTTTTTTTTCCTAAAAAAGTATTTTATAATCGTATTTTATATACTTTAATAATTCTATTTTTAATATTTTACTAAATAAATCGCTAAATTCCTAGTATTTTTTTAATATTTTAATTTCGAATTTCGGCTTAATATGCTTAATTATAAAATAAAATCCAAATATTTTAAAATTGCTTAAAGGCTTATTTTAGCGCGTTTTAAAGGCTAATTCTCTTCCTAATATATCTTATTAAAATTAGCCGGTATTCCAATTCACTTTAGGGTTACTCGCTCGTAACTAAAATATCCCTAAAATAATATTATAATCCGTAATTTTTATAATATCGCATTTAAATCCTTTTTCGTAATTTTAAATATAAATTTAAATATACGCAATTTTTATATTTATAATTCTGTTTCCGTACGATATAGGTTTTTTATTAATAATATTAAATGCGTAAAGCGTTTTTTTTTATTTTTATAATATTTATAAAGCGTTAACGATTATTAGTAAGATAAAATTTCCTTAAGCTCCTATATCCACTAGGGCTCGTATTTTTTAATTTATAATTTTAATCTAAATCGTAAAATATTTATTAATATTAATGCTATTTATAGCATATATAAACCTTTTTTTTAAGGATTATTTTTATCGCTTTAGAAATAATTTAGATTTTTTCCTAAATTCTTATTAATTCGCCTATTAGCTTATCGCTACTCGGCGGCCGTATACGCCTATTATTTTAATATGCTTAAGGTATTCCTAATTTATAAGGGTCGATTTTCGTATTATTTGGATAATTCGCTTATTTCTTTTTATATTTTAAAGGTTTATTTTTATAATTTATCGTCCCTAAAAGGCTTTTTTAGCTTTTTTATATCTTTATATTCTAAATAAAATCGTTTTATCCTTAATAGGCTAGTATTATTCGTAGCCTTTTTAACCGAAATAATTAGTTAGGTTATCGGTAATTAAAAATATCGTAATAATACTTTTTACGTTATTTTAATCGCGTTATTGATTATTATTGTATAACGAATTAGGGTTATTTTAAATTATTTTATAGCCCGTAATTTTTTAATTTATCGCTATACTTTTGCCTTATTTTTTATATAAAAATTATATTTATTTATTATATAATTTAATTATATCCGTTTTTTTATATCTAAATATCGCCTTAAGCCAAAATGCGTAATAAATACGATATATCCTCGAATATCGTAATAGCTTACTTCTGCCTTTCCTATAGGTTCCGCTAAATAAAGGTAATTTATAACGGTTTTTCTTATTTTTAAAAGGAAAATTTTTTATTAAATTTTTAATTTTAAATATTCGTCGCATCCTAAATCGATATATTTTATTTACGCAATTTAATAATATTATTTATATTTAATATTAAATTTTAGGTCGTTTCCGAAAATAGCTTTTAAGGTTTTTTTTTCTTATATTATATTTATAGTTTTCTAAAAAATTTCTGCAAATTATTATTTTAATCCGTACGATTTTATTATTATAATAATATAAAGGGTATTTAGCTTAATTAATTTATTTCGTCGTAGTATAATTTCGAAAATTTCGTTATTTAAAATCTATAGCTATTATATTAATCGTTATTTTTCCGATAATCTATCGATATTATAAATATCACTAGGTGCGTAAGGGTCGATTTCGCTAAAATTTTTATTATTACTGCTAATATTATCGATCGATCCTTTTAACCTTAATTCCTAAACCCGGTATTCGGCCTATTATATCTAATTATAAGCTTTATTTTCTAAAATATCCGTTATTATATTATCGTTATTATTTTATAATTATCCTTTTAAACCAAAAGTAACGGTTTTTCCTAAGCGTATAGCCGCTAGGGTTTTTTATTCCTAAAAATACTATCTATTATCGTTTTTGCTAAATTTATACGTTCGGCAAGCGTTGTCGAAGCACGCCGTTTATAAAAATAATTTATAAAATATTTTTTCCTTTTTAATATTATTAAATTATTTTTTACCTTTTAGTATAAATTTAAATCCTAATCTTTTAAATTAGCAATATTTATTTATATAATATTTTATTTTATTATAATTATAATATTTAATTTTAATTTTATTTTTGCGCTAAATAGCGTTAAAATTTATTTATCCGCTATAAATTCTGTATAATATTTTATCGCGCTAATCGTTTTTAGGCCGTTAGGTATTTTGTTATTTGCCTATATTAGCGTAATTGCGTTAAAATCGCGGTATAAGGTTGCTTTTTTTTTTTCGTTTTATTAAACGTATAATTAATTATCGATTTTAATTATAAATTCGCTATATTTCCCGAATTCCGTTAATAGGTTAAAAACTTTGCTAAATTTATCTTTAATATTATTTTTAAATTTTCGGTAATAAAGCATAATCCTAATATCGTCGGTATATTCTATTTTAGCAATAACGCGTTTAAAATCTGCCATATAATTAAATGCGGATCCTTTTTATTTAAAATTTTCGAATTCCTTTTTAGTTTATTATTTTTCGTTTAAATTTTAGAATAATAATCGAAATACGGCTTTATATTTTATATAATCCTAGAAAATATTTTAAATTTCCGCTTTATATAATTTTATCTATTACTCGTGCTTAATTATATTTAAAAAATAAAATTCGAATTAAGCAAATATTCGTTTTTTAAGGTAAAATAAAGCGTAAAATATTTTTTATTTTTTTATTATAAATTTATTATTATAAAAAATTTAGTAAGCTCGGATTTAAGCTAAATATCCTCGAAATACTTTAAAGGTACCGTTAAAAATTGCTAAAATGCTAAGCTTAAGCTTTTCGAAATAAATTAAGATATTAATAATATTAGCGGCCCTAATTATAGCGTTATTAGCTATAGTAAAATTCTAAATTATCTAATCCTTTTTAATATTATTTTTATAAAATTCGCGTAATTAGGCTATAATAAAATCGTATTACCTTTTCGTAAATTCGAAATTATTTTCTTTTATTTCTTACGCAAAAATGCGCTAAAATTGCTTAGATAAAAAAAAAAAGTTTTTCCGGTTAACGATATCCTGCTAAATATTATTTAAAATTTCTTTTAAAAATAACATACCTAAATAAAAATAATTAAAATATAACGATTAAATTATAAATTTCTAAAATAAACCTAAAATATAAAATATTAAGGTTTATATTAATAAAAAACGGTAGCTTCGAAAAAAAATATTAAATAATAAATCTCTAAAAATAAAAATAATTAAACTAATTTACAAATATAATCGTTAAAGCGTATTAAATGCTTTACCTATAAATAAAATAAATGCTTAAATTAATTACTAAAATAATAACTATTTATAGGAAATCCTTTTATATTATATACCTATTTATTCTTTTACTAATTCTTTAATTACCTAGCCTATAAGTAATTATTACGATATTTTATTAATAAATATTATTAGCGTTTAATAAATATTACTTTACTAAAAAATAATTATTATTCCGCTAAAATCGTAATTCTATTTATAGCTGCCTATAGCTATAAAAGGGTAATAATATATTTGCTATAGGGTTCCTGGCCTTTATATTAGCCACTATTACGCCTCCGTTATTTTTCCTATTTCTCTTAACACATTGGTGTTGTTCTGTAAGGGTGCATATTCGTAACACCTATCCTATGATTAATAATCAAAAAGTGGTGAACCAATCAAGAATCATTACCAAGGTAACACACAAGCCTCGAGGGATTTGCCCAGCATTCCTATTAAAGCTGAAAAGAGATCGACACGCCTCTGCGGAGCACAAATGCCTTCAGCCTCACTTGTAGGTTCTTGGAGCGTTGAGCACCCTGTGGCATTGCATTGTCTATGGCTTCTCAATTCCTCAAAATTCTTAGAAAATGTTTTTGAAGTCATGCACCTTTGAGTGATAACAGACACAAGAACGCCTCAATGCTATGCTTGGCTTTGAGTACAGCCTACACAATAGTATCGTTGATCAATAGTGCCTTGGCTAGCTGGCTGTTCCCCACGGAGCCTTGGCTCTTTAACTATATCGAGACAGCATAGGTAGATCTGCTGATGTTTCGCCCCCACGGACCCCAATGAGTATAGACTTTTGGTTCTTTATGCTTCGTCCTTCCGCATCGTATGATCCTTTGCGACAAAAGTCTCGCATTGGTCCCGGCTAAGTTCATGGGGGACCTTGCAACGTGATGTCAATCTCATACATGAATTCAGGCCGGCAGATGAATCGCCGACCCTGCTCGAGAGAGAGAGAAAAAAGTCCACCTTGTGCTATATGATTGTTTACCGGATCATCCGGGAATAAATATGGGACGCGCTGCTCAGGAAATGTAGATATGGAAGGATTTTTACTTGTAGTTTCTTGGCATTGTAGACAAGGTACTCTTCTGGTCGTCACTTGACGCTTAAAATTGGAACGGATAAGCTGATTCCGTGCATTGCTTGCATAACCTAGAGCTGAACTGAGCGCAGCTTCATATTTTCTTATTTTGCCAATCCTTTCTGTTCTCTAGTTGTGGGGTCCCTTGGATGGCGGGTTATCGATATCGTGAGCAGCTTGGTGTCGCTCTGTAGGAGCAGTGTTGTGTCGCCTACGGCCCCAATCGTGTAACCCCGAGTCCGTCAAGAACAACTTCATCCTTGGCGGGGCTCGGATCGACGGTGCTTGATATGGCACCGTATGGGGTGAATGTAATGGTGTAAAGATGGAGGTATTGAGGAAGTCCTCCACTAGGTACTTATATATGGCTTGACTGCAAGCCGGGTGGGGCACGAGCTAGCGCACCCCGGGCTTCACGCATCAGTGCTCGAAGCGCTTTAGCCGGGCTTAAAAATAAGGTGCTGTTTTCAGAAGTCTTTCCATGTAGGAGATACTCGATCGAGATTCAAGGGCTTTATTTTAAAGATGTATGCTGGACGAGATCATATGAACCTCCATCGAGGTGGCATCTTGAAAATAATGGCAGCTCTATAATAGCGCTAGATGTCGCATTTTTGCCTTTGCTCTTCAGGCGGGTTTTAGCCAATAGCGCTTGTCTGGCTGCCACTAAAAAGAGCTGCAGCGCATGTGGGGGGAATGTCCGCAAGGGAGTTTCGAAGTTGCACTCTGACAAGTTCGCTGAACAGGTCGTGATAGCCAGTTTCCTTCACCCACCATTTGCTCACGGGGTAAAGCGCAGGGGCATATTGGCAGAGGTCTTGCTACGAACTAATAGCTTCCGGTGCTGGAAGAAGGATCTTGCGGACGTTGCACTAGCATCAATGGGCTGTAGCACAAGCGAGGCAAGTTTGGAGATAAGGTGGCTTCAATTGCGGACTGGTCTTCGAACTACTCTTCGCAGTGCATAGTACGCGTTATCATTTTGAATCATATAGGCGTGACACGTTAAAACAAATGCATATTCGATATAGGTAGTAAACCTGGGGTAAACTACGTTTCATTTTCGGTTTTCTGGTGCCTTCACTCAATATTTATATATCGCACCAAACCACTGCACCAGCTAAATAATATGTGAAGTTCTACATTAGGAACTAGCCTAAGAGTGGTTACAGATACATCGACACTATGATCAACTGCTTTCTGCTCTAAGGGCATAATATTGGTATATTAATTCATACCACCTTCGTAATACCAAGCACGTCCGATAGCGTTGGCCCATAACTTTGGTTATCACCGTAAAATTCGAAGCGATACTCTCTATAGTGCTCATCGGATATCCGTGTGCAAAATCCACTCCAAGTTTAATATACATACCTGAAATTCTTCTTTTGCTATCAGTGAGGTCCAGGAGATCGTCGTAGTCCACTTCCATAGTCTCAACTTTACCAAAACTAGCATCCCTCTTCCTATTCTCGATACGGACAACAATCTCGTACATGATGAGCGCAGCAATCGCAATAGTGGAGCCAGCGATTAGCGCGTCGTATCCCGTCCGGTATCCTGGCGCTTCAGATTCGATGAAAAATTGGGGTGCAATGATGTCTCCAATACAATAGGCCACCATTAAAATGCCGTTTACGGTGACCTTCTTGGTGTGGCCGGATGTATTGGCCATTGCTAAGGAGAAGGCTAGAGACTCCAGTATCAGTAAATACTTCAAGCGAATCCAAAAGCCCTTGCATTTTCCACACTCACCAGCTGGGAATGCCGCGTAATAGACATAGATAAAATAGTATGACAGCAGACGCCCAATAACATTGGATTCTGGGAGGTCTACGCGTTCATGGTCAATATCGAAGAACTGTACGATCGTTTCTCATGACTCACACTTGATACACAATGTACCAATCAATGGCGATAGCGAGAAAATCACACTGAGCTTGATGCGGACATTTTCGAAGCGCAAGCTGGGCCATGCAACCAGCACAGCAGACACCGACATCATCACACCAGTTGGCATACCCAAGAGCACTGTTTGCAGTCTGTCGAAACCCAAACTACTGACGATTTGAGCAGAAAAGACGGTCAGCCCGCCATTGGCAAAAACGCAAGTCAGGACATAAACAAAAAGTGTCCAGGTTCGCAAGTCTGACAGCGCCTCTTGGACTTGATAAGACTTGAAGACCTAGATATTGCCCAAGGTCAATCTTTTGATCTGTCAACATGTAATTACGCGAAGAAACATACTTTGTTCTCGAGGCCTGTCTTATTGTCCCTTGTTCTGTGAACAGCGATATATTTCTGCCGGTCGGTCAAGAAACGCGCCGTTAGAGGACTGTCCGGAAACCATGCTAGAATGCAGAACCCCCAGAGGAATGTGAAGCCTCCGAGGACGATGAATAACAGTCTCCAGCTGTCTATCGTGGTTTGAGTTCTGCCAATTCCATACGATATGAAGCCTGTGAAAATCTAGGAGGGGCTCATTAGCCCGATGTCTTCAGATATGCGATAGACTGCTGGGACTTATTGCAACCGTGGAAGCTCTGGTTTAAGCTCAAGCAAGTGTGAGTCTATCTCACATGAAACCTCAAAACAAAAGGAGAACGTACGGATGCCAGTTGTGAGTACCAAAGTGCTAGTCTTATTGGCTGCTCAGGTCTTCGCCACCACATGGCCGTCACAATGTATAAACATGGTACTATAAATGCCTCGAAGATACCCATGAGGAATCGGACTGCCATAAGGCTCCCAGCATTTTGGCAAGCGCTCATGAGCACCGTTAGGACAGCAAAACAGATAGTCGTAGCGGCGAGAAGCTTGGCGACTGGAAGCTTTAGAATGAGATATTGGGCCGGAACCTCACCGATCGCAAAGCCGATGTACAAGATGGATCCAACTAGTTGACCAGGTTTCCTAATCAGCATAACCATATAGCCAGTGACGAATTTGTTCGGATTACTTACTCCAACTATACTGCTGGCCCACAAGATGGGTGCTCTGTTTCATTCCGTATAGAGCTGCATTCGAGAGGAGGTTTTTCTGTCCAAGTTTTCGTTAATAAAAATATCTGCAGGTGTTGCAGTATTCGCTGTCAACTTAAAAGTGGGAGGGTAAAGATGGATGATAATTACGTACGTCAAGAGCACAGATAGTTGATGTAACAAACATCATTGGCAGCATAATCCAGTCTACCTTTCGAAGCACAGACCTAGCCTCGGCGTCCGAGTAAGATCCATGTTCATGCTCATGGAGTGCGAGAAAATTCGCGGCTGCATCAAGACGCGCCTCGTCAGCCGTGCCTATCTGGTGACCGGATGTGGTCTCAATGTCTTCTCCTGCTTTCATATGTATCTCGCCCCCTGACATTGCTGTCGTTTTTCGTTGATCGTTCGATGAAAAGAGGTTCGAAGGGAATGTGCTTTTTATTGCTCTGTTTGCAGGAGCGGCAGAAGATTATGATTTCTTGTTTGCAATAATGAATGCCTTATGAACTCCATATTGTTCCTCGATCAGTGCTTTCCTTTATAGCCAGTTGTGTCTTGCGTGTTATCGCTAGCAGCAGATAGGCTTCAATGATATTGTTTGACTGAGTGGATTAGAGTCGAGATAAGCCAAGCATTCATTGTAATCCTTGCACGGGTACCATGAACAAGAACAATATCAGGTCTAGTCGTTTTTCAAGCGCTTCTGAATTAAAATATCATGTATACCTATCCATTCGTTTTTGCCCCCCTGGAGTCAAATGCATGATATGTTTCTCCCCACCACACTTGTTAACTACGTAGATAAGGCAGGCATGTAGTGGGTATGTATTTATCGATTACTGAAAATAGGCCATCATCGATACAATGCGACCTTGCTTCCTGGCCAAACTATTTTTTCTTAAGCCAAATTTAATTCCGGAAAATGAAGGGAGAGAGGTTTTGAGCCTTCAACCATTTCTCCCTAGTCAAGATCAATCCATTCTTTCGGATCGCCGCAATTACTTGTTCTTCGCCGTGAATTGATCGAGCTATGGTTTTCAAGCAATAAGTGCTCAACGTAGATCCAAAGACCACCGTTGAAACCTTATCTCAAGATAAACCTGTACTACCGTCTCGGCGAGGAGTTGCCGTCCTTCCCCACAACGGACCGACGATTGAGTGAGTCCACTCGCTAAAAAATACGCAGGGAATGAGCACCTAGCAATCGTTTTCCGTCGTCGGACGGCTCATTTGGGCTTGATTGATCAATACATCCCTCAAACCCCCGGTCACTGTTCCGTCTTTCTCATACCACTAGATTTCAGTCTCTAACAGAACAGCCGCCATCGGACCGACGACGGAATAACCTGCTGAAAGTACCATGGTAGCAAAGCATCGGAGATCATACCCATGGTTCATGTTCTTCTCTGTCGATGAAGGACAAGAGCTCCAAAATTATTTCGTTACGGCCCGATGCAAATGATCAAAGCAAGTATGTTCTAGTGTCCCCGGTCCCTTGTGTAATACGACGGTTATGATAGCCGTCCTAGTTAGATAATGAACGAAGATGTGATGTTGCTTCCTCCATGGACGCACCGGATACCATGCCGCCGGAGTCGGCATTCAAGGAGATTATTCGTCTCATGTAGCTTTGGGCATTAGACGCACTATATAAGAATGTGTGCAACCATCAACACTGGGATCTGCTGCTCTATTTTCATGAGATAAGCATTGGCTATTGGCACCATTCCTCACAGAAATCAATGAAATTAACAATGTCTCCTATCAACATTATAAAGAGCTACTTGCATTTTCGGTTCCATCGCTGGGATGTGTACGCCAGCAATCGGCCGCTGCATGGCAAACAAGAATCACACGCGTGTGCTTGCGATTCGGAGGCTCAGCTCGAAGCGAAAACTGGGCTGGGCTTGTGCGACCAAGGTGCACCCCATCGCGACTCGACATTCCACGAGGCACTTGCTGTTACCTCCAGCGGACGATATGAAGTGTTGCAAATCAAGTCGAAAGGGTCTCTTGGGGAGTCAGAAGTTCAGATATGCACTCGAGCAATCGGATTGAATCCCATTGACTGGAAGTCCGTTGACTTCTCCATGTGTATGCCAGAGTTTCCCTGGGTCAATGGACGGGAGCTGGCCGGCGTGGTGGAGGCTGTGGGCAGCACAGTCAGCTATATCAGACCTGGCGATCGGGTTTGGTCGAGCACATACTACAGAAAGCGTGAAGCTGGATGTTTTCAGGCCCGTGTGGTGGTGCCAGCACATACAGTCCTGCCCCTACCTTCAGACTTGTCTTTTGAAGATGGAGCGTGTCTCGGAGTTCCTGGGCTCACTGCAGCAATGACGCTCTGGCATTGGCTTGGCGTACCTATGCCCTGCGATGCTACCATGCACCCCACAGCTCAGGGGGCCCAGGGACAAGGACCAATCCTGATATGGGGTGGCTCGACCATCACTGGACAATTTGCAATTCAATTGGCCACGCTGAGTGGCCTAGACGTTATTGCTGTGACTTCAGGAAAGACGAGTGCTGTAGCTCAATCCCTCGGTGCCAAGTGCGTGGTGGTGCGAGACGGCAAAACAAACGACCACATCGTCGCTGAAATCTCCGCTGCGGTAGCAAGCCTTGCAGGAAGTCCAGATGCCCTGACCAAAGCGATTGACATTGTTGGTCCCGAGACCGCAATACATACGATGGGAGCTTTATCGTCCAGTCAGCCCTCCACCATAGCGGCTCTGTCGTTCTTGCCATCAGGTGCTACTGTTCCTGACAATATTACCGTAGCAAACGTGCAGATGAAGGACTTCGTCCTTTGCCCCGAGTCTCGTAAATATGCTCTCGAGCTTAATCGTCTGATTGCATCAAAAATCGTACAGCTGCCGTCTCACGAGATCTCCAGCTGTGGACTGTCAGGGATTCCTACAGGATTGCAAAGGCTCAAGGAAGGCGATATGGGAGGCAAGAAACTAGTAGTTTCGCTACAGACCGATAGAATTTGACGTAGTGGTGGAGGACATTGAAAGAATGTGCTGGTTCTGGTAGCTCGTAATGATGTTGGTTAGTTTTCCCCACTATTTGTGACCAAGTAACACTACCACCTAACAACATGTGATAAAATAAAGAGTGGATTTAAGCATGGTCTACCTCCACGAAAAGACGGAGTGAACAAATAAACTCAGTAAGCGCTTCCCGTTCTGTCAACCGATGCCACACTATTCTGCCACCCTCTGGCGCATCAATATGGTTGCTTTTGAATTTGATGAAGCATTGCTCCCACAGCCTTCACAAGAATATTCGGATTCTAGGTCCTGTACGGTGATTCTTAATATGATTTCGTTTGTGTGTGTGTGTGTGTGCGCGTGGGTGGGGGAGTCGTGCTAGGCGCCGGGGCGCTAGGTACCTCCCCGCAGCTGCTACAGCTTTCTGCTCTCTTCAGTTTATTACACTTTTAGCTACGCTTTGCCAACCTTAGATTGATAGATGATCAGTTTAAAGATCATTACTTTTGTGGCTTAGTGGTTAATATATAAATATGCGTTTATTTCTAATTCATTTGACCCTTTGTTCCCGTAAGTAAGAGGTTTAAACCAGCAGGCCTCTGGCCTTATAGTACAGATGATTCTGACTAACCTAGAGCATTAAATTTTCAAATTTGGGAGCCATTACATAGATTTAAGACTTTCAGGCGCTAGCCATGTACAACTCAAACTTCACTTCAAGATCATTTCAGGATTATTTTACTCATACGTGCAATAGTGGTGAAATGCAAGCTTGATGTAGTTTTTCACCATCAGCCTACGAGATATATCGAAGTACACTGAACGCATACTAGCAGAATTATTTATTGAAGACAATGCGTGGGATATAGTTCTCAGGGTGAACTGCACAAGGGAAAACAAAAATTTCAAATAAAAAAACTGCATTCAATTTGACGGTGCCAGTCTATGGAAGCTATCCAACTTACTATTCCGCATATGCTCACTTCAGCGACGCCGGCAATCATAGTCGCCATGTTACCATACTCAAGAAATACGGGCAGCCTTGAGATCTCTCGCCTTCCTCTCTGCTTCCCTCTCACGCCTATAATTGGCCGCGGGATGGTCATCCCTGACCCGGCGATGTCCTGGCTGTATATACATGTTTTCGCGAAGAGTCCCACCCGGCACTGCGTAGTCCTTCCAGTACCTGCCACGGGCTTGAAGGACAGGCACCAGAAGCTCGACAACATCCTGCATTGTGTCTGGGGAAGACGAGGCGTAGAGGTTAAATCCATCCACGTCAGTCTCTTCCATCCACTTCTCCATGAAGTCGGCGACCATTTCCGGAGTGCCCACGACGTGGGGGTACATGCCGCCGCAAGACATCCGCTCGCCCAACTTTCTCGGAGTCCATGCATCATTGTTTTCGTTCCCTGCCTTGAAGCTCTCAATCACACCCTGAACCGCATTCGTGGCGCCGGCGTCAAAACTAAAAGGCTTGTCCAACGGATAGCTGCTTAGATCTATCCCCGTGTACGCACAGAATCGAGCGAGTCCGGCTGTAGCACTGACATTCTGAAGTGTTCGTTGATACTTTGCCTGGGCCTCTTCAACTGTGCGGCCAAGAAATGTAGCAACACCGGCAAAGGCCTTGACATTACTGGGATCTCGACCGGCGGCCTTGGCCGCCTCGCGGACCGTCTTGACGTACTGAGCAGTCCGAGCAGATGATATGCTTCCACAATACAGCCCTTCCGCGTTGCCTCCGGCTAGAGCAATACCCGCCGAGGACGCACCGGCTAGAGCAATACCCGCCGAGGACGCACCGGCTTGGAAGATGACAGGTGTGCGTTGAGGGGAAGGATGCACCTGGTGTATCGCTGAGAGCTTGTGGAACTTGCCACTGAATTCCGTCTTGTACAGACGCTCAGGATCATATGCAGTATCCCGTTCGACGTCAAACACCTGAGCATCATCGTCCCATCCTCCCTCCCAGAGCCTATATGTCAAATTTACAAACTCTTCTGCCTTCGCGTATCTCTGATCATGGGGCATGATACCATCGAATCCCATCGCCAGGGCTGATGAATTTGTGTATCCCGTCACGATGTTCCATCCGATTCTTCCATTGGTGATGTGGTCCAAAGACGAGAAGCTGCGTGCCAGGATGAAAGGATTCAAGTAGATGGCATTCGCAGTAAGCGCAAAACCTAGGCTTTCGGTGACGGCAGCCATAGCACCCACTATGACGAATGGATCAAGCTGGGCGACCTGACTTCCACCACGGTATGTGGCGTCAGTACTACCACCATAGACATCGTTGGCGCCATAGGAATCGGCAAAGAAAATGGAAGTAAATTTGCCCTTCTCTGCCAGCTTCGCAAGGCTCATGTAGTAATCCAGTCTGTCCTTTCGCCGACAGCCGTCCTGAGGACCATTCCTTTGCCACTGTCAGCATACGCAGCTCCGAGAAGCGATTCTCAGGCTTTGGTGACTCACTTCCACTGCCCAATGAAATGATTTCCACCCGTGGCACATGTTTCTAGGATATTGAACTGGATCAATTTGGTTGAGGCCATTCTGGAAGCGCAAGACTATGAGCTGTGGGTGGCTGTTGGTAATTGTTGGTGTTGTTGGGGAGTACGGTGGTCTGCTGATACGACAAACTAAAGCTCGGTCTTTATTTACATATATGACATTCTGCACGGAGCCCATATGGCATCTTTTTCAACGGATTATATCCTCCTTCATACCACGGAACAAATCATATTGACTTACACGACATTGAATGCCTAGTGGCATCGGCCCCACAACCCAGCATGCGGGCCCACCAAGATTGATGCGGCATAGGGCAAAGGTGTCCATTGGTTGGGGATTGGCTTACCTAGAAAAGCGTGCTTCAGTGTTTGTCTCTGGACTTTTCGAGTAGGTAGTCAGCTAATTACCCAAAACGGCTTCTTATCTTGTCGGCTAAAAAAACCCGAGATATCGGAAGGGCCGAGTGCCACGAAGGGCCGCATCGCTTGCAAATGGCTCAAATATGCGAAGAGGAAACCATACCGCGCATTTTACCTAGAACGAGGGCATACTAAAGATTTCATCTTGGTCATTTACTATTGTAAACTATATCCGGCGCGGAAGTTCCTTTTTGTTGGTGATAATGGCCGATGAACCCACAGCGGATTACCCACCTCCGTCCAAACGACCTCGGGTTCTAGTCGCATGCCGACGCTGTAAACAAAGAAAGACAAAGGTACGACTGCGAGTCCATCACAAGGTCGGTCACCATAATTGACAGTCCAGTGCGATGGTCTGGAGCCTTCTTGCTCTTCCTGCCTTAGAACTGGCAGTGAATGTAGATACGTCGGCTCAGTGGGACCGACCGCTGCCGAGACCAAGATATACGTCAAGACCCTGGAGCATCGTGTCGCAGAGCTTGAGAGCATCTTGTCTGCTAATGGAAACATTGATGTTGCCGGCGATCATTGGGAGCGAGTACGCCCGCGAGCCGACAGCATTGACGCCTTGTCCAGTGCCGTTTGTGATTTATCTCTCAATGCATGTGGATTTTATGTAGGGGGCAGCTCGAGCCTTGCCATAGGCAGTCTCCTAGCTTCTCTTGTTCAGTCTGGTCAGAGGCATTCTGGAAATCGGCCCATCTCCCGTCCTCGCAGACACCTCGCCGAGCTAGAGCCTGCCTCAGAACCCTTCCCCCAGGACAATGATTACCATGTGCCGGATATCTCATGTTTCGACGATAGGAACCTCGACAGGTTATTCGATGCTTATTTGAACTTTTTCTCGAGTCAGCTTCCTGTTATACATACTCCAGTACTCCAAAAGTTCCATGAACGGCGGACTGAGATCACGGACCCCTTTGAAGCAAGCATACTTCATCTTGTCTACGCTATTGGTGGGCGATGTCTGGAGCTTGCTGGTATGGCTAGGAATTTCACATTTTCGGCTGATCAGCATTATGAAGCGGCTATGGAATGGCGCGACGTCATCATTGGACATTGTGATCGAAGGACGGTGATCTTCCTGGCCTTGGCTGTTTCATATTGCCTGCGAGCGCCAAGGGCACCTGGACCCTGGTAACACATCCAAGGACAAATTCCATGTAGTATCGAAATCACTAATTATATACAGGATGATGATAGGCCACGCTGTCAAGCTTTGTGTATCGCTTGGCCTTCACAGGAAGTCCAATGCGCTGCAGCCTGATCCCCAGCGCGAACTAGACACACGGGCGTTCTGGGCCTGCTATTGTCTTGATGTGGACACTACCATAGCATCGGGACGGCCCCCTTCCATATCCAATCGCGACATCGACGTTTCGGTAAGCAGCCCGATTTTCTAGCATACCAAAGATGTGGCAGTTGACTGTGTTGCGATTAGTTACCTTTGGACATGGAAGAATCGAGCACCTCAATTCAAGATTTCCAAAACGCACCAACGCAGAATGGAAATAAGCCGAGAAGGCTTACAACTAGTCTCAGCTATTTCATTCTCGGCATAGAATTGAGAAAAATCATTTCGTCAATACAGCACGAGATATATCGGGTAGACCGCAATGTCAATGCATCTCACGAGTTATTCGATATGTTTCTGGAAGAGCTAGATCTTTGGAAAGCCGATGCCTTGTTATTCAGCAAACCAACCAATGGAGCGGAAAGCTCTGTGCATCAAGAGACGGATGGCTCGCGTTCGCCGATCGAGAATCCGATGCTTGTGAGTAACAGGGCCCATGTAAACTGTCGCACTGGAATGTCTAGATGCTAAAGAGACATAGATAATACAATACCACAACGCAACACGACTTCTCCTATTTCCGCAGCTTACAGAACCACAGGTTCATACGCCTTATCTCAGGCGCTGTGCCACCGCATGTATCGATGTCTGCCAACGGTACAAACAGGCCCACGATGCGAATTTCCAAATATGCTATTCTCCCCACTCCATACAGTCAGTCTTTCTTGCTGGGCTTACTCTTATTTACTGTATGTGGCTTGAGCCCCGAGAAGTGCCATACCACGCATCGCGCGGTGCAATCACGGACTGTAGCATAATGCTCTACGTCATGGCGGAGCGATGGCCAGAAGCGCAGCGCTACAGAAACATATTCGAACGTACGAGAATATCAATGCTCAAGATCATAGCAGGAGACACGTCCCAGAAGACATGCGCGGCACTCGACGGCATCAACACAGATGAGGCATCATTTGTTGGCAGCCTGGGTAATGAGATGGGAGGTAGTGCATCCTTCTGCCTCTCCCATATTCTCCAAAGCGTTAGTAATCAGCGTAGGACGGAAACAGCACCCCATGTGGCCAGCATCAGCTCACCAGTGGAAGACATCATACCCGAGCCTGCTTCAACAGGCCAAGATTTGTTGGACACGGCACATTTTGGTAGCTCCTATAATGGATTGCTCTGGAGTATTGATTTTAGTGGCACATAGCATGATCGGGACTAGAAAAAGGTTTGCACATATTTTGGACATCTAGACTTTATTTCCTTTCCATTAAGGATTGACAGATTATCTCCGTGATTTCCCCTACAGAATTCTGAGATTGCTTCTCGAGATCCGTTTGCGACACAGTGCGGAAGACGTCGGCAACGCCAGTAAACACTTCAGGGCCCCAACCACCATAACTCTGAAAAGTCATACGGATTTCCTCCATCTCTTTGATCCACCGGTACGCCTTCCGCTGTGAGCCGTTCAAGCTGCTTTCGTGTATGGCAATCACACTTGGGAAATACTCTGCCATGTGTTTACGTAGAGGCTCTAAGACACCCATTTGGTGTGCCGTGGTGTATGCTTGTATAAATATGGCGGCGTGGCCCTTGTAAATTGCACCAAAACACATTTTCAGCCCACTTGCATCGCCCACTGCGCTACCAACGTGTCGGAAATTTAGCAGCGACTTGAGCTCGGATGTCCAAGGTTCGGCAAGCTCCGGACCTGCGATGGTGATTGAAGGTCGAAACCACGTCTGGTCTTGGAGCATCTTGGGCGGGAAGCCAATGATTGCGCCGTCGATAAAGGTGATTCGACTCGGGGCAATAATACTGTCAATCTCCTTGCATAAATCTGGCGAAATGGCGTTCATGTCCACATATTGCAGGGGCGTTGCCAACGGACTCGAAGAAGCGTACACATTGGCGACTTTCTTGGCCAGAGGCAACGCCTCTGCGGGCGGAACAATGGAAAGAAAAATGGATGCTGCCTCTAGCATTTCGGCAAACGGTAGCACTTTGACATTGAGCGATTTTGCCCGCTCCCACGTCTTCTCACTGCGGCCGTCCAGATTTGTGATCACAGGGTAGGAGTACAACGTCAGAAGCGATGCGATGCCAGCACCCATTTCGCCAAAGGACATGATGGCTATGGTGGGCTTCTGCGTAGTGGAGCTTTCGTCGTCGAGGGACGGCAATGGGCTGGTGCCAACGCCGACAAAAGTCCTGTCTTCAGCCATTATGCCTAAAACAATCGGAGCAAAGGGAGAAATGTGACTAGGGCTCAATGATGGTATCAACGGTCGTAGCTTTTGAAGCTCTAGAAATTTAGCAATTGCATTGGTGCATATATACATTGTTCCGAGGAGACTAGACCGAGGCTTCCGAGCGAAGGACTGAAACAGAGGTACTGTACATTCCTTACCACTCCATTTGATAGCAGATCTGACACTAACTTTCTATGCGATATGACACAGGAATCGGCAAGTCAGAATCATCAGTCGGAAAGGCAAGCCGACGAGGGGACTAGACCATATACGTGGGCTCCACCCCTTCGGCATTAATCCATACCGTGCAATCCTCTGGCTATGGTGACGGACCTGTGCCCTTGCCTCGACTGACTTCCGATGTGCAATTGACTTGTCCCCGACCACCGGTGATTCATGCTGTAATTTTCAATTCCTCGCCTGGCTTCGTGCGCATTACTCTAAGCTGCTCGATTGTTTTCGAATCTATAGTATCCCACAAGTTGCCTCGAATCTATTCTGCTTGTAGACCAGGTCATGCACCATGCACCAGCAACTCGAGATTCGGAGTCTAGCTTTGCAAGACTGCGAAGCTATCTCGGCCTCTGACAATCCACAAGGCCAAGAGCAGAATCCATATAACCGATTTTCGAACAAGAGGAAACTCGTCATAGTCGTCGTTACTTCCTTTTGTGGAGTACTTGCACCCTTCTCGTCCATTGGCATTCTGTCGGCAACGCCTGAGCTCTCCGATTACTACGAAACCACGGATTCAATCATCAATATTTCAAATGCCTTGTACATGGTCTTCATGGGCATATCTGCACCGATATGGGCCCCGATTAGCCAAATATATGGCCGCAGACCGGTAAGAATGCATTCATCAATCCTCTCCCGTACCGCCAATTGACTGGATCTTATTTAGGTCATGCTGCTATCTGGTGTGCTCTTCAGTGCATTCTCCACAGCGACCATCTTTGCACCAAATCTGCCAGTTTATTTTGTCTTGCGCATGCTCGTCGCTCTCCATGGAACACCTTTCCTTGTCGTCGGCACTGCCATTATTGGCGATATTTATACCTCGCTAGAGCGAGCTAATGCTCTGTCGTGGTTCCTCTTTGGTGGCCTTTTCGGACCAGCCATTGGACCCTTGGTCGGGGGCATCATTGTCACTTATCGCCCGTGGCAGTACATCTTCGTTCTCCAAGCCGCACTTTCCGGCTTCGCGCTGGTTCTGGCATCTCTGCTCATTCCTGAGACTATTCATAAGCTTGGCGATGCGGATCTGTACGGGCTCGGTTTTGTACAAAAGGCCACCCAACTGTGGCGGAGGGCAAATCCATTTCGCTCACTATACCTGCTGTCACGCCCAAATCTCGCAATGGTAGCATTCGCTTCCGGTAGTATCATGTGGAGTATGTACGCGCTATTGACACCAATCCGTCAAGTGTTGAACCCACGATACAACCTAACCTCCCCCGTGGAGTCAGCCTTATTCTACCTCGCACCGGGCTGCGGTTATCTCGTAGGAGCTTCGATGGGTGGCCGCTACTGTGATTGGTCACTCCAAAACGTTATGCATGCGCGTAAGGAAAATTGTACGCCCGAGGATCGTTTGCGTTGCTCGCTCGTGCCTCTGGGCATCATCACACCCGCGTGCATCTTGATCTACGGCTGGACCGTCCAGGAGGCCGTGGGTGGAATATCCGTCACTGTTATTACCATGTTCGTGCAGGGCGTAGCGCAGTTGTTCATACTACCAGCCTTGAACAGCTACTGCCTCGACGTAATGCCTGAGCGGGGCGCAGAAACAATTGCGGTCAATTATATAACAAGGTACATTTTTGCTGCTGGCGGCACAGCGTCGGCAATACCCATTATTCAGTCAATTGGACTAGGTGCCACGACGACCATTGCGGCCGGCTTCTTGATCTTGGCGGCAATTGGGATAGCTGTAACTATTAGCCGTGGCAAATATTGGCGGTCAAAGGCCATGGGAGGATAATTGGCTGTACAACCGAAGGTACATCAAGATAGATTATTTGTCTTGTTGCACTGGCGTAGTCACCAGCCACCACGGATCACCTGCTCAGGTATAGTAGAAACCTCTTCAGCACCGTTCTTTCATAGCTATTTAGGATTAACTTGAACATTTTTCCGGCGCCATTCGATCACATCTTCCCCTCTATGCTGGCTTAGGTGAAATATCCACATCTCTGGAATTTATCGTATGTTCATTCCATCTGTCTTACTATGGCAGAACAGAGGACTCCAATTCGAGGCTAAACAGAAAGTTTCGCTGTAACTTGGAGGTTATATATGGAGCAAACGATATTTTGATTCCTTAAGAAACTGAAAAGTTTGATGCGGCCCTGGGTCATTTATTGTAGTGGCATGTTGTAAGAGGTGCCGGCGAAAGTTTGACACTGTGATTGGAATCCCTTGCGACGTGGGTAAAAAAAGGTCTCTTAAATATAAGGTCATTTTGATACGGAGAAGGTTCGCATCATTGAATATTAATTCTTCTTATCACTGCATCAATAGAACTTGCTACCTTCTCCAAATTGTCCTCGTTCAATCCTGATACATTAATTCTCCCATTTTCTGGAAGGTAAATACGGAATTCCTTGACCAGCTGCGTCACCTGCGCCTCGTTCAGTTTGAGGTAGGAGAACAGGCCTTGCTCAGAGATGATGTTCTCCCAGTCTCCAGGACTCTTGTACTTGACGCTGAGAAGATGGTACAACTTTCTCCTCAGTGAATAGATGCGAGAGCTTGCAGCCGCAAGTTCCAGTCCCCATGCGGAGTAGATCTCCTTGTCGTTGAGTATAATATTCGCAAGGAGAGCACCATAGGCTGGGGCCGAAGAGTATTCCCAGCGAGCGATGGACCGGAGAGAGTCTAAAACATTGGACGCAATCGCAGCATCCGAGCACACAACGTGAAGAGCCCCGGTTCGTTCCGAGTAGAGGCCCATGTTCTTGGAGAATGACTGGCAGACGAGCATGGGGATGCCGAGCTCGGCAAAACACCTCACAGCCCAGACATCCTGCGCCCCGTGGTCTGCATTCTGTGATCCGAACCCTTGATAGGCAACATCAAAAAAGGCAAAATGATGCCGCTGTCTCATTATATCAGCAAGGCATTTCCATTGCTCTCTGCTAGGATCCATCCCAGTCGGATTGTGACATGTTCCCTGGAGAATGAATATGCTCTGCTCTGGGGCCCTTTCGGCGGCTGTAAGTGTGCTGTCAAAGTCAAACAGGCCAGAGGTTCTATCGTAGTATCGATACTTTTCTACTTCAATGCCAGCGTGGGTGAAAAGAGGTTCATAGTTTCCCCATGTAGGCGTTCCAACGAATGCTTTTGTCGTGTTGGCTTGGCTCGATTTCTCGGCAGATGGAAAGTATTTCTTGAGGAAAGCTGCTCCTAGTCTATTCGCTCCGGTACCAGCAACAGTTTGGATCGATGCCAGCTTTAAAGTGTCAGCAAGACTGGTTGTTGAATGGGAGCAGGGTGCGTGCATTCAAACCATGATTGTTTCCAAACAAGAAATGTCCCGCTGCCTTGGTGAAGGATGCTATACCAGTAGTCGGATTGTACTGCGACCATCTAGTCTCACTCTCTATATCTCCATCAATCGTACCACTTCGACCGTACATCGTGGCCAATGTTCAAGGCTTGCAATCGGGACTTTGCCTGTTCAGTTCACGTTAGCGAACAGCCCGCAGGGCACCAATGTAGCTCTCACGCTTACCCTCTTGATAGATTCGAATTCATGATACTGGCCATTTTCAATTCGGTACACACCTGCTCCGAGGTCGACTTTGGAGGGAGATTTGTCGCCATCAGCCAGGGCCTTAAGCTTGAACATGGGGTCTACAGGGCCACGGGGAACCCATGAGAAGGTTTTTGACTTTGTTAACATTGTTGCGGGCAACTTAAAACTCTTCATTGCGCTCGACATATCTGCGCTGCCCAAATGTCTAAAACCACGAGCATTCAATCTAAATGTATCCTGTACTATATGAATTCATAACACTCGACCTGATCGTACTAGCCAAGGTCCATGTCACCGCAGAGACGAAGCCGGACCTAGATTCCGAAGGACATCTATCTCGACCCACCTATCGGGATCAGCCTCCGGGGTCACCTCACCCTACATTACGCAAGCTGTCAAGGTCTTACACTATATTGTCGAATCAATCATGTGTACAAATTACTATATCACAGAATAAAGAAATTATGATAAGGATGAACAGAAGAGGGGTGATGTGGGAGGGGCCGTTCCGCAGAAATTCCCGTGTCCCGATGCCATCCATAATCCCAATCGGCGTATAAGGCCATTGTTTTGATTAGGATCGTGTTTGCCAATTCGTTCATTAGACCCAATATCTCATTCCGCTGGCCACTTCATTCACAGAAAGGCTCAGTAGAGATCGAAGTCATGGCCTCCAATCTCGTTCGCCGTGTCCCTCTCCACGGCCTTGCTAGTTGGCCGAGCATGTCGTCAAGGTCAGTTGCTGCCCGTAGGGCCAGCGACAACTGCAGACGACCGGGCATTCGAAGCTTGAGCACCACCTCAAAAGTATTGCCGCCTCTGTCTATCATGCCCATGTCGCTGCTCCTTCGCTCTTACTTTCTTACCTCTATTCTTGCATCCCCGCGTATTCTCAACTTGTGTCTGCCAATAATGAACAAAATGGCCAACTCAAAATCCGCCTTCCTCAATCCAGATCGGAACCCGCTGTTACACGTCCTGGTTAGGAAACTATGTTTTGATCACTTTACCGCTGGTGAGACGGAGACCGAAGTTAGACAGACAATCAATCATGTGAAGAGTCTTGGGTTCAAAGGCGTGATTCTTGGCTATGCGAAGGAGGCCCACATCGCTGGCGTCGATACTGACATGGGTATTCCCAAGTCTGCCCCCGGAGTCTTCGAGACCGAATGTGTCAATGCATGGAGGGACGGCATATTAAAAACCCTGAGCCTGATTGGCCAGAAAGACTTTTTGGCTGTCAAGTCAGTAGTGCGACCCATCCCTCTCCTCGGTAACCTGATGCTCGATGCGATGTGTTTGTTCAAGACTAAATCTTTCCGGCGAGCAGGTTCTCGGGCGCTAGCAAAGCCACACTGGATGCACTGGCACACGGAGAAGACCCGCCGCAGAACATGTGGGGAGCCATGCTGGAAATCTGTGATGCCACCGCGAAGCAAGGCAGCCGACTCTGGATTGACGCCGAACAGCAGGACCTTCAGCCCTCTATTGACGAATGGACGAGGCGGTTGATGCGGAGGTACAACCAAGGCGACAAGGCACTTGTCTACACAACAATGCAGAGCTATCTAAAGCACATGGAGTATAACGTTGGCAAGCACCTCGAGATGGCTCAGGCCGAGGGCTGGATCCTCGGCGTCAAGCTCGTGCGCGGCGCCTATATTGCAACAGAGAGGCGCAACTTGATCCACGACACAATTGAAGATACCCATGATGCATATAACAGGATTGTCAAGAGCATGCTCCGACAGGAGTATCCAGGGGTGTCGCCTGACAAGATTTACCCTCGCTCTGAGCTGTTCCTTGCCACACATAATGAGGACAGCATCAACAAGGCATGGTCTCTGCAGAAGTCGCTCCTGCAAGCTGGGAAGCCTACTATAGAGCTTGGCTTTGGTCAACTTCAGGGCATGGCCGACGAGGTGGGCTGTAGCCTGATCCAGCTGTGCCAGGATGAGAAAGCCGCGGACAAGACCCAGGCTTTGCAGGCCATCCGGGATGCCCAGTTGATGGCCGTGCCGAACGCGTTCAAATGTCTTTCATGGGGGACCACGAGCGAATGTCTGCAATTCCTTTTACGACGGGTGCGGGAGAACGCCGATGCGTTCGGGAGAACAAAGTACTGGGCCGTGAGTTTTCGAGAAGAAATTTTGCGACGGCTTACAAGCCCGTTTTCTCTCAGAGCGAAGGAGCGCTCGCAACAAGGCATTAGGTAGCATATTGTGAAGAGTGTAACGGGCTCATCCATATACCTACTCGCTAGCTAAGTCATGTTAACTGCCTGAAAGGCATTCGTTCTTTACCGTTTGTTAAATGTATTCAGCCACATCTAATAATGTGATGTCGACAATAATTTCTTTTTGGTCGTAACCAAACTGTTAGGTGCTAGGCACCAACGCTAGGTACCACAGTACCCGACTCTCCCCGCAGCTGCTACAGCTTTCCGCCCTCTTCAATTTATCACAATTTTAGCTAGGTACGTTTTGCTAATCAGAGATTAAGGGATTAGCACCCTGAAGATCATTACTCTTGTAGCTTAGTAGCTAGTCACATCCGTTTACTTTCTAATTCGTTTTCCCATTGTTTCCGTAAGTGACTGGTACAAACCAACTACACAAGTGATTATAGGCAGTGCAGTGCTCTTCCAACTTGTTTCTAAGAGCATTGGCTGGTACTGAAGATCCACCCAAGTCTGAAAGCAATTAATACATGCCCAAGTACGTGCTCAAATGATGTCAATGATCGGCTGATGCATCCTTCATTTGTCTTTTGAGTTCTAGATGGAGTAATAAGATCCCTTGAGGCTTCGAATTTTGAGTCTCCTAACTGCTATTGCCGAGGAACTTTTTAAGACCCTTTTCGTCATTCTTCATCTCGACAGCCAAAGAGGGGCGGGGAAGTTCGAAAGTCTCTCGCACACGAGCATACGAAATACCCCCAAGCTGCACAACTGGACGCAAGACATCTAGGTCCACGTTCTCTTGAGCCTTATCCAATGCGTCCTCCCGGGCCCAGAATCTTTTCGCCTCGATGATGGCTAACGCGCCGGCCGGTTTGCCCTGCTCTGCGTGGCCGTGAAAGTCCAAGCTCTTCATCTCAAGCAGCTTTCCCTCAATGGAAAAGACGGCCTCCTGGACTCTTTTGGGAGCCACGGTGGAGGAATCCCGAGGCGTTAAACCAGAAAGCTCCCATTCGGAAGTGCCATATGGCACGTCGAGGGACGTGGCGTTGGCAGCCTCGACGAAATGGTCCGACAGAATGTTAATAACACACTCCCCAGTCTCCGTGAGATTCTTTTGTGTGTCTTTTGGTCGACCCGGACGCGCGGAGAATCCAATGACAAGGATGACGGGATCGTGGTCGACGACCTGGAAATAACTAAATGGTGCTAGATTTGGAATGCCATCCTTTGATAGCGTGCTGACAAAGCTGACTGGTCGTGGGATTGCAGAAACAAGAAGTTTGTAATTGGCTATCATTGAGCGACCTTCCGCCGCTGGATCCACTTCAATATGGGACTTGGTTGCAGACGTGGCATCCGTCGAACCCTGACCATATTTCCACTCTGGGTGTGGAGTCTGGGTAACGACCAAGTCCAACTTCGGGTCGAATTTCTCTCGGGTGGACTCAATTTTTCGAAATTCTTCCAACGTCGGCACAAGCACAAAAGGATTCGGAGCAGGTGGTTTGGTGCTTTGCATTCGGACGGCTGAAACGGGTAAACGCGGACTGTTGTTGTTGTTGTTGTTGTTGGCGAATTGTTTCCAGAGTGTGGTTGCAGACTTCGGCTTGACTCGGAAGGCTTTCATTGTGACAAGGCTGCTGAATGATTCTTCGTGGAAAGAAGGAGGAGAAGATGGAACAGAGAGGGCTACGGGCTGGAATGCAACAATTGGGCCTGTAGTGGTCGAAGACTATGGACTGTTTATTTGCATTTCCGCCCGGTTCCGCCTCAGGGTCTGTGATTAGCGGCAAAGATTAGGTGATTTTTAGCGTCCGTGTGCACTAATGGTTCATTATTGATTCCGACCGAGCCTTCGGAAAGACGCTCCGAATCGATTACTCGCGGTCGTCGCCCCACACCCACGCGAACGGGTCCAAATCGGAGGCTGGCAGACAGTCGGGAAAGCTGCAGTTGAGGAATTCTAGCGCCGACTCGAACATGACATGTTGCTCCGAGACGAGCCCACCGTTGATATCGTGTCTGGCAAAGCCTGCCGTCGTGGATGCGGGACCATGCGGACCAACCGACGAATCGTTACCTTCATGGAGGGTGGCAGCAGCACGCACGTGTTGCCGAAAACTCTCAATTTCGATGAGGTCTCGCTTATATGGCCCAACTATGATGCATCTCCTCAGGGCCATGTCGTCCATGATCTTCAAAGTCCTGCCCGCGTCCCAGGACTGGCCGCTCGGGAGGAGGACGTCCACAAGAATAAGCACAACTGCGCTCGCAAATAGCGCGTCCACGTCAAATGGGAGAAGGAGATCTGGCACTGTTTAGCCAGATAGAGCAAGGTAGTCACGGTAATAATGTATCATCACGCTCACCTATGATATTGTGCTCACTTAGTTCATGAATAATCTCTTGAATATTCAAGGCTGCCTCTGTGCACAGGTTAAGGAGATGACGACTTGCGTCCGAAACGTTGCTATTCTGGCCGTGTCCAACTTTTTGCTCAAATATAAAAAACAAGACGGGGCGAATGGTCATAATAGTGCACTGTAGCATGATTAGTTACCCAAGATCGCACCGAGGACTGGCGTGAATGATGCGGATTTACCAGATTGTGTAGTACATATAGTGAGGCCACGGCTCTAGTTTCCGAGACGGCCAACATTGAAAAGTTCAGCTTGAGCTTTTCTTGCAACATCTTGGAGCCGTCTGATTGTCGTTTCAACACCGACTGGACAGCATGAACAAAGTTTGATCCTAAATGTCGCGCAGCTCCCGGGCCATATATAACTGATACAAACGTCAACTTCCGCCGACCTACCAAGAACTGGGAGAAAAACCTTGCAAGATCTCGCCAAGACGTGAAGACAGGTCAATGTGAAAAGCCATGATAGTCTCAGATACAGTGAGGGCCGCTGCGAGAGAGGGTTTAGGCAGCCCAATATCGTCATCGTGTAGCCTCGGGGGCACTCCAATGAGGCTGGACAATTTGCGGTCCAAAACGTAGGCAGTCCAGAAGAGCTTGGATCTGTGCGAGAATTCGGTAGGGCTTATTCTTGACGCGTCATGTTTTCGGTTCAGACCCATTGCGAGGCACATACCAATTGCGTCTCCCAGCTACAACATTAGCACTTAGCATATTCGAAAAATTTGGTGAAGACAAACATATCCGTAAGCAGCTAGCCGCATATCCATCATCTGGAGAAATAGGGCTGAGGCGCACAAGATCTCAATTGAGAGTATTGGTTCTTCATAGAGAAAGTACATGCTAGGGAAAGCTTGGACCGCACGGGCAAAATAGACATGTCCTGAAGGTCCTGATGGGCCAGGTTCGCGATGGGCAATAGACTTTCCGAGGCCTAAAATGATCAGCATCTGAATCAGCCAAGGGTCAGTCAACGCGGATGCCTCAGGGTCTTTGTTCTTGGAGAAATTCTGAAACTTTTTCAGGAACTCAGCCTTGTCGAATAGGTAGTACATGGAGCCCAGAGAATAAGAAATTGTGCTTAGCAGATATTCGGCATATTCTGGTGACGGTACATCGAGATTGTTGAGATCTACCGGCAATCGCTCCCATGGGACGCCGTAGGAACCGTCTCTGATGATGATTCTGTCATGCAGTTCAGGGCCGTTGCCGGTGTCCCTAATGAGCTCCCGCACGCGGCGACTAAAAGACCAGGAAGAGCTGTGACCAAGTTGTCCTAAGGGTCCATCAGCCACAACGGCAGTAAGATAGATATGAAGATGGGCTTGAACAAACTGTATTTATCTGCAGCGGTGAGCTGAGAGTCAAGGCCTACTGATTCGAGCGTGAGACGATGCGGACTTGGGGGAACGGTCGCACGAGGCACGGAAAGTGCTGGTTGTTCGAATTGGAGACCTTGATTCGGGTCTGGAAGTTCCTTTGCGCTCCCGAGCTGCCTTGTCATGACTTGTGGGCGACTTGCTCCGCTACCAGAAGGAGCAAGTGAGAGCACCGGATTTGTAGATGCCGAGAGACGCTCACTTGCTCGGGGATCGGACTCGTGTGCGTCGTCTGCGGACGAACCTGGCCATGAGGATGAGAGCGTTCTGTGCTGAGAAGATTGCCTAGGTGACACTCGATTTTCGAGTTCTCGCAGATATCTATCAAACGATTTAGCTATCCGGTCACGTTGAGCGCATATTCTAATATATTGTCCAGTCATCTATACTTACTCTTCTGAGATGGCTACTCTCTTCACCTTTGCCTCGAACGTGCAGCTAATATCCTTTGAAAGACACCTCTGGCATGGTTCATCCCCGCTACATTTGAGCTTGTGCTGTCTGCAATTTACGCAGCTATGTTTACATATTAATTGCTAATCCACGGATGCGAAGTGCACGGTGAATGATACGAACGCGTTCATGGTCTTCCTCCTCTTTCTGGCAGAGCCTGAGCTAAGATTGTCACTCATGGTAGTCGTCGATACGTGCTTGGCCAGAGAACAAACAGACCAGTAGTATAGTAAGGCGTGGTCAGTTCTTTGTAGAGGAGATGCTGACGTGATTGAGCCAAGGAGGGTAGGGACGGAGCATGGGTCTCTTTTTACGTAGGTCGATAGCTTCGCACCAATGATTGTGGCCCGCATAAAACGAATCGTGAAGTGTTAAAAAATGCATTAAACAACAGTAAATTGATGGCCAGCTGCCAACTGTTGGGGCACTTGGCGGGCATGGGTATACCAATCGTAGGTCTAACCAAATTTGTAATAGATCTAAACAACCCCTCTTTCGTGCCCGACAATGGATGATTGAATTGAAATGTTTACAGCCAGTCTTGTGTCAAGTCAATTGGGTTTGTGGGCTTTATGATTGCTTTCCCATTTGCTCAAATTTATACGATCTGGCCTCGAATACATCAAATGTGTTTTGCTCAGAGTGGGCATACACCTCATTTAAGCTTCATTGCTTGGATATCTGAAATCTGGCGTCCCTTCAAAGTCCTCCTTGATCGCACGGACACTTGTGAATCGGCTCAGCACATTAACAGACCCAACCTTGTCGTTTGTACCACTGCCACGCATACCTCCGAACGGTTGCTGCCCTACAACCGACCCCGTACTCTTCGTGTTAATGTAGAAGTTGCCTGCAGAGTTTCGGAGCTTATCCTCCGCATAGCGGATAGCTGCGGCGTCACGGGCGAAAATACTTCCAGTCAGTGCATACGGCGCCGTTGAATCAATGACCTGCGTGATCTCGGCCCATTCGCTATCGGGATACACATAGACGGCCAGCAGTGGCCCAAAGAACTCCTTCTGCAAAATCTCGTGGTGCGCGTCGCTAGTCTGGTAAATGGTAGGGTGGACAAAATATCCCGTCTCCTTGGAAGTCTTTCCTCCACAAAGCAAAGTGAGTTGGGAATCCGTCTTGGCTCTTTCGATGACAGCAGCAAGCTTGTCAAAAGATTGCTCGTGAATGACGGGGTTCACAAAGTTGGTCACGTCTTCTGGACTCCCGACCTTGATGGTCGCCATTTTGGCCAACAAGTTTTCCTTGAAAGCTGGCCAGATGGATTCAGGAACATACAGCCGAGATGCAGCAGAGCACTTTTGCCCTTGGTACTCGAACGCACTGCGGATTGTGCAGTTGACTGCATTCTCGATATCTGCGGATTTATGGACCAGGTGGAAATTCTTTCCTCCCGTCTCACCAACGATCCTGGGGAAATTCAAGAACTTGTCCTCTCCAGTAGCCTGGCCGATGCGCGCGATAAGCTGCTTGAAGACAGCGCTTGATCCGGTGAAGTTCAATCCCGCAAAAGCTCGGTTCTCAAGCACTGTTGAGGTAATGGCTTCTGCATCACCTGCTACAAACTGGAGGACATTCTCAGGCAGGCCAGCCTCGATCATGATCTTGTAAAGTAGCCAGGAGCTATGGAATGCTGATGGAGATGGCTTCCAGACAACGACGTTGCCCATGAGCAACGGTCCACATGCAAGCGTCGCCCCTAGAGCTGTAAAGTTGAATGGTGAGATGGCGTAGACGAAGCCCTCCAAAGGCCGGTACTCAAGACGGTTCCACTGTGACGAAGGGATTAGAAGGTAATAAAAATCGAGATAGGCAGAGTGACGTACCATGCCGCTCGGGTTAACAGCAGGCTGTTGCTTAAACAGATCCATGGCGCACTGAACATTAAAGCGGAGGAGATCGCACGTTTCAGCGGCAGCATCAATCTCGGCCTGCCATATGTTTTTGCCCTGACCGACCATGGTGGCGGCCATAAGAGCGTGTCGATACTTGCCTGCAACAAGACCAGCTGCACGCAAGAAGATGGCCGCACGGTCTTCGAATGGTGTGTTTTCCCATGCAGATTTCGCCTGCAAAGCACTTTCTATTGCGTTTTGCACATCGAAACGAGTGCTGGGGATGTACTCGGCGACAACCTGTTTGTGGTTTGCAGGATTCACTTGTTGGATGGACTTTGTGTCGACACCCTATAATAGGTCAATATGATTGCAGACATGGTTAAAAGCTGGTTCTGGGCCCAATCTTACCTTGCTAATGTGCTCTAGGGGAACATTCACAGGAAGAGATGATACCAGCTCTCCGTAAGCTTTCATAATCGCAGCGCGATCGGACGAGCCCTTCTCGTAGCTTGGCTATAGTCAGTCAGTTTAGTAAATTTTGGTTAAAGGCGGGCAGGTAAACCCTAGTCTACTTACACAGGGCTCATTCTGAAAGAAAGGCTTAGTATAACTCGACAAGGCCATCCTGAAGCCCAAGGATAGATTTCCGTGATGGAGTCTTGTACGCTTGAATACAGATTGAAGTGACATCACGATCAATGAACGTGGGTGATGTCCACACAACAGATCCAGTACTTTGGCCTCGGTTCGCGCTCGGATACAGAGGTATGTTTGGAAACTTGATATGGCACCGGGATTATATAGCTTCAAGCGCAATGTCAGATTGTGTCGAGATAGAAGTCTGCGAAATAAGCTGGAAGCACAATGTGGAAATCTGGATGCGCTTTCCCTAGCGATCATATCTTTGATTGGGCCTATAGGATATTGGTTCAAAATCGTTGCGGAGACTATGCTCGGGATCTGGCGGCTTGGATTCCCGAACGTCTCGCTCGGAAGCTTGATCCGCACGCTATCGTAAGCACTGAATGAGCCCTGGGCGCTTCGCGTTCCACCAATGTCACGAATATTACATAGCGACACGTACGACTTGGCCTAGATAGACAGAACACGATGACCAAACACCGTTGAATCACCAAATGTGAAATCACTTATCAGTAACTTTGGATATTTCAGCGTTCCGATCCGGTGTCCAAGTTCCGGAACGAGATCGCGATACTCGCCCTGCACCGGATCAGATGGCAGTACGGTACTTAGTTGGGCCGACGCGGCGATTTGAAATTCTCGACAAGACGTGCTCAATCTTCCACCCATTCGCTGAAACTAGTTAAAGCTTCACGACAATGTTATCGCGTGCGAATGCGTCGCTTGCCCGTTTTGCAAGGACAATGGTATCGTCGTCCCCTGTGCAAAGTAGGGCAGCATTACGAACCCGGAGTATTGCATCACAGATCCAACCGCTCAGGATGCATTCCACCATTCAAACTATATTTACAAGCAAGAGCTATGCACGTGAGTCTACCGATTCGATGAATGCGATCATACCCTTTCATCGTGTGCTTTGAGGAGCTCTGCTGACCGATATCTTTCACTACAGCTATCGGCCATTACGTACGTTTCTCGGTTGACATATCCTTATTTTGACGCTTTTGTTGATACTTAATCGTCGTACTTCAGTCGCAGGCATTCGCAGCCAATGGCCAAGTCTGGGTAGCAGGACAGGTAGCCGCTGATCAAGAAGGCAACGTAATCAAGGGTTCCGTGACCGAGCAGGCGCACCAGATCTGCAAAAACATAAGTGCAATCCTCAAGGAAGCAAACTCAAGTCTGGAAAAGGTCGTAAAAGTCACGGTCAGTAACGAATGTGTCTAAACGCATCTTCTCCCCCCCAATCTAATCATCACTGTGTCGCTGGGCGCGTGGCTCGAGAAACGTACGTTTTGCATCATATGTACTGATATCCGCCGTGATGTGAACAGGTATACGTCAATGACTTTTCGATCCTCCCAGAGTTCAACAAAGTGTACAACGACTACTTCCCGCAGAAACCTCCACGCACATCGATGGAAGTGTCCAGATTGCCGCTCGATGTCCAAATCGAAGTCGATGTCAATGCTATCATGTAGTATAGTCGAGAGAATATACCAGTAGCCAGCAACTTTGGAATACTTTGATATTGATACGGCAACACTTAATTTATCTGGAGGACAACATAGGGTGTGATTACGACCTCGCCGACAATCCCACAATCTTGCATATCAGGAAGCGTATCAAGACCATGAGAAGGTCCTTTACCACCAGTCTTGATCTGGTCCCAGTACGTCCGAGCGCTATTCCATGCCGTCGATGCCACTCTCAGAGTCAATGAATTCGTTCCAACAACAAGAAATGGTGACATGTCAAGATGCGGATTTGTGATGTCGAATGCCGGCAACGGTTTCCCGTTCAAGGCACCGGTAAGACCTTGTTCCACTGCTGGAAGGGAAAGATAAGCCCCATACTCTAGCCCAGTGACACTGGGCCATTCAAAATTTGCGCTATAGTATCCGATGCCGGACATGTTTGTCGCTCCGAGGTCGTTCCAAGACGAAAGCACCGTGCCCTCAATGTTAATAGTGAGGTTCACTTTCTTGGCATCTAAGTCCAAGTCATATAAATTATCTGGAGCGAGCCATTGCTCGACTACCAATGTCCAGTTTTTGATGCTATAAGCTGCGTCAATTTCGGGAACACTGAGGTTCACAGTCTCGCCAGAAGACAATATCAATGATGATGATAACTGGGAATGAGCGACTTTGGTTCTTATGACGGAATCAGTACCGACGTCCAAGTCTAGAATGGATGCTGTACGGGCGATGATATATGTGTCCAGTGGCTCGCTGGCGTTGAGCTTGATGATGGCGGTCTCTAGATTGTGCAGAGCTAGCGGTATGGTCATGTTGTTACCTTCCCGAGTATATTGCCCGATGCGAGACTCGCCGCCAGTCCAGGCATTCAAAAGATAGGCCGATCCTGAAGCCTCAATAGTAATGGTCCCTGTGCTATAATCACCTTCGTTGTAGACAAAGATGTAGACATCGCCGTTGGATAGCTCTCGCCATCTAGTATACCACGTCCCATTGGTATCAATGCGCGACCGTGGAACAATGCCTAATGAAGCGATCGACGAAGCTAGGTCTTCGTACGGAACCTGGTGAACATTGTATGCACCGATAAGGGATTTGAGCGTCTCGTTTGCGTTGTTGATGGCTGTCATGTTCGCGGTGTCATAGCTGTAAGTCAGAGCTCCGCTGATAAAGATGGGCAAGCCTGCCTCGGCATAATGAGCCACATATTCAATGCCTTCGGGCGTCAAAGTACTGTTTCCACGGATGACCAAGACCCTGAACGACTGTACTGTGGGGGCAAGTGAGGCATTGACCACATTGGCTTCTGGGAGAGCGAAATTATCCGGGGAAAGATACTCATAGGTGTATCCAGCTACCCGCAGATCCGATGGTTGGTACAACGCAAACGGAAATGCGCTTTGTGGAGATTGTCTGTCCCAAAAGACCACGTCCACCTTCGGCGTCCCACTCTGTAGCACCCACTGAACTCTGCCGAGATAGGCTAAGGCTTCAGGGCATCCGACGTCCCAACTAGGTTGATGTCTTGAATGCTCAGGATAATCGTATCCATGGGTAGTATAGCCTGGCCAGGTCGTTTGAGTGAAGTTATGCGAGTATGTCGCACCGTGGATAATGACCTGGTTCACGCCACCAATGAAGGCTCGTGTTGCGTCAAGCAATAGTCTGCTCCACGTTTGCGAGAATGACAGTTTGTAGTCAGCGCCTAACTCGATGGAGATGATTTGTTTGCGGGCTAAGTCGGCTGGTCCCGAGTATTGGAGGAAACCGTCAATGTTGTTGCCAAAAGATAGAGTTTCAGTTTCGGGGACGTCAGCAACGGGGACTGCCCGCAACATATCCACGGGGAGATTGTACCCAATCTGACCCGAAAACTTGAGCCCAAGAGAGTTGGTAAAGTTCACCAGATGATTGTAATAATTTCCGAGGCCGACATTCAGCGTTGACAAGAAGTCACCCACGACTCCCTTGTTGAACGCTGCAGCATCAACCACTATTCTCGGACCTGGCGCGCTTGCCTGATATCCACCAATAGATTGAATTAGAGGAAGAAAGGGAACAATTGAATACTTTGATGCAAGTTAGAATAATCCTACATGAGAATACTATCATGATACTCACACCGTGCTGTGCTTTGAACTGTTTCTCCAAGCCCGGCGTCCAGTAAACGGGTGCGGGAATCTCGACGCTGTCTTCCCATAAATAATGGCCTACTTGCTGAATCAGCTCCTTGGCACCGTCGATGAAGATATATTCTTCCAAAAAGTCGGTGATGACCTTTGCGCCAGTCGCTGAGAAATGATCGGCATACAGGCTTCCATTCCCGAGAAAAGTCGATGGGTGGCTGTTGGCGATGATCTCACGGCCCAAGGGCTGATACATATACCACGCTTGTAGTACATAAGACTCAGCTCCAGCTACAGGGACCGGACTGACGTCTATAGTACCGTCTGTCGCAACTAGATCTGTGACTTCTGTAAGGGAGTCATTGGAGATGGTAGACCTCGTATAACTTCCGTATCGGCCAAATGGTGTGGTGATGCGCGTATTTACTGTTTCGACTCTAGTAATCGCATAAGTATGAGCAGCAAGGAAGTCTGACTGTCCCCACCCTGGTATCTTTCCAGTAAAAGTGCCATTGATGGTAACGCTACTTGACTTCTACATGCTCGTTAGAACTCGTTGCAAGATGGTATTTAAGGTGCCATACCAAAGCCCAGGAAAGTCCTGGATTATCCCATTCAGCTGGAACAGCTCCATTGTTGTTCATGGCATAGTCGAAAGTCATATCATTCTCTGAACTGACTTGCATGGCAGCTTTGAATAGGTCTACGTAATTAGTGGTACCATATCCGTAAATGTTCCAGTCCGTGGGAGGATATCCCTAAGTACGTCAGTATAACCCATTCACACGACTAACTTGAACACAAACCTTTGGAGAGCCAAAGTAATTATGAAGCTCTACACCACCGGCGCCGCGCTCTTTCAGCTGTTGGAGGTCGCTCGCCATGAGGTCTGCATCAATACTTGCATCAGGTAGCCTAGAATCACCATTAATGACATTCAGTAACCGATGTAGAGCTCTCACCAGTATCTGAACCTTGGTCGGACGTTTGTTGCGGGAGTGCTAAAAGTACCTGCCGCTGCATCTGGTGACAAGCAGTCAACAAAGGCGAATGCGGCCATAGCCCACAAATCAAAGCTAAGCGTAGACAATCTCATTGCTCAAATATTTCATCGATTACCTGTTTTACAAATGGTGTGCAGTTCGAAATAGTCTTGAAAAAAAGCTAGGCAATGTACTGAAACATGTCGGTGTTATAAACAAACGAAAGGACCCCCATGCTGGACATCAGCTTTGACGTTCCAAACCACTCTTTCGCACCCATTTAGCCCGAACTGAGAATAGCACAAGCATGCTTTGCCCGAACCAAAATAGTATTGCTTGAAGATGAATGAAAGGCCCAAGAAATCTGTTTCTTCTTCTTTAAACAAAACTATTATTTTGCAACGTGATTAACGTTAGTTGAGCCCAGTTATAACCGCGGGCGTCCCTCTATTGGCAGGTTGATGCAAAGGTTGCACCTGACATGATAACAATAAAGAATGGAAAGAAAATGACAATCTATTCTCTATCATGTTTGTGTAAAGCATTTTCGGATTCTCGATCTTCGATATAAAATTTGGACTTGGATCGGATGAACAAATCGGGATAAAGACACGCCGCTTTGTAAAGAAGAAAATATTTAAATCAAAAAAGTACCGCAGTGCTGCTATATCCACGGAAGCCGCAGCATTGAGAGAAAGCCAGGATGCCTCAAGACATAGCGAGATGCGTCTTTCTCCCATTAACAAGAAGCGAGGACTTTGGGGTCTAGCAGATGAATGGTGGAATTCATCGTCGGCTCAGGACTCCGAATTAAGCCGGGGGCCAATCTCGGTAAGCAATATATCTATCTGCTAGGCTACGATAAAACCCCTGTGCAGCTCGGCACTCGTGTTGAAATCGTGCGACTCGATTCGAATATGGCACTAAGTTTGTAAGTTTGTAGGTACAGTTCAAATTTCCTGGATACAATCTTCATCCGGCAAATGGAGCCATATTCATTCCCACATTTGATAAACAAATAATTTACCTAATATTTGCCTAGTCACGAAAGCGAATAACGCCCTGGCTAACCTGGCCTAGATGTCCAACGTGCCTGCAAGTGGTACCATCTGCTGGTATTTACGCGCGCATAGATCCACTCGCGAGTGAATAAATAGCTGTAAATCATTGTTTTAAAGATTCCAACACCTTGTCTCATTCTGGCCATTGCCAAATCAAGTTGGCATTGTTATATTTTATTTTATTTTATTTGGCGCAATGGCGACAACAAACGACCCAATGCGCGTTGGAATACTTGGCGCAGGCATTGTGGGGCTTGCGTGCGCCTTGAAATTTGTTGACGCTGGGTACAGTGTCATCGTCGTGGCCAGAGATCTACCGGGTGATGCTTCTCAAGATTGGGCGAGTCCGTGGTATGTAATGCCTGCCCCCTGTGCCAAACTTGAATCGAGTGTGGCCATCTCATGGCCCTTATTCCAGCCATGAGCCGAGCTGGAGTGACTGACACTCTACCAGGGCGGGTGCGTTGCTTGCTCCATATCCCGGTGGTGACCAACAGATGCAAGAAATATCCCTTGACTTCTACAACCGTCATTCGAGCGTGGAGGGCACCGGAATAAGTGTGAGCTTGCCCTTTTCCCTCGAGCTCAAAACTGAAAAACCGCAATCTTATGACAAGGCGCAGGAGTTGAGAATTACGGAGTATTACGATGACCGCGACACAGACGAGACGATATGGTACAAGTCTCTGTTCTCGGACTTTACATGGATGTCAAAGTCGTCCTTGCCCCCACATGCAAAGATCGGGTTCTCTTATACGGGCCTGACAGTTGATCCTACATTCCTGCTCCCGTGGATTATGGAGAGGCTGAGACAAGGAAATGTCGAGTTTAAGCGTCACACGGTGAAAGCATTGGGCGAAGTTCGTTATTTGACTGGTGCGGAATTGATCATCAATGCTTCTGGCCTCGGAGCCGGCAGCTTGGCTCGTGACTCCTCAGTCGAGGCGATTCGTGGGCAGACCATGTTTGTCAGCATCCCTCCTGAGCGATCGGGTCTCTACAACCAGGCATTTCTCTTTCAAGGATCCGAGTATACGTACGCGATACCACGCCGTTTCAGTGGGGGGGTCATTCTTGGCGGGGTGTCGCAGCACGGTTCCGAGGACCGGGGGGTACAAGCGGGCCTCCGCCGTGACATTCAGCAGCGCATCAACGCTGTGCCCAACCAGTCTTTCACTTGGCTAAATGTAGAAGTCCCCAATGTTGCCATCAAGGACATTGTCGGCTTTCGGCCGGGGCGCAAGGGCGGCTTACGGGTGGAACGAGAAGATAACACGATTCACGCGTATGGTGCTGGTGGCTTAGGATATGTGTATGCATTTGGAATGGCCGAACGGGTAGCTGATTTAGTGACAAAGCTCAGCTCCAAGTTGTAGGTGGTCGCCCTAGCCTATGTCGTTGGCTTAGTGTAATCGACTGTCGCCATTGCTAGGACATCGTCGTACGCCGAGATTAGATATCGGGACATCAGTCCGACCCAATCAGTTTCCTGAGCTTCAACCACGTCATGACTATCGGTGGGGCTTCTCCGGGTCATTCGATCATCTGGGTGCATCATTTTCTCTGTAAATCTCTCACTACAGCATCGGCAAATTGGACAATACCACATCAGTACGTTTGCAGCAGGTATAGAAGGCGGCGGACAGCTAGGATCCAAATTGAGAACACCACGTTATGTTATTTGCCTGCTTGCTGCATACATGTCAAGGCTAGCAATCTGAGACATTGTCTACAGAACACTCCCAAAGCCTGGGCTGTCAAGTCCAGCTGCATCAAATATTATTTTGAATACCTCCATCCCGATTAAAATGGGCAAGTTACTCGTTCTTTCTGACGCACACGTGCGAACGATTCTACTATCCCTGAGCAAGGAGACGGTACAGCGGATAGCTACCGGCCTGAGCAAGTCTTTGAAGGATTATTCCTCGGGTGATACCACAAGCGCCGGCGCGGCAGCACAACAAGCATCCCGAACGGTACGCACTCGGCCTGATGGCGTCGTGAACCTCTTCATGCCGGCTATGTCCAGCACGGCCATGGCAAGCAAGCTTCTTGGCGTCCCGTCTCCTAGTGCGCCCTCGCCAGGCTCTCCACAGAGAACCGCGCCCCGAGGCGCCATGCTCGTTCTCCGTCCGGATGGCGATCCTATGGCTGTCCTCGGTGCGGAGGAGCTGACGGCTTTCCGGACTGCCATGGGAGCGTTGCTGTTGTTTCCCCGCCGAAAGCATGTCCAGAATATTCTGGTATTCGGCGCTGGCAAACAAGCCATCTGGCATATTCGCATCGCATTGATGCTACGCGGGTCTGATGTCCGTTCTATCACTGTCGTCAATCGATCTCCCGCCCGCACGGCAGCAATGCTGGCGGAGCTGCAAAATGATGACCAGGCAAAGTGGTCAGTCCACGAGTCTCTCGAAATCAAAGCCGGGCTTGAGGGTTTGGAGCCTGGTAGCCCGGCTCATGGTGCCAAGATGGAGGAATTGGTGGAGGCTGCCGATGTTATATTCTGCACAACACCCTCAACTGCGCCTCTTTTTGATGCTGAATTATTGACGAAATCCGGCAAGGGGCGCTACATAACAGCAATTGGTTCTTACAAACCCCACATGAAGGAGCTAGATCCCGAGTTGATGAAGTTTGCCACCACGGGCGGCAAGTTGGTCTTTGTAGACAGCCGAGAGGGCGCACTAGAGGAATCAGGCGAGATAATTGACGCTGGAATTGGTGGTGATCAGCTCATTGAGCTTGGTGAGCTTTTTGGGGGTCAGATTATCACCAGTGACGATGGCTCCCTGGAATCCTGGCTGGAAGAAGGTTTTCTCTTGTACAAGGGTGTAGGTTCAGGCGTTATGGATGTTTCGGTTGCTGAAATGTTGGTGTTACTAGCACATGAGACAGCATCCGGAGTCTTGGTCGACGGCTTTTGAAGGTTCATTTTCTGAATATTTCGGCCTGTCTCTATAAGCTTGATAATTCCTTGCGCCATTCACTGCATAAACTGTTGCTTGACTTCTGGTCTTCTGCCCGTGCTAAGTGCGTAATGAGTGAATACGAATACGTCTGGGGAGAGTCCGAGCTCTGAGGTAGTTACCCAACAATAACTCATTGGTAAGGATGATAATTTCAATCGATAAAACTTCAGGTCCAAGCTGATAGTTGCCTTGGGAGGGTGGTACTAGCGCAGATAGGCTGGCTGGCGTTACTCTTCCTGATTTCCTCGTAGATATGACTCCGGATTCTCAACCCGACTTAGAACCCGACGGTTGTGTTACTTTGATAGCTGCTCACGGTATCAGTAGTGGGACCTTGATCCGTCAATCTAGACCAACCTTGGTCATGGAGATACGATGGGTTCATGATCCTTACATAAATTATGTAGATTGACCTGGCAGAGTTGCGGAACTGGAAAATAGAATAGAATTAGCTTGCTTCATAAAAGTACAGAGTCATTGCCAGCCAAATAGAAGCCAGCCTTCTATAGCAACTCACTTTTGTTGTCAAAAACTTCTCCAACACGATTCAATCATGGTTGACGAGCTCAAGTTGCGCGGTCATGGATCGACCGCCGGGGACGTAGAAGAAGGCCGTGTCCTTGAGGTCATACCCTACGGAAAGAACAACGAGACGCATCGTGGATTGAAAAGTCGACACATTCAGCTCATTGCAATTGGTACGCAGCCCCTGTCCAAATTTAAAAATGACCCTTATATTCATAATATCACAGGTGGCACCATTGGCACAGGACTTTTTGTTGGATCCGGAAGCATTTTAGCAGCCGCAGGACCAGGTTTGTGCCGAGTTGCTTTTTGATTAAAAGGTGAAATTTATGATGACTGATCGAATGTAGCTGGCATGCTGATTGCATACATTTGGATGTCAATCCTAGTTTGGTTCATCACACTCGATCTCGGCGAAATGACTGCGTACATGCCGATCAAAGGACTTACAGTGCCTTACATGATCAAGCGATTTGTAGAACCCAGCCTTGCCTTTGCAATTGGTCAGTCCCAGAACATCGTTCAAAGTCAAGTTGCCCACAGCCTTTTAACCTAGATTGTACATGAACAGGATGGAACTATTGGTGAGACTATAATCTGCTTTCCTCCACCTATTTGAAGATCGTAGCTCTGATAACAATAACAGGATTGCTTTTGGAATAACCATGGGAGCTGAGGCAACAGCAGCATCTCTCGTCATCGAGTACTGGGGCTCTCCGGTCAATCCGGCGGTGTGGATCGCTATTGTTCTTGCTGGTAAGACCTAATCGACTCTCAAATACCAGGAAGCCGTGATACTCATCATACAGTTTGTCTCTTACTAAACATGACTGCTGTTTCCCTATTTGGAGAAGCCGAGTTCTGGTTTGCGTCGATCAAGATTCTCACTATAGTCGGCCTTATTATGCTCGGTATCGTCTTGTTCTTCGGTGGTGGGCCTAGTCACGATCAATTGTACTTCCGATACTGGTCCACTCCTGGGGCCTTCAACACATACCTCGTGGGCGGCGAGACGGGTCGATTTCTCGGCGTCTGGTATGCTATGATCAGAGCGGCTTTTTCGTTCATTCTATCCCCCGAGCTACTTACTATGACAGCGGGTGAGTGCGAGGCTCCGCGGCGCAACATTCCCAAAGCGACCAGGCGCTTCATTTATCGACTGCTCACATTTTACGTTCTTGGCACGCTCGTTATTGGTGTCACAGTCCGGTTTGACGATAGCGCATTGCTGAGCGCCATCAGTCAAAGCGCTTCAAATGCCGCGGCCAGTCCTTATGTGATAGCCATTCAAAATGCGGGTATACCTATCCTCAACCATATAATGAACGCTGTTATTTTGACCTCGGCCTGGTCCTCCGGCAATTCATTCCTCTATGCCGCTTCAAGAATGCTCTATGGAATGGCCTGCAGCGGCGATGCCCCAAAGATATTCTGCAGGTGCACAAAGAATGGAGTGCCATATTACGCTGTTCTTGCCAGTTTCTGCCTTGGCTTTCTTAGCTTCTTAAATGTTTCCAACACTGGAGGCGAGGTTTTCAACTGGCTCACTAGCATCGTTGTTGGAAATGGCTTCATCTCGTGGATTGCTATTCTGATCACTTATATCGTACGTCCTTGGCTTGTCTATTATTTTGCGATTTTACAAGGCGATTGACCGTACTAACGACTTGCTTGTTTATTCAGAGGTTTCGCAAAGCTGCCATACGAAATGGAGTTCACAAGGACTTGCCATTCAAGAGTCCTCTGCAGCCATACGGGACATATTTTACACTTTTTTTTATTATATTATTACTCCTCACTAATGGATTCTCCTCTTTCTTTCCGGGAAATTTCACTGCCTCCAACTTTCTCACCTCATATATTTCGATTCCGATATTTTTTATGCTATACGTTGGCCACAAGGTTGTCAGACGAACCCCCATCTGCTTGCCAGTAGATCAAATCGACTTGCATAGTGGGCTGGAAGAAGTTGAGAGAGTTACTGCAATGGATATAGAGCCTGTACCGAGAGGACTGATTCACCGAATCTGGCTCTGGATCGCGTGATGAAGTTGCTGCAGGGGAGGAAGACAATCTCAAGGGGAATTAGTCATTTGAATCTATTATCTATAATATCCGAAAAGTTTTATTCTTTTGATTCATGAAGACTTGGATAAAGCCAATGTGCTGTAGTACTACTGAGTCCATGGCCAACACTAGCACCATATGTGTTCTGACCTTCTTCCCTATAGAGCAAATTAGTGTGATGGCCATTGAAGGTTCTAGCGAAATCTCAGACACATTATTGCAGTTTCATTCCCAGATCGCTTTCAATTAGCAATGTGCCGCAAATTATGCTCGCTTGTTGTCATCGCGAAACCTAGCAGGTGTTCTCGTGCAGACCTGGTGATACCTCAACCAAGACTAGCCATTCAGCCCTGCAAGATACGTGGCGGGTTGAAGGCTTCAACTTTAGTTGCAGGATTGCTGCAGCAAGTCTCAGTATTTGCTAGCCTTTGCTAGTCTTTGATAACCTTTGCTCGGTTGACTTCGACTAACTATAGCCGGTATTAGTTGAGCGGGCTAGGCCAAGATCACGTTACAGAAAGTCACGTCTCTAGCATGGTTCCCGTCTGCCAGTGTGCATATTCGTGGCATGCTGCAAGGAACCGACTTTATGGACGAAGACCCACCGACACTAGCTAATTCATCGTTCAAATTGACAGTAGCATCCATTTCCAAGTAGCCCGAGCAGCCCGACGTTCATGGGTCAGGGGTCAGGGTACCCTGCTATAGAATACCACTGATTTCAAATCATTACTAATGATTTATACTCAACTGCTTATATCAGCGATGACTATTGACTTTCAGCCGATTGCTTTCGTTGTAGTCAAGCCCAATAGCCAGCCTGTGGTCCATATATATACACGTTATAACTTTGGAAATATTCCCAAACTGCCTAAGGGGTCAAAACTAAATGGTACGAAGCTTCTTCCCTTGAACATGAAGGTAGATTCGGTAATCACGCTAGCCATCTTGGCCCTCGGTAATGGAGCCATCGCCGCCCTTTCCCCAGCCGATTGGTATAAGACTATGAAACCACCGAACGAGCGATTTGTTCTCAATGCAGAGCAAGCTCAAAAGGCAATTAATGCGGCAGCGGCAGTCGCTTCTCAGAACAGGTACGGTGATTTCCTTCTTAGTCAAAAGATGAAAACGAAACAGGAAAAGACTAACATCCATCACACCAGCTCCCCATCAACAATTGTTGTTTTGGACCCGGCCGGCTTTGTTATCTCGCTGTTACGCATGGATAATGCTTGGATTGAAAGTGTCGATACATGTATTAAAAAGACGCGCAGTGTCAGTCTGTTTAACGGTGCCTTTACCACTGAGGAATTGAATCCCATTATCCAGCCAGGGTCCGAGGACTATGGTCTTGAGACTGCCAATGGCGGCTTAATGTTCGTCAAGGGCGCTATTCCACTTTACATCAACGGTACATTTTTTGCTGCCATTGGCGTCTGCGGAGGATCGGGTGCACAGGATGTGGAAGCCGCCATTGCTGGAGTTCTCGCTGTCAATGGGACGACTTTGACATAAGTAGGCATTTCATGGTATGGAGGTATATATTGATAATGGACAAACCATTGGAAAGACCCAATTGACTATACATGATAGAAGGGAGCAAGCATTCGTCTCTTCTAGGCGGAGAGAAGCACCGTGATGAAGAAAAATGGAAACCAGACGTGGAGGCGGTTCGAGCTACGAATGGATGTTAGCGGCAGATCACGAAGCATGTACACCATAGGACTATGCAATTGCAAAAGGGCACTAATCGGTTGCTGATATTTTGGAGGCTTGGGAATGCTAGAGATGATAATTGAGGGGGGAAATGGCGATTTATTTAATTTACGCATTGGAAATCTTAAATTGAATTGTTTCAACTTTTTTTTGCATTTATTCCTGCTTCACGCTCGGCGCAGCTCGGATCAGATATGCTTGGAATGCTTTAGCCGGATTTAAAATTAGGATGATATTTTTGGAAGTCCTTTTATTTATAATGTATATCTCGAGAGTCGAGTGCTTTATTTAAAAGACATATTTCGGGCAAGATCAAATAAAACTCCATTGAGGCGGCATTTTATATGCAATAGCAGCTCCATAATAGTGATACATATTGCAATTTTACCTACCTTTGTTCTTTAGGAGAATTTAGGGAATAGCGCTTGCCTGAATGCCACTAAAATAAGCTTACAGCGTTGTGAGTAACTCCCAAAGCCCCGTTCAGCCCACCACGTTAAGCATGTCTAGGCCCCTCGGGTAAGTGGTCAAGTGTCCTGTGGTCAGGGGCTCTGTGCTTCTGACGACCAACAACTCTGTACAATATACCTGATCTTCCGATCGACAGAAAGCGGGTGAACTGGGCAAAACCATATGAGTTGAGAGCAAACATATATGATGATTTACTTCTCAAGTCGTTCTTCGAAGAAGTATTCTCATTAAGCTTGCCTTGTAAAAGGATATTCTTAGCATTTAGAGTCATGAGATGAAAAGGAAAAGCTCGTGCAATGGCCCCTGTCCTAGCTGGCAACGGCGTCCTGACTAGTACAGGCTAAACACCTAGGCAGCGTCCTCGACACAACTGCTTCTCGCCGTGAAATCCAATGGCAGCAGATTGCCGTGGATACCAATGACATGGTATGGACACCACAAGGGAGAGCGCATCTAGGTGAACTACCTGTTTTGGGCCTAATTGGGCACCTCGGTCCATTGTAGGCAACAATGCGGCTTTAGAGCAGGGCGAAATGTCCGGAATGTCTCTCCATCACCAGGGCGTATTAAAGCTCATCGATCCGAATCGCAGTAGATCTTGGGTTCTCTCCGTAGATGACAAGGCTCACCTCGCCCATCGACATGTCAGAATTCACTCCCAAAGTTCAGCGCTTGGCCCTGGCATTGACTCTTCTCCTCCAGCCGGCGGCGTGCAGTTTCAGCCTCGACACCGTCGTCCAGGACTATTGGTACTACGTGCATAACCACTTGGCGTCGACAACGTCGGACGCCTGCCTGAGCGCTTACGCCGCTCCCATTGACTGCGACGAAACGCTTCTAGGTCTCGTCTCATCCAACAGCCCGAATTTCAACCCGGGCCCCGCCGATCTTGAGCGCACTTGCACCACGACCTGTGCCGACTCACTCAATGCCTATGTGCAGAATGTCGTGGATGCGTGCACGGCGGAAGGGGATGGCGCATTGGTCGAGACGGACGAGAAGCCACACCCGCAAGTGTCCGTGGCTGTTGTAGGCCAAATCTTTCAGTATGAATACGCATGGGCGTGCTCCAAGGCTGGGTGAGTCTTCAAATTGAGTAGCTCGAAAATATATACGCTAATGCTTGCACACCAGATCCTCATGGTGCTATCTTGACTACCCCAGCAGCGACGAGTGGGCTCGCTCAGACTTTACCTGCACAAACCAGTGCGCCGCTCAATTCTTTTACAATGCGCACACTCTCCCGGGCGCCAATTATTGGTTCCGCGTCTATAACCTCGACTACAAATCGTCGTGGTGGGAGAATCAGTGGTCCGACGGCTGGAACCATCTTCTCGACTGCATCAGCTCGGGGGACATCTCGAGCTCGCAGACAGAGTCTTGGGGTAGCCACATGTCCCCGACCGCCGCCGCTGCTGCTGCAAGCGATTCTACATATACGACCTCTACACAGAGCGATGGAAATAGTCAGACGACGACAGTGACGGGAAGCGTGACTACATCAGCCACGTCGACCACCTCGTCCAAAAGTGGCAGTCGGACTGCATCTAGCACAACCACTACATTGCCTACTAATACTTCAACGAATGGCGCTGGTCATTTAAGGGTGCCATTTGTCCGTCTTTTGCGATGATCATGGCATTATTCATGATGATACTGCGCAGTCGCCTGTAGCATAAGCCCAACTTAGGTAATATTCGAGATAGTATTATATAAAAAAGCTGTTTACTCTGTGCAGTTTACCTCTGTCCACAATGAGGGCAAGACACATGTATCATGAGCTTCATGCGCCAATATGGATCTACGTATAGCCTTTAACAACGCTATAGTCCATTCTGTCATCCAGTCACGGAATCGATCTATTTTGATATTTGCCGGTTCATGTTGGGTGTTGCCGACATCCCCTACCTACCTTTTTTTTCTTTTTTTTTTCCTTTTTTTTTTCTCTCACGAAATTGACGCTGCCTAGCCAACAAATTTCCGATGGTCTACCATAAATGACTTCAAATTATACTAAAGTCCTGGCTCCGCCATTTCTCGTCATTTGTCTGTATGTCCACCAACGGGACCTCCAAAATCCCCTCACGCTTGTAAAGCTTTCGACCGTTCTGATCAATTGGGCTGAGAATTAACAGATTCAACCTCTCTCTGGTCTGGTAGATTTTAACGGCAATGTACTCCTCTATTTCACCCACCCCGCCACTATCAACATTTGACTGTTGTTCCCCCCTTACAAATTCCTTTGCAAGGGGGCCATGTGCGCTCTCTGGCCAGTCATATCCATCGACCGCGTCAAATTTCCAAGGAAATGTTCCTTTTCGTTTGTCAAACCATACTTCTGTTAGATAGGACGTAATGCCTCTCGGTGGATATGAGGTGTGCACAAAAATCTGGCGACAATATGCGCGAATAAGAATCCACCCACTCGTGATTCTCCCATGAGGATCTGACGTTTGGAGCTTCATGTCATGGGAAATCAGTCACGGTTCGTGTTCCCCTCCCAAAAGACAATTTCCTCCCATTTGGAGGCCGTGGGGATGAGAAAACGTCACTCTTTCTGCTGCGGACATACAACTCCACGACGGCGCCACATAGCCTGGATACTCTCGCACAGGGATTTCGTCGCTACGATGTCTGTCAAGATATCTCCAGCTCAGTCCGTGGAAAAGATCGATTTCCCAGAGCCCTGCGAGATATTGGCCAAGCCTAGGGATGCGTAGACCATGGGCGAGCCCTGACAGAGCCGGGAGCTTGTCGGAAGGACACGTCAAGTCGCGATGTGAATAGTCCTCGACACATTTGTACCAATGATGTAAGCGACTCCATGGTTCAATGCCCACATCTAACTCTGGCGATTTATGGCGCTTGAGTTTGTGAAGATCTTTCCTGGCAAGCAAATGATCGAGATTGACACGTAAATTGTTTACTGGAGTAACACCCATGGACTCTGTGTATACGCACTCAGTACATTCCCAAATCATTTGGTGTTGTGAAAAGTACAGAATCCTCTTTGCCATGGCTTTTTCTTGGTAAGACCAAGCTCTACGCTCAAGAGGCGCGTCTGAGAGCTGGCGCAGATATTCGAATGTTGATGGCGATTGCTAAAGATAATTATAACCGAAACCAAATCTGTACGACTTTAGGATACTTCTTTGCCTAAGGATACCAAAGCAGCTATCGGGCGATGTAGTGGCCGAGATCATCAGAGTTGCGTTTTGATAGACCTGTGTTATTGCCGCAGATTCTCGGGCCTAGTCCTCTGTGCTATTTTGGATAATGCAGAGCGCATCGATCTATAAGTATGTGAAACCGAGCTTTCGAGTTAACGTCACAGCATCGCGAAAAGACCAGGGCAGAGTCTCGGTGCCAAACCCTCGAGTCAAGCTCTTAATATTATGAGAATTGGTCGTAAAAGGTACCTTTCTGCCCTAATAGTGACTAAGAGCCATATATTTGCTATGCGAATCTTGTTGGGTAACGTATATGCGCAGAGGCAATTCGGGATTATCTGGAACCTCGATGAGCCTTGTGGGAAGAGGTGTTTCCTCTTGAGCTTCGCAGTGATCATGTTGAGTACAGCGAGCCAACCATAGTCGGGCAAGCTCGAACACCTCGGGTGAATTGGGATCCTGTGGTATCAGTCTCCTTCCTTCCCTGAAAACATTAGAGGCATCTTCTGATCAAATGTCAGTTGACATGATTCGTGATCTTGTGGAAGCATCTGCATGGTACTCACGATCTGCTGCGCATAGTTCAATGCACACATGATTGAAATGATCGCCAATGATGGTCTCGAGCGAGTAGCTATCAGCACCACTGGAAACAAAGAGAATAGGTTCGGCTCGCTTTACGAAAGCTTCGAAAGCTCCGGACAATTGATAAGTATCTGAGAACTGCTTTATGGCAGCAAGAAAGAATTCGCATCCTTCACAACCGTTGGAAGCAGACTCCCGCATATCCGTCGAGTTCTTCAGTTCCCATTTGAGCCGGCTGCGCCCTCTCATCCTCATCGCTATGATGAGTCTACCGCCTACGGTTGCGCATGGCGTGCAAAGCGTCATGATGCCAGAGGGCAATAACGAACTCGTCTTGGATCACGCGAAAGACCTCTTAGGGCGACAAGATTGCCATATAAACACGTTGCTGTTGGTGAATGAGGTGAAGGTGCCCATCACTAGAACACAGACAATGCGGGCAGACTGTTGTGTTTGGTCCAAGAATTAAAGAATGTGCAATCTAGGTACCTACCTAGGAAAGCCATTTCTTAGGACAGCAAGATTCGCACTTACCCCGCTTAGCTCTTTGGGTTTTTGAAATATTGGAGGCGCAGCAGGCCAGTGCCCGCAAAATGTCTTTGGTTCGATGGGAATCAAGCTTTAGTAAATACACTGCGGCCAGCCGCGTTTTGGATGAATGTTGAATTGCAGATTAGGTACATAGTGATCACCACCTTAGGGTGTGTTGGCTACCTTCAACGCGACAAGCATTTATACTCAGGTAAGTAGGTTAGGTAGGTATAGACCCCTCTCCGCCTAAGAGCTGTGTGATTCATTAATTGAGCCTACTTACCCAGGTAGATCCATCGTGCGAAGGAGGGCAAAATGACCGTCTCAATCTCTCACACAGAGCCATTCTTTGGTGCATCCTTGATGACTGGGTGGATTGCTTGAAACGTCCCACTTCTGCTGCACACGTCGTGAGCAGATCATGTTGGCGCACTATTACCATGCTGACTGCATCTGTACAGAGCGGGTATCACTTCACTTTTCAGGTTTAGTGACCTTGCAGAGAGAGACCTTGTATTCGCTCGGCTCGTTCTCGGCTCGCCACAAGTCATATCATTGTCAACCAACATTATTCTGTTAGCGCAGATGAGACCAGGTAGGAGAAATTGTTTTGATTCATCTTTCTCTTTCCAATTCACTACCTTGGCTCTGTAAAGAATTCTTACCTCGCTGTATTAGCATCTGACAAGTAGTCAGGGACTGCACCATGACTTCATCCCACCCAAACGGACCCGCCATCGTCTTGGTTCAGGGATCATTTCAGTTGCCAGACGTATACTCCAAGCTAGCCGAAGCCCTCAGAGATTGCGGGTACCAAGTCTTTCAACCACCAATGCCCAGTCTGATGATGTCGAATAAGCCCGACTTTGTCTTGAAATCATTGGAAACTGATGCACTCGCCGTGCGGTCCAAGATCATAGAGCTCGTGGATGCAAAGAGAACCGTCTTTGTGGTATGTTTTCGCACATCTGAGCATCGGTCCATCTTACTTAGAATTGGCAGGTAATGCACTCATATGGTGGTCTCGTGGGTACCGAGGCCGTGACCGAAGACCTGACTGCTGCCCATCGTCAGTCCCAAGGCGAAGAAGGGGGTGTTGGTAAGAATTCCGAAGGAGCAAGTTGGAAGTTTATTCTGGCATGTCCACGTCTGAAATGATCATGGTCGCTAACTCGAGCTTTGCATAGTACACTTATTCTACTTTGCAGCTTTCATACTGTCCAAGGGTCAATCGGTTCTCAATACATTTGGCAACTCCCCAAACCACGATGTAAAGCCAGATGGTCGTTTTGTCCTGAAAAATGCGGCCGAGGTACTTTACCATGATCTCCCGGCCAAAGAGGCGGAACGCTGGGCATCGAGACTCCTCTATCAAGCTCCCAAGGTGCAAGAGTACGCCCTGACGAACGAAGCCTTTCGCTTCGTCCCTTCCACCTACCTCGTCTGCGAAAAGGATCGTGGCCCGCCACCTCAGTACCAGCACATGTTTGGCACAAAGGCGGGATCAAAAATATTGAGTATGCAGTGCGGACACTCGCCAATGCTCAGCCATACGTCGGAGTTGACGGAGATGATTGTCCAAGCCATAAAGTCTGTTGATGGAGGGAGTCGCTAATGGTCCGCAATCCAGAGATGAACCATATTACAATCCCAAGTCAGTTCAGATATACTCACAACCTCGGCTCTATTCGTATACTAAATATACGGCACCAAGGTTCAACCCACCCAGGCTTCTCTCAACGCAATAACAAATGGGAAATGTCGCTAGGGTGTACGGAAATGATTCACAAAATACAACACATGAATGTCTGTCGTGTAAAACGACCCAATGAAATTGAGTTTAGAATATATTTTGTCCAACGTTTTCTTGTGATGGATTGAAAGAAGGAAGCCCTGAGAGCAAAGTCAATTGTGCAGTGAAAACGTTGTAGCGTCTTGCAGGCTGTGGCGGCGAGGATCTAGCCCAGGCCACCGTTTCGGGACCTTGTATCCACTAAGCAGGCTTCTATAGCCCACTTAGCGTGCTCGCCAGGGAACCTATCAGCTAGTGTGCCTACCGACCGTAGAATCATGCCTGACCTCTGGTAGACATTATTACACACATCCTGCATCAGCATGAGCTCAAATACAAGACATCCTCATATTAGCAAATAACAATAAGTATATTCCGCGTGATACCAGGTCCCAGATGGATTCCATTGGTGCTTTGCATGACATCGGATGATCTTGTGCGAATAGAGTATTTTCAGGGTAGCATTCCGTGGTTCTTAGGCTAAATTGAACGCCACACTCTACGACCCTCTATTCAAAACACTGGATACAATTACAACCATTTTCCGCAGGTGAATCAATCTATTTTATGCTCGAATGAAGATGGATGCCATGTACTCGGATTCACATTCGCTACTAGGCAGAGGTGGCATTGGCGCACCCGACGCGAGTCGAGGCAATGGCAATGTCGTCGTACCAAAAGGTATTCGTGTCGCCGCCGTACGACTCCCAGCCAAAGTAGACACCAGTGATCTTGGGAATAATGGTGCTCCGCTGCCACTGCGCCGCATTGGGGTTGGTGACGCCCGGCTTGCTTGTGAGCCCGGCGATGGCGTTGCCGTTGAGCCATGTCTCGATGCTGCCGTCTGTGCCCAGGTGGTATTCAAAGCACTGCCACGACCCGGTGGGCAGGGCCGTCGAGGTGGCGATACCATTGGGGGAGAGGTCGGGCAGAGTTGCATCATCGGACTCGCGGTTGTACATGAGGATCTTGCTCTGGCCGCCAATGCGCAAGTGCTTGTTGGTGCCCTGAGCCGAGTCGGGCATGGTAATGAAGGAGACGTGAGAGTCTGTCAGGGCTGTAGTGGCCTTGCTGTGTAGACACTACTGTTAGCATGACGTCTGAGACATTGACCATCTTCAAGTGCACTTACACGTATGCCCTCACATAGACGTCACCGCTGGGCACCTTTGTCGTGCCGAAAAAGACGTGACCGCAGTAACCACCAGCGCCAGCAACCTTGATGGAGTTCTTGCCGCCGTGAGCGGTAGTGCTATCCAGAGTCACCGATCCGCCCTGGTTACAGTCTGGTGCGTAGATGGGCCAGGCCGTCTGGTCCCAGCCACTCTCGAAATCAGCAGTGACTTGAGCCAAGGCGAGCGGCAGCTGGGCAATGCCCAAGGCGACGAGAAGTGCTTGACGGAACATTATTGCAAGTGGCTTTTGAGATTCTAGCTGTGCATGAGAAGATTTAGAATGAAGTCCAAATAAGCTTTGGAGCCTAGCTTATATAGATATATATCTATAAGTCACCGCCCCCGATTTGCTTCGCTCCGTCGCCGCTTCGGGAACGGATGCATATGGATTGTGGATCTCGCTGCGTCACATTCCGTCTTTCTATCCGGGACTTCGGCCCATGTTCCACCATTGAATGCACAATGAAGCAACGACCAACATACACTTGAAGCCACAATTGTACATTACGCTTGGTATAAAAAGGTGCTTCGATGGCTAACGATAGAAGCGATCAAGAGTCACTCTTTCAATCTGAATTGGTTGCATGTGTCATGCCCACTACAGTCTATTCCATCAATAGCCTGACATTGAAGTCCATGTCGAGGTGCATGAGAAACAAGAAGAAATAAAAATAAGATAAAAAATGGAACCAAAACCTTCTGGGAGGCCTGAATTAAGTTAATCTGGCAACCTTGACCTTCACTTCTGTCTGAACAACTTGTCGGCGTCCTCAATAGCGCTCCCTATTTCATTCTCCATTCCGAATCCCGTATAACCAATAATGAGATCATGTGACCCCATTTCCGTGACGTGAAACTTGACTCGATTGGATTCAATCTTTGCCATTTCCCGTGCAAACTCCTGATCGACATGGAAAAGAGCCTCGGCGGCACAAGCGTGGATAAAGAGCGGCACGCTGGTCTTGAACGGCCGATGCAGAGGGGAAATGTATGCGAGCTGTTCGGCGCTGGGCTGGGTGCCGGGAAAGTACGCGTCGGCACCCCATTGCAGCAGACTTCCGGGCAGCATGTCGAAGCGCTCGTTTGGATATCCCGCCAGGTCGGCTGCCGCTTGCGGCGTTACTTGTACCCATGGCGACCAAACCATGGCGCCACCGGGCAGAGGCAGTTTGGATGACGACTCTAGATATCGGAGCATACCAATGACCAAGTTTCCGGCAGCCGAATCGCCAGACAGAATCACATTCTCCGGTCGGACGCCTAGAGATAGAATGTAGTGGTAAAATGTGACACCGTCCTGCAGGGCTGCTGGGAAGCGTGTGCCGGCGTCAACAGAGACTCGGTATTGTGCCACAAAGGTTCGCGTCGCTTTCAGGTGCTTGGTCATTGCACGTGAGATATTCTGTGTATTCTCGTCTGTTCCGAATGCCATGACAAAAGCTCCTCCAGGCAAGTGAAGCACAACTTTTTCATCTTCGATATTCGGCGACCCTGGGAACAATGGGGCGGGATGCCATAGACCTCCCACCGCCGCCGGTTGCGTCGCTCCAGGCGTCAGCACTCCCGAGTAAAGGTCTACATCTGCTGGTTGCGCCAGGGCGAACCGATCGCGGTGCTTTTTGTGGTCAGATAACACGGTTGACATGCTAGTTGACTGCGTTTTGCCATGATACCGCAGCAACTGTCGCAGCAGTGCGGTGATGACGCAAATCTTTATGCTCCATGATGGAGACGGCCGAGCCGCTCGGGGCATGTATCGCAAGAAGAGCCATGGCAAGATTGCGATTGTCTCGGTGACTATATAGGCAGCGTAAAGCGCCTTGAAAGGGTGCTTGGCCCAGATGGTGGACATTTTCTCGGGCAGCATGCAAAAGTGTCAAGTCTAGGGGAATAATGACATGCTTAACAACTGAGGGATTCCTCTGCATTTACAGGTCTTGAGTCGTTTCAATCCACCCTTTAGCTTTGTGGAAATTTGCAAGGGCCGACCAACAGCACCAAGCCAACGCATTGGATGGTGACAATGGGGAAGATCTGGGGTAACTCTCTCCCCAATGGTAGCGACACAGAATCCTTGTTGGTGCATAAGCGGTAGCTGTGCCCCATTACGACCGCTGTTTCAGCAAGTAGTGTACCCTTGGCGGCTGCATTGGGTAATGGTGAAGTGGAACAGCAGAGGCGGGGAGATGATAACCTGAATCCTTGTTGGCTAGACGGATTCTGCTTATTGTATGATATGATTTGGGACCAGAAATTGTAGGTCTAGCTTCATGTGATATCAAGTGCCACAGTATGTCTGCTGTGTTTCTTCCATCAAGCATGATTACGCCCCCTACCCATCAATGTCGGGAGGACGCCTGCCTTAATAGCCGTGATAGCGACACGGAACAATATTCTGGATGATTTGATGATCTAGGGTCTCATGACACGCTGAGAGAACTGGATCATTGGCAAGTATCTTGGGTCTATATAGGTAGATATACTTATGAAAGTTGAGCTAGCCAGTGTCGCCGCAGTAGCAATGCGATAAATCCACAGGGTGACAGTAGATGACTCTTTTCAAAACCATCCTCCGTACTTGGATGAACCTGACAGTCGGGACCAAGTACACCTACTGGGCACAGAAGGTAAAAAATACCAGTGGACAAAATTGGTTCTGTTTTGCGACGCCGCTTACTTTGACTTATCTCTACCATCCAAGCCATCAATACGCAATGCAATTCAAAGCAAGTGTCTACCCGTGCCAACATCAAGTCATCAGCTGGATATAGGTATGATCTTCGTTGCATGTTTGCTCGCCTCTCTCAGCTCATGATCCTCTGTCCCTTGCATTACACTTGCGTACCTTTCACATGTAGGGTTAACGGTAATGTTGCATATGCAATGTGATATTGAGAAACATTCAATTGACCAAGCAAGGAGCACGGTGACGCCTCCGATATCCGAGAGCGATTAAACATATCTTGAATCGGTCCATGTGACGATCCATACGAAAATCTGAGAGAAGCATTTGCAAGGGTTCCAACCCAGGTGTTTGGGACCAACCTCATTGGCAGTCAGCTCGCCAACAGATCACATCAATCAGCGAATGATTATTCAGTATCGCGAGTAAGACTTGCTGTATCTCAAGAATGTGGATCTGATATGATGCTAGATACATGTTTGCTTCAAAGTCCGCTTCTCCCCGCCGATGCAACGAATCCCTCTAGGCATCAGTACAATGAGCGAGGTCCCTCAGGTGGCCTGCAATCATCGCCGCCACATTGTCATGATCAGAGAGGACTCTAGAGGGCTGTATAACCAGTTTGGGGCAGATGAGTATGAATAGGGCCATGGTCCTCGTCCGTTGCGGTGCAGAAAGTAGAGTATCATTGGGCAACTCGCAAACAAACTGCTTGGAAGTTGATATTCACCACCCCATACTATCGCAAACTGTTCTTACCAGTATCTATTGCAACATAATTCCTTTGCATTACTTGTTCTCCATCATGAAGCACTGGGTGGCAGAGACCATTCATGGTGACAAGGTCAAGGCTGGTGTAAGTGACCGTCTCATCGATGCCTTGTATAATGAACTCATACGTACGCAGAGCCTGGAGACGACTCTTGACGGGAAGCCCATTACACTCGACGTCCAACAGCTTCGTAACCAGATCCCCAAGCACTGTCTCAAGCCTTCCTTGGCTCGTTCTTTTGGTTATGTTGTGCATGACTTGACCATATTCTTCATTATACTGATGCTCACACTCCATCTTGAAGCGAGGCTTGCTCATGAACATCCTGTTTATCGCAACATGGTTTGCTATATTCTCTTCCCAATCTTGGCTGGTCTTCCTCTTACCGGCCTATGGGTACTCGGCCACGAGTGTGGACATGGAGCCTTTTCGACAAATAAGTTCATTTCAGGCGTGGTCGGTTGGACCATTCACTCTGCTCTCATGAACCCTTACTTCTCCTGGCGGTCCAGTCATGGGCGTCATCATCAGTATGCAAACAACATCTCGACAGACCTCAACTATGTCCCACCTGTGCGCGATGAGTATGCTGAGCTGTTTCGGGGCAAAATTGACTTGGATCGCCTTGCCGAGGACGCCCCGGTAGTTGTGCTTCTGAGGATTGTGATGCAGCAGATCATCGGCTGGCCATGGTACCTGCTTACACACATAACAGCTGGGCCCAACTCGGCGCCCAAAAAGTCTCGGGGTTGGTGGGACAATAGCCACTTCCTACCCAATAGCTCCCTGTTTCGCTCCAATGAGTTCTGGTACATCGTCGCTTCTGATGTGGGCATCATTCTCATGTCGGGGGCCATATATAGTCTGGCGCTGAACTATGGACTAGAGACAGTCGTGTGGGCATACTTTATTCCTCTCGCATGGGTGAACCACTGGATCGGTGAGTGGCAGCATCAGTCTTGGGGAACCTTGAAGCTCATCTTAGACACTAGTCATGATCACTTATCTTCATCATACTTCGCCAAATCTCCCCAAATACACGCCGCAGGCCTGGACATATCTCCGCGGCGCACTCGCCACGGTTGATCGGGACCCTGGATGGCTACTGCGGCATGCCTTTCACCATATCGTGGATCTGCACGTGATCCATCATCTTTTCCCGTAAGTCGGATTTCAGCATGACTTGCAGCCACCAGCTCCTAGGTCGCTCATTGATTTTCATAGGCGCATACCACATTATCATGCGCAGGAAGCGACGGAAGCTATCAAGCCTCTACTCCAGGGCCACTATCACGTTGACCAAAGCTCGTATTTTGGTGCTCTCTGGACGGCATTTACGCGGTGTCAATGGGTTGAGGCGGATGCCGATCAGACGGCAAAGTCTGTATGTTTTATCCCAGCCCTTATTTGACGAGATGCGACAGTAATTGACTGATAATTCTATAGCCAATGTATGCTGGACTAGATGCGCATGGCGACAAAGGCCTCCAGAACGTCACGTCTGTGGATGAAAAGGGCGTGCTCTGGTATCGCCCAGGACCTATGCCTCCGCCTGCCGTGACGATGCGATGAGCTTGGGCGCGGCCCTGCTAGGCGACATGAGGAAGATAGCTTGGCCGAGTGCTTGAATCTGTTAGTTCATGGTTTGATATCATTATACTTTTCCGGCCTAGTAAATGCGAGAATGAAGAGCTATAAGTTTTAACAAGATTGTGCGCCCAGTTATTCAATCAGGAACAGGCCAAGTGGGATACCTGACGGAGCTTTACGCGCCCTAGCTCTGCGCCTAGAAGACCTCGGGAGGGGCCAAAGTCGCTGGAGGAAACTGGGGATTTCGGTTTATAGTACTCTGTACAGCCTAGGACCATCTCGGAATCTGGGATAGTGCGAGCTTCTCAGATGCGCAAACCATATCTTGGCCAGGAAACCAGATCAAAAGTCTAACAAGAACACTGTCTTAGGAAGGTATAGAAAACAATTGCCATGACTGCTGAATTGGGTGATGCATCTTACAATACCGACTTGGATCATCTGCATGTAAGTCCCCGCAAGTCAAAGTTGCGGGCTCTTGTAATGTAGCACCTTAACTAATGCCCCCAAATCTGGGAGATCTGATGCACCGTAGGTACATGCACAGCACGACGCGACAGGGGGGTGCTAGCTCATGTTCGCCATGTGGCCTCCATTTCGGGGAAGCCGCTTAATCCTAGAATAACAAAGTGCCCAGGTAGATTGAGCTTATTCTTTTGCCTCCGTTGTTTTGATTCTTCAGGTTGATTTCTACTCAAAATGTTACGTTGCATTTTTTCTATCATGATGGTTTGAGTCCATAGTCCCGCACGAATATGCGAGGATGCAGTGCCGATTGAAGACATGAATGCGCATCTTGCGACAAGGCACAATGTCAATATTATGAGATGGCTGCGGGGCAAAGCAATGATCAGGAGTTTGCTTTGCATCGTAAACTGGATGGTATGGATGGCTGTATTTTTCTACTTTGCCGCACCTGTCCGTGTAAAGGGACGTGGACGCCTCAAGCTTGGGCGAAGAAAGAAAGCTGGTGAGAAGATGTCATTGGGTGCATCAAGGCAAGTGTCTGCTGATAGGTAGTCCATGAGACTGAGATTTTGCCCACGGCAAAGACTAGGGGCAATTCGGGCTTGGCTAGAAGATACAGGTCGAGGACAATAAGAGCAGGCGGGCAATCATCATTGCCCTTGATGCTCAGAATGAATCGGATCTGCAGGATGACAGTAATTGGAGTGTCGCAAGGCACATCGGAGCCCTGGAGGCATAAAGCATGGGGCAGTGTGATGGTTGCACTGCCCCTGGTAACGAGGAGGGGTCCTTTGCATCATAAGGGAATAAGCCCAGCCCGGAGCCCTCAGCAACCATCGGCCCTACCCTTTGTGCCACCCGACGGCGCTGCCGACTGTGGCGCGGCTGAGACTCCTGATTGAAGGAGTAGAGTAGATTTTTCTTTCTTCTCAGTCTTGGCCTGGCTAGCATCTTGTTCATCACTTGCGTTTTCTAACTTCATCCAAATCACTTTTGTTTACTTTGTCATGACTGAAAAAGCTTGGCCTCGATACTTTGCGAATGTCAATGCTAGCAATGGTTTTGCTTCGGCCCTACAAGATCAGCTGACAGAGTACGAGGATGACATTTTTGTCACTCAAAACTCGTGCATGAAGATAACCGACGTGACAAAAGGTAATCCAATCACCCAAGGCCTGGTACAACACTTGCTACTTGCTGACAATAAACGTTCAGAGGGAATCAAATCGCATCTGATTCATAATGAGATCGATTTTCTATCAACTTACAAAGCGCTACCACGCTCTACCACCAGGATCATGTGAGTGTCAAAGAATGAATTCGCTGTAAACGAGATCGAATTTCTGAGAGCATTCAGTTCCGTAGAGTCGGATAACACGATATCGCCTTTAAACATCAACTCATCCTTGGCAGAAACTCTATTCAATGTCTATTCTATCAGGCCCGATTTCCTGCGCATACTGCTGTCTTTTGGCGACGAGCCTCACATTGCAGAGGCACGAAGTAGCAATCATGCTCAGACTACCTCATCGAATGGCGACTGTAAGCTCAGTCTGCTTTTACAAGAGAGAAAACACGAGAATTTACTGATCTGTACTCAAAGACACTATCATGTACAAACTCAACTACGTGGAGCTGAATGGCCGAGGACCCAAAAACGGCTGGTCTACCCGACACATGGGTATCTATCATCACCATAGTCAAGACTCTGATCTGCTCATTCTTCTCCACTGTAGTCCTGGGAGCTCCATGCGGCAGAGGATGGCAAAACTATTGGATAGTTCCCAGGTCACTCTTTCAAACAAATGGCTTTTGGATCGACCACAAGATCTTCACTTGTTGGCTATATCATGCTACGCAGACAATTGGCGAATGTATCTAAGACATATTGGTGATCGCTTTTCTCATCTGGTAATTGCCAATCAACCTTTCCTTGATAGATTCGTGGCTCTGGACGCTGACGCGATGTTGACAGAACGATATTGCAATGACCAGCACAGCAGAAACAGCAGGAAAGGACTACCAGGACCACATTCAAGAGCTGCGACATCTCCTAGACCTGTCCATGTTTGCGACGGCTTGCTGCCAAAGCACCATGACAGTGACAGCAAATGTGCCAACGCTGCATTCGCACTTCAAGAAAGAACTGCAGTCATTCGCATCCGTTCAAGGAGTACTCGACGACTTTGTCACCAGTTCAGCGTCCCTTCAGGGCCGAGTTCGCAATGCTATAGAAATGGTAGGTTCTAATCCTTGCCACGGCAGATATGACATGATGCTTGTACTAAGCTTTTGAACTCTTCAGGTCGTCAACACCCTAGCCATGCGCAACCATCTAGAGGCGACCAAGCTCGACCAGGAGATGCGAGATTTGACCTGGGAAATGAAGCGATCGGGGCAAGAGACTGCCATCATTACCAAGAAACTCCAAGAGCTCACCGAGAACACGGTTGACGACAGCGCCATTGTGCGGTTGATCACAATCGTGTCGGCTTTCTACCTGCCTGGAAGCTTTGTCGCGGTAAGTCAAGCATGGCGCATGCCCAAGAGAGATTGCTGACATGATGAGAACAGACCTTGTTTGGAATGAACTTTTTCAATTTTGACGATAAATCAATTGCCATTTCGAGAGACTTTTGGGTATTCGTAGTGGCATGGACTGTGCTGACGCTTCTTACGGGAGGCCTGTTTTATGCTTCATACCAGCGCAAGAAAAGAAAGCAGAAGCATACAGATGACGCGAAGGTATAAATTCTCTGGTCCTGTTCATAGTGTCGAGTCACAAAGCATTCTCGATCCGCGGAGAAGTAGAAATCTACAAAGCGGGCACTTCGGGAAATAATTGTTACCAAATGAGCAATAGCACGCACCTATAGTGATTGAATATGCCGTTCCCCATTGCCAATGTGTCATATGAAACTCCATATGGGTCGGCCGATCTAGCTCCCCGCACGAAAGGCGCGGATGACTCAATGGTCCATCCAAAGTTTGGGGGAGCAGGAAGGTTTATACTATAATTTATTTGAAGCCGCAAACATTGCCCTGCTATTTCCGTCGGCCTGAACATTGATTCGGGCCTCTTGCTTGATCTCGGATGAAGACATAAAAGGGCAAATCATCGTTTTGATTTTCAAAGACGCCAACCTAGCCTGGATCTTACGTGACCTTGATTCATCGCTTTTAAACATCTCTAGTGTAATATCATCACACAATGTCCGTCGCGCAAGTCATTGACACGACCCTAGCATCCGTCGTCGCCAGCCCGACGACCCTCGACCTGCTCCGCCGTCTACACACCGAAGCACTCCATGAGCCGGCCTACGTGAGCACCGACGGCCAGGCGCCATCCACGGCTCTGGATCTTTTCGTCGCGCTGGACCTGGACAAGTGCGCACTCGTCTACCTGCTGCTCCGGGCCACCGGGGCGCGCCACGTGGTCGAGGCCGGCACTTCGTTTGGTCTGAGCACCATCTATCTCGCCTTGGCTGTCGGCCAGAACGCTGCGTTGCACAATGGAGAGGGCAAGGTCATTGGCACCGAGAACGAGAGCATCAAGGCGAATCGCGCCCGGGGCCACTGGAAGGAGGCTGGCGAGGAGGTGGAAAAGTGGATCGAGCTTCGAGAGGGAGACCTGCGCGAGACTCTCAAGACTGGACTACCGCATGAAATTGATTTCCTTCTTCTGGACAGTAAGTTGCACGACACTTGGAGCGAAATGCCGCCAGCCACTCGTGCCATTGGTGGAAACTGACGTGACGAGAACAGTCTGGTGTGAACTGGCCATGCCGACGCTCAGACTGGTGCGGCCACACCTCAAAGTCGGCGCCATGATTGTCATGGACAATGTCCTAGCGGCCCAGGACGGATACAAGGAACTCATGACATACTTGCAAGATCCTCAAAACGGCTTCAGGATGACAACTGCGCCGTACAGTGGAGGTTTAGGTATGGCCGTATACGTGGGGCACGAGAGGACCTAGCCAAGGGATTTCGAGTCGCATGTTTGGTCACGGAACGATACATTTTTCTCGACCGAGGACTTGTCGGCAGACAGTGGTGCAGTACGTTAGAGGCGGTACTGGGCTCTTGTCGGCCATGCTGATCGAGTCATACAGACTTTGTGCGCGAATTGCCGACGCTATTCAGTGCAGCCCTTTGAATAAAAGAGATTCCGTATCAATTGTATAGAAAATAAACGGTGTAGTTTTAGGCCTCTAAGACCTTATCCCATCAAGGGGTCGCCCAGATGCTTCATTGGGCCGGCATACTCACATCAGTTATGAAAATGCTTCCCGAATCCCGGGTTTTAGTCGCAGAATGGTGTCCCACTCGTCTACAATACCGTACGATACCAGGTTACTAAGGCCCAAATAGCCGCCAGCAGGCCAAACAATATCAGGACTTGAAAGGCATGATAGAGATTTCTTCACGTTTAAACACACCACTCTATATGAAACCTTTCAAATGAAGTATCAATTTGCGCATCTACCTCGTCATTCACTATTTACCCACTGCATTAGGCCAGAATCTTCAAGTGTCTTCATCTGCAGCATGGTGATTGATCTGAATTTCTTTCCTCACTCTGGTTTTACACATGTAATTGGCAATACATGTTTCCAGGAGCGTCATGCCCTTTATATGATGTGATTTCCACGGGATCACGTTTCCCCGGCTTCGATGCTTAGAAATCCATATGCCTTACAACGAGGCGAGCCAATCACGGACCTGCTCGCGAAACAACCTTGGCAAATGGTCAAGGAAAAGAACTTTTTTGAACCATGAATGTAATGCCTTTGCTGTTTGCTGTTTTCATTGCTGTCAAACTTCACGGGCAGAAAATTGATAACAGCAATTGCATGAAATTCACCATCAAGCTCGGCCATGTCTGCGTCACCTGAAAAGTCCGAGTTGTCTCGGGCAGAGCCTTCTAGCAATGCAACACCATTTCAACGACCTATTAGTGTAGCACCTGTCACGGCAGCACCAGTAACAAAAGCAAGCGTTGAAATGGGTGGCTTCTTTCACAATGTCGACGGAGGTGGGCGTGGTTGGGCCTCTGTTCTGGGAGCATGGATGATCCAGTTCTCCATGCTGGGCGCTGTTCTGTCGTTTGGGAGTTACCAGACCTTCTACCAGGACCAGTGGTTGCCAGTGAGTAGTCCATTGCGTATCTTCCCCGATCCGTCTCTGATGCCGACACAAAGAACTATTCGCACTCAACAATCGCGTGGATTGGCACCCTACAGCTCTTTATGGAATTTTTGTGAGCATCACCAAGCCGCATTTGATTCGAGACTTTATAACCAAAAGGCAAAAGTCATGGCACTAATACAACCCGAATCTCGTAGTCTTGGAGTCTTTGGTGGCTTCCTTCTTGACGGTGGGCACTGGCGCTGGACTGTCGGTGGGGGCTCTGTCCTCTTTGTCTTTACCTTTTTCATGTTGAGTCTATGTCACCCGGGTCAATATGCGCCCATCATCTTGGCCCAAGGGTAAGTGGAATAGTCCTACTTATATCAACTAATGGTGCAGATCATGGACCTTGCTGACATTACCGAAAGTATCGGCATGGGAGGCGGTCTTGGATTTGCTTTTCTGCCCGTCACTGGCCTCGTCGCGAAACATTTCAAGAAGCGCCGAGCGCTGGCCATGGGCATCATATCTACTGGGGCGGCCATTGGTGGGTTTGTCTTTTCCCTTCTCGGCGGCAAGCTTTTCTATTCCAACCTCGGGTTCCCCTGGACGGTCCGCGTCAGCGCCTTTATAGTGCTTGCCGCCTGCATCTTTGCGAACCTATTGCTCTCTGATCCAAAGGTCAGTAATGTCACGGTGGAACAACCCGAGGCTGTTCTAGCCGGGGAAAAGATCAACGGGCAGCACCAACCCAAGGAAGGCTATGTGGATGGAATGGGCAGCAGGGAGAAGGCGGAGACGGCGGCGGCGACACCATCAATGAGAAACGATACAGAGGTGACGTCGCCAGACCCCGAAGGCCTGGCTGATGATATAAAGCCACACAAACCGCGCAGTATGGGGCAAATGCTACGTGATCCAGCTTACCTAGCAATCATTTCCATGGGTTTCGTCGTCAGCCTTGGTTTATACTTTCCACCGTCAGTGCCCCCAAATATACTCCCTCTTCCCCCTCATCCGGCTCGATCGAGACTAACAAGAGTGAAATCCCAGGTTTGCAATTCAGTCCTTCGCACTCGACCACGGGATACCATCTGGTCTGGCAGATTGGCTACTGCCATTGCTCAATCTGACGAGTGTGCTGGGTAGAACGATTCCCAACTGGCTGGCTGATCGCTACGGACTCTTCGAGGTAACTTGGAACTAGTGCTACTTGTCATGGATATGACACCGACTAAACTCGATCTCACACCAGATGTACATTCCCTGCACTTTGCTTGCTGGTGTGATCCAATTTGCGCTCGGCGGAGCCACCAATTCTGGTAGCGTGGTTGTTCTCGCGATCCTGTAAGTTATTTAGACACACCATGCCCGTCGAACCGTCAAAGATCTGATATTCATCATGTAGATATGGTTTCTTTTCCGGGTCAAGTAAGTTGTTGCAATTTTCCAAAACAATGTTCCCCTGAATGTTAAACTAATGTTGGTCCGCTCTGCCAGTCCCCGCCCTGTACTTCCCCATGATCTCCTCACTCGATCCCGACGTGGCGTCAACTGGTATGCGGATGGGTGTTGCCTGTATGCCAGTCGGCATTGCATCCTTGATCGGCAATCCGATTGCAGAGGCTTTGGTTGGCCCCAACCGCACCTGGTGGCACGGCCTCGGGTTTGCAGGCGCCAGCCAAGTCGTCTCTGCCATGCTGTTGACGTTTGCATGGATAATGGAGAAGAAGCGGCACCGGACTTGAAGTTGCGTCCCGATTGGTGAAATTGTTTAGATCTCATATTCGTTATTCTGCAAACTTTGAATGCCACATCTGCGGTAGTAAGAAAAAAAAAATGGCCGTAGCATGTTGTCCGAGACCTATTGGCTAGTACACGGTATACACGAAAACGATGGGTAAATCTGATGAATAGGAAGTACACCACTGATGCATCTACCTGGTGATCCACAAATCCTAATAATCGTGATAAGGGATCTCCAATATAGAATGTCGATTGTAGCTACGGAATATGTATGTATGGGTGCTAGCACGCGACATGGCACGACCTTGAGGTCCATTGTTGTTGAAGTTGGGATAGAAACCTTGAACTCTAAAAGGATTCTCTTTCATGCATCAGGTTTCTCTACATAAACTTATTATTACAGAAGCCCGCCATTGCATTGAAATCCAATTTCTTAAATTTCGTATAATCGAGACTGGTCAAATATTCTTCACTGCAATCACCCCCGTTAACAGAGTTAATTTCTACGGCATTGAAGAACAAGTGCAGCATTATCACAACCTCAATCAATCCCTCTCTACGTTCCTATATGATCTGGCCTGAACTCTTACATCCCAATACAGTTAAGATTCGCCAGGTCCGCCCCTGTTGTGATATCCATGGCGTGAGTGGCCTCGTTCACGTTACACGGTGATGTAGCTTTGGGATTGAGCTGACGTAAAGGTACATACGAGTCTCCCAATAAGACTGCCGGCCATTCGGGTAGTTTTTCTATTTAGGGCTGGAGTGTTGGCTGACGTGAGTATAGTAACCAGGTGGCAGCGCTACGTAGTACGAAACAATCTCCAATCGAAATTGCGCACTACTCCAATCTGTTCTGTTATGGGACGACTCCAAATTTATGCGAGGACTGCATGGAAAATGATTGCCGGACTTGGTAACTTTATGACCTAACCTAATGGGATCATCCAGGTTTATGAACCTTTAATTGATACATAACCTCCTACCCCCCTTCCGCCGTTCCCGGAATAGTCGCAAGAACCCAGGGATCGTAATCTCGCATCCCGACTTCGTTGACTGTTGGAAACAAAAAGGGAAATCACACCACGTCGCACCTGTATCACAGCGATGCGTGCTGTTCGTTATTACGGGCCCCAAGACATCCGCCTGGAGGTCAATCTCCCCGAGCCGGAATGTCTTCCCCACCAGGTCAAAGTCCGACCACACTTTTGCGGGCTTTGCGGCTCAGACCTGAACGCGTACAAATCACCTCGAGCCATCCCGCTCAAAGACACACCCCACCCGATCACCAATGAGAAGTGGCCAGTCACACTAGGCCACGAGTTCTCTGGGGAGGTTGTCGAGATCGGCTCGGAAGTGCGCGGTGGGCTTGAGCCGGGCGACAGGGTTGCCGTACAACCTACAATCTGCTGCGGTCACTGCGTCCCGTGTCGGAGCGGCTCGACAAACTTGTGTGACTCCTTCGGCTTTGTAGGTTTGACGGGCTGGGGCGGGGGGCTATCAGACTTGGTGAGCGTCGACGCCAGGTTTGTTTTCAAACTGCCCAACTCGTTCCCGTCGGATATAGGAGGTGAGTGTTTGCCGCTGCTCAGTAGCAGAGAATCTGTGCTGACGGCGTTTATGCTGTTGTAGCTTTGGTCGAGCCATTGGCCGTCGCTTGGCATGCGATTGAACAGAGTGGCATCAAGTCGGGTGACAATGTTCTTGTCATGGGCGCAGGTCCAATCGGGTTGGCCGTCATACAATGCTTACAAGCCTTTCAGCCAAAACAAGTCATTGTTGTCGAAGTCGCCCGCAATCGCAAGGAGGTTGCGCGTCGGCTCGGGGTTACGGCCATTATTGACCCCAACGAAGAGGATGTAGTCACCAAGGCTAGGCTCCTGTGCGACACCCAAGGTCCTGATGTTGCTTTCAACTGCGCCAGTGTGCCTTCAAGCATCAAGGCCGCATGCGAGGCCGTACGCAAAAAGGGAACAATCGTCAATGTCGCTGTCTGGGACAGTGACATTCCGATTAATCTGAACACTTTAATGTTTGGAGAGAAGAAGCTCTTTTCAGGTAAGGGTCCGGAGTATTTGTCAAGTGAATGTTAATCTGACTGACCATTCCAGCTCTGAGCTATACTACGACAGACTTTGAAAATGTGATCAAGTTATTTGAAAATAATGGACTACCCAAAGTCGGAGAGATGATTACCCGTAAAATCACCATGGATCGAGTGGTTGAAGATGGTATCTTGGCGCTCATCCATGAGACGGATAAACACGTCAAGATACTTATCGATGTCACCGCGTGATGGCTTTTTTTTTTTTTTTAGATAGCTTAAGTCTTTGACAAAGCCATCGCATCAAAGTCTTAATATCGAGAGCTACATCCTTAATTCGTGCAAAAAATAAAACCATGCTAGAGAATACTTTACTGAAACTCCATGTGGGGACGTAATGGAGAACCTGTGCGAACAAGACTATATGTCTTGCTGGAGAGGTTAGTGCTATAAAAGTTTTATACTCTGCTTGGGTATGTTAAATAGCTCTTCGGCAAATAGTTCATTCCTGGGAGTGGTTGTTCGAAACTGTGGCAGATGCCTCTTGACGCTGTCGAGCGACACAAGATCAAGATCCAACGTCCGGATGCCAACACTTGATATCTGCGAATTGATAGCCTGGGCGGTTTTTTGAACCTTGTTCTGGTTACGGCCCAGCAAGTATAAGCAGCGCGGGCTCCGCTTTGGCGAGGGCTGTCACAAAGCCAGCTCCGACACCACCACGGGAAACGCCAGTGGTGAGAATGCATAGGTAGAGAAATGCGGCAATTTAAGCGTTGGGCGACATTGAATTTTTTGGCCCTACCAACGAGAGTGCTACACCTAGCCAGCTTCCACGATTTGACAACGACAGAATTCAGAATAACAAAATGCCAGACCGGAAAACGGCGGCTGCGTTGTTTATGATCATTTTGTCGTTGGCACAATTAACAAAATAATCACACTATGCCAGCTCTAAGAAACAGTCATCAGGTCGCAAGCAATAAGACAAGTCTGAATCAGTGGCTCGATCAAGCTGTGATACGACGAATGACTAACTCTCGGCGTAGCAGCCGAGGGTCCCCACGTAAACTCGGGAGAACTCCCCGTTTGGTCCTCCCTAGCTTGGCACTGCTCGGTCCAAGTCCACATCTCGGAATATAACGACCACAGATTTCATAATCTGGATAGACTTGAAAGTGTTTTCAGATTCTCGGTCCTTATAAGAGTGGCGACAAGAATTCAATTCATCATGGATTCCGAACAACCAGGATTGTGTAAATTTACACATATTATGGACATGATAAGTGGCCAGTTTTGGCTAGTACCTACATAGCAGACGCCGCTCCACTACTGTGACGCTATGTAGAAGATAAGTCTAGCTGCGTGGTGCGACGTTCGGCATCACCACTGTCTTCGCCGACCGGCACTTGAATTGCTTCGCCGATTGACCCCGCGATCGCTCCGCTAATTCGCTCTGGGACCCAAACGCCAAATCGCTCGGCTTCACACCCGAGTATACTATGGCCTATCTTTCGGTGGTCTTTGATTAAAAAATGCATCTGATTGGATATCGCGTCATAAATGACTCCGGGAAAGGCTCCACTGGCTTTCATCGACCTTGTTAATATGAGATGCCGATTTCGTTCCTTCTGTGACTACTAGGTACAGCTTGATGATTCAAACTGGTCAATACAAAAGCCATCATATTACAAGACGCACAAGATATATTGGACCGACAAAATCGACGGATCCTTGACAACTTTGTCCTGACAATGCCAAAGCAAAACTCGCATTCCACAACCATGTTTGAGCACATTCTTCCAGGTCCGAGTGACCCCATGTTCTGGTTGAAGAAGCGCGCGGATGCCGATCATTCGCCCGACAAGGTCGATGTGGGAGTAGGCATTTACCGAAATGAGCAAGGACGTTATCAAGAGTTGGAAGTAGTGCGAGAGGTAATTCAAGCTCATCAATGGTTTGGCGTTTGTTTTGCTTATACTTTGGTAGGCCAAGAGGAGACTCGACAAGCTTGATCTTGGACATGATGTATGTGAACCCGAGAGCTTCCAATCGTGCGCATCACATTTGCTAATCCCCAAGGAATAGTATGAGATTACAACGGGAGAGGTCGAATTCTTGCAGTTGGCTGCCAATGTCATGTTTGGCGAGGGCAACAGTGCCGTGTCCAGTGGGAGGGTTAGTTGAGTCGAATGCAAAATGGCAGCAGTTGCAAGTAATTGACAAGGTCCAATACAGGTAGCGTCTGTCCAGACAATTTCTGGAACTGGCGCAAACCATCTCGGAGCGCTCCTTCTCGTCACCAATATCCAACCAAAGCCCAAGGTCTTTGTTGGTGTTCCATCTTGGGGTAATACTGTGCCGCTGTTCAAGCACGTCGGCCTCGAGGTCGAGACATATCGTCACGTGGACCCAGACACGAAACAGGTCGACTTTGAAACCGTCCTGCGCACCATCAGGGAGGCACCGGCCAAGAGCATCTTTTCGCTCCAGGGCTGTTGCCAAAACCCCGTTGGCGCCGACTTCTCGGTAGAGCAGTGGAAGACCCTGGCTGAGGAACTAAAGGCCAAGGAACACCTACCCTTCATTGACATTGCTTACCAAGGTCTCGGCGATGGACTCGACGAGGACGCGGCAGGTGTGCACATCATGACCGAGACGTGCCCAGAGGTGATTGTGTGCCAATCATTCTCCAAGAACTTTGCCCTGTACGGAGAGCGCTGCGGCGCATTGCACGTTGTCACCAAGACGCCCGAGACGGCCGCAAACGTCAAGGACCAACTCAGAGTCTTGATTCGTCAAGAATTCTCATCTTCTCCGGCATATGGCTCGAGGCTGGTAAAGATTGTGCTCTCAGATGTCGAGCTACGAAAGCAATGGTTTGGATTATCCCGTATCATTCTGTGAAATAGCACATCTAATTCTCTGATAGGGTCTCTGAGCTGGCTGAAATGAGAGCTCGCTTGCACAGAAACAGAGCAATCTTGCACGAATATCTCACCGTTAAGCTGACGGTAAGTTCATGGGTATCGAGGAACGAAGTTTCAAACACTGAACTCAATGACAGACGCCCGGAAACTGGGACCACATCATTACAGACAAGGGATTGTTCTCGTAAGTTTCCATGCCTTAAAGAATGGTATGCAAGAGTTGAACTAATGACATCAAGGACACTGGCATTGTCGTCCGGCCAATGTGAGGAACTTGTTGCAAAGTATCACATTCATTTACCAGCCAGTGGTCGCATCAATGTCGCTGGTCTAAATGCAAAGAATCTCGCCTACACCGCAGAAGCCATCGACGCAGTGGTGCGCAAAGCTTAGGCTCCTCCAGCCCCGACAGGGCAGTCAGTACAGGGGGTATGGGCAATCCAGTGGTCATTTTCAAAGCTGCGGCCAGAATTTCACGACGATAATAAACGGAATCAGATGAAGAGTCAAAGAAAATACAATGTCAAATTGAAAAATTTAAAACCAGAGATTCAACCAGCGATGCATTTTGTTTCTACACTGACATGATCCAGCTTCTCTAGTGCCCCGAGACGGCGGAGTTTGGTGGACTAACTGCTAGAACGTGGCGGGCGGCTTGCGGAGTTGCGGAGAATCAATCCGTCGAGTCAATCTGACATTCTCTTGCCTCTGACCAACTCGGAGCTTCTTCCGATGCGACTATGAACCTTGCAGATGATATTCACTTACCCAGCTACTAGCCTGCAGGTTTTGTGTGAATATGGGCGTTTCTCCTGCAGGGTCCAGCATTCCGCCGTCGAGGCAGAAGAACTGCCACAACTGCGTTCAGACAAAGCGCCGATGCGATAGGCGGATGCCACACTGCTCTCGATGCGTGGAAAGAAACATCCCTTGCGACTATAGCAGGACCAGGACGGCCATCCAAGCTGATAGACAAGCAAGACGCGACAATGCAAATGGGCCGGCATCCATTTCACACCCACTCTTTAGCCCTGGCCCTGCTGCGGAGATGGACTACCTTGGATCCATAGATGCGGACATGGTTGCGGACTTGATGCCAGACTATCCTGCCGAACCTTTGCTTCAATCGCCCATCGATGCTACTCACGGCATTGATGTGCTCATGGACAATCAGGTAGATCTCATGGGCGGCAACACACCTGCCTCCATGAGCCAATGGCTAGTCGCCTTTGAAGATGACTCTATCACCGAACGCCCAAGCACTCCAGTCGACGAAGAGATTACACGGTCGTATCAAAAGATGGCTCCAATGTGTGTAAGTTGTCCAAGAAAAAAAGTCGTTGAAATTTGAATTCCTCGTGACATCTTTCTTTGCCGCAGGACAACATCAACACCTGGAGTCTCCATGACCCTAGCACACCACTCTATTACATCACATCTCGGGTCAAGAACTTTGTGAATGACATGGCAACACATAACGCAACGCCATTTCTGCACCCCTTCCTCTACCGTGCCCATACTCCAGAGTGTATCATGTCCTGCTTTTCCACCAGCGTGCTCTACACGGCCCGCACTCCCACCAACACGGCCATGGTCATGCGCGCCCTTTGCAAGAGTGCACATGAGCTCGTTGCCGCCGAATCTGTCCGGTTCGTTACAACCACGACGGAGCGCCTGGCGCGAGCCCAGGCCCTCTTGCTGTATCAAATCATTCGCCTCTTTGACGGTGACGTTGCTCTCCGCGCTCAGGCTGAGAGGGACAGTGCGCTCCTCAATACGTGGTTGGCAGAGTTGTGCAAGATGCGCGATAACCTAAGCACGAGTGCGCGATTAGAGAATTCCGTTGCGAGAGCACAACCGCCAGAGTGGGAGGTAGGTCAATTTCTTCTGCTACATCTCCAGATTGTATTGTGAATCTCTATTTACCTAGTGCATCTTTTAGCAATGGATCTTTGCCGAGTCTGTCCGCCGGACTATTCTCATGGCCTACTCGGTGCTTGGTCTATACGAGCTGATGAAAGATCCCGAGTGGGACGGTAAGATGGTGCCACCAGCGTGGTTCAGGTTGATAACTGACCTTGAAATAGGAGAGCCGAACCCATGGGCATACACACACCGTTGGACACTTTCACGCTCTCTATGGGAGGCCAAGTCTTCAGCCGGATTCCAACGAGCCTGGAAGGAGAAACCGCAATTCGTGATGGAAAATCACTCCTTTGAGCGCTTCCTCGAGCATGGAAGAGGCTCTGATGTTGATGAATTTGCCGAAATTCTGTTGAATGTGTAAGTGGGAACATATATCTAGCATATGGCAAGCTGCTCATACATGTTGCAGGTACATGGGAGTGGATGAGACGAAAGAATTCCTTTCGTCACGCGAAACTCCGGTTCCAGTGCAATCAGCATGACCATGAAATCCTTGGAGAAAAGAAAATCTTTCAGATTACGCAGAGTGCTGGTTCGGACCCGCGATTAAAATCTTTACGACCTGACCCGACGCAACTTTCTCAAAAGCCTGTTCTGCTTCCAGGAAAGGCACAACCATTGTAATCAAGCTCTTTACATCCACTTTGCCGCTTCCGACCAAGTCGATCGCCAACCGATAATCCCCACTACCATATCGGAACGACCCTCTTGCCGTGACTTCTTTCTGGCACAAGGCCATGATGGGAAACTCGATATCACTTCTACCCATGCCACCCTGGACAAATGTACCGCCCGGACGGACGACATGCAGAGATGTTTGGATGGAGGATGCCGCCCCCGACGCGTCAATCACAACATCCACCCCGCCAGTAAGACCAAGCAGGTCTTTCAAGTTGTTTGCATTTTCTTCTGGAGGCACGCTTTTGGCAGAATAGGTATGAGTAGCAGCCAAACGCTTGGCAACCTTGAGCTTAGAGTCCACTACATCGACAGAGCAGACGATATCAGCTCCAAAGGCCCGGGCCACGGCCGCACACAGCAAGCCTACCGGTCCTGCTCCCATCACCACCACCGAATGGCCTGGTGAGATTTGAGCCTGCCGAACGATATGAACAGCTACTGCAAGCGGCTCAATCATGGCCCCTTCTTTCAGGGACACGTTATCCGGCAGTTTGTAGCAAAAGTCTGACGGTGCCGTCCAGAATCCCGTCAATGTTCCATCGTACGGCGGTGTCGCAGCAAAGCGCATATCCGGGCAGAGATTGTAGTGACCGCCCAGACACTGCACGCATCGCCGGCACGGATATCCGGGCTCCAAGGCCACTCGATCTCCGACTTTTAGCGACGTGACTTGATCACCCACTTGCGCAACCACGGCCGAGGATTCATGGCCTAGCACCATGGGGTCCTTGACTACGTAGTGGCCAATGGCTCCGTGTTGCCAGTAATGCACGTCGGATCCGCAGATTCCGGTATAAGAAATGGCGACGAGTACATCGTGAGGTGAACTAATGGTCGGAATCGGTCGTTCGGCGAATTCTATAGACTTGGGCTCTTTGAGGACGAACGATAGGTTCTGTGATGCTGTTAGACACGAGTTATATGATTGACGAGATACCTACGGTAAATGTCGAGCCCATGATTCTGACTTGGACCGCGTCGTGCGAATAAGAAGAAACACAGAGAATATACCAGATTGGAGCGCTTGTGAACTATTTGATTTGGGTTGCCGCGGTCGATGATTTCGTGGATGAGCGCTGCCCAGAAGTAAACGCAAGAGTCCTACGTATATATTTTCAATAATTCAGCAGATCCACGAGATGATAGATCCGCCATGACTTAAACTGACTCAAAACCTTGCGCAGTCAGAAGCAATGGAAAGAGGATCGTGAATGATGTCTTTAGCCGTTACCCTCTCCCAAGACCCAGACCGCACCAACCTCTGACCAATCAGATCGAGGTCAACGTTACGGTTCCGCCGGAACCGTAGAGTCGGCGGAATCATAGTGAACCGCCGGTAGTTCACACCATCGCTCTCATGGCCGCACTCCAAGGTCAGTGGCTAGTGATCACTCTAGTAGGTATATATCAGGGGCATATGGACCGCCGGAACCGTACGATCAATATGAAGCTCGCGGTGTTGCTAATCCAGCACGCTACTCACTCATCAGTAAATAATGCATCCCCAGATTCTCCCAATGACTCCAGAGCTAGTAAACCTGGTCACGACAACGCCATTACTCTTCTCCGTGTCACCTCAGGATTTTTTCCGATTCACGTGGGTTGCCTATGGGGTAATTGACAAATATACAATGCCGTTAAATGTCTTCTCCATTTGAGATTTTCATTTATCAAAGCCTCCGCATAGAACCTCCTAGTTTTTCAAAACGCTTATCGAACATTCCCATGGAGCAAAAGATATCGGAAAAAGCTTTTCTGGGATCAGTCCCTCCTCCAGCAGCTGAGATTCCCCCTGTAAGTGTCATGGCTTGAATCAAAGTTCAAGCCCAAGACCGTCAATCATCGTTATCCTTTCAGAGGCAAGGCTTTCCTATGGATGACATGTGCTTTTGGCAGTCTCGGTGATGCTCTATTCGGGTGCGATCAAGGTTGGACTCCCCCTTGTGCATTCTAATCCGTCTGCAACTCTGACAGATCCCACTCCAGGTATCGTCGCTGGCCTCCTCGTAAACCCGACGTTCATTGCCAGATTCCTTGCCGGCCATGGCGGCGCCGATGTAACATCCGATCACGTCGACTCATTCGTAAATGGAATCCCGGTGGTTTGCTTGCAAGTCTCTGCTGCCGTCGGATCGCTGATTGCCGGCCGCGCCCGTGATATCGTTGGCCGAAAGAAGTGCGTACGCTTCGGTGCCTTTATACACTTTGCCACGGCGTTCATACAAGCATTCGTGCCCAGCTTCACGGCCTTGCCTTTGTCATGGGCCGAACCCTTCAAGGCGTCGGTGTCGGTTTCTTCTCCAAAACGGTGCCAGTCATTCAAGCCGAGATTGCCGCTCCTCACCGACGCGGCCTCATGGTGGGAATAGAAAACACGTTCTTGATCGGTGGCTACGCGCTACCCACTTGGGTCGAACATGGATTTTACTATCTCATCCCCAACAATACATCTTGGCAGGGACCTTATTTCATCCAAATGGGTCTGGCCTTTGTCTTTTTCTCCATGTCCTTTATCCTACCCGAGACCCCAAGATGGCTGGCACGCAACGGATTCACCGCAGGATATGCACAAACCGTGGCACATCTCCACCCTCCAGATGTCAACACCGAGGCACAGCACATCAAGCAGGTCGTGCTCGAGATCATGGAGGCCGTTCGATACGTGGCCACCCTGGGCGAGTCGACTTGGCGGGCAATGTTTACGCGGTACCGCAAGAGAACACTCGTCGGCATCACGGCCCAAATGTTTGCCCAGATCAACGACATCAACGTAATTTCCTCCTATCTACCGACTACGTTGGCAGCGGCGGGTTTCAGCGACTACAAGTCCCTCTTGGACATCGCCGCTAACTCGATTCCTTGTGTGGCGGCTACCATTTTGACGTGATGGCTGGCTCATCGTTGGGGCCGCAAGCCGCTCCTGATTGTTGGAGGTAGAGTTTTCTTGACCCATGATGACTCGTTAGAGCCACTCGAAATTAAAGGGCTTACTAGCCTTTTGAACCCGTCCCCCAGGCATCTCCATGGCCATTGCATTGAGCATCGTCTGCGCCTTTACCGAAGCCCACCTCTCCAACATTGACCTGCGCCCGCACGTCATTTACGCCTCGGTCATGGCTTACAACATAATATACGGCTTGACCTGGGGTCCCATACCATGGCTTCTTCCGGCCGAGATTTTCCCCCAGCGCGCGCGCAGCAAGGGCATGGCGCTGTCGACGTGCTCCAACTGGATCTTCGACTTTGTCATTGGCATGTGGCGCCCGACGCTTTTGCCGGGAGTGGCGGCTGCTATTACGTCGTGATTGCGGGTTTCTGTCTGGTTTCCACGGCTCTGGTGTACTTCTATTATGTCGAGACGGCGGATCACACGTTGGAAGAGATCGCCGAGGATGATGCCGTCATGGCGTCGACACAATTGTCTCGATGAACAGGGTCCGAATACATGGCAGATCAATCAATCAGTCGTTTGAAAGATTCAATGGGTGTATTCGGATGACTTGAATTCTTGTACACAGAGTGAGTTTTCGATATAAACAAACCGGACCATTAATCTTTGATTGTTCCATCTTGACACTGATTGAAATGGTTGTCGCTTGCGAATTGGATGGAATATCTAGTCTCCAATAAATAAAATATTTATATTGGCAAAATTATGTATATTCTTTAGGCTCAACGATATAAGAGCATGTTATCATATGTACGGCGTAGTGTTGGAAGAACAAATAATGCCATTAGAGAAGAAGAATCCTTTTTGTTTTCTTTCTTCATTTCTTGCTGCATTTTCTTTTCGTTTTTATTTTTTATATTTTATTGTCTTTTGCATTTTTAATAATCATTAATAAGGTGACTTTAGCTATTTCTTGCGCAATCTGGGGGTTTTCAAAAGTCTGGCAAACTTGCGACCTCTATGACATCAAGCGGAAGGTGAACGCGCTAGACACGTTATAGCGCGTGTGGTACCTACTGGCAGCCCCCCTTTAGTGAGGTTTCTGGTGGTTCTGGGCTGTGGGGTTTTTTAGATTTTGTTTCTTGTCATCGCCCTTTCTCTCAGCAGTCGCATTCATGACTTTGAGGCACGGCGGCTATATACCTACCTGTACCCTAGGAGCTCATGGGTCACGCGACACGAGACACGAGAAAGATCCTGCTCCCGGTTGTGATTGACTGAACCGAGGTCCTCGAAGCTTGTGTAAACATCCATTATATCCGTGCTCGCATTGAAAGCACCACGCAAGGTTCAGGCATGCAAGGCCGATTGCCTACCAGAGTCAACAATGCGTGTCAGCGATGCCGGCGCAACAAGAGCCGTGTAAGATGGACCGACTTTTGATATCATGCACCAATGTGCTAATCTCTGAGGGCAAAGTGCGACTCGTTCCGACCATGCTCCCTGTGCTTGCGCGCAAACGTGGACTGCGAGTCGGTAGATATCCCGTCGGCCTCAAACATCAGGTCTCCTAGGCCCAGGCCACGCCGAATAACGTATGGACTCCCCATTTCCATCACTTTAGACTCGGTCATCACTGTAGAGACTTGGCGCCAACACTTGGAATAGTAGAGCATCTGCCCAGGACGCTGCACGACGTCGGGCGACGAGAAGTCCAACCCAAAGCGCCCACAATGACAACATTTCCAGAAGGCTCGAAGCTAGCTGTAGTGTTGATGAGCGGTTGCAAAGCGTTGAACAGCCAGATCCGCCGGATCTCTCATTTCAAGATGCCACTCAAGTCCCATCAGAGGCAGCTACAACACCCCAATATGCCGAGGCCGACTCGGCAATGAGTATCGTACGAAAGGTAGGTCGGTCATCCTCCATTTGAGTATGTAAATGAAGTAGACTTATAGGTCTGTCACCTTTAGATTTACAAGCTCAATAGAGAGCATATCGGTGACTGTTCAACCTCGGCCATACCAGACGGCGACGTGGACAGTGCTTCGAGCCCAGGGTTTAACATGCATCCACGTGTATCAATCTCGACTATTCTGAATTGTCAGTTACCCGACGACTTGACTATTTCTAGTCTACTAGAGGATTACTTTGAGGCAGTACACTGGTTCTCCCTGGTCATTTACGAGCCGCACTTTCGAAAACAGTTGCTAGCAGTTCAGCATGGTTATGCCTCGATCTCGGAAACTTCATTTCTTCTGCTTTTATCCATGGTTCTATCAATGGCCGCATGGTACCGATCATCAAATTGCTCTGCAGACGATGTCGGTAGATGGCGTCTACTGAGCAACGAGCTGCTGTCGGTTGTGGAATCTAGACTTGTGCAGATCATGGATGATCACTCCTTGACAGCAATACAATGTTGCATATTGCTTGGCTCCCACCATGTCTACCACGGCAGACCTAATCTAGCTTTTTCTCTTTTAGGTGCTGCTACCAAGATGGCACATGCCCTGAGTTTGCATAGATGTCTGAAACATGGAAGTCCCGGGGACATTGAGGAGCGGAAGAGGATCTGGTGGACGATATATACTTGGGATCGGTAACTCCTCCTTGAAATCGTACACAAAAGTTACTGTCAACTTACATGTCACACAGGTTTGCCTCTGTTTTCTATGGACGGCCACTGACCATTGATGATGAAGCTTGCGATGTGGAGATGCCAGACGTATTTGCCGAGTCTCCATATTTCAAAGAAGGCTCATCTCAATTGGCTCCAGCCAGTACAGTCTATTCCCCGTATCAGATTGAACTGAACAAGCTCTACGTCCTGGCTTCCCCAGCTCTGAAGATGATATTCGGGACATGTCGATCCCAAGCGGCAGGACACGATTCGGACTTGAAGTACAGATCCCTGATCAATACTGTTACCAAGAAACTTATGGACTGGCACAATCAACTGCCTCCACATCTGAAGTTAAACCTCAACCGAGATTTCAAGCCCGATGAGGCTACTTGGGCTACTAGGGCACACACGTTGCAGTCTTTGGCCTTGCAGCTAACATTTGACAATCTCTTGATCGTGATCTACCGCCCACTCTTGTCCCAGCAGGCCGAGGATCTCTCAGCAATGAGCGAAAGCATTTCTCAAGAGCCGCACCTTCAGGAGCTGGACAACGATATCGCACATCTTGACGGTGACACGTCTCATCACAGCCAAAGGCACGTGTCAGAGTATTGGTGGAGTGCGGCAGTGCGAACCGCGCGAGTCACTCAACTAACACAACTGACCCATTTAGCCACAAATTCTCATCTCGTCGCTTTCATGGCCATGAATTTATTTCACTCGGCGATAGTCCTAGTCTTGAACGCCTTGTCGAGCCCCCTTTCAGACAAGACTCAGGGCGTAAAGCGTGCCCTGACACGCATTCTGCGACTCCAGGAACTCGTGGGCCGTCGGTCTATATTTTCTAGGCAAAGCAGCGCCGTATTAAAGAACCTTATTGCTTTGCTGTTGCGCAAAGAGAGCGAGGCAATGCTTGGTGTGTCGGAAGTCGCAACTCCCCAGTCAAGGTACGAGGGCACTGAGCCATGGATTTCCGGGCATACATATGACCCAGTCTTGTTAGGAGAGGATGCCCTGCAAGTCTCTCAAGACCCGACTCGTGGATCAACTCACCCCGAAAGCGCCGATATATTGTCCGCTCCAACAGACTCACTTCGGCTTAATCAAAGCCTTGCGGCGGTACAAAGAGGTAAAAATTTGCTTAACCTAAAAGTTTCGACTGTGCTAAAAGTTCATTCAGCAGTGTTCCCTTCTCTCTACGAGACACAAACATCCCAGAACCCAGGAGCGCCATACGTACATGAGGCAACTGGGCCGTGGCCAGCATCATTTTCTGGAGGACACGAGGCTGGCGTATCGCACAATGCTGGTGGTAACCACAGTGATATGCAAATGGGCGAAAATAATGTTTTCTGGCTCTGGGACTTGCCACTCGGCGGTTCAAGTCTTGGCTGAGGAGGCACTTGAGCATCCAGCCACAAGCAAGACGGAATAATATGCGGCAATCACAAGCCCTTGGCCAGATATTCCAACCACAAATACACGACACCTTTCTCCGATAGAGGTTTTCCAACCATAGACGTCAATTGACTCCGAATGCCACGTGCTAGAAAGCTGCATTGTACCTGAAGTAGTGAGGGGGGTTCAGCCTTGCACGTAGAACTTTACAAGTATTTGGACAGACGGGTACCTGAATTTTCTTTAACCTTTCCAGCATTCCCCGTCGAGCTTCTCGGTATTAAACACCTTCATGGCAAACTATGTTAATTGTAGTAACTTTACACGCGGAGAAAGGACTTCCCACAGCAACGATGCAGGTACAGCCTGTGGCCCTTCTTATAAATTTCCCATTTCCCTGTCTCCTTTGCAATCCGCCCCCATCCCTGACCCGTGTAAATTATCCTCGTACCTCATCACATACCATCATACCTCTACACATACCATCATCCCTCTAGACGTACCATCGTCTCTCTAGACGTACCGTCATACCTCTACACATAGCATCATCCCTCTAGACGTACCATCATACCTCTACATTCACCATCATACTCTAGACATATCATCATACCTCTACATTTCATCATGGATGACAATAGACTTTTTCGTCTGCTTCTGGGCAGCGAACAACACCTCCGAGCCCACCTCGAGGACATCAAGGCACGTGCCTCACGTCAACCTGATCATGATCAACTCGCCTCTGTCTTCCGTGCGTCTGCTGTGGACCTCATGATGCTCTTTCGCTCCCACTATTGCGGACGCCTAGTCGATATTGGCATTCGATGGGTAAGTCAGCTGTGGACTTTTCATTTTGTTTGTTTATCATGACTGACTAACACAATCTGGTAGCTCATATCCGAAATTCTCGAGAGCGTGGCACTCTCCTTTCTCGGGGAGGTTGAAGTTTACAAGTTCAAATACCAGGTCCGAATACCTTGGGGTGCTTATGAGGTCGCTGACCTCGGACACTTGATAGATCTGTTTGCTGCTTTAGATATGGACGTTGACGGTTATTTCAACATTCTCTGCAGCAATGGCCGCCATTATTCGAGGAACCTGGTGGGGGCGACATACCTATTTGCACCGCACTGTCCTCCTGGACCACCGCGTTTCGTCGAGATACGAAACAGGTATTTCACAGTCCGCCTTCCCGCGGAGATGATGTGGGATGAGGCGGTGAAACTCAAGCAAAATGTCCAACCGCTGCTACGAGTTGCCGTACAGTTAATCCCGAGCCCACTGTCGCTCAGGTTCAAGCCATATCTAACCGACAAGTATGCTCCCGAGCATTCCAGACACATTATCGGCATGCGTCGCTATGCAGATGCATTAGGACACCTTGAGCGCTGGATTGCGGTTTGTCTACCAGACGGGCGCTCGCCAGACTTGTTTCAATTCATCTTGGATCATATAGCGGCATCCAACGCTCGGCTCCGGCGAGAGTATCACGAGGGAGAGGCGAGACGAGCGGCAGTAAAACTCGTGGAGGTGGTGACCTCGACGCCCAGGCAGAGATGATATGATATGTTTCTTGGTTGAGGCAGATCTTGACACTCGCCTGCTACCTCTGGCATTCACTCGACCATCTTATTCCAATACACTCTGATGGCAACAACGCTATCAACGTCGACAAAGGCATCCGCGACAGGAGATGGACGCAGCCATTGCTGGCTTTGAGTCCATTCTTCTCTCGATATCTTGGTTACGATCAGATTTGATTTCTCACTTGCATTTGATCAAGGTGGCTACCCGTGTACAGTTTTATGCATTTTGTTTTTTGCTACCAGGGTTGTTACTGCCCGTCATTAGCATGTTATTTTGTTTTCGGCATGGAGATTTCACTTGTTGTATCATATTTCGTTTGTGATACCAGGGCTTTTACTGCCCTTCATTAGCATGTTGTTTTGTTTTGGATTTGGAGATTTCAATTGTTATCACATTTTGTTTATTCGATACCATCGTATCCAAATCCCAATCATGGATACGACTCTGTTTGTAGATAGGACTTAATACAGCTCCTGAGTTTTGACCTAATATTTTTCTTCTTATCGATTGATATTTTTCCCCCTTTGGATATATTTTTCATATTTCTGCCAAATGCGTAGTATAAATTATCTAGGCACCAGCCTGGTCTCCACCAAAGGGCTCATGAGCAGACCATACCATGTTGGTGGCTAGAGGAGAAATAGTGCAGGCCGCAACGCCGCTAGGGGTCCTGTCACGACTCACGGCGTGCCAACAGTCTTGCATGGATCTGAGCATAGAGGCTGCCTTGAAACCTTCTTTATTCACCGATATCGCTGGATTCTGTTTCTCATCCTCTATGAATTACAATACATCCATCTTTACACTACTACACTCACCCCATACGGTGCCATATCACAATAGCAATGTCAGGTTGGGCGTCTCTCCCCCGTGAACTGACACGACAGATTGTGTATCTTGTCATTGAGTCAAGCCCCGAGCTTCTATGCGAATATGCCACTATTTCGCGCGACTGGCAGGAGTACGTGGAGGAAAAGACATTCTCCAAACTCAAGGTCCGGTCGACTCAGGTGCAAGATTTGCGTCGTATTGTGACTCCCAGGCGGCAGTCACATGTTTGCGACATGATCTTTGAGGTTATACTTCCAGAATACGATGCCAAGGCCGTTGCATATCTCAAAGAGACTATGGCGGCAAAAGCAGACAATAATCGGGCTTTCACGAATGCTATCTACGAGCTTTTCGACGAGCTCACCGACTGGAAAAGACCCGAGCAGCAACGGGGTGTATCTCTGGATCTCTGGGTAGACTGTCCCAGTGACAGAGCACCTTGTGAACTTGGCATCGTAAGGCGTCGGCGCCACCGCTTTAATACATCGCTGCTGGAGCTTTTGCCAGAGGACGGAGACCGCAGACTTGCTCGGCTAGAAATCATTACCGAATTTTCCTGCGGCCAATATAGTCAGAGAAGCTGCACCGTCGCACCCAAGGCGTGCTGCGACATGGCGGCCCAGATGCCGAACGTGCACAAGCTGGAATGGAACTTGTCGGACAACGACCGCCGCAGGAACCCCCGTCGTCGCGTCAAGGCGCGACAGGATTTGGCCGCTGGTTTGCAGACGATTCCCGACTCTGTTCGTCATTTCACCTTTAGCTACCATCGCGACGGTTCCGACTCCCACGACTGGATTCCCCCTCGGCTATATGATGGCGATGATCAGACGCCCGACCCGCTAAGTGTCGCTCTACGCCAGCTGTCGCAGCGCTTGGTAACGCTCCGCCTTGGCCCTGCCATTGTCAGTCCAGATGTTCTGTGGCCCTTGCCACTGTCATCATCGCCATCTACAGGCAGTCTGGAGCACGGTGATCATTTCCCGCACCTCGAAGTCGTGTATCTCCTGCCAGCCGAAGTCACTCCGGCCGGTGAATGGCTGCTTTCCGGAAGTCCTTCTGATGATGACCTCATAAGAATGGGCCGATATAGCGACGGTGATGATGATGATGATGACGACGACGATGATGTAGAGATCAGTTTCGAAAACGATCTCGGCTTCAGGACGCAATTCAATTCAAGTCTTGCCGAGCCCTACTTTCTTGCTGCAGCCACAGCAGCGCAACGCATGCCCAAGCTGAAGGAGCTGTGCCTTGAGTGGCAGTTGAGACCGGGAGTCGGGCTGGGGTACCTCATTGTGGAGGAAAAGAGTTCAAGCCCCAGAGCAATGTTGGCGACCTGGGGCTCCCCGCCGATTGAGCTTTCTCACGAGGCCAAGCAGGCGTGGCGTAAGGTGACGGAAAACCTACTTGGAAGCCCTGAGATGGACTTTTCCGCTCGTGATGATGATGGTAGAGATTTTCATGGGTGGTAACTGTTTGTTATAATGTTGAGATTTGCAAAGTTCTACTAGGTCGAGAAATGAACTCCATTTGTGTATGTATATAATACAGATGCAATTGATTACTCACAGCGTACCCATGCTTCCAGGAATTCATGAGTGCGCTCACAATTCTTTGACATTACGCGATGAGTGTGCGCCTTTTCCCAAAGCCAGAGTGATCACATTGCTAGCCGTGGCGACGCACCAAGCACTGGCGAGAGAAAGACAACTTCAAACTACTGACCCAAATATGACCACTTACCTTACTCCCTTGTCTGCATAATCTCTTGAGCTCTTTTCCAAAAGTGCTGTAATCTTGAAATAGAGCGACCTCTCCATTGTTTTGCAATTATGGTGCTGCCACTCTGGCGCTGTCTGGTTAATGTCGGCCCCGAAAGCAAGTAAAAGCTGAACTATTTCCTCGTTGTCGTACACCAAAGCCAACTGAATGACTCTTCCACAAACTATAAGGGGAATTTCACCGCCCGTGTGAAAAGGCCTGAAAGCATTATCATGAAATCCCACATTGGGATCAGCGCCAGCATGGAGAAGCGTCCTGACCAAATGCACATCTTTCAGTTTCACAGCCCTCACGAGTGGTGGGAGGAACTCTTCCGGCTCTGTAACGTTGACGCCATTCCCGGTCGAGTAGCAAGCGTCATAGTGGCTGGGCGGAGCGGGCCGGTCAGAGTCTGCAAAGTCACAGCTGGCACCACCGTCAAGCAGGATGCGTACCATGACCTGGTCACGCCTCTCGACGGCTAGTCCTAATGCTTTTGTGACGTCGACCCGATCCGCCACTTTCACGAGAGTTTGAATAATATCACGGTCTCCTTTGATCACTGCATGAAGCAAGGACCCCTCTGAAGTCTGAACTAATCTGTCCCATGAGTCCGGCGGGCAGAACCTTTTGGTATCCCAGCTCTCCACAAGAAGGCAGGACCATATGGACTTGTCCATTTTGAGTAGTGGAGCCGGGTCTGATTCTACCTTTTCCACTTTTCTGGGTAAATGCTGATATATGTTCTGGCTGGAATATACGTTGATTCTACTTGGCTTAAACGGTGGTTCCACCTGCCGACGCAGAAGTCTTTGCCAGTCGATACCGTGGAAGAATGCGTGGTCCTTCACTTCTGATGCTCCATTTGCTCCCAAACGCAGCTCAGGTGTGCAATCCAAAAGTCTGAGGAGAAAGTTACTGGCACTTGTGTCGGATATATCAGGAAGTTGAATCAACCCAGACGAGATGTTGGAATGTATTTCTCTAACACTTTGTGCATAAAATGGGGGCATTCCGGTCAGCATCTCATACAAGAAGGCCCCCAGTGTCCACCAATCGGCTGACTTCGCATGAGCTTGGCCGGAAAGGAGTTCAGGTGCTGGGATTTCTAAGGCCGCAGCAGCGCCGCGAAGCTCGTTCTGTGTTGCTGGTCGATGAAGAGAGAAATCGGCCACTATTATATGACCCAGTGAATCTAAAAGGATATTCGTGGGGCAGAGTTCTTGGCAGACAATATCTCTCTCGTGTAGATACTCTAGTGCGCTAACAATTTCGGCAGCATAGAATCTGGCTCTGGCAGTGTCGAAACGGCGCGCCCTCTGCAGGTGGTAGAACAAGTGTCCGCCGCTGGCAAACGGTGAAAAAGCAAGATGGCGCTCTTCAGGCTCCTGAAAGGCAAGGTGCAGAGGAGCGATGAAACTGCAGTCAATATCGAAGCGAAGACCTTGCGGCGACAGGCTGGACCAGGAGTCCACGCGAGACTTATACTCCGTCCTGGCCGCGTATAAACATCCCGTGCGCGTATTCCGAGCTGATCTGACACCTCCTCCAACGATCGTCGTGAGATGGATATCGGCAATCGCTGAAGGGGCAAGAGACTTTTTGTACTCGAGTCCTACCGCAAGCTTTCCGGTACCTCCAGCGAGGTGTAGCCATTTGACGACGGGCTTTGCCGCCGCTGATGGTAGGCTCACTTTTCCTGACCCAAGACATAGACCTGGTCCAGAATCTCCTGAAACTGGTAGATATATACGTATCGTCAAGTCGGCCGCCCGGGAAACATCCAACTTGTTGGGAATCAATGGCCAAGTAAAGTCCAGAAATGAGGACGTAAAGGTTTCAATCTCCACTTGCAACTTGTTGAGTTCAAGGACAGCGTAGAGTCGACATTTAGAAGGGTCGCCTCTCCCACCAGAACTATTCACGGTTTCGGCCTGTTCTAGAGCTGCGATTTGATTGTTGTCCAACCGGCTCATATGTTCATCCAGCACAGAGAGGCCAATGGTCTTGCGAAGTGTCGCAGTCAGGGTTCCAGGTGTGAATGCACCTGACGTTTGCGCAGAGTCTCTGATATCGCCATCTGCTACCTTGTAGAGATTCTCTTGCTCGAGATTGACCCAGCTTTCAGTCAGTGGTTCGATTTCTTTAATCCCTACAATGAGCGATTAGCCAGACTCGGAGGTATCGATCTGTACGACTAACAGATCTGTCTGGAGACCTACTTTTGACCACTTTCCAACCGGTCATTTCGTGTGTTCTTGTAGCAGGCCGTGTTAGTTCTAGATGTCGGGAATAAGTGCTGCAACAAGCATGACTGGCATCGAAAATGATATGGAGGATACGATGGTGGAGATGAATGGGGTCAACGACAAACCGGCAAGGATTACCCGCTCCGCTGGAGTCAAAGCTGCGCGCGCAATCGTTATCGAAGCAGCAGGGCGCATGGTCATGTCATTGATTGTTCTGGTCGCCCAAATATGTATAGGTGCGCTCAAGTCTGCAGCCCAGGTACTCTGTACAGAATCTCCGAAATGTCCGTCTCCACACCATACAAGACGGATAATTCGTGGCCTTGAAGATAGGTACTATGTAATAGCGTCCACAATTGACCACGATGATAAAAAGAATAGATATATTCGCTTGTTCAATTTCCAAAAATATCCCACATCTTAGGTAGGGTGAATCCTTTGCGCGCTGGCAGTAGACTCCGATGTGCCGACACATCGGCCGATGGGCATTTCCACCTCCGACTTGGAGTAGTATACTAGTCTCTCTTGAAATACATGTATAAGAGCCTAGAGCCACGCATGTCATCATGTCCTTGTTCATATATCCAGGTGTATCCAGCAAACACTCCATTAAAGAGTTTCAACCTTTTTCACAAATTGAAAATGCCCAGGACCGTAATCGAAAATGCCTCGATATTCGATGGCCAGGATATTACTGGGCCAAGAACCATCATCATCGATGGATCACAAATCAGTCACGATTCAACGGCCGCAAAGGAAGATACGGTGGTTGATGGTACCGGCTGCACGCTCATGCCCGGTCTGATTGACTGCCATGTGCATGTCGACAGTCCAAGCCAGCTCGCCTCGTTCGCTGGGCACGGCATCACGACAGTGTGCGACATGGCCTGCTTTCCAATGGAAAAGTACGAAAAGCTCCGCTCAGCGGACGGCCCTACCACGTGGCTCGGCGCCGGTCTACCGGCCTTTGCCCAAGAGTCCACGCACGGAAAGCTCCTCAAATTCGCGGGAGTCGGGATGGATCAGGCTGTGCACAGCCCGGAAGACGCAGTACGGTTCGTGGCGGACAGAGTTCAGGATGACGTCAACTATATCAAGATCATTGCGGACCTACCCGGTATCGAGCAGGAGTGCTTGGACAAGATCCAGGAGGAGGCGCGAGGTCAGGGCAAAATGACAGTTGCGCATACGGCGCAATATGCAGCCTTCTCCCGGGGCTTGCACGCAGGCTTTGACATTTTGACGCATTTGCCGACGGATAAGCCGCTCGACAAGCCCATGGTGGACCAGATGCTCAGCCAGGGGACGGTAGCGGTGCCGACCCTCACCATGTCGGAGAACATGACGAGCAGTTGGACCATGCGACTCATCAGAGGCAAGATGGAATTTCAACACGCTCTGGACAGCGTGGCGGCCATGCACCTGGCGGGCGTGCCAATTCTCGCGGGTACCGATGCTAATAATACCCCCATATTGGCCGTGCCAGCGGGCACTTCTCTACATCACGAACTTGAGCTTTTGGTCAAAGCCGGGCTTAGCCCGATCGAAGCCCTTCGTGCCGCGACTTCGAGTGCGGCAAAACATTTTCACCTCAATGACCGGGGTATGATTCGGCCGGGATTGCGGGCGGATTTGTTATTAGTAGAGGGGAATCCGGCCGAGGATATCATCGCGACTCAGAAGATCCAAAGAGTATGGTCTGCTGGCAAGGAGGTCTGTTTAGCCACCGAGAATGCGAGTTGTATCGTCATGTAATACAGAAGCAAGTGCCAAAGGACTTGTATTGACGCCCCCGAGGACTATATACTCCAGCACGTGACCAAACCTTTACAAGTACCTCCTACCTGCTATTAATACAGCTGAAAGGTACAGTACCGCGATGGCTGGTACTGGCAGAAAACAATATCTTGTACGTCATAGTAGGAGCGTGCTATTCGGGCAGAATAAAGAGCTGGCATTTACGGGATCACGGGCTGACCCAAGCGTCTGGTGAGGAGGACTGTGCATTTTTGGCATTGAGGGAAAGACGGGCTGAATCGTGCTTGATACTGGCACGAGCCAACGCTTGTTTTACCTCTGATCTGCAGCAGGGGGGGAGGGTAGATAGTGTTGTGGAACTGTTAGGACCCTGATTATACACATCACTATATTTTGTGCAATCCAAAGGGGAATATTTATCCAATTGGTAAGCACTATTAAATCTAACCAGATAGGAATACGAGTCGAGATCGTGATTTTGAAATGATGGCTTCATCGTCGTCCCAACAAGGTCTCCCTCCCCATCGCTAATTCCGAATACTACGTCGCTGGACAAGAACTACAAGCCGTCCCCCAGGCTACTGAGGCATAGGGCCAAAGAAGAATTGCGCTTGCGGTTGTTTATGGGTTCCGAAATTTGAATAAGAGAAAAAAAAAAGCTGGAAAAAGGGGGATACTCTGGTTGGCCCCCACACTGCCTGTAACCTCGCGAGCTTCGAGAGAGACGGTCTGCGGCGCCGCGCCACAGAAGGACGACCGGACGCGTCGGCTACGGACCCAAGATATGCGTGTCGCGGGCAGGGATGAATTTTCCGCAATTTGCTATCAAGTGAGCCCATGATGAGGCCATTTTTATATGGGAAACACTTCAAAAAGTCCTGTGGTGAGTGGATCATGTATACGATGGCTTGCAACGGTGTCGTCGTCGTCTTTGTTGTTCTTTGTTGTTCTTTGTTGTTTGCAATATGGGGGGGTGGCACGGCAGATGTCAGAACTGCTGTTTTGAGACGACACACAAAGTTTTGGTTGTGCCATGCGCTCACTTTTACTTGTGGCACTAGCAGAAAAGCTAGGCTCAAAGGAATGCTTTAAATCATGAGACTGATCAAACTTGATCTATGACAGGAGACATAATCAAGTCAATTCATTGGTGGGTGCGGGAACTTCTGTGTGCCCTTTAGCTTTTACAGTCATCTCTGCTTAATGAGCACGAGGCAACATGTACACTGATGCCGGCGTGGTCCCCGTCCATGCCGTCGTGATCATGAACCCTTATCTTAATAAGTTTGATCCGCAATACGTACATTAAAGATCTGAGGTCAGATTCTTGCAGGGTAGCGCCAGGGGTTCATGGACAGCGCGCGCCACACGAGCTGCCAAACATGCATAGGAGCTTGAGTATGTAAGATGATTGTGAGATGGAGTAAATGACCATGTCTGAGTTTTCTGGTACACGAGTGGATCTTGGGCTTTTTCATTCTTGACTCAGGCACAATAAACGTAGAACCGCAGTTCCAGCAGCTTGGTAACATGGAATGCTGTAACTAGGCCGTGGCTATATGGACACGGACTTTTTGGAACTCGGCATTCGTATCACCGCGTCTTGCCATCTCCCGGGCAACACAAGATCAGGTTGTCTTTGATACCGATATCAAGGATGAGCACTGAAGGACGGCTGTCAAGTCCATGATGTTGTTTCGAGCTTTTCTTGTGCTCATGACGTACATGAATGAAATATTGCCAATAACTACACCTTCTTTCATCTACCTTGGGACGGCCTTGAAACATGAGCAGCAATGTAATGCATCCATCCTGACTTCTCCAATGCCAAATTGATAGTGCAACCCACTGCCGGGCCGCGTGGTAAGAAGAGCTACGCAGAGACTCTGCCGATTGGTTCGGGTTTCGGTTTACCCTGGAAAAGCCCAGATACGCGCGCAAGGGAAAGCTGCATTCAATTTCCAGTGTTGGACGGGATCTCGCTACTGGGCAAGGCAAGGGGTGCAATTTATTCATCATCCAAGTATGCAAGTCAGTCAGTCCATTACGAGCACTCTACCTGATTTGGAGTTGCGAGACTGACACCTTGTTACTACTACTATCGATATTCGTGCGTTGCTGCCGGGCAGCTCGTCACAGTAACACCAGCAAAGTATCTAATGTACTGTAAAGGAAAAAAGTCATGTTACTAGCCTTGAAGCCGCCCGTTATTGAGGCGGGGAAATCCTGACTTGCATATGCCCCTCTGCGTTAGCACTAGTCGTGTAGATCCAACTTGAAGCTATGGCTGGAGCTGAGAGAGCCCTCGATGAGCTAGACAGACTCTAAGCTACATCAAGGTGCTGTGTAGAGAGGATATCAAGTCGGGCTTTTTTTTTTTTTTTTTCCTGCACGACTTGGTTTTCTGCCATTTACCCCTGGTTCCTGACTCCGCCCAATCCAATCCAAATATCCTCGGCTGTTCCTGGCTTACGGGCTGTTAATGGAAAGCTCGAACGATTCTATCGAAACGGTCATATTAAAGGATAGTTGTATGCATGGCATCGGAAGCAACGGAGTATTGAATATCTTGGCAGTGGTCCAAAGAACTCTCGTGCAGGACGTGAGGGGCCCTTTGTGCACCTTGGTATCTAGGCGCAGTCCATCCAAGTCTGTATCTTCCCATGATATCCAACAAGTAGTACTGGAGATTGTTGCTGTGTGGTAAGTAAGCACAGAGGTCATGTAGGTTGTATTCAAAGAGACGGTCCGTGTTCCATACTAATAAATTCGCCTCCTCCTTTTCTGGATCATGTGGTCTGCGCCTAACCCCTCGATCCCCTGCAGAAGTTCCAAAACTGCATTAGCGCTAAACACCCTGATCCTATTTGCCGTTACCTGGCCGCTAGACAGGTTTCTCAGCAGTGGACGTATCAGGATTCAGGACATTCACCATGGCCCATCCGTACCTAGCTTACCGTAGACACCTTCAGGTAGCAGAAACATCAGATGTCGACAGTTGGACGACATAATAATGGTGTATATCTACGAGATAGATATCTATGGTATGGATGACATGGCAGAATGCATGGATAAGATCGACGATTGCAACTTGTGCCATGGAGCTGAATGCCTCCTCATCGCATGCGACCCCCCTTGTTCAATATTGGGGCTCTCCGTTGCCCGAGATGGTGCCGTTGCGAATCACTCTTAAAATCCATACACCTACTACCTACGTACCTCACACACTCACAAACAGTACGTCTGTTCAGGCATATAATATACTCGATATAACTGTCGGGTGTTTCAAAACGTTGACAAAGCCGCATGTGCAGTCACTTGCATTTCGCATTTCTTGCCGTGCGGGCTGGCTGCGCAATGATACTGGCGCATAACGTAGAGTCTGTCATGTTCCTTGCGTGCCTTTTTCTAGAACATGATCGTTTCAGACAGCGACAGAAGATGGCGAGACAGTTGCGATCTTGCTTTGACTGTTGTCCTCCATTGCCCTCATAAACATTTCGTGTCTTTCCCCCTGGTCGGTTCCTCCCTTGGCAAGGTGGCCTTCCCATGTCCGGGGGTGAGGTTGATACATATTATCAGCGGCAACCAGCAGGTCAAGGTCAATCAAGGCATGGTCCACCGTTCAAGCCGTTTAAACCATGCCGAACCCCCACTACAAAGAGGTATGCGCTGCTCCCCAACCCAAGCTCCCCTGCGGCCTGCCTGCAGAGGGAAGAGCCAGGACTGGAGCACAGTGAGGGAAAAGAAAAAAGAAAGAGAGGCCGCGCGCGATAGGGAAAATCAGTCCGTCACTGCCAGGGGTTGGATAAGCAGTGGCCCCTCCTGATCGGCGTACCTGGACGATCGCATTTGCTCGAAAGGTGCTGCTCTTTTTGCCACCCACCCAACAGAGGATAGGACATGGCTGGGGAAGAGGAAAGAAAAAATTTTGTCACGACAGGCAGCTCGTGAAAAATGAGTAGATACGGATTGAGCAAATGACAAAGAGAAAACAAATGAAAGTAGAAAAAAAAAAAGTACACATTTTGCACGCTAAAAATCCCAGTAACGTCGATTGCAACTCGAGCTTGGTGTTGAGAGTAACGAGCTATTCATCACCAAGATACCCACCGAGACCTTTGCGGATTGCACTACGGTAGGGAAACCTTACCTAGCTTTGCGCCGCCGCCCGTCAGTTCAGTTCAGTGTGGGTGATTGATGTTACTCTCTTACCCCACCTGCATTGCATACTACCTCCCTACCTGGCCTACTACCACTACCTGCTGTACCTACATTATTACGCTTGTACCTTGCCTAGTCGTGGTGATTAGTTACCTCCTACCACCTTATTTACTCACCTACAGCGCGGGTGTGAAGGGACAAGACAGGCAGGGAAAACCCCCCGGTTTCCATCACCTACCTCTTCTTATTTTGTATTGCGCGTTGCTTCACCCTTTTTCCTCTTTCCCCCCCAGCCCAGACAGACCAGACCGCCTGCCTCTCTTCCACCCCCCGTTCACTCCGCCTCTCCTTATTATTTTGTACGTTGATTGAACTTTTTGGCACAGGCCTGTCTGCTGTCCTTGATCCCATCGCTCCATCCAAGATCCATTCCAGGGTTCCTCTCCGCCCGCCCACGCTCATTCAACCACACACAAGTCATCCATCCATCAAGCCAAACCCCGTTTTCGAGCGACCGTGCAATCCAATCAATCAAGCAAATCCATTCAAGTCAAATCTATCTTTCAACAAGCTATCCATCCATCTGTCGATTTATCCATCCGTCCCACCTTTTCCTGTATCCGCGACCCTCAATTCGCAATACACCAATCCTCCAAGCGTCGTTGCTCTCTTTCGTCGACCCTCAGTACCTCCTGTACCTACCTACCTTACCGGCCACCCCTCTTTCGTCCTACCTACCCGCCATACACTTGGACTACTGTCTGCACAAGCCGACTATCGCTCCAGCTCTGGTCTTCCACCTACGCGCGCTCTCATCGCAGCCTTTCGCAGCATTCCATTGGGAGAATAGCTGGTTTTTTTCCCTCCCCCGTCAACCACAAGGCAGGTCTTGGGCACAATCAGAATCGCCTGTCTGGTGCAACATTCCACCTGCAGCTAACTGTCTCGTCTCGAGCGGCTTTGCGCGTGACACCTAAACAAGCACCCGTCTTGGATCCATCCGTCCTATGTTGTCAAACAATATCGTGGGTGTTGCTCATACTTCAGAGGTCTGCTAGCTTGCAAGCGATCCTCGCCAATCTCGTGTAGATTGTTCTGTCGCCCAGGCTCCGCGCCTCGTTTTCTAATAGCCGACCCGTCCTCGGTACCAATCCACCGGCCGGGCACAACTTCAGCAAGTCGCGGGCTTGAATCTGGTTGGTCCCACAATCCGACCAGGGAACAGAATCACTGAACCTGGAAGTGAGCTCTCCAGCCTTTCTTCGTTGCCTGTGAACGGCGCTTCGTGGTCACCTTTTGCCAATAGAGCATTGATCGACGCCAGACAACCAAGGGCTTCCTTAACAATATTTGTGGCGCTCCCTGGTTGTGGCAGTCTGCATCAAACTACATCCAGCACCGACTGCTCCACGATTATACGGACCCAAAAGCGGCCGACGGCACACGAAACGGACGTCGTGCGCAAGCCTAACAAATCCCCCAAGTTCATAGCCCCACGGGCAAGATATGTCCGTCATGTTGTCAACACCATCGCGAGCCTCGACGGCATCCTCGTCATCTTACCAACCCATTTCACGTCAGAACACCATGTCGTCCTACGATGGCACGCGGTCAGCCCGCCAGTCCAAGCGGTACTCCATGTCCGCACTATACATGTCCATGTCGGCAAACGAGACAGATCTCGAGATAGAGGATGAGCTGGCAAAAGGTAGTTGAAACTAGTCGAGTTGGAAAACACACCCCGTGCTGATATTGTGATCCTATAGCTCAAAAGACGCTACGCGATTTGAAATCCAAAATCTCGTCCCAGTCCAAGAAGAATTTCGTCCTCGAAAAAGACGTACGCTACCTCGACTCACGAATCGCTCTTTTGATTCAAAACCGAATGGCCCTGGAGGAACAAAATGAGGTGGCAAGCCATTTGGAGGACGCCACCGAGCTACAGGAGGGTGCTTTTCCAAACGACGACAAGACTCAGAAATACGGAAACCTGATGTTCTTGCTGCAGTCCGAGCCCAGGCACATTGCGCATTTGTGCCGACTCGTCTCCATGTCCGAGATTGATTCGCTGCTGCAAACCGTCATGTTCACCATCTATGGAAACCAGTACGAGAGTCGCGAGGAGCATCTTTTGTTGACCATGTTTCAGTCTGTCTTGACATACCAATTTGACTCTACGCCCGAATACTCGTCGCTACTGCGAGCCAACACACCGGTATCGCGAATGATGACAACTTATACCCGAAGAGGTCCCGGACAGAGCTTTCTCCGGTCGGTTTTGGCCGATAGAATCAACAGCCTGATTGAACTAAAGGATCTCGACCTGGAAATCAACCCTCTCAAAGTCTACGAACGCATGTGCGAGCAAATCGAGGAGGATACCGGCAGCTTGCCTCCGTCCTTGCCTAGAGGTATCACGGCGGAACAGGCGGCCGAGAACTCACAGGTCCAGGCCATCATCGAGCCAAGGTTAACCATGCTTACCGAGATCGCCAGTGGTTTCTTGAACACGATCATCGAGGGGCTGGACGAGGCTCCGTACGGTATTCGGTGGATCTGCAAGCAGATTCGAAGTCTCACCAAGAGAAAGTATCCCGACGCCAATGATCAGGTCATTTGTACATTGATTGGTGGATTCTTTTTCCTTCGCTTCATCAATCCGGCCATTGTGACGCCAAAGTCATACATGCTCATTGATGGGGTCCCGGCCGAGAAACCGCGGAGAACATTGACACTCATTGCAAAGATGCTACAGAATCTTGCAAACAAGCCATCATATGCCAAGGAGCCATACATGGCAAAACTGCAACCATTCATCCAGCTGAACAAGGACCGGGTCAACAAATTCATGCTGGATCTTTGCGAGGTGCAAGACTTTTACGAAAGCCTGGAGATGGATAGCTACGTCGCCTTGTCCAAAAAGGATCTCGAATTGTCCATCACCTTGAACGAAGTCTACGCCATGCACGGATTAATTGAGAAGCACACCGGGGAACTCTGTAAGGACGAGAACTCGCATCTATCTCAAATCATGTCTGAGCTTGGCAAGGCGCCGCCCCAAGTGCCACGCAAGGAAAACCGAGCAATCAACCTGCCGCTCTTCAGTCGTTGGGAAACAGCCATTGACAATCTGACGGCTGCTCTTGATATCACCCAAGAGGAGATTTTCTTTATGGAAGCCAAGTCCATTTTCGTCCAAGTCATGCGATCAATACCTGCCAATAGCTCAGTTGCTCGGCGGCCACTGCGGCTTGAGAGGATCGCCGATGCATCTGCCACGTCAAAGAACGATGCCGTCATGGTGAGAAAGGGCATCAGGGCCATGGAGCTGCTCAGCCAGCTGCAGGAAATGAAGGTCATTGACAAGTCGGACGGCTTTAGCCTTTTGCGAGATGAGGTTGAGCAAGAGTTGCAACACCTCGGCTCTCTGAAGGATGGAGTCATTCTCGAAACATCCAAGCTGGAGGAAGTCTACAAGACGATTCGCGACCATAACTCTTATCTTGTTGGACAGCTTGAGACGTACAAAAGTTACTTGCACAATGTTCGTAGCCAGTCTGAGGGAACTCGACGCAAACAACAAAAGCAACAAGTGCTTGGTCCGTACAAATTTACCCACCAGCAGCTGGAGAAGGAGGGTGTCATCCAGAAGAGCAATGTTCCGGACAATAGGAGAGCCAACATCTACTTCAATTTCACCAGTCCGCTACCAGGAACATTTGTCATTTCACTACACTACAAGGGTAAGTGGGAAAACTCAAAGCAGATTCAAGCTTTTCATCTAACTTCAATTCAGGTCGGAACCGTGGTCTGCTCGAGCTGGACCTCAAACTGGACGATCTGCTCGAGATGCAGAAGGATGGACAAGATGATTTGGATCTCGAATACGTCCAGTTCAACGTACCAAAAGTGCTGACCCTCCTCAACAAGCGCTTCGCACGGAAAAAGGGATGGTAGATGCCATCGTTTGCGGGATTTCCGACTAGACATTATACGCCTGTACAACCACCCAAAGACCTGCGATATCTATGCTTTCATGCAGCATGGCGTTTTGGACTCTTCGTTTCACGTTTGATACCACTTTTCATTCCATCCACGTCTCGCGCCTGGTCTTGTGTCGACAAGCAGTCTTGCAACGGGCTTGGACATTTGCACTTGGGCACGTTTCCGCATGTATTTTTTTTTTTGCCAGGCCCAGGACAACTTGAGCCTTTACACGCCATCGAACGATGCGTGACCCATGCCATTGATTACAACCGACCGAAAAGAGCCGGTAGCTCTGTTTTTTGTCATTTCTTCGTTGCGACGATATATAACATAATAGAGACTATGGTAGCACACGTTCAATCGACACGGCGGACGGGCAGCCTCGGGCGTAGGAACGGCCGCATGCTATTGTTGATAAGTACACTTCCATCATTCTTGTATCAAGGTGGTCAGAGGCTTGGGAAGCGAATGAGGATAATATTTCGGCTGGTCCGGCTGTTTCTTGCATTTCAAGTCTGTCAACTTGCTTTTGGTCATTTTCTTTTGAGCTTTTTCGAAGAGGGCGGCGAAATTAGTGTACGTGTGTTGACTGGAACGATATGACATAATGCACAGGAACTCGAGGGGAGTTTAGCTTAGGGTAACGGATCTGGCACGAAAGGAGGGTGATGTATGATATACCGTTCTCGGTTTTTTCTTGAACACGCGAATAGACGAGCCCCATGAATACCACATCTTACTCGAGCAACATGATACTAAAGCCTGGTGTCTGCCACACACGAGCAACAAGGTGTCTAGTTGGGCCAAGGAAGAACAGTCATACAAGGATAACGATGAATGATAGATGGCCCTGAGTATGGAATAAGATGAGCTGTCTAGAAGCCTGAGGGGTGTTCTTGGCAATACTATCGCACACCCTCTTTTTGTCTTTTTATGTATTGACAAGTCTAAAGTCTGTGCACGGGCGTCGTTGGGGTTTCGCGGGGCACTCCCGTCTGGCTGCAATGGCACACTCTTGGCATGATCGGCAAAGGGAGAAGAGTTGACCGACGAGATGGACCTGTTTGGAGAAACACATTGAAGTACTTGCTCAATTGTCAGGTGCCTTGACCGTTCTGTTGGTGGTTTTGGTCATGAATCAGGGGACCGAATTGGGTGAGATCAATGTATACCTACAAACGGCATATACTTGCTTGAGCGACGTGGGGCGCGTGGACAGACATGGCTCTGCCAAATATTGACCAGGAAGCAATCATACATTAGAGTGAGCCTTTATACATTTAACTAGACGATTATACCTTGAAGTAGTCGTTTGGACATTTAATTAAGCATCACCAATGATATTTCATGCTGAGGAGTGGTGTGCACTTTTTGGGCAGTTAAAAGTAGAAGTCAAGGTTATAATGGGTGTCCGTCGTCATAGTGCCCGTCATAGACCCGTCACATGTGTCAATTGATGACCAGGTAAAAGTGTATATTGTTTCTTGGGAGACTATGCTCCCGTCACTGATTGGCATGATTGATAACGTCTAACGTCTTTTGAACCAGTCAAAGTGTATTTTCCTCTGCACAGATGATCATGGTGATGATGATGGTGGTCATATGTTTATAAATTTGTGTATGCTTTTTGCACACACCAGGCTATGGACTTTTTTTTTATACAGTGGTAGTACGACAATGATTCCCCGTCGTCGAATAAACCTCGAGAGAATTCCGCATCAAGTAATACCTTTGAACCTTTCAATCAAACTTGCCAAGACTCAAGTCATGTTTATGACTTGATCGTCGAGCCTAAAACTACGCCGTCGCGGTCGCAAGTATGCATCCGCTATTTTCAGATATGTGCAGAAGAGGCGATCATCAAGCCACAGGGCTTGTTCTGGTGGTTGTATTGCGGGGGAACGGACATGAGCTCCGGCACGGCTCTCGAAATGACTCCCCATGGGTGCGTGCTGTGCATACTCTCCGACTCCCAGATCCCGTTTCGTGGACCTGTCGCTGAGTTACTTGCCTACCTACCGAGTCATCCACCCAAACAGTACTGTAGCCATTCACGAACCAACCACACACAACCAGGAAACAGGTCCGGTGGCTTTTACGTCACCAGCGACCAGAATAATAATCCTCCCGCCATTCTGAGACCCTCGTTCCCGTTCTGACATGGGCAAGGTGAGGAGCCAATGTGTATGGCTTTGACAAGTGCCCACTATGCCAGAGACAGGGCCCAAGAGGGCTTGGAGGCCACTTGCTCCTGCTCCGACCGCTAGTGGTGGACAATCTTCTGAGATAGCTGGACCGTCGCGTCGAAGCAACTTGGTCAAGAATGCTTGCCGGAATTGCCAGGCCAAGAAGACAAAGGTATGTTGTTGACAGAGGAGAGGTTGCGACAAGCATACTCTATGAGAAAGAAGAAAAAAGCCTTCGGTCCCTGACGTCTCGACCCCCTCCTTGATCCAGTGTGATGGCAAACGCCCAAAATGTTCACGATGCGACCGAAGAAAGTTGGAGTGTGTCTTTGATACGCGCTTCGAAGGTATGACCAAACAGCAGAGTGCCGAATTCGAGATTGCGCGACTCCAAGCCATCATCACAGACCTTGAGGAAAAGTTGCGTGTTCTCAGACATGGTACCTACGACGAAGCACAATCCATGCTCGCCTTGATGAGGCGAGATGTGCAAAATCATGATAATGACCATTCGGGCGCCCGAGTGCACGATCCACTTCAGGAGGTAGTTCCTTCCGCCTCCTGGTACGTCCAACTCTTTCCCTTTTGTCAACTCTCGAACCATTTCATGTCTCCCGTCTTTTTTTTTTTCTTCACATTCAATGAGTCGGTGGCCACATTTTCTGCCAGCTCCGAGTTAATCCAGCCAGGCCACAGGCCATCGCCAGAGATAAGCGACACTGACAAAGAACACGATTTCCCTCCCCTTCTCTTCAACCGACGCGACTGGACACGAGAACCGACGACCCTAAACAATGATGACAATGCCAACTCGGAGCACCCGGCGGCGCAAAAGAAGCCACCCGAGCTTCTCGACCACTCTGTCGGCAATTCTCACCCCAATACAGAAAACGATTTGACTCCTAGACATTCCAACAATTTCAAAAACTTGCCCTTCTCGAGTGCTATTCTTGCAAATCACCACCCTCCTCAGATTCAGCAGCAGCAACACGCAAACATGTTCCAGTCCCTATGGTCCATCTTGCCCTTGACTACTTTACCTGGACCTTCATCAGTCAAGACCTCCATCTCGTCCACACTGCTACAAGCACAATTGCTTATTAAGGCTGGCGAGCCCATAGACTCAGTCGCCGGAAAGAGCTGCAATATTGCCGCCATTTTCAACCAGGAACAATACAGCCACTCGAGGCTACTGTCCAAGTGGGCAGCACGTCTCGTCTTTAGTATCCAACGCAAAAAGCATACCTTTGCTGCGTTTGCATCCATGCACCTCGCTTGGACACTGGCTCGGTGGATGATTGATCCCAGGCTGGAAAGCTTCTTGGCTATTCCAGAGTGGTTTCGTCCCACGATGGCTCAGTTGTACATGCCGCATGTGGAACTTGTCGACTTTCTCTTTTGGCCCTTACTGAGAGAGACGATCACTAGTCACCCAGATACCCTCCAGAGAGACTGGAGATGGCTCGAGGACATGAGCCGGACAGTCGAGTGTGACTGGTTCATTAGCGTCGACCTCGCGCTTGATAATGACCCCTTGACTGGTGAAGTTTACTTGACAGAGTCGGCCAAGGTACGTCTTGATATTTCATCCTTACATTTCCATTCTTGTGTCGAGGTCACAAAGGCTTGTGCTAACTATCACTCCCAGACATGCGCCGAAGAGCTCGACAACTGGTCGGTAGGATCCTCTGCCCAGCGATATATTGATGCAACCTCGATCGTCAAGGTTAGGCCAAACTACGAGTAGTCCTTCACTCAAGCCTTGCCGGGAATAATTCAAAAGAACCTCAACATTCTCCCATTCATGTCTTGAGAGGAGATTGCCTTGTCATCAAGACCAAACCACACGATCGAGGATAGAATACACAACTGCATTCATCAGTAATGACGGTCTAAAGTCATCCGGAAGGCTGCTGGGTCAGCCTTGCACAGACCATCTCATGTAGTTGGTTCGACGAAAACAAGTACGACAGGCAAAACCCGCACCGCACCCAGGAATGCCTATTTGGGTCATCTAATCGTGCTACCGTTATGCGAACAGGCTCGAGTTCTTTTCGAAGCGCCTGACCGCGGCAGCTTACCTTGCTTTCACTTGGCGTGCATAAATGTCATTTTATTCGAGTTCTTCATAGGCCAAAAACAATCTCTGCTTACTTTCACGCCACCTTGGGGAGATCACTTGGCTGACAATGACTACTCGGATCTCGTATGACCCTGCCGAACGCGCGATGTAACAGCACCTCAAGGTCGGAACTGCCCGCAACGCAGAGAAGCTTGAAGGAATGACTTCTAGAAATTCATTGATGAAGGCTGCAGCTATCGGATACTTTCCAATACTCGGTGTTTTCAGTCATCCACCCCCTGCGCTGGGTGAGATTCATCCTGGTAGAGTAGACATCGTTTGTGCCGGTTACATGCGCCTAGAAGCGCGTTGATCGTCGATCTTTTCACCTTCGCGGAAGCTGGCAAGACTCTCCAACGCCATTCGGCACCGCAAACTGGGCCGCCGAGAGCGAGGCTACCGCGTGATTCGCAGCTTGGTATTCTTGGCGAAGTAGATAAAAAGCATGTCCAAATGTTACTCACGAGGCCGGCATCAAACCTGCTTGTAAGCATGTGCGGGGGGATCAGTCGTTGCCTATTTATGACCTCCAAACCGCCTTTGCCTACTGGTCGGCGCGATCTGCATAACATTCCTGCCGCTTTTCTTTACTTTCGTTTACTCTCTTGTCTTGCCCGTTTTTGCCCGATCACCGCAAGAACTGAAAATGGCAGCAAACACGCAAGAGGAGATTCAACCCAAGACGGAAGATTCGAAAGGATACGCTCCTGACCATGAGAAGGCCATATTCCAAGAGCCTGTCGGCGAAAAGATCCCCGGGGCTGTCAATGATGCCCCAATCTCCGACTCGACTGAAATCCTAAGAGGTCCCAACGGTGAAGAGTATCCGACGCAAGATGAGCTCAACAAATTGAGGCGTGTCAAGGGCCCTATCAACTGGATTATATACACGATAGCCTTTTGTGAGCTCTGCGAGCGATTCGCATACTATGGCACAACGGCCGTATTTCAGAACTTCATTGGCCAAGAGATGCCTCCCGGCTCCACGACAGGAGCTTCTGGTCTTCAGGGCCAGGCCGGTGCTCTTGGTCTAGGGCAGCGAGTTGCAACCGCTCTGACGCTCTTCAACAGCTTTTGGTCTTATGTCATGCCTCTACTTGGCGGTTATCTGGCTGATACATACTGGGGGAAATTCAAGACTATCAATGTTGCCATGTATGTTTCTGTGGCTTTTTCATTTTCATTTACGTTCTGACTCTAATGCAGTGGGGTTGCCACATTTGGTCACATTTTGATTGTCATCTCCGCGATTCCGGGGGTCATTGCATCACCCCATTCGGCAGCGCTCGCACCCTTTATACTTGGGCTCATATTTTTTGGCATGGGCGTGGGACTGTTCAAGGCAAACATGTGAGTTGAAAAGCTCTTTACCGTTCAAACACGACAGGACGCTTATATGATCTAGTTCGCCTATGATTGCCGAGCAATATGAAGCACAACAGCCGCGAGCCGTGATCAAGACTCTCAAAAGTGGCGAGCGTGTGATTGTTGATCCGGTACGTTTGACGTTCTTCTGATCTGGCTCTCAACAAAAGACCAAATATTAATCTGAACAGGTCCTTACCTATACCGTCATTTACATGCGATATTACTTTTGCATCAATGTCGGAAGTCTTGTCGGCCAGATTACAATGGCTTTCAGCGAGTTCTACGTCGGCTACTGGCTTTCTTTTACTCTGCCAACCATCATGTTCTTGCTTTGTCCATTTGTCATGATCTTTTGCAAAAATCATTACGTCAGGCATCCACCGACGGGATCTGTCCTTGGAAAATCGTTTCAGGTCTGGGGGCTTGCGATGAAGGGTCGTTGGAGCTTGAACCCGATCCGTACCATCCACAACATGCGCGCCCCGGGCTTCTGGGATAGCGCCAGGCCAAGCAGGCAAGCGGTCCAGCCGTCATGGATGACCTTTGATGATGCCTGGGTGGACGAAGTCCGCCGTGGCTTCAAGGCCTGCACTGTATTTTGCTGGTATCCGCTGTATTGGTTGTCGTACAATCAGCTCACCAACAACTTGATCTCTCAGGCAGCCACCATGAGACTCGATGGCGTGCCAAACGACATCATTACCAACTTGAATCCCCTCTCACTGCTCATCTTTATCCCAATTGTCGACAAGTTCGTATATCCAGCCATTGCACGAACGGGCTTTAGATTCACACCAATCAAGAAGATCACCACTGGTTTTGCATTTGGTACTGCTTCCATGGTTGTGGCGGCCATTGTGCAACATTATATTTACGTCTACTCCCCGTGTGGAAAATATGCGGATGACTGTGAGCTCGGCGTGCCACAGCAGATGAGCGTATGGATCCAGACGCCGTCGTATGTGCTCATTGGACTGGCCGAGATTTGCGCCTCCATCACAGGTCTGGAATATGCCTTTACTAAGGCGCCAAAGAATATGCGCGGACTGGTTACCGGCGTGTTCTGGTTCTCGCAAGCCTTTTCTTCGGCCCTGGCCCAGGCGTTTGTTGGTCTGTCGGCGGACCCGCTATTGGTTTGGCTGTACACCACGGTTGCCATCATCTCGGCGTTGGGCGGTATTGGTTTCTGGTTTAGCTTTTCCAAACTTGACAAGGAGGAAGAGGCGCTCAACAACCTGACGGACTCTGTTTTCCATGGATCAAAGACTGCCGATGAGGATGTTGAAGCTACTCTTGCGGCCAAGGCCGAGCAGGAGAGGATCAGACATGCCCAAGGCCTGGACAAGGTCAAAGATGAGGTGAGGCATGGGTGATAAGGGGGTTCTGTACTTTTCCCCTTAAGTGGAATTTTTTCGAAAAGCACGCGAACTGAATGTGCTTGGATACAAGATAGAGCTTCAGCGTCTCTACTGTAGGTCGAAAGGCTAACCTGTATGAATTTGTGCGGGCAAAGCGTCTCGCAATACCTGTTCTGCAGCACCATCGTGAAGGAAATTTACCCACAACATATCTTTCATAAGATTTCTTGCTTTGGCCCAGGAGTTGACTTGGCACTGAGCCAATAAATCGGTCAGGGCTGACCTCGAGTCTTGCGCCTCGTGGTCATTGAAGATAAATACCTGACCAATGATGTGAAGCCATAGCTTGATGCCGATTGGAACGTCTTCTTGGAACATTAAAGCTCTTTTGAACCTCTGAGCCAGATGCTCATATCGCGTCTTCATATTCCGCCATTGAAGGAACAGTGTGCTAGCAAAGACCAATAGTCCAAGACGAAAAGCCTCATGCGCAGAGTTTTCGTATCCAAGATTGATGAGGCGATAGTGTATGGATATCATGGAATCTAGATACAGATCCGTGTCAATGCTGCGATTGCACTGCTCTGCAATGTTTGCTGCGCGTACAAACTGGAACAGGTCATTCCAAATATTGCGGAGACGCGGATCGAGTGTATCAATATACGACTTGATATTTGAGTTGAGATGGTCTACAAGACTGGCAGACTCTTGAGAAGGAAATATGTAGGGATCCCAGGATGTATAAGACTTTAGCAGTGGATCCCGTCCCGTGCTGAGAGCCACCTCAATATCGACACTTGGGGGGTTTTCAAGTCAGTCTTTGCAATGCGCTTCGACAATAGCTGCAACACTAGTTAAGAAGAAAAAAAAAAAAGACTCACCGGTACATTTTCGACTGCAACAATCGCTTCCCTCTAAAGGCTCCGCAGCCGCCGCGAAGGTCTACCAGCCTTTTCAGCCCAGCAACGTGCTGCGCGGCCGTCTGGGCATCGCCCACGGCCGTAGACGCCATGGCGAGGCCGACGACGAGGAGAATGGTCGAGTCCGACGTGGCGTCGTCCATGTCCCGGTCCGCCGAGCCGAGACGTTGCCGCAAAATACCCAGTGCCGCGTCGAAATGCATCATTGCGGTCCGGTGGTAGTAGTAGTGATGCTCGTGGTGCCCGGGCTCGGCGCTGTCGGCGAGTCCGGCTAGGAGCGTGTTGGTGGTGAATAGAGTCAGGTGTAGACAGGCCTCGTCTTTCCACACGGGCTCGAACCAGGATGCTTCGTTGCCTTCTGAGGCCTGCGTGAATTCGATTGGGAACATTTCATATCTTACTAACAAGACCAAAAAAAGATTTACTTATCAGTTGAGCTTGTTCTACATGACAAAGACGCTCGCTGCCAGGGGGTTTGGAGCCGAAGAAAAGATAAGAAGGAACTCACGCTTTCGGATCGTATCCAGCGTCTGGGGCGTCATTTCGGCTGCGAACCGCATAAGGGAAAACTCGCCGCCGACTTTCATGGGCAGATAGCCTGAGCCGTGATACCTGCCGGGCTCGCCATTCTGGTCAGTCCACGACGACGACGACGACGCCGGCTGGGATGGTCGTGACTTTTTGCGATTCTTTCCGCGCATCACATGGCTTCGGATCAGCTTGCGCTGGCTACTCTCAATGGTCCTGCTGGTGGCGTGGGTTATGACAAAGGGCAGTTGGCCGGTTGGTTCCAATGGTGGCCGCATGGTTGCTTTCCTGAGGGCGGTTGGGCTGAATTGCAAAAGTCTTGTTTGGTCTTGTCGACAATGTGAAGAAAGATGTCCATTGGAGATCTTTCTTTGTTTCTTCTCGTCGAGGCATCGAGCTTGTGTCTTTTCACGACATGGATTTCCCATGCTCAAGGCCAGCTGGTCGTTGCTGGGTATATGGACCAATTTCGATTATTTTTCGGGACAATGGCGACGCTACCACCCCCTATGCCAAAGTTCCGCCCAGACACGCTGGATCTTTGGATAAGAAAAGTAAAAGTGAGACGGGGATTTTGCTCAAACTGTCATATGATTCATGTACGTAGACGCGTACCTGGTTAGGCTGCCAAGACTAGATTATATCCCGTTTATGGTTTAGCGGCCGCTGTGCTTATTCCTTCCACTTATCCAGTATGATGGCGATGGCATCTTATTCGTGGGCACTGATATAGTCGTTTTTAGAAAAGCGCCAGGATCTAGATATTGCTCGAGTCTCGTACTTTGAGTTCTGGTATATAGTTCCATGGGTCTTGGTGTCCTTCATGTCAGAATGACTTGTCAGGTTGACTTGTTTATATAGCTCCTGTTTCTTCTGGGCAATACCTGACCTCTCTCAGTCTTTTGTTTGATTTTTCATCGTTCCCAAGAGCATCTTGAACGTCTCGACCACGTATTGCTCCTTAGCTTCCATCATGTCACTATCCTGGACCTTGGGTCCACCTACCGAGAGTCCCTTCTTTCGTTTTCTTCGATCGCAGTTCCAGGCCTCGCCCCAATGGCCGTCTAAAGAGACCAATCTAGCAGGCAAAATCGCCCTCATGACCGGCGCCAGCAGTGGCCTTGGACTCGAGGCTTCCCGCCAACTCTTATCCCTGGGCCTATCAAGACTCATCATTGCCGTGCGATCGACTGACAAGGGTGAAAGAGTAGCAGCTGAATTCCGAACTCAGTTTCCCGAGGCGGACATCCAGGTCTGGCATCTCGAAATGGAATCTTACAGGTCGGTGCAAGACTTTGCTCTCCGGATCGACCGAGAAATGAACCGCCTCGACATTGCCATCCTTAATGCGGGCGTCCAGGCGCTCCATTTCGAAACGGTCTCGGAAACTAGGCACGAGAAATTGCTCCAGGTCAACTACCTTTCCACCATGCTCCTCGCAATCCTCCTCCTGCCGGTTCTCAAGACAAAGTCCCCGCCCGACGCGCCCGGGCGTCTGACCATTGTCAGCTCCGGAACGGCACGTGGCGCCGAAATCACCTGGTCGCTGGCGGGCGCGGGCATCCTGTCCCACCTAGACGACAGCCGGCATTCATGGAACCCAGTAACGCGGTACGCCGTGACCAAGCTGCTGGGGCACTTGTTCGTTCTCGACCTGGCACGCCGCGTCGAGGCCCGTGACGTTGTGGTCAACCTCGTGGACCCGGGCCTGGTCAAGGATACGAACCTACAGGGCGGTGCGAGCGCGCCGCTGCCTATTGCCGCCTTCTTCTATGGCATGAAGACCTTGTTGGGACGTTCACTACCAGTGGGTGCGTCCACTTATATCGATGCTGTGATTTCCAAGGGGGTCGAGTCGCATGGTAGTTATGTGGCGGACTGGAACATTGCTGCGTGAGTACCTTGCTGCTCATGATGAGAGCAACTTTTGTCGTCGCGTAGATTCCTCAGTCGGCTCGTGCTAATCAAGAAAAGGTTCGCTGCTTTTGTGTACACGCCCAATGGCGAGGCGGCTCGTAAGCAATTGTGGACAGAAACCATGTTGGAGTTTGATGCTTGGGGTGCACATGAGATACTGAAAGGTGTCAAAGATACTGTCACAGGTACTAGTGCCATGGTGTCATGAATAAATATTTCCTCATACACCTTGATCATGTCTGGAAATACTTTGCGTGCTCATCTGATATCTGCCCAGGTTCTTTACCTTTGTTGTGCTCGGGTTCCGTCAATACGCGTCGCGAGTGTTAAGCGACGGACTGTATGAAGAGCTGCAGCGCGTCGAATGCTCAGTTTTGCGGCTTATCTTGTAGCTTGGATCGTGAGGATTAGTTAAGCTTCTTTTTCTTTTTTCTTTTTTTTTTTTTATAGATAGAACCCATCTCAGAGATTAGGAAAGTTGTGCAGTCGGGAAGTTGAATTCCATGTTTTGTCAATTAGCATACATATTAGTATGTAAATCTTTAGTACAAAGACAGCTAGCTAATGTACCTAGGTACATTAGGTAGGTATCGATACTGCCACTACACAGTCAATGTCCCCCGTAATCCCTGTATAGGTACCGGGGTACGCCACCGAGGACTCTGTGGTGCTACATTACATACTACAATAGGCAATCCCCAACTTCAGCAGCTACAACCAGTTGGTCCAAGCTTTGATCCCGTTGCCACAATAGCAACAGACACGGTCGCGTCCAGCTATTTCAATGTCGTCCCCCTCATCCAAACGTTTCTCAACTTTATTCAATTTCCGACCTCTTTCCGTCAGCTTTGATCTATAACCCTACTCAGATCGAATCTAGACTTGTTCGTCAATACCCAACATCCCTTCTTTGTTCGTCTGTCTAACCTACCACAGAGATCTATTTACCTGTGCCTCGAGCCAAGTCAAACACGCATGTTTTCGATGACCGATACGCAAGTAGCTCGCGGGCATCTTGGACGACGCGCACAGATAAAGTGAAACCACTGTGGTGGCCCTTGAGCTTATAACTGACTTGTCCATCCCATCGAGCAATAAAAGTTCCTCTCTGGCAAGTACAGCTCGAGGAGGATGGCACAAGTGTTCCTTTCTCTTTTCCCCCCTTGTCAGGCACTCGCTCGCCATGAGCTGAGAACAATATTTGGTCCCTTCCGTATTGTTTCTGGGCATCTGGGGTCGCATCTCCATTGTCGCATCCTGTCTGGATGATGAGTATATTTCCCAAGGGCGCTCCCCAGACTGTCTCCTCAGCAAGAATGATACCATGCGCTTCATCCTTGAGCAATTCCCTTTCTTTACTACTTCATCTTCCGATTAGCAGATCAAGTGATCGCATGTGATTTATATCCATTTACTAGCTGCCTTCAAGTTCCGCGGAATCGCAACGACCTTGACCGTGGCGGTCCAATCTGCGATCTCAGAACAAGAGCGACACAGCCGCCAAGTGTCCACGGGCAGCGTACCAATATGCCAGGACAGAGATCTGGCTCGTCGACATGAAGAGCTATGACTCGGTCCAGGAATTTGCCAATGGGCGTAATCAGGATCCGGATCGCATTGGTATCGTTATTATCAACGTGGAACTGCAGAACTCGATGTTCAAGCTCGTGGAAGCAACGGGCCATGATCAGGTCCTTGCAGGTGAACCACTTCCACGACGGTCCTCACCATTCTTCTACTACCCGTAATGAAGGACAAGAGACAAGAGTAGCTTGCAAGCGCAATGTAACTGATAGGGTTGTCAGACGCAACAGCAACTCATGCGTTATCTCAGCATCATCGTACCCTAGGAGATAAACATCATGGTCAGCACATCGTTCAACATGTCGGTTTGGATGTTTCTACTTGTCGGATCCCTGCTTACTTGCGGAGCGTCTTTGTGCCTCGTAGGCCAGAGTCTGATACGTCTGCATATTGGGGGAATGTCGAGGATGCTTACAATCAAACTCTCCTAGGTCGCATCAGATCACCACGACACTTCGAATTTGATGAGGGATCAGAGAACAAAATTGTTGCTTGGTCAAAGGAGCACGCACTGGGTGGTCGATCTATAAGGGACACGTCGTTCAATATCTCATGCCGTGGACTTGGCTTGGATCAGGTTCATAAGATGAGGACAAGTACGGAAAGCATGTTGCTGCTACACACCTTTGCAAGGCCTTCAGTACTGGCAGCGGGGTCGATCCCGATCTGGATCTATCTTCCTGCGACCCCTCCATTGTCATTGGTTGCGGACGCTAAGCCACCACCTTTACTTACCTCCCAACCTCCCAACCTCCCTTTTCAAGTTCTAGATTAGATGCCGCCGACCAATATGACGGATAATGCGCAATGCTCACGACTTGCAAGTGGGTGGTGGGCGGACTGTTGCTGTGCCAACCAAGTCTGGATCAACATTGCACCCCGCCATGTATCGCAGAGTGCTGAATTTATAATCTGGACCCGATTTCCACGGATAGCATGTTCTCGAAATTGTTTTAATCTTGTGTTGGTGAACTTCATTTTTGCCGTCCTGTGTGGACAGCCAGAACAATGTACGTGAGCATTGCGACCGACACAAGCTCCTCAGCAGCTCCCTCTTTGAGCTCAGCAGCAGCAGCTCTCTCTTCAAGCTTATTACCCACTGCTACGCCTCAGGCGCCGCAAATGAACTCGGATTCCGATCCGGATTCGAAAAGCCCAATTGTCTACATCAATCTTGTTGTCGGTATTATTGCTGGCTTACTAGCTATCCCAATGGTTTACTTTGCGTTTCGCACCTATAGATTAGGTGAAAGAAGAGGGCATCGACGTCTTCGGAGGGCACTCTACCTTCCTCTCAGGGTTGAGCCTGCTCTTCCACGTTTCGCACCACGATCTTTTCGACATTACGCTTTTACAGGTCGGCACAAGCGCTCGGAGCAGGACAGCCAGAGTCGGCCCAAAGTCCTTTGAGGATGAATCGCCATAGACTAGCACGACAGCGACAACGACATCGGAACCTTGGCGGTACTGCAGCCGAAGCTGCTCGATTCTCTTGGCCTCGAGCAATGCCGCACAGACGAGACAGCAATCCAGACGACGGAGGCCAATACCGCTTGCCTGTTCATGCTCAATCCTCCACCCGTGATCACAACTCTCACAATCAAGATCTTCCGAGTCACTACCCAACATCGCCTCGTGCATCTCATATTCGCTTCAGACATGAACCCACCTTAGGAGCGGTCCGAGACTTTGTCGGTCGTCAATCTGAAGACTTGGAGTATTCTGGTGAAGAGATGGAGATGCATACTTTCGTTTGACTCATTCGCCAAGATCGTAGCCCAGGGCTCTGTCCTCGAAGCAATATTTTTTGCTGTTAGGGGCTCGTGTATTTCCTCGCCAATCCCTCCGTGAACCAGACCTGCAGCTAAGCAATGTGCAGTCATGTCACAGCCATACCACTCTGAACGCATCGGACTTTCTTTTTTCACCCTTGAACCTTTCTTTGCTTTGTATACTATGAGGATGTTTCTTTGGCTATAATCTCTTGTTGGGTAAGTTATTGGACCATACTTGTTTCAGATGGCAGCATGTGCCATGCATCTCTGTGGCTGTTGTTCCGGCGTTCAGGAACTTTTTATTTCTTGCAATACATTTCATCTAGCAACGGGTACCATGTTTTATACTCTACAAAGAAGGAGACGACAATACACAAGGATTTCATTTGAGAAGACTCCGCAGAAAACACATGAAGCCAAGGATGAGAAACTTTGCAGATGGCTGATGTAGCACATCCAGCTGCAGCCCACGGCTGATAACCGGAGTATATCATCAGTTCCTTGATAAATCGTGCTTGACCGACAATTTCATGCCTTGTAACATAAAAGCAATTGCGAGAACAACCTTCTTACTCAAACGAGAATTATGGCAGCGCCGTTCAAAACCTACCAGCTTGGGTTTACTCGGAATACGGGATTGGGCCCACGATATCTTGATCGTCTCTCCACCGAGGGGACTTGTCTACCTGCAGTTTAAACACCTCTGGCCGACTGTAATGCCCCGTCGCATCAACCCACATTTTCACGAGATCCAAATCCTTCAATTGAATCTCGGCCGTGACCAACTTGTCCTCGCAGCCTGTCTGCGGCCCGGCAAGCACCGAGCAAAACGGATGTATAATGGCGGTCCATCCGCCCCCGGCCTTGACATTGTCCTGAGGACCCAATTTCTCCTCCATCCACTCGAGACAGGTGTCATCGACGAAATTACTGGCACACAATACAAAAGTCTGGCCCGAGAGTGCATGGCTCTTCATCAATGCCTCGATCTGGACATTGGCGACGCCCTCGAAGCCCGCCATGGTCTCCAGGGCCGGCCAACACGCAACGTGGACGTGCTGGCCTTGGTCAATGAGGGCCTGGCGGGCATTATTCATGGTATGTTCCCAGCAGGCCAAACCACCGACACGGTAGCCGGCCGCCGTTTGGTACGTCTTGAGCGTGAACCCCGAGCCCTGACCCCAGATGAAGCGCTCGGCAAACGTTGGCTGCATCTTTCGGTGGACGCCTAGGATAGTCCCGTCGGCGTCAATGGTCACGACCGAGTTGAATAGCGTGTGTCCGCCCTGCATGCGCTCCGACACACCCAATACGACGGTGATCTTGTGTCTCGCGCACGCAGCTTGTACATCATGCAAATCCTCAGCGACCACGACACTCTCTGCCGCGTATGCTGCGACCGTACTCGCGTTTGGTGCGTAGGCATTGATAAAGTAAGGATAGCCCGGCACAAAGACCTCGGGAAAGGCTAAGAGTTGTGTGTCTTCACCAGCTGCCCTAGCGATGAGCTTGACGACTTTTTCGAGCGTCTTCTTCTTGTCCATGTAGACTGGCGCAGCGTGCACGGCGGCTGCCTTGATCTTGATGTCGATCATGCTGGATTTCACAATAGTATAGGCCACCGATTCGCTGGTCTTTGCCCGTCGCAGAATGGAAATATCCAAAGATTTCACACAAATCATCAATCTTTGGACTTGCAGCATATAGCTCATTGGCGTTCATGATGGGTGCATCCTACTGCTGAGGGACGCAACGCACACTCGAGTACGTACTCACAGACAGATTCCCAAACCCCGCAGATGACTGAAAACCACACCGTCCGCAGATCGGCATTGAAAGAGGGAACTGCAGCATCAACCACCTATCATTTTGTATCAATTCTCCACCTTATACGCGGAATGCATGAGCGTTTATCGAAAAAGTTGACAAAGCGCTGACTGCAAGAAAAAAAGGCTGGCAAACTGGCTTGGTTGGAGCTGTCAAAAGTCCTTGCTCGACTTTTCAAAAATTTGGTGTTTGTCAATGCCGCGTTCAGATCCGCCTTGATCGACGAACAATGCCGCTACCTGGACGGCAGGTCAACGACTAAGTATTTATAGTCGATGCTATTGCGTACAATTAGTGGAAATGGTGGAACCAATACTTGCAACAAGCGCATTCCTCGCACTGGTACCTTTTGGTCGAGTAAACTGTCGTGATAGCTTCAAGACCCTGCATCGGTACCTGGTTGATGCTCAGGTCTTGCTTGACTAAGAAAGAATCCAAAGGAGAACCAAAGTTGGGACCATAGGTAATGTAAAAACACATGAACTGTGGTGAGACCTGGATCGGCTATAGTCTTAGTCTTAGTCTTAGTCAGGTCATATTTTGAGATGAACCTTACCTCCGTGCACTAGTTAGCCTTGGACCGGACCATGGTAGGCGGATCAGAACTGATTGACTCTAACAATTGATCCTCAGACAGTCAAGCAAATAACCATGTCGGAATCGGAACACGAGGTAGGGCAGAAGCGGTACGCAACCGACCTTGCAGGACCAATGGAGCATATTAGTGGCACCACCGTGCCACAGTGATACACGCCTTGGTGTTTCATTGGCCAAGTGAGATAGCGGAGTTACTCTTGCCTGCACATCAAGTGGTGTGGTGTGCTGTATAATAAAAGCTCGGAGAACGCGGATGCTTTGGCGAATGAAACTCCCATTTGCACGATTTCCTTTCCAACAGAACCTCGAGGTGTGAGAGACCTAAAGAAAATGGCCCCCAACTTTGAAGAACTGCGCACATCGCTGCGGGAAGGCGATCTTCTCCTACCCGGCGACGCTGGTTACGATGATAGTCTCAAGCGATGGAGTGCCACGTGTATTAAGCCAGCGGTATGTCGTATGCTTACAGAAGCGTAGCAAGAAGAAGAAAAGCTAAACAAATCTCACAGGCAGCTGTCGCACGGCCAAAGAGCGCGGCCGAGGCGTCGGCTATAGTTAGGTTCGCGACAAAGCATTCTATCCCGCTGCGAGTTTGCGGAGGCGGGCACAACCCTTCGGGAGAGTCTGCAGCTCCGACTCCGGAAGCTCTCATTCTCGATCTAGCCCACATGCGCTCCGTCTCCGTGGATGCCTCGGCCCAGACTGCAACCTATGGCGGCGGATGCACCTGGGCAGACGTGGACAATGCGCTCTGGGAGCACGGACTAGCAACCGTCGGTGGAACGGTGAGCCACACGGGTGTCGGCGGACTCGTCCTCGGCGGCGGATACGGAATGCTGACCGGACGACATGGCATGTCAGTCGACTGTCTCGTGAGTTGCGAGGTAGTCCTTGCCAGCGGAGAGATTGTTACAGCCTCGGAGACGGAAAACGCAGACCTCTTCTGGGCCCTCCGGGGCGCGGGCTCCAACTTTGGTGTCGTGACCTCGTTCACATCAAAGGCGTTTCCGCAAGGTAAAGTTTGGGGTGGCGTCATGCTTTGGCCGTTTGAGCTCTTCCCGCACGTGGTGGACTTTGTAAACACATATGACAAGACGACCGACGGCGACCAGTGGTTTATGCTTATTGTCACCGCCGACCCGCGCAGTGGTGCTCGACTGTGCGGAGCCAGCGTCTTCTACAACGGCACCGAGGAGGACGGAGAAAAGTTCTACAAGCCACTTCGGGATCTCCAGCCCAGGCTCATGGATACGACGGCCCAGATCCCCTACCCAAAGGCCAACACCATGAGCGACCCAATGGCAGCTCCTGGGCGCCGATACATGTTTGGGGGAGCCAACTTTCAGTGCCCCCTTGACTTTTCAGTCATGAGTGAAGCCGCCGAGCAGTACTTTGCTGGTCTCGAAAAGCCTGGCAATGAGGAGGTCAGGACCAGTATGTTTGCCCTAGAGATGATTCCTCTCGACAAGGTCAACGAGTACGGCCAGCTCGACAAGACGAGCTTCAATGGCCGCGAGAAGAAATACAATGCCGTTACCATTATGTCTTGGGACACTGCTGAGCGGGATGGCGCCGTTCGCGACATTGTCGTGCAAACGACCAAGGTATTCAAGGACAAATTCGGAAAACACGACGCCGAGACCGGTGGTGCTGATACGTACTACAATTACCTAAGTAAGTTGAAATTGAGCTCTCCATGTTGGATTCTGGCTGATGTTTGTTATCTAGGTCCCGAAAACCCAGCAGATAGAGCTCTGATGAAGACTGGCAGGCTCTTTGGTCCCAAGGCACCACGACTGAGGGAGCTCAAGGCAAAATATGATCCAACAAACGTATTCTTCAAGAATGTAGACTTGTCGCCACTCGCATAGACGGTAGATATGAAATATGACCAAAGTTGATCAGTATCGTCCTGGAAGGTATATTTGGAGGCTTGGGAGGGCCTTCTTGTCTTCTAGACCTTTTTAGCATTGGATGCTTTCGACGCGGATCGCGACTCGAGAACGAGTACACACTCAGATCCCGCCCAATTGGAGTTTAGCGGCAGCGACATGAGCTAGTCCTACAGGGGTCTAGGGGTGTCAAAATGTCGGCAGCGTTCAAGATATCCCGCTTTTTAGTACAAAGTACCGCGATGCTATTTTGAGGCAGCCGTTGACATTTTAGAGTTACAAATGCCATGGGAACTCAGAAACAGTCTGCATCTTATTCATCTCCAATGCAGTTCATGTCATTTGGCCGCGTAATAAGCCAATGATAAGATCGGGGCTCTTCGGTTGATTTTTAGTCATGGCTAGACGCTCTGGATGGAGTTTTGAGATCGGGGAGAGCATGGGGAGGAAGAAGCGTCCCCTCTGGGCTGCAGCCCGCAGGGATGCTAAAGACCCAATCAAGTTCATCGTGCGATAAGTGACATCACCCGCAAAGATTCGAGTCGGTTCGAAATTTCTCGAACAGACGTTGCTGGTAGGAGTTACACTGCAACAATGTGGCGGTAAGACTGACTAGAGGCATGTAGATCTGTCTTACTCTATTGCGAGTGCACGGAGACGTCCCAACAGGCACTTTTGGAATTCTGACGATCTACGTAGTTTATATAATAATAAAAATATAAACAGATCACACGAGGATTCAGGTCTCATGATCCAACTTTCAAGCAGAGCAAAGCTAAAATCTATCGATGGCGCCTGTACGCTAGTCTAAGTGACGCAACCCCACTATGCCATAGCTTCCCGCTACAGCAATTGCCTGATGAACACTGAACAATGGTGGGGCTGTAGATAAGCGGCCCGCTAAGGAATACTCCATCTGCCATACAATGCTGGGAGCAACTGCAAGTATCTCCAAGCTTCCTTGCTTAGAGGCCAAGGTCAACCAAGGTCACCACCCACTTTTCACTGGTTTTTCCCCCGATCAAATGCTGCCCGGGCTCCATCCAACGGGTTCCACCTCACCTAGCAAGACGCTTTGGCTTCTGGCGGGCTGGGGGCATGTTCGAAATTCTAGGAACTTTTCGGCAATGTTTTTGTTGTAGGATCGCAGAAAAAAGAGGTGGTGTTGTTTATTTCTCCTTCTCGTGAGTCGAGGGCTTGGAACCTCGTCGATTCCCTCTCCTAGGAGATTTATATACACCTTGCACACACGCACTCTTGGTCTTGGCCCCTCCTTGATCGTCGGTTTCCTGCTCCCGCTGTTACACTACTGAGCGACTCGAGCACGGCCGTAGCAATTTCTCTTGTACGCGCCCGTCGAGTAGGCACGTATATTGTCGTCAAGACAGCGACAGGCTATTCTTCTGTGCTGGTCTCTTCCCGTGAGCTGGCCGTTGCAGCAGGGTCTTTCAAGTTGACCACCGCCATCTGACTTGCCTTTACCGTACCGACTACAGCCGGCAGATATGACTTCGCGACAAGCGACGACATGGGAGGAGTACGAACGGGCCTCCTCCCCAGGACGCCATGATAGCTTGTCTTCGAGTCCTCGAGGTAGCGTCCAGTTTGAGGATCAACAAGGTCTCTTGGACGAGCGAGAGGACCGCGGTCCTCACGACTGGACAAACCAGCTCCGGCGCAGGTATTCAAAGACCCTGACGAGATATTGATTCTACAATCTGTGCCAACTGACCACCTTCCCAGATCCTCTGTCCAGAACAGACTTGCGGCCATTGCTGGTATCGGCGGAGTCAACAGTCTACGGCAGTTCTCCCGAAGCTGGCAGCGTGCCTCTGCTTTCCCCGAAATCATACCGCAACGTCCGGCCTTTATGTTTGCGCCCGACCAGGAGCCTGCCCACAACACCATCGAGCCACTTTCCTACGAACGGACTGATGTCGAAGCGGGTGCCCGAACATCCTTGCTGCGCGGGCAGCTAGAGGTACCAGAAAATGCAGTGCTAGATGATGGAGATGATTCGGGTTCGGCTGGACCCCATCGATCCTTTTCACACGACAATGAGCACAAGCCTTTTGACAATGGACTGTCTCGGGTGATTTCTCCATCTGGCTCTGTGAGAAGCAACTCGATATTCGAGATACCGCCGCACTTGTCTGCCATGCCGCTTGTTGGGAGCTATTCTTCCCAGCGAACCTATGGCACGGTTGGATCAGAAATCAGTCGCCCTTCAATCGCACATGCGGCAGAGCTCTGGCGGCAGCAACAAGAGTCTGGTGCAGATTTGCCGGACGGGACACGCCCGCCTATCATGGTCAAGGAGGTTGAGCAAGAGGATGGAAAAATTGTTCTTGCCGTGGCCGGACAGTCTACTTTACCACAGACCGTGGTGAACTCAACAAAGTAGGTCTCTTGTGCGATCTCCAAAAACATTGGATGAGACTGACTTGTAATAGTGTTTTGATCGGTGTGGGCCTCCTCAGTCTGCCAATCGGTATCAAATATGCCGGATGGCTTTGCGGCATGATTACGCTGTTCCTCGGTGCTACCGTCACGAGTTGGACTGCCCGGCTGCTCGCCAAATGTATGGATCTGGATCCTACCGTCATCACCTTCTCTGATGTGGCTTTTATATCGTTCGGCCATCGAGCTCGGGTGATTACGAGTGTGCTGTTCACTCTGGAGTTGTTGGCTGCTTGCGTCGCTCTCATTGTGCTTTTCGCCGAGTCGTTGATTTTGCTCTTCCCTGGTGCTCTCACCTTGACGGGCTGGAAGATTGTTTGCACTTTGATCTTGATACCCCTTCAATTTGCTCCACTCAAGGTTCTGAGTTTTACCAGCTTTATTGGAATTCTCTCCGTCATGAGCAGTAAGTTTCTTCACTATCGTTAAAAAAAAAAATCGAATCATTAACTCTGCGACAGTCTGTCTGATTCTTATTCTTGACGGCTTGATCAAGACTGAAAGTCCCGGTTCCTTGATTGAGCCAGCGGCTACCTACATCTTCCCAGAGAACTGGCTCACTCTTCCATTGTCGTTTGGCCTCTTGATGTCGCCATGGGGAGGCCACAGTGTGTTTCCTAATGTAAGTCATGAAATCACCATCTTTCTCGCGCTCTAGGCTAATCATTGCTAGATTTATCGTGATATGAGACATCCGCGCCGATACAATGAGGCAGTCAAAATCACCTTTAGTTTCACTGTAAGTACCGAATCGAACACGAATCGCGAAGAATGCTCACATATGTTTAGTACATGATTGACGCCACCGTGGCAGTTGTTGGTTACATCATGTTTGGCGATGGAGTCCGGGACTCGGTGACGAATAACCTTCTTAGGACGACTGGTTATCCTGCCGTTATGAATGTGCTCCTCGTCATCTTCATTGCCATCATTCCACTCACCAAGATTCCGCTCAATGCGCAGCCAATTATAAGCACCATGGAGGTTCTAGCCGGACTCCGTCAACAGGTTGTAGCCGAGGACCAGGTTTTGGTCGGCCGCTCGAGCATGTTTAGAGGGATCATGAAGGTCGTTATTCGTATAATGACACTTCTCGCTTTCCTGGTGATTGCGATTTTGTTCCCAGCATTCGATTCAATCATGGCATTTATGGGCAGTGCTCTCTGCTTCACCATCTGCATCACGTGAGTTTTCAATACTGGTTAGATTGGAATGATCATTACTAACAGTCTTGCCAGGCTGCCCATAGCATTCTATTTGAAGCTATACTCTCACGAGATCACCGCCAAGGAGCGTCTTATTATGTGGACAGTCATGACTCTGTCCTTTGTTCTGTCGGTCGTTGGCACGGTTTGGGCCTTCTTGCCCAAGAGCATGATTGGAGCATAACGTAATGCAGCATGACACAAAGCTAAACATTCCCTTGGCTCTACGAATTCATGTGGTACGAAAGTATCTGGAGTGCGTCCTTTCTTGAGGTCTGAGCATTTGCGTCATGTTTACGTACCATTTGTGGAGTTGGCAGGTTACTTGTTCTCGCGGCACTTACGAATTTGCATATTGCATCATGCAGCGATGACCAGGCATTTTTATGTTTACAGATATATTGCTTCTATTTAATGACCAATTCAAGTAATGCCAAAAATGTTTTCAAGAAGAGTCTCTTTGTCACACAGAGTGTACTGATTTGACCCCTTGTAATATTTGACTCTAGCAAGGAATAATAATCAAGTTGTAGAGTTGATTCTTTTACTGTCTACCTTTTAATCCACTTTGTTGATCTAGAATTGTTGGAAAGAGGGTGGATTACTATTGCGTTTCAGACTTTGGTTGAGCATGACGCGTCAATACGTCCAGGCGGGTCTCCGCCTCGCTTCAATCATGAGAGAGCATTTACCAAGATCAGATGATGGACTACAAAGTTTTGTTTGGGAAACATTGACCATCAACATTAAACTGGACCCCTGGCATGGTATCCATTGCAGGACAAGGCAAACAAAGACTGCCTTGATGGGGATTTGCAATAGTAAGCTGTCCAAGTGAATAATACCAAGTATTGCTAATCGTGTATTGCACCGGGCGGAATTCCAATGGCATTTTCATCACAAGTTTTGCAATTCAAAGACGCTAGGTTGAGTGGGTAACTTCTGGTATTCAGTATGGATGTAATCCATGATGATGAACTATCTAATACACAGAAAGCGAGTTGAAGCTAGATCTAGTCCACCAGTTGCCATAGGGGTGCCATTGCCGAAAAAGAAAATCCCAAAATCCTCCAAAAACCAACATAGTGGTTTTGTGTTCCCAAAAACAAAACAATCTCCAACGCTTTCCCGTGTCTTTTCGACACAAAATGTAGATATGGCTGAAATGAAAGACGGCACCCCTTATTTAGTTGGACAGATGAGCTTAACCACAAGAGGTAGACGACCAGGCGAGACTCAGTTCTAGTGAGCCTGAGTCGCCTGGCGCCAACCAACCCACCCAAAGAGGCTGTCCTGGCGATCCTTGCGCCAGGTCCAGTCTCGGCCCTTGTTCCAAGGGCAATCGCGTGGTGTGTTGCGATCCTTGTTCCACTTGTTGAAACCATTATCGGTGATCTCACCGTTTCCTACTCCAAACTGCTTCTTCGTTGCAGACCCGTACTGATGATGAGACGACTTGGCAAAGTTGTTAGGCGACTTCTGTTCGGGTGAAGAGCCAGCATATGCTCGGCGACGTTCGCCGAGGGCGGTCCACTTGTCTGGCTTGGACGGAGTGTGGACAGCATGATTGTTGGTGGCGATGGGCTTGACAATGTTGATGGGATCCGACTCGTGGAAGAAAAAGTCACTGGCCAAGTCACCATCGACATTAAACGTATCCTGTGCAGAAGCCGCGGGCTTCTCGTCAAGCGCTGGCGCCTGAGATACAGATTCCAGAGGCATCTCATCTGGACGGGGCGTAGCATTCTCCTTGCTGTCCTGGCTCCAAGTTCTAGAGTTGAGTTCCTTGAGCGCTTGAAGCTGACGAGCCTGTTCTGCTTCATCCTCCTCCTCATCTTCCTCCCACATATCTGACCAGCTCTTGCTGACAACGTCCTTTGAGCGACCAAAAACCATGGACATGGCACCAAGGTTGGCCTTGGGCTTCGGAGCCATGGAGATGGGAAGGGAACCGGCCATGGGAGAGACCTTGGTTGGTTTCCTTGGGACGTCGAGGGGTTGGCTCAGCTTGAAAGAGTTCATCGAAGCACCAAAGTTGGAAGTCATGACGGAAGCAATGGAAGGCTGTGACATCCAATCAACGGTGTCTTCAGACTTGGGGAAAAGCTCTTCGGTATAGCTCTCGTTGTCGGGAATGACACTGAGTTGACGGATCGGGGCCTGCAGAGCCTTGGACCACGGGAAGGCACCCTGGTCCATCTGGGGACTCTGGATGGAGGGAGTGCGCAGAGGCTCACGGTTGGCTGTGGCCATGGGTTGACGGTCAAGGCCGCAGAAGTCATCATCTTCCTCTTCGAGAGTGGTGAAGCTGACAACATCGCGAAGAGCCTTCTTGGCACCAACGAGAGATCGCTTGGCGGGATCCATGTTCATGCACTGAACAATGACCTCGTAAGTGTCCATGGACATGGTGGGGAAGACATCAAACAGCGACTGCTTGTCTCGCGAGAAGTCGAGGAAGAGAGGATCAGCCTCGGTGGGAGTGGTGAATGGGTTGCGGGAGAACAGAATGTTCAACAGGCAGATGCCAATGGCCCAAATGTCGGCCTGAGCTGGGGAGTAGCCTGCACCAGCAGAGTCATATTGCTCTGGGGCCATGTAACGATCACTTCCGACAGTCATCTCATAGGACCACTTCTCAGTGGTAGCCAAGCCAAAGTCACCCAGCTTCATGGATCCAGATTCGGACAAGAAGATGTTCTCGGGCTTGATATCTCGGTGGTAGATACCCTTGGAGTGCATGTAGGATACAGCATCGACAAGCTCAAGCATGAAGCTTCGGACGTGCTCGGTCTCCAACGGTCCGTAACCGGTACGGATGGCCTCGTAGAGATCACCCTGCGAGCAGTATTCGAGAACCAGGTAGGCATGGGCTTCCGTCTCAAACTGGTCGATCAGGTTGACAATGTTGGGGTGATCTGACACACGGCGGTGGCAGAAGAGTTCCTCGGACTTTTCGTCGACGGCAAATTCGATACCGCAGTCGTTGGTTGCAGCTGATTTCTTAGTCATGCATTTGATTGCAACTTTTCGCCGGGTTTCAATGTCCTCGGCCATGAAGACCATGCCAAAGGAGCCATGATTGAGGGGAGAGATTGTTTTATATCTCCCACCAAGTACAACGCCATTCTGAAAGTTGTTGCGCAAGCATTCCATGACGATGTCTCTGGGGAGAGACGATTTTGAAGAGTCGAGAGAGACGAAAGCGGACAAAAGACCACGAGTGTTGATACAAGTCTACACAACCTGTCGCCCCTCTATTGAACCGTTTTGTAGCAAAAAAACAACTTTTTTTGGTTTCCTTTCCGTGTACTAGATCGAAAGAGACGTTTGTTGGTGACAGGTGGTTGAACAGCGATGGCGCAGGCCGAAGGAGATTCGAGATGTTGAGAGTTTGGTCGCAGAATGTACAGTTTGGTTGCGAAGTTGTAGGAAATGAAAAGCACGATATAACTCCAATTCGTTCACAGTCAGAGGCTCATCGAGGGTATTGTCGTTTGGTTTGCAGATACAAATGAGAAGAGTGGGTGGGAAAAGGTTCGTCAAAGATGTGGACTGGAGTCCTTGAAAGAGTGAAAGGAAATGCTCGTTATGAGGACATGGAATTGTGGTAAAGAAAATCTGAAGAGAGTGTGTTGGTTTGTTGTTGATTGCTGCTGCGTCCGGTGGAGGTGATGCAGTACCTTGGCCGGGATTGCGTGGTTGTTGCGTAGATGCAGATTGTTGTTGTAGTAGTAGATGGATTGTGTAGTTCTACCAGGCAACTGATGCTTCAACGAAACGTGGGAGGGGGGACCACGATAGTCAGCACAAGGATGCTAGTCTAGAGTTTTAGAGCTGCATCCGAGCGAGATCTATTTTGTTTCTGCTGTGGTCGAATCGTTTGAGAGATATCAACGAAGCAGAGGGAGGAGAGTGGTGATGTGTGGTGGTAGTCGAGTGACCGGGTCGAGGGGAGGTCCGGTCTACCACCAGGGTATCGTTTGGGCGTGTCGAGTTAGGAAGAGGTTGAGTTGCGATGAGCTTCGGAGTGACGGATGCAGGAACTGGCAGTGGCCGACTTGAAGAACAAATACTAGCTGACTCGACAAAGGCAACGATAACCAGATCTGGGGGAGGGATGACTCTTCCAGGTCGGGCCTTGTACGGAGGGTCTGCTGTTGACAGGCTGAGATACAAGGTGGGGAGTCCTGGTTTAGTTTGCGGATCCGGTAGTCAAGTGGGCGTGACGTGGTGAGCACGGAATGCCGAAGTCGAATGGGAGGATTCGATCACCAGACTGGTGGTAAATAGTTGGAAGTGGATGTGAATCAGAGCCCGAGGATTTCGCTTTAAGCTACTTTGCTACGAACAAAGAGGGTCGCTGTTCGTTTGTCTTTGTGAGGCGTGATCGTGTTGGGTTTTCTTGTCACAAAGGCAGGCAAGCAGGCAGTCGCAGCAGAGGGCGGTGAAAGTCGAGAGGCGAGGAAGGAGAGAGGAGGGTTGGGATTGTCGATTATTAGGTATTGCTAGGTAAAAAGGCGAAGAACGATACAAGAGGAAAAAAGAGATCCTATTTTCTCGCGAGACTCGATTGCTTGATTTCTAAGTATATTGTAGTATGTACTCTTATGGGGTGCGAATCGCGCGAGAAAATGGGAATACGGAGCGAACGGGATGAAAGATAAAAGGTTGGATTGGTAAGGTCAGAACAGGAAGAAGCAGTAGAAGATAGAAGACGATGGACGGTCGAGCGAGTGAACGAGAGCCCGAAGGGGGGGAGGCATGGGGGGGGAGGCCCGGACCTGGGCAACCTGGACGAGTCGGGGCGTAGGCCAGCTACGTACCTCGCTAGTGTGGGACGATAATGGAGCCAGCAAAGAGCGAGACCATGAATTGGGATGAATGGGTGACATAGGATCTGACCGGGGTGTCGCGGCAAGCGCCTCGCTCTGCTGCGTGCTGGGCTTGCGTCTTCCCAGACCAGGACAGTATGTAGACCGTGTCTGGCACGGAATGAAGATGACGAATTACCAGAGAGGGAGTGATGATGGGCGTTAGGCAGATACTTGCCGAGTTTGTTGGGGGGCCACGTATTATCTCTGTCTGAGAAACGGTCTTGACGGTCTACTTGCTGCCTATCATTGTATTTCTGTATCATCTCCAGCGAATGCCGGGCTCGGAGTACTATGTGCGCTGTAACTCACAGTTCACGAGTGCTCATCTCTATTTCGTACAGTTACCACCTGGCCCCAGGACTCTCTGACTCTACCTACATTACCTACTTGCCTGCCTGCAAAGTACTCTAATAAGACTGGAGACACCAGGTCCTGACTGTCATTTCACGACCTTGCTTTGACTTGGGTTTCTCATGGAATGAGGCAAAGCCCGGTCTCTTCTGTGGATTCGATTGAAATGGATGGCAAGCTCATGGCATGTAAGAGTGGTATTCATTCAATGTAGTCAATCTGGCATGTTGTATGGTTAGTGGTTTGTATGTTGCGCGAGGAGAGTTGAAACGGAATCGAATAGGTACATGGACTGTCTGATTGAGTGACTGCTGACCAACTTGTACTCTTACTATCAGGAATGCCGCGGGTTCGGGTCTCTCGAAACAGTGCGGGTTCGTTTATAGGGCCGCCGAGGGACTCGAGCTCTCGACCAACGGGGGATGAATGCCCTGAGCTTTGGGGCGGCCAAGTGGTGAGCTGAGCGTCTCTGGCGGCCAGCCAGCCAAGTCGACTCTCAATGTCCTCTTCTTTGGCAGGCTTGGAAGCTTCCAGTCCAACCCCCGAGAGCATGAGGGCTAGCACTGCACGGTATACAATAGTGCAAATAGTCGATATGCAGGCGAGCAGCAACCCCACCACACCAAAGTACCTCTTTGGCCCGTACCTGATCAGCTGGCGGGTCACTGAAATGCAGCACAATCGGCAGGACGAGGACACATGGCTCGCAGGTAGCGGCGACCAGTAAGCAGACCGATCGGCGCGTCGCCCTCTATCCTCGACAAGTATCTGCCTGTCTGCTTCGGACTGGCCTGTCTAGCGTCCTCGGCTCGTCCCCTAGACATCGAGACACGTAGTAAAAAAGACTGTACGAGGTACCTGATTCACTGGCCTTTTTCCAGGCCTTGCCGCAGGAACCGGGTACGCGCTTGGTCAGTTGACTTATGCAGCGCCATGGATTACATTACCTATCAGTGAGCAAACTGTGTACAACGAAAGCTCCCAAACTGTGGCTGGTTCTGGGCTCTACTGGTAGGTTCTCTCTGCTTGAAAATATGCTGTGCACGCAATACATCACACAATGGCAGGAAAATTCCCCCAATTGTCCAGATTCGGCTGTTCACACGGCCCCAGCACCATCGCGAGCCTTCGAGCAGCTTCTCGGGTTTCATGACGGACCTCAGGGCAGTGCTATTGGTCTGCAGGCGTATGCACCCTCCTGATACCTGCATCTCGCCAGCCCTCATCCTTCACAACCAGCTGCTGCTTTGTGTCTGGCTGGCTGGTTGTATGCAACTCTGTTGCTGGTTGAACAGTTTGACCGCCTTTGCGTAATCTTAATACATGCAAGGAGAGGACACCATTTCCAAGAGAAACACGGCTTTGAAGCAATTCAATCCTTTTCTTACTCATCGGCGGTAGTAGTAGCTATGCCTATCAACATTGCAATTGATTTCATTGATTGCAAGCCCACCTCGGCCGGTTTAGCTTGATGATTTCCGAATGACCTCAGGTTGAGCTGAATACCCTGTCGAAATGAAAGCTGGAGCTTCGACCACATCCTGGGAAATGGACTGTGTCGCAATGTGGTAGGATAATGGTACACAGTAATAGCCGCGGTACAGTGGGGGGGAAAAAAAAAGTGAGGCATGACTGCTCTACAGTGTAGGTACTACTACGTATGACCTGCTGATTTGATGATGGGTATGTACCCCATAGGTAGGCCCAGGCTTTTGCTTTCCCAGTAAACAAAAATAAATAACATGAACACATGAATTTGCCAATGAGCTCGTGCTGGATGTTCATAATTAGCAATTCGCTAATCAATTCACCCATCAGCTTTGCGAGGCGCTGGCCCGCCCCAGCCAAGTGGCGCCGACGAAACCGCGCCCAGAATCAGGTACGCAGCACGTTGTAGTCATCAGTGGCAATGGCGCAACGATTAGAATCCGCAGGTGACAGAGGGATCCTATTTCGAGAATGAGTCGGACTGGCCGGTGTCGGTCGGCTTGAACCGGAGGCCCGTTGCAAAGAAAAGGATACTGTAGGATCGTGAAAGAGTGACACAACTTGGGTAACATGCTTGTCGAGTTTGTTTACAGTACGCAGTAATTAATATGTCATGGCTGTCGCATCACCCGCCTTGTGTGTTTTGCCATTGCAACGTCGATAGGGCGGGATGATGCCATCTGTGGCCAATCCAGAGGGGATCGTCTCGCCTGTTTCGGTTTTGTCTAATAAAGCATGCTTGGAATTACAGTGGTCGGCATTCCTCCAACCCTCCTCCATCCCGATCTGGACAGTTTAATCAACAAAAACAAGAGAGAGAGAGAGAGAGTGTGTGTGTGTGTGTGTGTCTACAGTGTATCACAAAACTTGCGCAGCCCCGAGTCAACAAGAGGTGGATTTGAACTAACCCATACAGTATGATAAAAGCATGAAAGAAAATCATGTTTCCATTCCAACCTTGCGAGTCAAAACATTACATAAATGATCAAAGGGAAAACTGCAGCATGGCATCGTATTCGCTGGCCTATTTTGTTCTACTGCCGCCTTAGCCCACTGCCGTGTGACCACCTTACCCAACGGTATCGCCTGAGTATCACCCGATGCTGTCTAGTATGTCGCAATACTTTTGACGCAAACATGCTCAGCATGTCATGTCTTGGTGGGCATTGCTTTTCTTCTCAAATGGTACTCACATGGCGCGGCTAAAAAAGAAGCATTCAACTGCAATGCCCAAAAGTAGTGGTGGGTGGGTGTGCTATTGCGTCTGCGCCTGTTCAAGTATGGCGAATCTGGGTGCGTGCACGACCTCTCGCAGGTTTCAGAGGTGCCACCAACACAAGCTTTCCCCGGATTTGCTTGCTGGACCCTTCAACGTCTGTTCGTCCGGAGGTCCCCGATGGTGCCATGGCTGTCTCTCTTGTTGCTGTCGCCGTCGTTTGTCTTGAAGAGGGGTGGCTATGTGCATGCATCCAAAGACATCTTTTATGGATGGTAGAAAATGCTATGCTATGATGTTTTGTGCGTGTAGATCTGCATTATTATCCCTTGTTATTATGTTGGTCTGTATCAGACCTGGATTGGTTGCAGCAGCGGTTGGCCGTGTGGTTGATCAATGAACCCTTCTTGGGAAGCTGAAGAAACTCTTACCCTCTAACACGGGCTACTATTTTTTTAACCTACACTACATTCGCTTCGCCCTGCTTGAAACGAAGAGACGGACGGGAAAGGAGCATTGAGCTCGAAAGAAGGGCCCCACCACTTCCCATGCTTCCCTATGCTGCCCGCTTGAAACAGTATGTCCCATGCCGGCATTGCAAGATGCCAATAAGAGTATAAACAGCATTGCAGTACACATAGTATTGCATTGCAATCGGTTTAGCGGTGAGTATGATCGTGGCCTCGCAACGCCTGCCAAGCTCATGGGAATATGGTACATACATGCTGTCTATAATATGATTGCGCTGCAGTTTGGGCTTTCATCGCAACCAGTCAACAAGCGCCCGCTGGGCCGCTGTTATCGCTCAACCTCTTTCTGGTCACTTGTCAACAATAACAAAAGGAGACGGGCCACTTATGGCACTTGCTTCAGGAAAACGAACCACTTTGGGATGTGCTGTCGCTGGAACCGGCTGCTTTCTGCTTGCATGATTTTGTTGATCGTGGGCTCTATCTAGCGCAGAAACACGCAACCATAGCACGATACAGACCAAGTAGACGATCACTTTGAGGCCTGTGTTTGGCTTGAGTTCCACCAGCCCTTCTATGCACCTCAGATGCAATACTACTCTACTGCATTCAGAGCGTCATGCGTGTGCCATCCTTGAACCAATCCCTCGTAGTCTTCTGCGACTAGCCCTCAGATTGGTTACTATGGGGGCCGACTTTGATCGTGATTGGCCGCGCCGTCCAATGTTGGCTCACGCCCGCGAGAGGTTTGCGTAAGGGCCAAGGTGGTCAGGGACTGCCGAGTGTCCCATCCCATACCCTTTTCGATTATATGAGAGGTCTGGTAGAATAGTAGAATACCAAATAGTAGCTAGACTAGTAATATTATTTCTTGAGGTCGTGTGAAAAACAGGGCGCAAGAAACCAATGTCGTGACCTCTACTTGACTGCGATAGCGGAACTGATCGTCGGATTGCGATTAATATTCCACTTGATCAGCAGTATACTATCACAAAACACTGTATCCTTTTGAGGCGGCAGTCAAGAGATCTACCTATCTTATCTTGCGCTCTATAGTACCGTTGATCAATGGGGTAAGTCAAAGTCATCCGAACGTACTTATCAATCTAGCTGTTCCGCATAGTCTTCCCAACCTGACTCGTGCGCTTTTCCCGCAGCTCGTGCTCGCGAATAGAGATGCCGCCATCATCTGTTCCATAATCACACCAATGGTCCTGTTCAAGTTGACGGTTTGCCTTATCAGACATGCTATACTCCCTTACCTCGGACCTTTTGGGTATCACTGCGAATATTGCGAAAGTCGGTCAAAAAGTGTGTGGGATGCTTACTGTATCGCGTGGCTCTTTCTTTTTTGCAGTGCCTGCCTCATCTGCCCAGCCTGCATTCAGGTCTGCCACCCTTTGGGCTCCCACACAGCGAGCAGAGGCTGGCTTGGCTGGCAACTGGCATGGGGGAGCTTGGAGAGAGGTCCAAGTTGCGCCAAGTTTGGCCAAGTTCAGAGTCCTTGCTCAACCACCTGCAGTAGACGGGTGGGTATTTGCATAGTCGGGACCATTCGGCAGTCGGTAACTTATCGATTATGTCTACTGTGGATGTATGTGTGGGTGCATGTACTGCGTAGATGTGTGTGAGTGGGCGGATAGGTGCACGATGTAATAAGCCGTCAAGCGGGTCGCCAACTTCCATGACCAGAAAGAAGGAAGAAGCCTTGGGCTGCGATATTGACATCTGTATGCTGACCACGGGAGCAAGCCGTTGGCTATACTCGTTCCAGCATGTTCACGAGGGTGGTGGTTCTTCATCTTTCGCCGCAAAGAGGCAGAAAAATCTGCACGATCATGCAGATCCGGAACGTATCCATTTTGCGCTTCACGAGACTATGAAAATCGACCTGAAGCCAAGTGTTGAAACTTGTCTTTATCTGGAACTCGTAGGCGGCTGGTGATAAACAAGTGCCTGCTGCTTCTTCGTCTCTTTGGCTTTTTAGCATTTGTCGGCTGCAACATGAGTGTCAGGCGGATTTGCATAAAATTCCGTCTCCACAACAATGCATTCATTCTAACACTACCGCTGCAGCCGGGGGGCTCAAGTGCCTCCAGTGCTTCCCATGCCAACCTTTTTTGTGCACATTATCCATGTGGCCTCCCAATGACTTTGGCCTGTAGACGTGAGCTGAAGCCAGGACGCGTGCACTATCACAACGATTCAACCCGAAAAAGGCTGTCCTCTTGCCCTTTTCAGACTCTCATCTATCTTGACCGCCATCTCGACGACACCTTGCCTACCACACCTAACCCACCCGTAGCCATTCCGACGCCTCTGATTTGGCAACGTGCTCTTTTCACAACCAGGAAGCACCTGTACGTAGTAAGTTTGGGGGACAAGGAGGAAGAAGAGGGAGAAAAAAAAAAAAAACTCTTCTCTGTCGCCGTCTACGCGCTTCAAACGCGAACAGCTTGCTGCTTGCTCGCCGAAAGCCCGCCCCCAAGCAACCACTACATACCCTACTACGTGCCAGGCAAGGCGTAACAAAGCAGGAAGGCAAGCAAGCAAAAAAAGCCCTGATCGCTTACTTCACCGCTCCGCACCGACGGGTAGCCTAACATTGGTTCCCGGAACTCCCGCCCTGCTGCCCGCCAACTTCCCCCCCAAAGTTGATTGCATAGCGATCTCAGATCGTGAACGGACCTATTGCCCCAAAAACCATGGCCGTCTCTTCCTCCGTCCAGGTTGTTCTCCTCGATATTGGTTAGTACCCAAGCTACAAGCTCTTTTTTCACCTTCCCAAGCAGCGGCACTTGAAGCTCCCAATGGCAAAAGCTCCCCTTCCTTGCCTTGCTTGACCCGGGAGTCCACAATGATCCTTTGCTTCCATGGCAGCATTGCATTAGTCTGTGCAAGCTTGCTAATGCTATACCTAACCAGAGGGAACAATATGTGAGATTAGTTTTGTCCGGGATGTCTTGGTAAGATTCTTGTCATTTTTTTTTCTGAAAATTTTTCTGCTTCCAATGGTCATTCCTTCCGACTTTTCGTGTCAAGTCGGTGAAGAATTTTTTCGTTTCGTTTTTTTCACTTTCCTATCACGATGGATGATGCACCTGGATGGCGTTGCAGAACTGCTCTGCGGTTTCCTGCTGCTCGGGAGTGTCCCGAAGTTGACGATCCCGAAATCACCCTATCTGGATCGTCGTTTGATGGGATCCTGATAAAAATGTCTTGCTTTGCAAATCGCTCTCTAGCGGCCAGAGTTCTAGACCGTCGGTGGCGATTTGGAGGCTCACTCAAAAATGATTGCATTGTGATTGGCCCGATCAACTGACACATCATCTAGTTCCCGTATGCACTCAAGGTATTGCCAGAGGTTGTCAAGACTCAGTGGGATGAGCCGAAATTCAAGGAGTATCGGGATCTATTTCCTACCGAGTACAGAGACAACCAAGACGCCTTTCAGGCCCACGTGATCGACCTGGCCAGCCGGGATGTCAAGATCTCCTACTTGAAGAACCTCCAGGGCTATCTCTGGGAGGAGGGTTATCGATCTGGAGAGATCAAGGCTCCTCTGTTCCCCGATGTGCTCGACACGCTGGCAAAGTGGCACGGAAAGGGAGTCAAGTTGATGATCTATTCGTCAGGATCTGTTCCCGCCCAAAAGTTACTCTTCAAGCACACCAACGCCGAGACCCCAGATCTAACCTGGATGATCTCGGATTGGTTCGATACCATAAACGCTGGCTTAAAGACGGAATCGTCTAGCTATGAAACCATTGCGAGCAAGCACCCGGATGTCCTACCCGGCCAGTTCCTCTTCCTGAGTGACAATGTCAAGGAAGTCGAAGCTGCCATCAAGGCCGGCATGAGATCCGTCGTCGTGAAGCGCCCTGGCAACGCAGAATTAGCTCCAGAGGTGTACGACAAGTATGATGTCGTGGAAACATTCCAGGCGATCGAAGATGATTTCGTCATCAAGCGACTCCAGGCACTGGGTAAGAGGACGGCTGACGAGGCTGTGCTCGGCGAGGGCAGCGATGCCAAAGTGGCAGCAGCCGAAGCACCCGAGGCTGAGAACCCGGATGCCAAGCGTCTCAAGACTACCACAGGGGGTGACGATGAGCCCAGCCCAGCGAGAGCCGCGCAGGATGTAGCTGCACCCAGCGCCACAGAGACCAAGCAGGGCACTACTGAGAACCAGGAGGAGCCGTCCCGCATGGACAAGTTGCTTGCTCAGGCCGTCGGGGATGCACCACCTACGCCCAAGACTACTGAGGAGGCCAAGGAGACTCCAGAAGCCGCAGAGTAGAGCATCACTATGCATTCCTAGAGGCATCTCTAGCTACCGTGTCCCGTTCCACCGATATGACAAGGACTGGAGAAACGGAACGGCTGGGAGACATGAACCGTATACGAAACCCCCCAAAAATATCACATGTTTGAATGCTGGCTTTGGGATAGATAAAACAATACTATTCGTAGCTAACGCGTAAAGTCAATTTTCTCCCAAGTGTGATTATGAAGTAGTATATGCCTTTCTGGGTGTTGTGTCGCTTGAGGTCATAATCCATGCACAACTACGTGATATTACGGGCTGGGCTGCGGGACGAAGGGGGGGCGAAAACATCATCAGACTCGTGTCCGCTGCAGTCTCTCACCCAACAAGCAATTCGATTTCGTCCGGACTGTGTGGGATGAAATGCTTCCCATTCGCCTAAACTTGCTCGGGCCGTTGAGAGAAAACTCTCTCCCCTCTATCTGCTGGGTAGGGCGCCGCGTAGGGTTCATCGACGCATGCAACTTGTGTTGCTCGCGTGTTTCGACGCACAGTGTTTGATGCTGTTTATTTTCTTTCCTCCACCCCTCTCTCTCCCGAGCTGCCGCCCCGGCATGTAATATGTAGACGCACGAACACGGGCAAAATCAGAATTAGAGTTTTTGAATATATGCGAGAAATAGTACAGCAACAAAAAGCAAGTCTGTCTGACTCGAGCAAGCAAAGTCCCTGAGACATACATGATTGGGCGAACCCAGCCCTCTGAGATGCAGCGCCAGTCTGAGCCAGCCACTTCTCTAGTCTGCAGACCCCCATTTGACCCAGTAGGAAGCGAGACCGCTGGGGGCCCAAAGGCCACCAGAATTAAGACCGGGAAAAGAGTAAGTAGTTGGTAGCCAAACTGGACAAAAACGGTTGTGCAAAGAAAGATGAGGATTAGAGAAGTGGCTTGGGAGTCCTTGGGGCAGCCAGCCAAGCCAGCCCACCCCAACCCAGCTCCCAAGAGGCTCGGCTCCCCATGGTGGAAACCTAAAATCTGGGGTACATGGAAATCTGGGGAAATGAGACGAATTGCTTCTTTCTGCTCATTCTGACCAACGTGATGTAGATAAGATGAAGAGCAGCGGCGGGTGTGCAGCCCTTTCGTGCGACATGTTCTTTTTTACGACAGATCACGCAGACACAAGGGCCACTCAATCTATCGGTTTCGTTTCAATAATTCGTAGAAATGAGGAGGCAGGTTTGTCAGGAGAATTTCACTTCTACTTTTCTTCACTGTACAGGTACTCGTTTCGAACCGCATAGTCGTCCCTCTGGTAACAAGAAAACCAACAAGTAGAAATCCTACTGTGTACAAATGCACAGGCTGTGCTGATCACTACGGTCCATCAAGGGGAGATTGACTTTGACCATCCCAAACGCCTCGGAAAGAACGGGGCGATCTCTTTCTGCTTAACCTTTCACGCCATGATACGGTTCAGAGTACATAACGTTTCCCCCATTTCCAAAACGTCACCTATGTACTGCATCCATCAAGGTAATGTACCATGTATACTAGATTAAACCACGCAATCAGTGGGGGTCCTTATCAATTCATCTTTTTTGCCGGTGTTTTCAGTTAGCTCTTGCCTTGTGGGGTGTTTTTATGATCTAGACCTGCGCCATTCGGCGTCATTCTTGTCTTACGAGGAGGGGGAAAAAATGAGGGAAAGATGAGGGGCTGAAAGAAAAGACCAAGGACCCTGTATTGAACTACTGCAAAGTATATCATGGTTGAACAGAAACCGATGAAAAGTGGTTTGAATGGTACCTGACTACCTGCACATGTCTTGATTGATATCCCCTAAAAAAAAACGCCCCCCTCACAACGGTTGGGTCTGGTGGGTTGGTGTGATAAAGCCCCGGGTAGAAAGGCACGCAATGTGTAGTCATAGTGGAGTGATAATCAGCAGAACGTCATGTCAATAAACAAACCACCTCAATGTGATTGCGTGACTCGTCTCGGCCTCTTTCGTGGGGTTCGGCAACGAGGCCGGGGCATTTTGTGCTCATCCGATTGGAAAAAGCTCTGGACAGTACATGGAAAGAGAAGTGCCGTGAGGAGGCATGATCATGACAAGTTGCTGATATCTACACGCATAGCTAGGCAATGGACAATCCTGTCTGATTGGTATACAGATCAATGCGGAGAGCTATTAGGTAAGACTATGGTCTTGTCCTCATTTCCCCGGCCGCCATCATTTGTCTATAGCAACTAGACTGGCGACACCAAGTATTGACGGCAGTATCTTAGCTGCCTCTTCGGCGTCGCAAATATATGCAACGGCGCGCGATTAGGAGTGCACAACGCGGGATAGCATACGATGACAACCAATGGAAACCTATCAACAGCTTGCCCACCAATGACTCGTGCTGGCGTGATGTGATGGTTAGAGTGCTGTCAGTGAGAGCTATGACCGACACTGTCCTAATTGGTCTTCAAACTGAAGCAATAGTGATGATCGCCACCCCTTGCAATTGCTTCTTTGGGTGGAGTTGAGATATTAAGATGAACACTCATTGGTTGTGGCGTCCAAACGACACCATATGATCTGCAGATAAACCTCCAACCGGCAACGCCAGTCTCTGCAAACTAGATCCATCACATCGAAAGAGATATGAAGCGAGTCCTTCTCCGCACGAGAGCCGTCGTCTGACCAAAACTGGAGACCATTGTTGGCAATCCACACAGGTCAATCCGTTGGGGTAGCGGGGTCACTCAGATGACTGACGATCATTCAGAATGCGGGCGTCGGAGCGTACCATCAACCTTGATGGATTCTCAACTCGGACAGCCCTAGTATTGTCTCCAAATCGCAAGTGGACACATCGAGATCTGTCAACGAAGCAATTTCGTAATCGACGGCACTTGGCTGCAGTGTAACCCTATGAAATGTCAGTTTGAGAAACTCTTGACGAGAATGAAAAGACACATACTCTTGGTTGAATGGTCAATTTCAAAGAGTATTGTTTGATCCCTTGGTGATTCCAAGGCAATTCGAGGTGAGTAGCTGAGAATGGTCGCGTGACTGATGCTCTTGCAGCTCATCCCGATGATCCATTGAGTAAAATGGCAAAATTATTCCTTGAACCTCCAGTCCGAACCTGTGTTTTGGCAAATTTGGTTCGAGAAGCAGGTTTATTCGTCCTTGTCCAGAGATAATAGACCAATTTCTGAGTAAGCTTGTACTCGGTCTTGATGTAGCCAATAGAGGTCATGATGGCCTCGAGTCTGCTCTCGTCCATGTAACGCGAATTCGTCACACATGGAGCGGGAAGAACAAGAAAAAGACTGGGAAAGAATTTCTGTAGTTCCGTATCGACATTGCCTGGCTGGACCAGAAACTCCAATGTCCTGAGAAGCATGTCACCTCGTACCCGGGCATCGGGGACAAAGTTTAACACCAATGACAAGCTGATAATGTCAAATCGTTCCGAATCATCTTTCGGAAGAGGCCTCTCCATGAAATCTTGCTGCATTATCCCTTCCCCTTGGCTGTTCAAGTCGATCCTTTGCATGGAAAAGAACCGACTCTTGGAGCACTCGTTGGTGGTGCTCAGGGCGCCCACTTCCAACATGCGAAGAGGACGTCCTGCGCCTTGAGAAGCCTCCTTCAGGGCAGGGTGAACTGGCTTGAGCCATTCCATTAGGACCCGTGAGCTGTCACCCCCTCGATCATTCCGTTGACCCTGCAGACTTGCCTGCTGGTACTTTTCGATACCTCCCAGAGCCGCGATTTCCTTGTCGATTGCGATTTGCTGCACCGTGTCACCCTTGGAAACAGCCTGTGCCTTTCGTTTTTCCAAGACATGATGAGCATTAATCAATGCTTTTGTCGCTTGCCTCGATATCGACTTTGGTTTTTGCAAAGTCGGCGGTCGCCCATGAGCCAGGCTCTTGGTGACTCGCTTCTTCTTGATTGTCATCCCTCTCTCTGTTCAGGTTACCTCATATCAATGTGAGTTGAGAGGACGAGCACGTTCCAGAAAAAAAAAATTTGTGTTGCCCTTGCAATAATTGATTGAGCAAATGCATTCTTGCCCAAGCAAATTTCATGCTTGACAGTGCTGGATACCACAATGCTGCACTAGGCACTGTACAAAACCCGGGTCATTCTAAATCCTGTCCCGACTTCAATCGCGCACGGGCCATCAATTGCGGAAACCCTAGCCCACTAATCGCCAAACCACCAAAAAGTCTCGAACTTTTTTTCTCTCTTTGTAGGACGAAGAGCCCATCGCGACAACTAACCAACCCATCCAGCAGCGACAATCCCCCTGCCAATACCGACGAAATGGCTCCCAACACCAAGGGTACGTGATCGATATTTTTACCTCCCAATGCTCTTTCACGACATGGGCATTCTGCGAGTCGACTGCCAGCCATGAGCAGACCCGGCGATACACCATCAGCTGTAGCAGATTTTTGCGAGTCCTCTTGATGAGGGCGATTGCTGAGTCGTCCACCTTTTCCCGTGGTGGACTCGATGATGCATACAGCTGCAGCAGATATTGCGAGTTCTTTTTCTTTAGAAAAGAGCGATTGCTGATGCATGATTTTTCTCACAACAGCTCCCAAGGGCAACAAGAAGGCCAGCGCTGCTGCCAAGGCCGTCCTCAAGGGCGCCCACTCCCAGACCAAGAGGAAGGTTAGACTGTCGACCACCTTCCACCGCCCCAAGACTCTGCAGCTCTCGCGTGCTCCCAAGTACCACCGCAAGTCTATCAACCACGAGCCCCGCCTCGATGAGCACAAGATCATCATCCACCCTCTCAACACTGAGAGCGCCATGAAGAAGATTGAGGAGAACAACACCCTCGTCTTCATTGTCGACATCAAGGCCAACAAGGCTCAGATCAAGGGTGCCCTGAAGAAGCTCTACGACATTGACACCCAGAAGATCAACACCCTCGTCCGGTACGTGTTTTTACATTTTCGGACACTCACTGGTAAATATACTGACATTATTTCACAGCCCCGACGGTAGCAAGAAGGCCTACTGCCGCCTGACTGCCGACGTCGATGCTCTCGACATTGCCGCCACCAAGCTGGCTCTCGTCTAAGCATTGATTTCATGGTATGGCAGGGTCGCTTATGATTATTTTTTGGGGAACCAAGCGTGGATACGTCTTGTGAGGGCGGTTCAAGCCTCAGGGGAAATTTATTCTTGCATTGAGTAACGGCGTTTCAGCCTAGGGAAAAAAGGCTCATGAGGACAAAATGGGAAAATGAATTCACTTGCCGCCCTCCCCCCATTCTCGTATTGTCTTGAACTAGAATCTCGTTTGTGATCCCGTACCGAAATCGTGTCAATACGTAAAGATACCCGTCTACGAAAAAATTGCACCTGTATGAGAATTCTCCATGTGATTATGTATCATGCAGAGTAGTGTACAGTTATACTACACAAGGACTATCTGTTGGTGTCCTGGCCCCCTTCAAGGTCTCGCTGAAAGTGTGCTTGCGCGCCTCACATGTACATGTGCAGAGCAGTGGGAGTATTATGTTGCCTGCGTTTCCATCTTCTTGTCCGCAAAATTAGACACTATCGACCTCTCTATTGTCGCATGGTCTGCAGGTTCTTCATGGTAAGGCTGCTGACGTCGAGGAATCGGTCTGCGCAGTTGGCCATGCAGCTCTGCTCGTTCTTGTCCATCTGGCCCGACTTGATGGGGCCGGTGATGCACTTTTTGAAGCAGACATCGGTAAGGGAGTGAATGGCTAGATGGTGGCACAAGATGTTAGCCCCAGCAAAGAAACTTTTGATTCGTGATCCTCGTCTAGATTCCGTCGCTCGCCTCGGTCTTTCTTTTCCTACCATCCCGCTCGAGAAGAGAGCATGGGGGAGCGCGGGCAATCTGTGGATATATAATGTGCCGACTTACTCGACTGGACGCGCGCCTTTTGGTTCTCGTTGTTGAGGAATGTGCGCAGCTGCTGCTTGTCCTGCTCGTTCAGCTTGTCGAGCTCAAAGTCGGAGAGGTTGCTGCCGTCCATTGTGTGCTTGCTTGACCTTGGCGAATGCTTCTCGGGGGAATATGCTGTCGCTTAATTCGTGCAGAGTTTAAGGAAGGAAAAGAGCGTAAGTCGGAGTGATGGTTTGGTTGAATGTGCCGTCGTGGTATTCTATGATGCTCACTTCTCTCAAATGGCGATACCCGTCCTTGCCTAACAAATTTCGAAGCTAGTGACGCTGAGCTTTGGCGGCGCTTATCTTATCGTGGCTTCCCCAGATAATACTGTGCAGTATGCAACAGCAACAGCATAGTAAATTTATTCAACATCTAATTGATCGAATTGTAAATTATAATGCATCATGAACCTTTCGAAATACATCTCATTCCAAAACATCTAATGAATTGTTGATCTGGGATTGCAAGACGAGCGACAAATACACCACTGGGAAAGAGAGCTACCGGGGTCTGTTTGGGTGGATATATATTGATTTCTAGTTGTATATACTGGTATAATAATTGATCTACACGTATTTGTACGGGTTCATGATACCATTCTGGAGTGATAATCAGTAATTGTTTCAACATAGGACGCAAGGCACCTATAGACAGGTGAAGACTTACCGGATCATAGAGGTTCTTGATTTGTTTCATCAACGCAATCATGGTCTCGCTCCTGCTGTATCCAATGTAGTTCTTCTTGGCAATGCCGAGACCATGCTCGGCAGAGATACTGCCATTGACCTTGGCAATCCACTCATAGACAAAGGGCTCGAGGACATCCTCGACGCGCTTGTCGTACCGCCGTACGGCAACGTTCAGGTGCAGATTCGAGTCGCCCATGTGGCCGTAGCCAACGACATCGACAACGGGGAACTCATCCGAGTCACCCCGGAGGCCGGCAGCATCAATCTTTTCCCGCGTCTCGTCGACCAACTTGTACATGTCGGGAAGGGGTATCGAGACATCGTACTTGTACACACCGCCCCAGTGGCCCAGGCACTCGGGGACGCCTTCTCTCTGGCTCCACAGGTTGCGAATCTGGGTCTCGTCTTGAGCCAGGACACCGTCGGCCACAATCTCCTTGCCCATGACATCTTCGAGGAAGTTGCCCAGCTTCTCGGCGTCGTGGTCCGAGTTGGAACCGCTCGTCTCAATCAAGCAGTAAAAGGAATGTTCTCCTTCCAGAGGGCTCTTGCTGCTTCGCACCCTTTGGACCAACTGCTGACTGCGGAGGTCCATGAGTTCGAATGCCGACAGAATCTCACCGAGCTGCTGCCTGGCCTCCTTGAAAGCCTGTTGCATCTTCTCGTACGATTCCACGGCAAGGTAGGCCACGTTGACGGCGCTGGATCTCTGCGGGCACTGGACCGAGACGGCGGTAATCATACCAATCGTTCCCTCGCCGCCAATAAAGAGCTGCTTGAGGTCGTAGCCAGTGTTGTTCTTGCGCAGCTTGCAGAGATCATCGACAATTGTGCCGTCAGGCAGGACGGCCTCGATTCCCAGCACGCTGCCGTGGAGACTGCCGTAACGCAGCAACCTCAGACCTCCAGCATTGGTGGCCACGTTGCCGCCAATGTGGCAGGAGCCCTTGGCGCCCAGGTCGAGCGGGAAGATGTAGCCCTTCTCGGCCAAGAACTGATCGGCAACCTCAAGCACCACACCGGCGTCGGCCACGAGAATACCACTAACGTCGTCAAAGCTGCGGATCTGGTTCATGCGGCTCGTGTTGAGGACAATCTCGTCAAAGACGGGCACGCTGCCTCCGACCAGACCCGTGTTTCCTCCCTGGGGCACGACGGCCAGCATGTTGTCGTTGCAGTACTTGAGGATCTTGGAGACCTCCTCGGTCGAGGCGGGCTTGAGGACCAGCTTGCAGTGGCCGCGGTACTTGCGCATCCAGTCGCCGTTGTAGGGTTCCATGTCGTCGGCCGCGACCTCGGCCGTGACGCCATCAATGACGGCCGACTCCTTGCCGAGGAGGTCGCGGAAGAACTGGACGTGCTCGGGGGTGATTTGGGTGAAACGCTCGTCGCGCTTGATGTCGGGGTACGTGTCGGTGGTGAACTTTGCCATGCTCGGGCCGGACGCCCTGAGCTGGCGCGGGCCTGCCGTCGACAAGCACCGGAGGGCGGTCCTCGAGGCGCCGGAAGCGGGAGCTGTCCGCACCAGGCCGGCGAGGCTTGCTCGGCGCAGCACCGGGGTGATTCGCGATCTGCAGGCCATTGTCTTGTCGAGAGCTCGTGGCTGCGTTGGGACTGCAACGAGGACGGGCGAAATGCTCGTACTTGGGTTTTTGAAAAAAAGCAGACCTAATCGACAAAGTCCGGGCTTACACTTTCCGCAGCGGGACCAGAAAAATAAAAATGGAGCGACAATGACAAGCTCCTTTGCGCCGCTCCGGTCATCAATTCCGACGACGACGGGCGGGTCTCAAAATCCCAGCCAATCGGTTTGTCAACCCCACCTTTGACTATTGAGTCGCAGAAGGAAGGTGGTGTCAATCTGGGGGATGAAGACGTTATCCTCCACGCTGAGAATATACCAATTTCTGTTACTTATTGATCAAAGTAATAATACTGGACTCAAATTAAAGCTACAGCCCTTCTATCCAATCACCAATACCTTGACTGCAAATTCAATAACCAAGAATCTGTCAAGACGGTTAGCCGCTTAGTTAACGGGGGTGTATAACAGCCAATTTAACAGCCAGTTTAATAGCCGGTTTAACAGCTAGTTTAACAGCCAGTTCCCAGTCCACTTCCCAGTCTATACAGCCTATACAGCCAGAACGTCCAGTTGGTCCCATAAGGTCCAGGAGAGCCAGAAGGTTGCCAGGGTCCCAGGTCGACCCTCTACCAACGCCAAAACCCAGTTGTAAATCGTACCTGCCATTTACGTACATTTAAAATCGAACGCAAAGTCAACGTATCGCAAAGAAGTAAAGTCAATACATGGATTTCAAAATGGGTAAATCCGGCACTCTGATTAGCTGGAAATGCCACGCTAAGACTTGTGGCAGTACTCAGTACTAGGTATTGTGGTAGAAGGTAGTAAGATCGCCAAGCCTTAAAGGTTGAGCCGAGACTTGCTTTTCCTCCAACGCTGCTATGAACCAATCATGATCACTGCAATTTTGGTACCTACAATCCTGTGAAGGCACACATGGCACGCGATAATATGCAAAGGCCCGTTGGGCTTCACTGCAAATCTAACATCGCCCGACCCGTTGAGAAGGCTCATGGTGAACGGAAGCAGGATCTCACCTTCCAAAGCCATGGACACCCTTGTAAATGCTGAACACCCCTGCCTGCATTGCATACCCGACGACTTCACTGCAAATTTAACATCACGCAAGCCGTTCAAGATTCAAAACTTGTTGAACTAGGACATTTTCTTAGTGTGACCAATGATGCCTTCACTGGAAATTGATTGCCTTCTGAACAATTGATAATCTATGGACGCCGGCCGTCGCGAACAAAATAAAACCAACAGCCATTTGCCTGAATTGTGCCTACCCGTGAGGCCAGGATCAAGAAATTACTGTATTGGTGATCTGATGCTAACAGGGTTTATAAGAAAACAACAGAGGGCGCGGAAGTGAGAATAATATAAGTTCATGATGGCAAGGTTTCAATCATTCTTGCTTGCAAAAGTTCAACCTACAACAAATCATGAAACCGACATGTTAGCTGCTGCCTAGGTAGTATATTCTCGCTTTCGACTTACGTGTCTGTACCTAGGTATATATCGAGGTATATATCATTTTAGCGCCTCGTTCTCCTTAGATGCTAGCATCAAGCATAAAGATTGATGAGGCTCTGCGGATGAATTGGTTACTGGTTGAGTGACACCATTTTTCGAAATCCAGCCAATCACCAATCCTCGCCCATTTTCACTGTAAATTTAGTCCAAATGACCTTCTCAAGATCGCGAGTCTACACTTCCACCACAATAAACGCTACTTCCAAATCGGCGTAAGGGCTTAGAAGATCTTCCTTGCACTGCAAGTTTAACTTCACGCAAGTGATGAAATGAAATCGTGAATGTCACAATTATACAGTGAATCGGCGGAATCGATGGGACAATGCAGTCAACTATAAGTTGTAGAAATGAGTTGTCGAGGGGAAGGATGACTAGCAGCTATCTGGCCCGATCCATGGCATAATTACTAAAGCCTGGTTGCCATGCCGCTTCATCAGAGCCATACCTATACGACTGGGCAATATAGACATTTTCAGCTATGTTGTTGACATGTGGTCATTGTGTGTTTGTCGGCAGCTCGTTCGACAAGAGCTGTGCTCTGACAACGCACCTATGACCCTGGTCTTATACCTATCGGGTCGGGCGACACTAAAATTGCAGTGAAAAAAGATGTTGGGGGACATAATTGCAGCTCCCTGCTGGGGGAAATCGTTTTCACTCCCAACAGAATTATTGCCTAGGTATTGCAGTTAGCTGAATTTACATGTGGTTATTCTGCCTAGGTAAAGTCGTCTACATCGCCCAAGCACTGAATCAAAAACTGCGGTTTCTAATTCATGTGTGCGCCAGCCACCCTCCACCTTCGAAAGAGGCTAGTATTTCCGCAAGCTGATCCTTCTCTTCCTTACACCATGCTACCGATGTGGCATCACATTTATACGAAGGGAAGTAGTTGTACCAGGAATGAGAATGATAATACCGACCTACTCTGACTCCGAATGGATACGAACCCAGACCTGAAGCGAGCGGGGCAAGAGTAACTGATTTTTAAATGGCAAATGACTTGGCCTTATCAACCAATTCGACGTGCTTTGAGAAGCCCTTGGAAAAGTCTCAGCCATAATGTGATGCGCCATAGTGTGGCTGGATGTGTGGCACCCTTCGGGTGACACAACGGGAATGGTTGATTAAGTCTGTTTGTTCACACATTATTTTCGTAGATGTAGACCATCTTTAATTTTACTCTTTATTTCAGATACTGGTCGTATCATAATGGCATAGAGCAATATTTTCAAGGATCTCTGGCATAAACAGTGTCCAAGGTGAACAGTTGTTGAACGCTTCTGTTGAAGAACTATAGTGTCTTGGTTCATGTTCAAGAATATCGTTTCATGTCATGATAGTGTGAATTTGAACACTGGGTACAATCAATCATCTACCACATAGTCACCAGGTTTGCGTGGTATGTTACTAATGACCGCGAATGATGTTATCCGCAATTTTTCCAGCCATGACAAGGCGTGACACAGACCAAAGACAAAAGTTGGGCAAGATGATCACAGCTTTTAAAGCTGGCAGATTCATTTGACATGATCCACGTTATGTTGCAAATCATCTTCGTACTTTTCGTGTGTTTATGAGTAATATCATTTTGGTAGAAAGTGAATAGCTTGAAGCCCTCGGCAAGAGATGCAATTGTCGATTTAGTCAGTGGACTTCTCATGGCCCTGTTCTTCTTCGCAGTCCGAGAAGCAAACATCCTTCGAATAATAAAGACTAATGCCTGGTTAAACAATACAATCCATTGCTCATAAGCATATAAAAATCGATATTAAGTCATTCCACAAAGAAATACTATCAAAATAACTTTCCGCTTGTTTCAGCATACACCTCGACCGTGGTTCGAGCCGGTTAAGTATTCCGAAATGTGCATTCATGATCCTTCCAGATGAACAGGTTCAAGGTTGATAACAAGTCTATATTATTTTTTTCAACTCAATGTACTAACAAATGATCCAGATTTTCGCTGCGTTCACCTCACAGACAACAGACAGCTACGACGTTTCGACGTTTCGACGGTTCGACGACCCATTGGCACGGTCATAATTCTTTCACGGACTTGTTGACCTAGATGTGACTCTGGAAACATATTCTTTATCCCGTGCATGCTGGCAGCATTACAATCAGCGTCAAAACACTGACAGGCTGATATTATGAAATGATTCAACATTGGTCTACGACAATTTGGTCTGTCAACTTGCCAGAATTATATCTATGGCCGCCACTCGAGAAATAATCTCGAGGCTAAACGCCACCTATATCGGGGACGTAAGACACCCCAGTGAATAGTTTACAACATCCAGGCACGATTATTGAAACGGCGAAACATGTCTTTTCAAAATCAAACTGTCGGAAACAATGAGTAGAACAAGATTGACAGGCATTTCCACGTGTTACCATAACCTTGAATATGTCTAAACCTCTTTACCTCGACTGAGTTGATCAACGGTCAAAAGCGCCGGAGCATGGCTAGGTGATCTCTATCATGTTTAATTGCAGTTTAGTGAGCCCTGACTTGCAATTTGCCTTGAGAAAGTACCCAAAAGTCAAAGAGAAACTGGTTTCCTCCCCCACTTTCCCCCATTCTTGCTCTTAGCAGCCACATCTTAGCTTCTTGATACTGAATAAACATACAAGTTTCTCTGATTGAATATGCATCACGAGCTTTGTAGCCAAATGCGATGTCAGCCTTGAACACTGCTCGTGTTTTAGTAGCTACACTAGTACCTGGATGTATTGACCATCGGCTGGCTCATGAACAAGGACTGAAGCGAGGCTAAAATAGAGAAACGTCGAATGTGGGGGATCTCCCAGTTGAAAGTCTAATGGCCATCACGACTGCTTCCTACTTGAGACATGATCACTTGGCTACCTTGATTATATACGGCTCAAGCCTGTCAATATGATCTTCTAGCCCTTGCCGATCAGAAAGCTTTGAGTTCATTAGATCAGCCTGATGTTTGAAACGCGCAACTCCACAATTAGAACATTGAGAACACGTCGGGTATATCATATTTAGCGAGTTTTCCCAGAGGCATATGTCAACCAGGGAATAAACTTGCTCGGCGCGATGGATGGAGTGTGGGAAGCATGCTAATATTAGAAGAACAGACCTAGTAGGGGCGCGTAGACAGCCACACAAAGCCATTCAGCACCACGTCGACATTTTCGTTATCATTGTTCTCTGAGGCACTGCTTGTCAGAGCTATCCTGGGAAGTTTATGCAAGTTGCCGGGGATGATCGGCGTCGCTCCGGTTTTGGGAAAAGGAATAATTTGTGGCAGTCATATGCATGAGAATAACAGTCGTTGGATAGACCCTAACAACCTTTACCAGTTTGCCACGGTTTCAGAACCAAAGCCATGCACGAATAGCAGTTGTCTAGGGCGCGTGGACAGCTGTGGTCGCTGTTACATATTGGTTGAGCTGTCGCCTGGTTTCCCTACACGGAAGGCGAATATCAGGGGAGTTAAAAGAAGACGAGCAATATCGGACCACATTGGAGGGTCACAGAGGAAGGGCATTTCATGCGGGAAATAGTAGAAACATCGGCACAACAAGTAAGAAAACCATAGTGCATGACTTGCGTCGTGATGCACAGCCTGGCCAGAAGAGGATCCTTGGGACGATCTGGCTAATAAGATGCGGATGTGATGAGATCGGACGTTGACCAAATCGGCGGGGATCCTTGTCCATTACGTGCTGAAGACCATGAAGATGTCTTGGCCGACCTCCAAGGTTCAAGTCTGTGGTGTTTCAGTTGCCCACCTGTGGCAGATAGAGTCCATCTAGTCCGATCTAGAGATGGGAGAGACGGTACAGACAGATGGAAGACTGGTGGAATGCATGATGGAAGGTCGGGGGTTTGCTGTACGAGGCATAGTGTGGTGACCAGAAAGATTGATGGATGGATGGATGGATGAATGAATGAGTGGCATATTAGAAGAAAGGTGGCCGCTGATTCACAACTCTGCGAGTCCTGTTATGAGGCTGCTGTTTCTCTTTTCTCTCTCCTTGCCCTTTATCGATCTAAACGTCACGCACGCTCTGGGAGCAGTAGTGGTCGTCGTCGTCGTCATCGCAATTTGCACTTGGACAAATGTGTTGGATAGTTTGCCAAGTTTTGTTGCCCATATTGACCCAGGAGAATAAACAATAAACGACGACCCTTAGCCGTACGATACGACCCGAACCAGCCGGGCAATTGGGGACCTTGGAAATTGATCCTCATCTGCCGCCGCGCTAGTACGCGATCTCGACCTGTCAGGCGACGGAACCCCTGAAAAGAGCATCCACAGGGCGCCCAAAGAAAACATTAGGAATAAAAGATGTTCGCCTTCTTCAAGGGCCGAGCAGCCAAAGATAGCGCAAATGGCGGGGAAGACAAGCAGGATAGGGGCCCAGCTGCCGCCGAAAACAGCAGCATTACAACGCCAATAGCCACTAATGACCTCGCTATCCCGGCAACAAACCCTGCAGCAGACCATCCAGCAGTGCCCGTAGAGCCAGTCCCTGCAGGCCCAGAGCCTGAAGAAGCCGAGCCAAGTGCTGCTGCTGCCCAGCAACCAAGCATTATTGCTACCACCAAGCCAGCGATTAATGTCAGCGTCGAGTACACTTTGACCGAAGCATTCCCAACGTGGCAGCCCGACGAAAGCGGCAGGGAACAAAGTCCTGGCACGCCAATCAGCATCATCAACAGCTGTGACGAAGAATTATCATCAGAACCAAAAACACCACCCCCCAGATCAACATCAACAACAGTCTCAGCGACCAGCACTGCAGCATCATCACCACTATCACTCCCCAAAAGAGCAGCAACACCAGTAGCAGTAGCCACCCCACACTTGCAGGCCCCCCAGCAGCGCCGCAGCTCACCCCCACCGACTCGTACGCCGCCGCCGCCAGCTGCTTCTTCCGTCTTATACACACCTCCACGCTCCAGGCGAACGCGCAGTTCTCACGTCAACCGCTCACAGCCCGATGTGCATGCCGCGCGCGTCCAACGATCGGCTACTCTGTCCAGCGTCGGTATCGCCAAGAGAAACTCGCTAAAGGACTCAAAGACAAAGACGTTCCAGCGCCACTCCATTGCAGAATCCCAAAGCTCAAGCTCTGCTACCCCTGACCGGGAGGGTCTCACCAAGATGGAGCACCAGAAATGGATCACCGTCCAGCAAAAGACCTTTACAAAATGGTGAGTGTGCGAGCCTGCTTTCGAATAGTCTGTCTATGTTGGCCTGCCTTTGGTCACACGGACTGCCCAATGCTCTTCTACCTCTGCTGGGCAAAATTGATCTAATGTCTCTTTAACATTCTAGGCTTAACACAAAGATCGAGCCGAGGGGCAAGGTGGTCAAGGACCTGGTTGCCGACCTGAGTGATGGTGTAAGTCCCAGACCCGAAACGGGCAAATTTTCTCCTCTCCTTTTGTCTGCAAACAAGAATACATGTTCTCCTAGGTAGTACCTGCATGCTGACTGCATATGCCCCCCAAAAGGTTCTCCTCATCCACCTGCTCGAGTGCCTGTCCCAAGAATCTCTAGGTCGATATGCCGCCAAACCCAAGCTGCGGGTGCAGAAATTCGAAAATGCCAACCTGGCGCTCGACTTTGTCAAGTCGCGAGGTATTCAGATGACGAATATCGGTGCCGAAGATGTAGTAGACGGCAACCGCAAGATTATCCTCGGTTTAATATGGACGCTCATTCTTCGTTTTACCATCAGCGATATCAACGAGGAGGGAATGACAGCAAAGGAAGGTCTGCTGTTGTGGTGTCAGCGCAAGACGGCCTGCTACGACGAGGTGGAAGTAAGGGACTTTAGCGCCAGCTGGAACGATGGTCTCGCCTTTTGCGCCCTGCTCGACATTCACCGACCGGATCTGATTGATTATGACGCCCTGGACAAGTCGGACCACAAGGGCAACATGCAGCTGGCATTCGATATCGCGCACAAGGAAATTGGTATCCCAGCCCTGCTGGATGTGGAGGATGTCTGCGATGTGCCAAAGCCCGATGAGAGGAGTTTGATGACATACATTGCCTACTGGTTCCACGCCTTTTCGCAAATGGAAAAGGTAGAGAATGCTGGTCGCCGTGTGGAAAAGTTCATCAACAACATGCAGGGCGCCTGGGAGATGCAGAGTGCCTACGAGAAGCGCATGGCCGAACTTCTTCGACAAATCAGAGAACAAGTCGAGGCCTGGCAACAGTCCACCTTTGAGGGAACCTATACTGATGCAAAGAAACAAGCCAACGAGTTTGGTTCCTTCAAGAGGGGCAAGAAGAGAGAATGGGTCGCAGAAAAGAGCGAGCTGGCCACGTTATTGGGTAACATCAAGACAAAGATGGCTACATATAGGTTGCGTGCTTACGAGCCGCCGCCGGAGCTCAGCCTGGAGGTCATGGACCAGGAATGGGCAACCCTCACCAAGTCAGAAATGATGAGGGGCCAGCTCATCAATGAGACCATTCGAGAGTGAGTAACTGTTCATCGCTCAGCTTGGAGATATACAAACTAACTCATTGTGCAGTATCAAGAATGCCCTTCGCAAATCGTTTGCCGACAAGGCCAATGACTTTGCCCTGGCACTGAACACCATGCAAGTAGCTATTTCGGGCTTGGATGGCGATGTGGAAGACCAGCTGGCCCATGTGCGCAAGCTGTCGGACAATCTGCCACCTTTGGATGCCTATCTCAAAAAGATTGAGGAGGTTGAAGAAAAGTGCCAGGAAGCCAACATTGAGGAAAATGATTTCACAACATACACGTACGATGAATTGTTGTACGAGCTTGGACTGGTCAAGTCCTCGGTGTCTAAGAAGCTGGCCTTCCTGGAGAACCAGATGGTCGCTCGTAACATGACGAACCTGACTCCAATCCAGCTTGAAGAGTTTGAGTCTGTCTTTCGACATTTCGACCGCGATGACAGCAACTCCTTGTCGGAACTCGAGTTCAGCGCCGCGCTTGCGTCCCTGGGTCTTGTGTTCTCGGAAGATGAGATGCACGATTACTTTGATGAGACCTCGCGTGGTACCGGTCGCGTCTCCTTTGAACAATTCATTCGGTTCATGGTCGAGGTGACTGAGGATCAGAACACGGCCGAACAAGTATTCCAATCCTTCCGCGAGGTGGCTGATGGCAAGCCCTACGTGACAGAGATGGACCTGAGACATTCCCTGGTTCCTGATGAGGTGATTGATAAGTTGATGGAGATTGTGCCAGCGCACACGGGGCCCGACATGCAGCACGATAGGGGCAAACCACAGTTTGACTACATTAGCTTCATGGAAAAGCTCATCTCAACAGGGGGGTCGACAAATGGCAGGCAAACCCCCGCAAGCAAGATCAATGGTTCACCGTAAAAAGAAAGAGACTTGACAGCTCTAAATAATAAAAAAAGAAAGAAAAAGAAAAGATCTTGTGTGCGCCAAAGATGACAGCACCGCTAGACGGGCTGTGAACCATCTTTATATATATATCATTCAGCATTCTTCTCTCTATCCTGTTTTCCTGATTTTTGAGCGTTTCGCATTCGAAAGCCAGGAGGGGACTACCAAGCATCAAACCGGGGTGTTTCTCTTATTGGGATCAAAGGAAGGACAACCAGAAAGAAAATCATAGGGGCTGGCTGTGATCATGGCTTTGTTCCTTGTTCAAATATCTACTGGCCGAATTTTGGTTGGGCGAGAGAAGGACTTGGACCATAGAAGGAAGGGAAGAGACATTACAGAAAAGACAGAATGTCTCTTTTTCTAGGATCCCCCCTTGAAAAATTATGTCAAGCATGTATAAAACCAAAATAATAATATCACAGCATATTTAAAATCATTGGTATCATCTCGATGAGTTAAAAAAAAAAAAGTAATGTTAGAAATACGTCCAACTGTAAATAGTGACTAGGTATAATCTGGACATCAATTTGAATGGTGTGGGTAGAATCACTGGATATCAAAAATATTTCAACTAAATCAAATGCTAATTAGACCCCAAACGCCTTTAAAATGCGACTGTAGCGCCTGATGCTCTCCTATGTAGGAAGAGGCGGTGGTGATGTTATGGGATGGGATGTTGGCGATGGCACGCTGACTGTCTTGTCTTTGCATCCAAACCAGCCGGGAGTAGCACAGGTAGTAGTGGTCGTGGCAGTCGGTGTACTGGTCGATGAGCTGCTCGTCGTCGTCGTTGTAACTTCATCCTTGCACTATATTACGAATCAGTAATTGCGTTCAGGTGGATAGTACAGTATTACTAATGGATATACTCACCCCAAACCACCCAGGTGTCTTGCAAGTTGAAGTCGACGTGGTAGTCGTGGATGTTGACGTTGATGTCGTGGTTCCAGTCGTCGTAGTAGTCTCATCAAGACATCCCCACCAGCCGGGTGTCTTGCAGGTTTCTGTCCTTGTTCGAGTCTTGGTGGTTGTCGAACTGGAAGACGAAGTGGACGGATTGGTGCTGTTACTCTCGTACATCTTCCAATTCCCGCAGTCTCTGCATTCTGGCGTGTATTTGCATTTCGGTACCGTGTCATATTTCTTAATGACATCGTTGATGACGGATCGAATCTTGTGCGTGCCAATTCCAACGCGCCAGCCCTTGTCGGCTACTGTGTCATAGGTACACTCGTATCCAGTGTGGCAGGCTGATTCCATGGCGTACCCTGCAAAGGAACACGACGCCGTTGCTCCATTACACGTTCCAATATAGACGGGATCGGCAGTATGGCCAAAGTGATAGGTTCCAGTGTATTCCCGGGTCTGAGGATACTGAGGATCTCCATGTGGAGGAACGGGAAGTCCCAGTCGCCCAGCTGCGAGTGCTTCGGGTACCGCTTCAAAAGTCACGACCGGTAGGCCATATGTCAGGCCCAACAATGAGCTGACAGCGCCGCCAAGCGAGTGGCCGACTACCCATACATTGGAGTCGGGGTACATCTCAGTCACGTTAGAGTATAGTTCTCGCGCGGCTTGATAGTAGCGGTTCTCTGCCCGTAGTGCTTGCGTGACACAGGTATTGTTACAGCTGTAGGTGCCTGTAGCACAGTCGCAAACTTGGTGCCACGACCACTGACCTTGCTGGGCGCAGCAGCAGCTAAAGAAGAGGTTGTCATTCTCCTTGTCGTTTGTGGTGGTACCTTCTCCATCAAAGACGGCGGCCGAGGTACCCTTTAGTCCAATCACAATGGTCGAGTTGTTCTCGTCGGCAAAGATGTGACCACGCAGTCCGTCTGTCTCCCAGCCAAAATCGGCACTTCTGTTGAAGGGCTTGCCCACCTCGTCCCAGTCTGGCAAGCTTGGCTTTTCGACATAGGCATCAGAAGCTATCAGAGCCATGGTAAGTACGGTTCCCTTGTCCGTCACGTCTGGTCCAGAGACATCGTCGAGAGTCCAGGCAGAGGGCATTCCAGCCAAGACGTATCCGCGCTCCCTCGCTTCAGCCACCATGGGGTCTACAACCATGGGCCGCCTGTCGACTAATCGTTCAATCTTTTGGGCCGAGCTCTTGGCTTTGAGAGGTGGCATCTGCTCGGCCTCGAATCCATCGTCGCCAGCGAGCCATACTTGGGCTTGTGGTTCCGTCACATCACGGCGGCGATGCAGACCGGGGTGCCGGTAGGTTCCATGATGAAGGATATGACGTAGCGTAAAGGTGTGCTCGGCAGGCTGCGGCGGCTCAACAATCATGGGAGGGGTTATTATCGGCGAGCCGTCAAGGACGATTTGCGCATTTTGATCGTATGCGACAGTAGATGACGACAGGGCGAGGAAGGATAGTAGTAGCTGGGCGGCGGTTACTCTGCCAGCAGAGTTGCAGGTTGGTCTCTTGCGTCGCATCATGGTGAGGGCGACAGAATAGGAGATGGTATCAAGGAGCAACGCATCAAAGCAGTGGGGGAGTAGAAGAACAGAGGAGAAGTAGGTGAAGTATTTGATGGGATTTGAACCGTTGCCTAAGGAAGGGCAGTGATGAATGAATCGTAGAATGGAGTGAGATAGGTAACGTTAGGAACCTATGGGTATGATGAATGACAGCTAGGTGCCCATACTTAGATACAGTAGGCAGTGCTAGTGCAGATGGACTAGGCACATGGTCGCCCTGTTGACCGTATCGGAGCACCCAAACATGCAGTGGATGTTGTCATAGCCGCTGGTCCCCGGGTGGCACGCGATAGCCATAGTGGGTCCAACCCCGTGGCGGGACCCATGTTGCCTTGCAGTCGTTCGAAACCGGACACTTGTTGAGGCGATTCGTCCTTGTCATGATAGGGCGAAGATAACTAGGTAGGTGCATTTATTGTATTGGACTCACCTGGACACTAGGCGGAAGTCGATAAAGCGGTCAAAGTATTATTATATCCCTGTTGTTTTGTCAAGTATATAATATTGTGTAGGTGGCATGCGAGTTTGATGCCTATTTGCCTCTTTGCATCTTCTCACAGATTCTCAACCTACCTCGCTAGCAATGTATTGTATTATGTCTTGTCCTGTCTTTGCTTCCAGAACCCGCCTCAGTTGGCAGTCATATGACAGAGAGGGCAAGGAACATGTGGGCCGAGTTTTCTGACGAATGATGCTGAGGCGGAGCAAAGGCAGCGAAGGACTCGTCTCTCCTAACCTGCCTATGCACAGCTACGACTCGCTGCATCAATTACATACAGCCTTGAGGCTCTTCTTCCTCGGTACACTTTTAGGTGTCCGACTTTAAACTACATCCAAAGGGCTGCATTTGCAGCTCACTTCAACCAGCCACTAAACGCGGGGAGGGGGAGGGGAAGGGGAACAACCAGCGCAGGCTTCCACCACACACACACACACCCACCCTGTCCTGTCCCTCTGTGCCTGTTGAGGCAGTTGCCAATTAGTTACCTTACAATGTAGTTACCTCCGTTGCTGGTTGTAGGCCAGATCTACCTACCCGTCCATGGATGACATTGGCGAATGATCCAACGAACAAGTGTCCACGAGAACACTCTCTGTGTCGCATTCTTGTCTTGATGGACCGTCATATCTGATCAACTGTCTAAAATACCTTTGTTCTCTCTTTTTGCAGACGACCTGATACACCCTACCAAGCGGACAAGGATGCAGCACCAAACTTGAAGATCGGCCTAGGCCTGAAGCTACCTACGGCGCTCCGTATAAACTCCACAAACGCCCCGTTATCATATCGCCGATAACAGGCGGCACGTCTCAACTTGCGTCGCCTGTTACATGTTACTCACAAACTACGCACTCACTGCTTGGTCTGGTTGTTCTGAAAGGAGTTGCTAGAAATGCCAATACTGTTCTGAGAAAACCATTTCCACGACTCCATGGTCTACAATCGTGAACAAAGTATACCTTCAAGCTCTTGCCTCTTCCAAGGCTCGGCCCGAATCTGCCGCCACATTCTGCAATAACTCCTCCAGTAACTACAAAGTACGCCGTGACGAAACGAGGAGGCAAAAGTCTCGCCTACGCCCTAGGTTTCACCAAGCTACGGCATGCTATAATTGCGTCAAAGTATTCAAACATTACTTTGCTCGCTCGATTGTACAATTCTCGAGATAATTTAAGCTACTCGTTCGCCTTCTCTCCTGTGCCGTCTGCACCGTACCCTTCCAGAGCTCTCCGTCGCCCGTGAACCAGCAATCGCGTCATACACTCCTATTCAGCTTGCGCGTCCCGAGGTGCCGTAGCTACCTAGCCAAGTGCAGTCGGACAAATTCATGGCGTCCAAGGCTACAGAGCCCAAACATGGGCTGCGTACCTCGAGATCTTTTACCCGGCAAGAGTCACAACCACCAGAGCCCCTGACTAGGACCCAGAGGGCCAACACCTTTCAAAATGGGAGCACGAAGCCGACCTCGAGAGCGGAACCCGATGCGTTTGAAACTCCTGAGTCCGACGACCCCATTGAACCGCCTCGAGCATCGGTGGACATGGACGACATTCCCATAGAATTGGTTAGCAAGATTGACAATTTTATCGACTCTCTCTCTGCCAAAGTCCACGCTGCTCCGCCGAATATTGACGACATCTCGAGGCGTTTCCAGGACTTCTATAATACGGCCGCCCAGCTGATACAAACACACATTTCAAGTTTATCCACGATACAGAACCGAAGCTCGCCGCGACCTTCGGTGACGACAAGACCATCGGCAGCAAGTATTCTCAGAGCCAAAGCTGCAGCACTGGGAAGCAAGGAAAAGGCAAAGGCGCCAGAAGTCGACCAACAAATGCTTACGCCAGATGAGCTAGCCAATCGAAAGAGGGCTAGAAAAGCATTGGAACACAAGAGATTACTGCTCGAGGAGGCCGTCGAAAGGCGTTTGTGTGAGGGTATTTATGACCGGATATATCGTCACAGAACCACGCAAGATGAAGCACAGGACGACAAGCTCAGGTCCAAGACGGCTGCACTATCTGTGGTTGGCATTGGACCAACAGACCTTGGTGTTGATATTGGCGAACTACCCGAGGACAACATTGCGGCCGTGGCAAAGAAGCAAGAAGAAATTTCCCAAAGTCTTGAACAAGCACGAAAGGACCTTACCCTCATGACTGAGAAGCGATATCCACTTGGCAAGCTCAACTACCTCAAAGCCACCCACAAGAGCATCGTCGACACACTATCACACTTTCACCCTTCCTCATCGGCTGATGAAATCATGCCAATGCTCATTTATACCTTGATAACGATGCCTCCGGAGAAACTGCACGTAGTCAGCGACTCCAAATTCATTGAAAGGTTTCGATGGGAAGAGAAGTTGGACGGCGAAGCTGCCTATTGTCTGACCAACCTGGAAGCAGCTATAAATTTTCTGGAAACGGTTGATTTGGCCAGCCTGAGAGCTAGCGAAGCACTTTCTGGGCCGCCAAAACGCGAAAACAGCCCAGATATAACAAAAACGGAAACTTTTCCACCTGCTTACACTGCGGGGATTTCGGCTACCTCTTCGACGCCTGCAATTGTCACTCCTGCGAGCGCTTCTGGACTAAAGGCACCTCCATCTCCCACCAGCGCCAGGGCTGCGGCGCAGCGTCGTCGGCTTAGTGATTTGATACAAACGCCAGCGCAGGCAATCGGAAGTGCTAGAGACTCTTTCTTTGACACAGCAGATCAGGGAATCAAGAATATTACCAACAGTCTTGGGGATAGCTACAAGTTCTGGCTAGGAAAGATCCGTGAGGACTCCAAAGAGCTCGTGGTCCCAAAGACACTGGAAGACGCCAGGAAGCTGATCGGAACGCCACCCCCTGATGACGACGATCCAGCTGATACTTCACGCTCAAGTCGCAGAGGTGCTGAGCACGACGCCCAGACGCTTGGAAGGGAGGACAGAATGTTGAGTCTTGTCGGTGGTAGAAAGGCGTCCGTGGCCTCGAGAGATCGCAGTGCGGATAGCACACGAAGTGCAAGCAGCTCGAAAAAGGTGGCCTTTTCTGCTGAAGACAACAAGGAAAAGGCAGCAAGTTCTGCGGCCAACCCCATGATATCGTCTTCACCCATCAACCCCAGTCTGGTTGAGCAGGCACGAAATCTCGGAAACTCGTTGAACCCGATGAACAAGTTTTCTGGCATGATACGCCCATTTGGCCGCTCGGTCACGACGCCAGTGCAGGCGTCAACACCTCCACCAAAGGACAGTGCTGGTAAGCCGGTGGATGGTGGTGATTTAGCTACCGTAAGTCTTTTTTCGCTTCCTTTGCGTCAGGAGTTGTATTGCATGAGTTGTCCTATTATAATCACCCCAAGAAACCTCAAGCTAATAGAGAGTGAAATTCTAGGCCTTTCCCGATATTGCAGCAGCACTGCCTCCGAAAGAGGTCAAGATTCCACAGATTAAACCACCAAACAAGAGATTTATAGAATTGCAAAACCCTGCTGATCTCAAATTGGGCGAGGTCCTTGAACTTCTCCGGGATTATAGACGGTTGGCAGGGGCACTAAAGGATATGGGCGCATTCAAGGAAACATAGACAAACAGCGAGGGGTTTTGATTCATGGTTTACAGTAAAATAGGATGAAATGTACAAACATTGAAAGCAGTAACGGCACATTTTGTTGAATGTTTTGGCCCCTTTGAAAACTCTAGATTCCGACATGCACTGGGAATAAAACATGACCATGTCTCTATGAAACGGCATTTGGATTGTTGATCAAAGTACAAAACTTGAGGTTGAGGAGTGGGATTTCATTATGATTATGTGTATCGATTTCTCTATCCCTTATCCTGGAAAGTCCAAAGTAATCTCTTTTCTTGTTTCCTGTATAATGCATATCCTAGACCAGACACGACGGATTCTCAGATGCCTGGAAGTCCAATCACGGATCTCAGACCTGGAATCCATCGCGGGAGATAGTATATTGGGTAGATGCCGATGAAGGCGGTCAGTAGGCCGGTAAGCTATTGCAAGCAAGAATATTAGCATCATGAACTTCCTTCACAATATGCCAAAGGGAAAAGAAACAAGGATTTCCGACTTACCTTTTCAAACCAAGTGTGAAAGTAAATGGCCGTCATGAGCAGCATCCACCAGGATAATCCGACGACTCCAATGGCAAACTTGGCCCCAAATGTCATGCCCTGTTGTTGCTGCTGCTGTATCCTGGCGCCACCCTCCTTTTCGGCCTCGACACCAGCGCCCTTGACCGCGCCATCATGCATCACGATACACCTCTCGTCACCACGACGACCAAAGATGGAGAAGCCGCCGCCTGCTGTTCCGCTGTTATTGACCGCCCGCGCCACCACCCAGCCGACCTCTTGCAGCAGGAACCAGCTGCCCAGGACGAGCAAAAAGACGTGGCCGCTGATGTCGTGACCGCCGCGCCACTTGCCGCCCGACGCCTTGCACGCCACGGCAGTCAGGACGTCGGCCTTGTTGGTATCCTCGAACCCGCCCTCAAAGACGGCCGCCTCGGCAACCTCGCACTTGCCGCCCGTGAACCGGAACCCGCGATCAATCAGGGCGGGACCAAAACACCACTGAGTGACCAGAACCCACCAGGCCGTCACGGCCGCCCAGCGGAGCCCGGCTTTGAGTTTGCGAGACGCCGAGACCTGGAGGGACGGGTGGCTCAGGACAAAGACGAAGAAGGCCACCGTGATCCAGGCCCAGCCGCGCTTGACAAAGAGGATGTTGAAGAGGTTGTTCTTGCGGGCAAAGTACGAAGGGGCCTCGGCCTGGACGTGCGACTGGCCCACTGCATCGTAGGCCGCAGCTCTCGTCTCGGGTGACAGCGCGCTGAAGAGTGTTCCAAAGAGAAGGAGTACTGGGTACACGAGAAGGAGGAGAGACTCGGCTGGTGTCGGGAGATGCGGTGGTGTGCGTGATGTAGCTGCCGAGGACGAAGAAGAGGAGCCGCGAGGAGAGTCAGTCTCATTGCTGGAGGCGGCCATCTTGACCGGTCGTGATCTTAGCGAGTATGTATCGTCCGCCATGAGAGAGATCGAGCAAGGTGGCAGTCAAGACGACGGGGTTTGCGCGCCAGATAGATCAGATCTGGTCTTGTCTGGTCTTGTCTCGAGAGGCCGCCTAGGAATATTCTGGAACTCCACAATAAAGGGATTAGTCAAGTTTGGTTGTAGCTTCTGCCTGACAATGTAGACACGTGAGTAGAATCATGTTCAGGCAAAGAGTAAATAGTTTACGGAGTTTCACCAACTACGTACGGGCTGGTAGAATAAATCCAATGACTTACAGCAAGGTCAACCCGATCCGATGACGTTATACTTGGAAGTGGTCAACAACGACGTATTGGTACCTGTTTTAGTGCCCCACGCCACATGCAAACAGGAGCTAACTTCAAGGTTCAGTGCTGTTGAGCTAAGAGTGGGCTGCTGCCGAGGCACCATGCTGTGCACATCTTGTACAAGGCCATGTCACATTATTTCAATACAATCAATATTCATCCTTTTCCACAAAATTCACACTCGAAGCAAAAAACATTTTCGTAATGATTCAATGTCGTATTGATATTGATCTACGTGAAACTACCAATGCCACTCTGTTCGGGTATCCATGTTCTCTTAAATGCCATGTAATGATGGTGACTTTTTTCTCACGATCTCTTTTGCTCAACCGAAAACGCCTTTGCCGGACCACAAGCCTTGGTCATGATATGCTGTCCTTCCCTGTTCCATCCATTCTCATCAAAAAAATGAGAAAGAAAATAAAAATGTTTTGTCCAAATGCCCACTGGGCCAAAGTCTAGAATTGAAAGAAGTGAGGGAGAGACAAAGAAGATGCCCCGATGAAGAAATATATCGTTGGGGACAGAAATATGCCCAAGAAGAAAAAAAGAACAGGGTCGGGCGCGATCATGACAGACTACACTGCGGTTCAACAGAGGCCGTCGTGGTTGTCGTTTCTGTTATGGTCGTTGGGATTGACTCGGCGGTCGGACTGCCTTGTGATGTCAATGTTGCCGTGGCCTACGAGGCGGAACACAGACCAGTGGCAGTCACTGTGTGTGTGATTGTCACGGTCACCTTAGAACCGCTACCCTCACCCGAGTCGGCAGGAATAGCAGAGGTAGTCTGGGCAGCAGCGGTGGTGGTGGCAGAGCTCTCACCCGAACCACTGCCAGAGCCACTTTCAGAGTCACCATCTGATCCAGTGTCGGTGCCACTACCCTGGGCTGCAGTAGAGGTGGGAGTAGCAGCTGAGGCAGTTGATGAGGAACCAGCTCCAACGGCCGTGGTGGCAGCCGAGGTAGTGGCAGCTGCAGAATCAGAAGCCGTGGTGGCGGAGCCTGATCCTGATCCGTAATCACCGCCATCAGCGGCTCCGGAAGCAGCGCTCTTTGTGGCAGAGGTGGAAGCAGTGCTGGAGGCAGCAGTGCTGGCAGCCTTGGTCGTAGTAGTGGGCTTGGCCGAGGAGGAAGATGAGCTGTTGCCGGAACCAGAACCGGATCCACTGTCGGTAGGGCCGCCGTCACTCTCAAACTTGGCAATAGCAGCGCAGAAAGTGTTGCGATTGTCCTTGTCGAGGGCCATGGACTGACCATCCAGGGTGATCATGTTGACAGAGGCCTTGGTGCTGATACCAAACAGGTGGACGCTAGAGTCCTCAATGCTGACAATGTTCTCCTGGCAGCTCTCAGTGGCGAGACAGTCCTGGTCGTAATTGTCGAAGAAAGAGTAAAGACCACCGCCAAAGACGTAGATGTCAGATGAGTTGACAACGCGGAGACCCCAAGTACGAGCACAGTTGGTGGAGCTACCATCGCAGCTGGTCGAGAAATCGGGATCAAAGTAGCCCTCGTTGACGGTAAAGGGAGTCGTGGCGTCAGGGTTACCCTGCATGTATGCAGTCTCGGTCTGGATAACGGACATCCAAACATTGCGGGCGTTGGTGATCTGGTAGTTGTACATCTGCGAGTGCTCAGAGGCGGTTCCCCAGAACCAGACAGGGTTCTGAGACTCGATGAGGACACCACGGCCATTGTAAATGTCAATCTGAGAGTGGTCCTCAAGGTCGAGCTCGTGGTCGGCAACCCAGAACCAACAGTTCTCGACGTAGACGGAAGCAGTCTGAGTAGCGTGGAACAAGAGGAAGGCACCCTCACAGTCAGTGTTGGCCTCGTGGGTGCTGTTGGGGTTCTTGGCACACTTGTCAGATTGCAGCTCAGTTCCGGCGGAGCCTCCAATGCGGAAGTGAACGTCCCAGAGACCGGCGGTACCAGCAGAAGATCCAGCGAGGTTCCACTGCATCATGATGGCACCAGGAGCAGCACCCTTTGTCTCAATGATCAAGTCAGAGAACTCGACATCACCGACATCGCCAGCCTCACCGACCTGGAAGACTGGCTTGGGGTTGGACTGGTCATTGAACGAAGTGCCATCAGCCATGAGGAGAGGCCACATCTCTCCAACAACCTTGATCTGCTTGTCGGCGGGAACCTTGATGGTATCGGAGATGATGTAGGCACCGTGATCAAAAAAGATGACCTGTCCAGCGGTGGCATCGTCAAAGAGCTTCTGAATGGCGGCAGTGTCATCGGTCGAACCGTCACCCTTGCAACCAGAGGCCTTTGCGCTGACAAAGCTGCTCTTGTCCAGGCTCTCGTACTGGGGCTTGGTGCGGGTAAAGACCTTGCCGTCGCTCATGAGACCCTCTGGCTTGGAGATGCTACTCTCAGCAGCCTGAACAGCCTTACCGGAACTTCCATCGTAGGTGCGGCCCTGAGCAAAGCTAGCAATCACCTGACCGCCTGCGACTAGGGTCGAGTTGTCACCAGCGTAGCGGATGGCAGTCTCAACGCCGGTGCTGAAATCGACATTGTCCAGAATCATGGTATTGTTGGTCACAGTAAGGTCAGTCTGGTACAGGGTGTTGATACCGACAGGGGTGTTGGAGATGACACTGTCGAGGAGCAAGAAAGAGCCGGCCGTAATGTCACCAACGCCACCAGCCGACATGTCGATACCAATCTGAGCATTGTTGATGGTCACATCCTGCATGGTCCAGAGCCAGCACCAGTTGAGGAAGATGGCCGTGTTGCAGTTGTTGAATGTCAGGTTGCGGGTGGTGAATTGCTGGTTACCGAGGAAAGCACCGTAGCCACCACCGTTGAAGACGAGATCTGCCATGAAACCACCAGAGCCGTTGTCCATGAAGATACCCTTCTGAGCGTTGGAAGCGCTCGTGTCGGTGTTCATGTTGAAGACAATGTTCTGAAGACTGGTGGCCTGAGCAACCTGCCAGTGGATACAGGCGCCACTCTCGGGACCCAAGTTGGTAATGTCGATGACAAAGTTGCGAACCTGACGGAAAAAGTTGTTCTGGTTGGTGTACCAGTTGGCACCGTCATCCTCGTAGGGGTCAGAGTCGATGACAGCCATGCCGACAAAGTCGGAGGTGGCCTTGAGAGTAGGAACGGTGACGGCATCACCGACAAACTGGGTGTAGTAAGTCTGCACAATGGGCTTGCTGACCATGTAGGTACCAGGGGGAAAGTAGACGAGGGCGGGCTTCGAGGTCTGAGAGTCACAGCCCAGACCGCAACGACTGCCATCAGTGATGGCCGAGTTGATGGCATCAGTATCGTCAGTAGATCCGTCGCCCTTGGCACCATAGTCCTGAACGTTGCGGAAGACCTTGTAGGAGCTGTCATCAGCAAAGACAGCAGTCTCGCTACCAGCCATGTTGGGCAACCAGTAGGTGCTGTCAGCGCGAGCCTCCAGAGCGCTGGGAGAGGGGGCGGCTGCTCCAGGAGCAATGAGCCGCATGGCCAAGAGAGTGGCCGCGAAGAGCTTCGAAAAGCCCATCTTGACGATTAGAGCCTGCTATTCGTAGATGAGTTCTTAGAGGTTCTTTCAAGAAAAAAAGTTGTTTAACCGAGCTGTTCAAACAGTGTAAGCATTTGATGTCCACCAGGGAAAGTACTGTCGAGGTAAGAGACGAAATAATGTTCGAGGTAAGGAGTGTCGATGAAGATGGGATCACGGTAATTGATCGAAAAGTGCGAAATGAGAGAAAATAGTCGCCTCAGACGCACTGCGAGCGAGCGGGACGAAAATGTGAGGTTATATAGAAAAAAAGGAACAATGAAACAATGCCTCTGACAATGGGGTTTTGGCTGAATCACTCAAGGGCGTACAATGAATGTGCAATAATGAGATTCTCTAATGGGTAAGTAACATCAAAGTCTTGTACCTCGAGCTTGATACCTGGGGAACCCGCTCCGAGGTAGGACAAGGCTGCACATTGTCCGTGTCGAACACAAACAAAAGCAAAAGGAAAGCGGGGGAATAAAACGATGTGTTGTTCAAGACGACGAGAAAAAAAATAACTTACAATCAACCAGGTTGTAGGTGCGTTGTGCGAAGCGAACCAAGGTCGAAATCGACGACGTGGAGGAGAGCTTGTTGTCGAGGTACGTGTGTAGGTGAGCTAGCTCGCCGATTTGTCGTCTTTTTTTGGTCGAGGAAACAAGAGGAATTTGTGAAATGATTGTCGAGGGTTTATACGCTGTGAGAAAATCTCAAGGGAAGAAGAGAAATGGTTGGCTTGAACCTAAACAAACGCGTCCAGACGTGTGAGAAGAATTGAGAAAAGAATACCTAGGAATGAACCAGGTGAAAGGTTGAGGTTGAGAAGTGTTTTGTGGTGATGGAGGCAAGGGAAGGAAAGGGAAGAATAAAAAGCGTGCCGAGAGGGTCCAGCAGGCGGGTGGGCTACGGCGGCGGCTGGGGGACCAGGTTGATTTAATAGCTTCTGGAGGGATTCAAAGAACAATCCAATCCACCAGGCAGGCGGTTGTTTGGTCGGTCAGTCGTTGCTGCCGTTTGCACGAGGATCCGTTTTATTTTTTTTATTATTCACACGTCCAGACCCAGGCACGGTAGTACTACACTCACATACTAGCTCGCCGGGGGTATTTCCCTAGGGATCGCCCAATTTATTATTAAGTGCACCCAGCTCAGTGTGCCTCTCTATGCACGGATGATCAGATCTAGGATTATGGATGGACATGGACCTCACATTGGGACCCAGCCGGCGACAGCAACGACCAACCTTGGCTCTGTTCACGAAAATGTCCGGTTCCATGCCAGTTATTGGCTGTTGGCCATGTACAGAGCCGGCGCTACTACCTACACAGACGACCAGGCTCCCCCTTGCAATATGTAGCCAGAACAAAGAGAAGAGCAGGTAATGTGTAGGGAATACCGCTGAGAATAAGGTACGAGAAAAGGCACGCAGCAGCCAAGGTAACTGCCCCTTGGTGTAGGTACTACTATGTGAAATCTGGGCCACTTCCTAAAATGGTGTTTCTTGTTCCTGTGAAGGCACTAGGCCTATGCAACCTCCTGTAATACTTAGATTGAGGGAAACATCCCATGTGGTGTGGGGAAACGACCCGAGCTGCCATGCCCTGCCATTTCGCTGATCCTCGGATGACGCGTACCGGTACCTAGCTTGGCACATTATGCGCCCAAAAAGCACGCGGCAAGTCCACCAGCCACGCGTATCGCTACCCGCTGCCCACCGCCTGGAATGGAGGCGAAATCTCTAGGGAGATCAGTACCAACCCCAGCGGGACCCAATCGGCAGAACCAAAGCTGGGAGCAAGCCCAGAAACTCCAGAGGCTTGGCAGAGGCGATTGGCTGAGGGTGCCTGAATGCTTCAATTGGGTAGGAGGTCAACAGGATCTAAACGTACAAAGCAAGAAAAATAAAAAATAGGACAGCAAGGTTCAACAACGGCCGGATCTTGCATTGACCAAGGCGACAAGGTTAGAACGCCATCCATCTACCACCCATACATTTCAATCTAGCCTGCATGCACTATAGGATGTATAGCAAAAGAATAACGCGACGGAGAGGCGAAAAGAAAAAGTTGGGCATGAAAAGGCCAGAAGAGGTCGGACTTGGCACTGAATTTGGAACCAAATGGACGATGCTAGATTCTGGATGCTGGATTGTTGAACAATCAGTTGCTGTGGTGGCAACTACAGAATCGGCTTCCTGCCCGGCAATAATGTCTGGTGCTGGTGTCGAGTTGTTATTCAGCGCGCATTTAATCTGCCGGGCATCAATGTTGAACAGGTCAGTAGCACTGCCTGCTTGGTACATGTCTAGCTTCCGTTTAAGCCGTTTCACAACTGTGCATACGGGCAATGTTCCTGCATTCGCACTACCAAACACGACCTACTTTGCCGTCTGATCACGAGAATGTGTAGTCGATGAATGTTTTTCTCCCTCTCTCTCCACAGTAGACGACATTATTAAGGTCTTTTGCCCACACCTTGAGGCTTGCATAGAAGGCACATGACGGCCAGCAGCATGCACGTAATAGCAGCAATGAACAATGGGGATCTGCAAAAAGATGGGAACGGCCCAGCGCGGCTCTCAACCTTACAGCCCAGCGAACTTTCGGAATATGGAGAATAGTTGATCGGGTCTCCCAGGTCTAGAGAGGCCGTGGGTGCTTTGTAAAATTGCCAAGAAATTGAGAAGTACAGAGCGCTTAGATTTTGATAATCGGGGGTGTACTGCACCAATGTGCACCATGCGGTCAGAGATGAATCTCTTGTCTCCTCCCAAATGCCGTGGTCGGGAGTATTCCATTTCCCAATCTCGTCACTCGTCCTACGCCTGAAGCGTTCGGTTGGTCAGGAGCGCAGAATAGCCAAAAGGCGGCAGCAATGGAGAAACGCTGGCTCCTGACTCAGTGGCCCCAGCGCGGGCGCTTGTTCAGCCAGATTGGCAGCAAATCCAGATTTGACAGGTCGTGGAAAGACGAACAGCACGGAAAGACCCCCTTGCAGCTCGTGCCTGGTGTTTCAGATGTGGGGGATCTGCCAGGGTCCTTGCAAAAGTGGCTCACAGGTCAGGCTGTTAGGTAGGTAGGTGGTACGTACCTTGAAGGGCCTCGCTCTTTTTGAAAAGCACTGCACCGCTTTCTGGCATCTGGCGCTGACCGCAACGCTGGACTTGGCGGGGGACTGAGACCGATTGGCTGGGAACACGCTAAAAAACGGGGATTCGTTAGTGCTACTGCCACTACTGGTTGACTCTTGAGTGCTATTCCACACTGATATGAAGGTAGTGGTGCAATAGTTCCATCCATGCCACCCGAAAAGAAAGAAAAGAATATCACAGGTACCACTCGATGCCTTCTTCATCTCTGTATTCCCGTTTCATGAAGCAAGATGCCAAGCACCTGCAATCTTGCGTCAGTAGTGGTTTGTTGGACAGCAACATCCGCATGCCATCACCTTAAATCTCTACAAACCTAGCAGATGCTCCAAAGACAAGGCCGAACATTATACCTTACCCCAGGCTTTGCAGTTCTATTTTGGCAATGACACTCTACATTAATGACTCGCAGCAGTGCAATGCTCGCTTGTTTAACCGCGGGCATTACCGTCGACCCGCATGGATGCAAAAAGCATGTTCCAATTATCGCGCTTAACATTGACGAACTACCGGAACCTTGTTGATCTTTCAGTCGAATTATAGTGTCACGGGACAGGACAGGACAGTGAGGCGAGAGAATATTCCAGCACGGCAGACAGCCAACCTGCCAGGCTATGCCATGCAAGGCGGTTGACGTTGAATCAATCTGACTTTCAGCCTCCAAGCCATGAACATGTCGGTCCAGAAGCATCTTCTGTCTGGCAGCAAGCCACAAGAAGATGGCTGACCGGAACACGAGCCATTCGAGCCGTGCGAGCCGTTCCAGCGGGATGAATAACAAGACGGCTGACCTAACGTCTCTAAGGTGACTAAACTTGTTGTCTCTGGTGTAGAACTGAAAAGACATCACTTGACCTAGTGAGTTCAATGGCAATGTCAGCTTGCCAGTGCACAATGACCAAACGGCAAAAGTGATGCGTTGCCCAGCAAAAGCTCATATTAATGACACTCTTGTGTTACCGATGATTGTTTCTGTCATTACATTTGCTGGAAGGGAAACGGAACGCTTGAAGAAGAAAAGACCACAAAGATTAGACGTCACATGGTACCGACGAGGATCGACGAGTTCACACTGAGCATGTCTGTCAAGAAGAGCACGTCCGTCATGAAACACCGTAAATTCAATCTGCTTGGGCCAGAGGAACATGAATTTTTCTAATCATCTAAACTAAATCACCCAGGCACCAAATCAGCCTTCGAATTCAGTTGCTACAGGACCATTGATGATATAGAAATTGCACGCCTTCCTTTGCAGCAAAGGCTAATGGTACTTGCGGAGGAATGAACTTATATTTTCCCCCCATTTATCGCTGATTATCTTCCAGCAAACCTGTACTGCTTATTCATGTACCGTGATGAACATTTCGTTGGAATCTGTCGAATTAATCAGTATGGTCTTTATTGGAATCAAAACCATTCCTCTTATGATTCATTGATCTGTATAACTCACCACGGACGTGATGGAACATAATATGAGAAGCTGAGTGACAAGTTATTCAATCTTTAATTAGTTACGTGGGCACTTGCTCTGATAACACACCAACATATATTGCTACCTCGTATGGGCTTCTCAATGGGTGTTGTAGTCCAACTTCTCGATCTCGAGACAACCTATATCGACAGCATGACTTAGTCTAGCTGTTTTTCGTGGATTTTCAGGTCAGCCTTGTGATGGTTTTCAGACAACACCGATACATTGCAGTCACTGTACGTACTATCAATCAAAATTCCATGACAATCATCATGCTATTCAAGCCACACAGTAATGGTCGCGGTGACGGACTGCGAAACAGCATGAAATAGCCAGTGGCGCTTCCATCGTGGGAGCCTCCATTCGTTCATTCCTTCATACAATAAAAGACAATCCCACTCGGCTCGGTCCCGGATACGATTGGGTTGCCCAATTGCGGACCCGATTTCATGATCCTTCCAATGATCTATCCTAGTCCATCAATCCGTCGAGGATGTGGGATTCAGGTCACCAGGTACCGACACATAGTCATCCTATGTTCTCGACCAACACATTAATGGACTTTATGCAAAAAAAAAAAAAACAAAAAAAAAAACAAGCATAATCATTGCCTTTGACCACGACTATGCACACCAAGATAAAAATACCACCGCTAGTGAGTTTACCGCCTTGCTAGAGCTGTTAGTCAAGAGACACCAGTTGCCCAGTCCAGGGTCTATTCTTCATCCGATATTTTGCTTATCAGTCTACAAAGTACATACTCACTAGAAAAGGTCCCATTGGTAATTCCCATGCTTAATGTCCATTTCAGGGCAGCCTTGCCATGGGCCACGAAAGAGCTACCATCCCTGCCACACGGGCGACTGGCGTTGAGCCACACGGGCGCGCATGGATGGGCTGGACGGATCACATTCTTCGTTGTTTCGAAACGAAAAAAAAGGGCCCCCATCCATCCAACCCATCCATCCCGCCAACGCTTGCGCGGACCCCCTGCAGGTACTCATGTTTGATCTAATGCCAGGGACAAGGCGGGTTGGAAATCTGATTGGCTGGCCGGAAGCGGACGTCTTGCGCACCTTTGGCTGGGATGGATGTGGCACTTGGACTATAATTGCGCGGCTTATGAATTCTTGCTTTTCCCTGCTACGTGTGAGTGGCGATCTGATTTGCAAATATGGCCAGTACTATAGACTCGTCGTCTTTATGCGTGTTTTCGGCCGTGGCAAATCTTAGAGACCACACGTAGATTCCGATATGCATACCTAGGTACTGAATGCCATGAACATTCTTTTGCGAAGATAGTTGGTGTCTTCTGTAGTGATCTAGTCAACAAAACGAGCCCTCGGTGAAACAAGATACTGTAGCGCAACGAGTAAGTTGCTTCATCATTGGACTGTCATGAGCAAATTCGGTATCTCAGGACATACACACTTGATCATGGTAGTAAGACAATGCTCAAGTCACAACACCAGTCTGGCAGTGACTATCAGCTTTGCTTCCGTGGCCAGTGCCGATGCGGAGATTTCATGTTTCGTCACATGCCATTCACATCACGATCACACAGCACACAAAATGAAGCAGTGGTTTTGTTTAACAAATTTTACTCTTTTGGCGGTATCATTTCTACATCAGTGTAACTTATTAATTCCCATTTCCTTTTCCTGTTCAGACATGCTCTCTAGCACTTTCCCTCTCTGCTCTTCATCAAGGGCTGGATCTTTTGGCCAAAGTTCTCAATACCGACCAGGAAGTCGTCAAAGGTCATCATGATACCCTTGGTACCGGGGACCGAAGCGGCCTCGTCCAGCAGGCGGGCGACGGTCTCGTAGGAGCCGACGAGGGTGCCCATGTTGAGGTTGACGGCGCCCTCGGGCAGGCTAATGTTCTTGGCCGTCGAGTTGGCGTCGGCGTTGGTGTCCTTGGAGCTCTGGTTGCTCATCCACGACAGGGCCTCGTGGTCGACGCCGTCATTGTACAGCTTCCACTTGGCCTGGGCCTTTTCGTCCGTCTCGTCGGCAATCACCATGAAGAGCACGTACGAGCCCACGTCGCGGCCCGTCTTGTCGGCCGCCTCGACCAGCCGGCTGGTGGCGTCCTTGTACGCCGTCGGCGTGTTGATGCCCGTGCCCATGGCAAAGTTGAAGTCGGCATAGTTTGACGCGAACTCGACGCCGCGGCCCGACTGGCCGGCGGCCACGATCTTGATGTCGTGCGCCGGCTTGGGCGACAGCTTGCAGTCGTCCATCTTAAAGTGCTTGCCCTGGAAGTTGGACACGCCGTCCTTCCACAGGTCCTTCATGACCTGCACGTACTCGGTGGCGTAGTCGTAGCGGTAGCCAAAGTAGGCGTCGCCCGGCCACAGGCCCATTTGTGTGTACTCGGCGCTCTGCCAGCCCGTGACAATGTTGACGCCAAAGCGGCCCGGCGCGATCGAGTCAACGGTCGACGCCATGCGGGCAACCAGCGCCGGGGGCAGCGTCAGGATGGCCGTCGAAGCAAACAGCTTGATCTTGGTGGTCACGGCTGCCAGGGCCGACATGAGCGTGAACGACTCGAGGTTGTGGTCCCAGAACTCGGACTTGCCACCGAAACCCCGCAGTTTGATCATGGACAGGGCAAAGTCAAAGTTGTACTTTTCCGCCTTGCTCACAATCTGCTTGTTCAGCTCAAAGCTGGGCATGTATTGCGGCGAGGTGGTCGAGATGAGCCAACCATTGTTGCCAATGGGAATAAAAACACCGATATCGACAGGTGCCATCTTTTCTTCAAGATTCAGCCCTTGGCTGAAAGATGTGTGTGTATTGGGTTGGCTAGAGGCAGAGGGAGACAAAAATGACAGACGCTGATTTGAGATGGAATACCTAAGAACACAAGACACATATTGAGGCTGCCTCTTCAAGTTTATATCATGGCCCCTTTCTATACACTTGTCCTACGTCGGTACATTCCAGATCACAGGATCAGCCAGTGTGGTTATCTATCGGCGTCCTCCTCATAGAATTGAGCCAATAATTGGCCAGCCGCTTCAGACACGTTCTCAGATAAGATCCCGCATCTGGCGTGCCATGATCTCTGCCACATTGAAGAATTGCCGGCTGCTTGCAACCAGCAGCCATCAGTGGCAGGCCATAGGCTATCGGGTTCGGGATCGCACATCCGATGGAAGTCTCCGGCAGCCGTTTTCACTGAGGTCGGAGCCGTGCCGATGCCGAGGCGCACTAGCGCGCATATAGTCGTGCTAGTGGGCGGGGGAATCTGTGATGCGGATGGAGGTCCCACGTGGTGATAACCTCAAACTCCACCAAAAGAAGGTAATTACCTGCATTCTGGACGCTGTCATTCGGTAGATTCGTCGATAGAGCTTCTATGAATCAGTTCAAATGGTAATGACAAGAAATCTGGAGTCATATCCTGGTAAAGACACGTTTAAATCCGGAGCATTCCCGGGGGAATATCATCTTCCGATCATGTCAACGCTGTAATGATACGATAATCTTTGCTTTCATGGGTTGTAATGTTTGTAACCTTTCGGTTATCTGCCACTTGATATTGAACAATTGTTATTCGTGATGGACAATATCCGACCAGCGAAAGAAAACGTCCAACAAGTGCTAACCCTCGTGGCATACCTGAATATTGGTATTAATGTTGGTATCTGCAGGAATGACAAAACATTTCACGGAGAAGGACGAGACACTGTTATAAACTTATTGGCTACAATGCTAAACACCTTGGCGAACAGGAACGGAAGGGCATCTAAGAGGATTTTATGAAGCTTGAGCCAAATCGGCATCAATTTAGGCTGTTGCAAAATCTGAGCGATTTTCTACGGCTTGATCTCTCGAAAACTTTGTCGTGAGGTCGATTCATGTCAAAATTCCACGAGAAATGGTGCGAGACACCTACTCCCCTATGGTCACTTGGAGATTGTGCAGGACAGAGTCGATATGAAGCTTGAAGGCACAAATGGACAGACCATTGCAGTGGATGGAATCACCGCGAAACCCCAATGGTCAACGAGCTTCCCGTATTTTCGGCTCAACTGCGATACAAGAAGCTCGATGGTTGACGGAAAAGGGTCACTAGACTGAGGTCCCAAGCAAAGACAGAAACGCTCTTCCCGAAGTTGGAACCAATGCTTTACAAGGGCCGTTAGAGTCGCTCACTTTGCGGAATGCTTATTTCGGCCTCCATTATAGAAACCATGGTCGGCTCCGTTTGCACAGCGGTGTTCCCGCCATGTGCTAGAGGTTGGAATCATCTGCAACATGCAAAGACTTGAGGCGTTGCGATTTGAATATAGCACCAGGATCAAGAGAACTGTGCTGGAATATCGTAGACGAATATGAAGAAGCTTTTGATTCGGCTGCCCTAGGATTGTTGAACATTGAGACAACGTCCAGTGCTAACTACATATTTTCGATAGTTGGCATCTGCAATATTATAACTGTTTGGTGATCTAAGCCCAAATTCTGGACTAAATACCACGATAATTGGGTATCTGAATCACAGTAGAGCTGCCGGCTACGTTTTACCACAAGCCCGCGTATACTATCCACTGAGTACAGACACACTCTCATGGTTCTGGCAAAAGTTTGACCAACCTTGGAGTTTCATCCTACTCCACGCCTCTAGAAGCACCTGAAATATAACTTGTGTTGAGGCGGCATTGGTATCACTTGTAAGATGATGCGTAACCGTTTTGTCAACGCTATCCTGCGTGCAAGGCAGCCCTCCACGATCATGCAAGTTTGACGAAAAGCTTCTCTCACATCTTGGAGTACCCAAGCAAGATCATCATGGAACTTTCGCCTCGTAAGCTGTCACAGTGACCAGGAGGAGCTCAAGAGCAGACCATGGTCTAGGCTGATGTGGGTGAAACGCCACGACCGAAAATCGGGACTGCAGCATCCTTGCCATCTTGCAACGGTCCACCCACTTATGATGGTGATATGTTTCTCCTTGATTTTGGATCATTGTCGTATCCCGGCTCTAGTCGTCGTCTGAGGAGTCGCCATCACCATCTCTAACTCGTTTCTTGGTCTTGTGAGCGGTCGGTTTGGGTACTTCATCCTTTCGAACAAAGACATAGCTCCTCGATGGGCGCTCTTCTCCCTTCCAGCCGCCACCAATCTCGCCATCCTTGTTCCTCACAACACCCAAGGTTCTTGCGTGGTGGTAGCCAGGATATGCGCTAGCCTGGAACTTGAAGCTCCGCACAACTTGAAGACCAGAATGTCGGCCTAGATCTCGAATGTTCCAAAGCGTGTACGGTTCGCCCTCGAATAGTGTCACAATAATGGTTCCCTCTGGTGCCAAGGACAAGGTGGCTCGCTGGAAGAAGGAGACCAACATTTCCTGATTGTAGCGCACCTGGCGGTTAACGTCGGTACTCTTGCCTCCCACGTGGGGAAAGTTGAAGATGATTCTGTCCATGATGCCCACTCCGTCCTTGCCCTTCTTGTCCGTGTAGGGTCCCATCTTGGTAGCATCGACGTTGTACCAAACTCTGCTGTCCTCTGCCTCGATTTTGGCAATGTTCTCCTCCACATGAGGGTACTTTTCTCGCAACTCCTCGACGTCCTTCTCGAGTACGGTAGCGGTCACGTCGGCGCAATAGTGGTGCTCGACCAAGGAAGCGGCAAAGCTGAGGTCGCCATCGCCGACTAGAAGAATCTTGTCCTCGGGCGCAAAGGGAATTGTCGGCTCTTCATGCTGCTGTTGCTTGTGGGCGGGCTTTGCAGGCTTCGGCGTAGCCTTGGAGCCTCCTGTGGTATGGTGCTTCTGGCCCGGTGCGTTCTTGTGCTGCGGTTTCCCACTTCCGCTCTTGGGCGCATTCGCTGGGCCTTTCTGCGACAGCTTGCGGCGCTTCCCCATGGTTGACGTTCCCCCCGGATGCGTTGGGCGTTTGTTTATATCAGCATGCTCGCTCAATGATGACAGCGCGGGCCGACGACGTAATGGCCTCGAAAAAGGTCGTAGTCGGAGAGGGCGGGGCAGCGACGACGCGACCAAGTTTGCGACAGCAACGGTGACGATATGACAATCTTTTTGGTCGTCGGCTAAAATTTTGGCAGCTGCGCGACTGCGAATTAGAGCAACGCGACTTGGGGGGTCCACTTAACCGAAGGCCAGGGACCCCCCGGAGCCACATAGGTCAATATGCGGGTGGACTAATACGGATTTAGAACAGCGAATACCGACCGACCAGCCAGGTTGCCAGGGGGGGGCGAGTCCTCGCTTTCTCTGTGTCTCTCTCACGGCTCAGACGAAATGCTTTTAAAGTGGGATTCGTCTCATTTAATCAGACAACAATCATTGGGCACAATTCAATTCGCCAGTACTCACCTTTCTTTGTAGGCTCGGTGCAGCGTTGATTTTCTGGTTGTATGTTGCACTGCGAAAACACATTTGATGGCCGAAAGGCTTTTACATGATCATCTTGAACCCCTTATACTACAAACCCACACAGAGAGCCTGTGGCCCGGTAATAGTCGAGGCGGTGCCCCTGTCATTAGTTGACCGACAGGCAATGTAATGTGGTCCGCTGTATGCCTTTGTCCCTATATCAAGAGTTCGCCTGGATTGTCTACGTAATCCAGGGCAAACGGGCAAATGCTGAGCTGAGCTGTTGTCCATTGTTGACGAGTTGCCAACCAAAGAAACCAGGCAGGCAAACGCGCAGAGCCAGGCAAAGGTGCAATAAGGCTGCGGTCGATGGAGGGGCGCGGTCGAGTAAGATTGTAATCAGGAGAAACACAGTGTGCTGACATTAGTGAGAAGGCTGCTCTTGTTGAACCTAGATATTTGACACGTCAACATTGACAAATAGGCTCTCTAGGTAATGTAGGTAGGTAAGCAGGCAAACGGAGGCTGCCTTCAAGGTTATCATTGCACAATATGCATGGTAGTGTGGCGATATGAGCGGGAAATGACCACGATATGAAGCAAGAACAGCATCAGGTCTACAGTATATTGGAGTCGCCAGTCATGATAGCAGAGATGATGAGTGGTTGTGATCACAAGTTGTCCAATTAGTAACATGTTCAGAGTTGTTACATTCATTACACGGAACCCGAGATTCCCCACGGTATCTCTTACTACTACATTATTATGCCCCCCCCCGGATCACAACCGTGGCTACTATTGGGCAGAGGATCGCCGCAGACAAGTGGCGCGGAATAGTCCATGAGCAGTAAGAAGCCAGGGCAGGAGGTAAGAAATTTTTTTTTATCGAGACATTCGCCGAACTTGCCGATTATTCAGCTCAGAAGTTTGCCAAGCAATTTCTGCGCAAAAAATTGATGCCAATGGATTTGTTATATCTTTGGATTTAAACGTTTCCAACATTATTGTGTCGGTGGAATTGAATGGGTTACGCGTTGGTTTTGCCTGCTGAAGTAGCCAACGTTTATTTAGGTACAAGTAGTAGCTAGGTTAGTACAACAGCTGAAGTGGAAATCTCTGAAATTGAAGACTGGTGCCAGGGACCGACTCGCTTCTATCGGGGTTCCTAGAGCCCATCTGGCTTCCAGGTCACCACTAGTCTGTCGACTCTTGGCTGGGCAGCAAGACGAGAAGATGTAGAATTGAAACATGATATCGAAATAATAGAGGAATCTCTTTTTCTCTAAATAATACAATAAACTATCGCTTATACGAGCGATATGCAATGCATTAACGCGTGATTGTCGATTCAAGCCGGAAACGTTTCGTGCCAATTTTGGGGATGGCCGTGCCCCCCGTCCAAGCCGTCGGGCCAATCACAGCGCAGACTAGAAACCTGGACCTGCGAAAAAGCGTGACTACTGATTTGGGGAAGGTGAGCCGCTGGCTGTAATTGTTGTCTGGCTCAGAAATTCTCACAGTAGAGGGCATACTCATACCAATTGTTCGTCGCTCATCGCGCCACGATTCATCATTCAAAGTCGTTGAAGATAATAGCGCCCCATTCTTCGGACTCGTCTCATTCACCTGCACCTGGTCGCTGCGATTGTCCCCGTCGCGAGAAGGCGCCTGTATCCTGCCAAAAAGCTGCAACCTCCTGGCTGGGCGCTCCTTTGACTTGGCTAGGTTACCTCATAGACACAACACACAACACCCCTTCAACTTGCATTCAAGAACCCATCTGCTATTGTACCCGGCAGTCTCACGCTTCATCTCCTCCATCAAACTCACCTCTTTCTCTTCCCCTTGACCATTTACGCTGCTTTTGCCGGCGCCCTCTCATCTTCCCCCCCGTCACACAGTGCACTAACAACACCTCCCACACCTCACAAACTCGCATGACCCGTCATCATGGATGAACATTCCCAAGCAGACGGGTCGCCTGCTCCCAGCCCTGCTAGAACTGGCAGAGGCGGATGGCGAGGTAGGGGAGGACGATATTCCGGTAGAGGTGGCCGAGGTGGCTCGCTTGCCCGCAAGACCACCGTCGCCAAACGCGGCGGCAATCGTGGCCGCGGCCGAGGTCGTAACAAGACTTACACTCAACCACGTGTCCAGGCTGCTTACGAGCGCTCAAAGGATCTGCGTGAACTCTACTCGGATGTCTCTTCTGCCATGAAACCCGCCCTCGAGCGGCTCGCTGAGCACACACTCAACCAAATGATTGCGGATCCCGAGTTCCATACCAAGGTTCCCGAGTATGCCGCAGTCCAGAACGAACTCGACGACAGGCTCAAGGCCAGACTCGAGCATCTCGAGTCGGAAGAACAACTTAGACGCCACATGGTCGAGCACAAGTCTGAACACGACGACATAATCTCTACTGAAAAGTTCAATGTAAGCCTTCATATTCGATATACTTGTTCACGTGACGAATTTCCATTGCTGACACATCTCTTAGAACGGCTTTGATTACAAGACTGATGAATTCTTGGACGGCGTTCTCAATAGATTAAGCATTCTGAGCGAACTTCGACGCGATGGCTACGGCACTAACGTGAGTGTCCACTGCTTCTACACGCTGCTGCTATACTAATACTTTGCAGATCCCCTCACCGTATACATTTGTTCAGAAGCCTGATTCCGTCGTCGATGAACAAGGGCCATACGTGTTTCACCATCCCCTCAAGGGCCACGAGGTTCCCTACCCTCACCTGCTTCAAGCTGATACCAAGGCATCAGCACTCAGAACTACTCTTGGTCGCATCAAGCAAAAACCGGGTCCAAAGCGCAAGGCTGAGGAAACCGGCGAGGGGCAACCAGAATCGAAGAAGCTCCTAGGCGCATCGTTTACTTCTGCTCCCGACTCCTCAACACCACGGCCCCGCCATATTGGCGGTTTGCTCAGTGCCGAGACTGAACTCGACGGCGAACCAGAGTCAAATGCGCCTTCTCCTACTCCCCTCGAGGAGGGTCTTTCACCCGAGTCTTCCCAGGAGAGTAGTACCTCTGGAAAGAAGGAGAAGGATCTTCCTGACCTGCCTACGGGCGCCTCGGAACCTGACCAGTGGGGTGTTAGGACCGTATACAAGCGGGGCCCCAAGGCAAACAACCGCATCATCATTCCTTGCGTGTTTGACTTTGACGACGACGATATTGGTTTCCGAGATTCGACTAATGACTCTACTCGAAAGGCCACCAAGAACAGTCGCGGTAGATTCCTCAATAAGCCGAATTCTCGAGCCTGGCACCTTGATCAGACGATTGTAACATACAATGCTCTGGACAACAAGGACGGTGACCTGGACCCTGAGATTGTCAAGAAGCACAAGGTCCATCCCAGATTCGGCTTTTTCCTCCCAGAATCAGTCAACGAGTCTGAACCTCCCCACGAACATGTTGATACAACTCGGCCTATCGTTGTAGTTACACCAAACGGCACCACCCTTCACGCGTCGCGTTCTGTTCGGCCCAAGCTTATGGATCAGGCCCTGAGAGCTGATGCAGGAAAGACCAAGATTACTGCCATGATGGAGAGTCTCAGAAAGGACATGGAACTCGAGGTTGATGACATTACCACCCCCGAGATTCGTCAGAAACAGCAGGACGAGCAGGAGAGACAAGCTGAGCTTGACAAGATTGCTGCGGCCGAGGAGGAACAGCAGCAAGAAGAGGAGGAATCAGTGGACGAGTACGAACAGGCCAATGCCATTGTGGAGGAACGTCAAGTTTTGCGCATCATGCCCAGTATCATCGCAAACGACCCTAGGAGCAACTTGACACGTCAACGTGGTGCTGCGAATCTTATTAGTGCAGCTACACAACTCGATGAGGAGGACTTTATGCGGGACATGGGGATTCTTTCGAACCCAAGAGCCTCGAGACCATTTGATCCCGTTAGGAACGCCTTCAGACCGGTTCATCACCCCATACCGCCTCGTCACCACCCTGTTGATACCTTTGGCCTCAGTGTATTGGCCGACATGTCCGAACTCCGTTCCGCTGGTCACATGGCTGACCCATCCATGATTGACGGTCGGCATGCTCCGCTGGCCCCTCAACCGGGGTTTCTGCAGACTGCCCTGAATCCCGCTCCCTATGCATCCATCGCACCCGCTCCACAGCAAAGCATTGAAGGGCGACCACCTACTCCCGCTCGCAATCCATTTACTGGACAGAGCACCGGTAGAAACAGCCCGGCTCTTCCGCCACTTCGACCTACCCGACGCGACAAAGGGCTGAGTACTGGTCTTTATGCCGACGGCCAGCCTCCGTACGCAGCTTCGTCCGCGGCCCTCGCAGCAGGCCCGCCGCAACCCCCGCCACTCAAGCAAGAGTACGACCATGCTCATGGAGTTGGAAACGGCTTTTACCCGCCGTCCAGTACACACAGACCATTCCACCATGGATTTCCTCATCCCGAGCCCATCCCACCGATCGCCCCTCGGCAAGGCCCACCCGTACCTGCTCCATTAATCATACCAAGCCAGCAGTCTCATCCATCGCAACATCTGCCTGGGTATCCAGCAGCATTATCGCCCACCTTGCCAGGTTCAGCTCCTCTGGCATCACTCTTGTCACATCCGATGGGCCCGTCATCTCCGGCTTTGACGGGGAGCGGACTTCCGGGACCTCCAGGTCCGTTGAACTCTCCTACTTCGTCTACACCCCAGTCGAGAGGCTCAATCTCATCCAATAACGGACAGCAGAACTCCGCAAAATACCGGAAGATTGCCGCAGCACCCGTCCCATACAGCCGACAATGGCCATCAAATGGAGGCACCGAGCTGCGTCTGTCAAACTATGATCCAAAGGGTGCGATCAAGGACTACATGGCAAATGAGCCACCCCCTCGTACAGGACCAACCACCATTCGGGGATGGTCAGTCAACAATGGCCAAAGAAACCGCGGTCGTGCCGGTTCACGGAAAGAGGGCTCAGTAGAGGACACTGAGTCCCCCAAATGAACTGATGTCTAGTCGGCGCTGTGGGCAAATACATTTCCCCATTCACACTACAGCTGCTCAAACCCCATGAGCCACAAACAATTTCCCCCCTTTCCTCGGCGTACCACATCAAAGAGATGAGGGATTTCAAAAGGAAGTCCACCATTCCATTTTCCTTTTTCTACGTTTGTTTTTTGAACAAAAAAGATCTGTACACTATCACAGCAAACACGCATGGCGACGGCGTTCCGAGGTTGATTTGAAAAGTCGTGGCCAGCACTTGCCGCGCTGTTAAAGGGAGAACTACCAAAATTTCCACGAGCATAGGTGCAATTAGCGGTTGCGCTCAGGTTGTATGGTATTTCTAGTCTGTATATAATTACAGTTTGTTATAATCCTAGGACTGGCTTGGGGCAGCAGCAAGGCCGCGGCGTATTGTTGGCACGTTGAGTTGAGCTGGACAGGGAGGAATAAGTTTAAAGCAAGTCCATAATGAAAGAAATTGCACCCTATCAAAAGTCTATTGATGCACTGTGACCTTGGTCTATCGAATCTAACGTACCATGGCATTCCATACAGACAGCTCTTTCGAGAACAATGGTGAACGCTGTCCAAATTGACATACAATCACACTCCAAATGATAATCAAAGTACATGTCATGACGTATCGTCTTATTCATCAACAGACTACCTAGTATACACATTGCTTCTCACCATTCATCGCCACCACATTCTGTACTGATATCCCAACCGTGTTTTGCGTAGATGCAGAGCAAGGAAAGTGGGAAGAACATGGCAAACGCGCCATTGGGCGCGGGAGGACTTCTCTGATGCCCTTGGGAATCATGATCCAAGCCTCAGCATACGATGGTCTCTTCATATCGTCACCATTGCCTAAATGCAAGTCTACGACGGCGACTCGCCGATATTAAGTACTAGACAGACTCAATGATGACAATGGCGACTACCAACTTGGACTGATCATGTCACCCAGCGCCTTAATCATTGCATCCTTGATGATACGATCGATTTCCGCAATGACCTGCGGACTGTCCTACATTGCAGGATTGGGAAATTGTTGTTCACCAGTTGCCATGCTCATCTGGGTCTGCTGAGGTATCGAGCCAAAGTCGACAGCGGGCAAGGGTGGCATGGACATGTCCAGTTGAGCACGCCCCAAGCGCATGCCGCCTGCAGGTTCAGGATGAAGTGGGTACATGTCCGCTTGCATCTTGTTGCCATCGAAGATAACCATGTTTTGGATCGGAGGCTGGTTGGCGCCAAGAACGTTAATAACATCTTGGGCGAGTTGCCCACCGAGAATGGCCGTGACTGGCGCAATCTCACTGCCAATGTTCTGCAGGAAGCTTCGCAAGAACTCGGACTTTAGTGTCTCGGTAGGTAGGCCCAACAACTGGTGATTAGCGGTGGCGTTCTTGGTAAAAGTCTCAAGATCTGATCGATTCGGGCCAGGATTGCGGTTCTGGTCGGCCTGGAATCTCCACAGGGCTCGGAAACATGACAGGGCGGGAGTGACAGTTTTAAGTCGTCGCTTCGAGTTTCTGTAGTCTTTGGGAAGCAGACTTGTTTCTGAAGCAAGATCCCAGGTCGAGTATAGCTCGCGCTTTGTGACTACCTCAATCTTCTTTTCGCCCTCTTGCTTCGTCTTGACGTCAATGACGCTGCGGGTCCGGGTCTCCTCGCCCACCTTGGTGTCCACATTGCTCTTGTCGCGCTGTAACACATAGTCGTGCTCAATCAAGTCGCAAAAGATGTAACCGTAGAAGCCATGAGAGGCTGCTGCGTAGAATTGGCGATTGTAGAGGCGCGTGGCCGTATTTATGAAGGCCAAGGTTGTTGGATTCAGGTCAGTGGCAATGACAATGTCGAATGCGGAAAAGTACGATGCGCCCTTGGTCATGATGCCATTGGGATCTGCAAACACATTGACGCGAGGGTTGAGCTTTCTCAGATTCTCACCCGCGGCCTGGGCTCTGTTCTGTCCCAGATGCTCTTGCGAAAGACAGAAGCCGGCGCCCAGATCAGATTCGCTCACAACATCATCGTCGACAATGGTAAGAGAACCGATACCTGCTAGTACTAGGTTCTTGGCAATCTCGCTGGCGAGGGCCTTTAACGTGATGAGGAGAATATTGGCGCTTCGAATTTTCTGTTGCGCTTTCATGCCCCAGAGACGGATTTGCCGATCATAGAGCGCAATCTCATCTAGACATGATTAGCATTGGTAGTACAAGTCGGAGACGAGAGGTTTGCATACCAGCAGTAATGCCGTTTTCATTGCCATGACCATTCATGTCCGGAGGCGGCATGTTGGCCAGACCCATCTGCTGACCAGCTGCCATCATCATGAGTGTCGGGTCGGCGAAAGCCATGCCATTGGCGCCTGCGGCAAAATTCAAGTCTTGCGGGGGTAGGATGAAGCCATTTGGATCAAATTGACCCATTCCAAGTCCCATGCCCAATCCATTGGGGTCGGTCTGCTGTTGATCTGGCAGGGGCATCATGTTGTTGTTGTTGCTGCTATCCACTGGCAGTTGATGAAGCTGTGCTGTACCATTGTCCTGAATGGGTTGTTGCTCAACCGGAGCAGTGGCGGGCTCCTGAGCCGGTCTTTCGGGCATGGTGGTAGTGACGCTAGCCTCATTGTTTTGTTGTGGCTGCGGTTGTTGCGCTTCCTGTTGTTGCTCTTGATGCTCCATGTTTAATGGTGTTGTTGCCAGCGACCTTTGAGATGACGTAGGTAGATGTTGATGAGACTGTGCGCCAAATGATTTTCAATGCTCTCCAGGATGCGGCTTGCGGTTTAAAGTAGAGACCGCAGAAGCTTGATGAATCCTGTTGATGCCTTGATGATCGCCTCGAGTGCCCCAGGGTTTGCTGGTTTTCTGGGACAAAGCGCGACCGAATGCTGTTGCTCAACCTTGGTAAATTGATGGGTTTGAGGTCTAAGGCATTCTCATGTTCCAGGTAGCTTCGGGTTCCAATGGCAAAACAGAGGTTTCGGGCCGAGAACAAGAGAAATGCACGCGGTTGAATTAAAGATATTGAATGTTGAACGCGTCGCAAAACAATGAAAAACAGTCTTGATATCTCTGCACGCGCTGCGCAACTCGTTTGTGTAAAGTAGAAAAATGGGATGGATGGATTGATGCGCAGGCGCGTTTGCGTACTTCGTTTACGTTGAGCCTCACCCAGACTGGACTCTTGCAGCAGTTGGTTCTGTGCTGTGCTTTGCCGAGAGGAACAAACGGACAAACGTGGTTTAGTGGGTAGGTACGTACCAATGCTTTCACTACGGTGTACAAAATAACCTAAATCCAAGTTTGATCAAGTACCTACCTTGCGCCGGCCATGTGGTACCTGTAGTGGGCTTTGTTACCGGTGCAAAGGGCCTTGTCACAACGAGCAGCGGCACGTGTTCTCCCCTAGCATCCGCCTTCTTTACAGCAGACCCCGCGTTAGTTTAGTGGCCCCAATTGGTGGCATTCACCCCATCTTGGGCCTCTCCTTCAGGTCATCCATCTCCTCAAGTTTGCTCCAGCCGTTGATCCCCCAACGTCTGCCATCACCAGTACCGCCACAGCCTTCTTTCGACGATCCGATTTTATCACAGGCCATCGAAACCCTCGAGGGTCCAAGAAACTCTCTGCTTGTGTCCCATAGCAATCAGACATTGACCAGAGCTGTGGTACCGATACCGAGGAGAGCACCAAAGGCCACCAAACAAGCCACCCGCATTCTGTTCGGGTCTCCGTCTCCACTGATTCATGGTAAATGGTAGGTCAGAAGTGACCACGTACTGTCGTATTGCGGGCTCGCAAGCACATATATTGATATCGTTTACGAGTCTCTGCCGACAGAGCATCTCCAACTGCACTTCCTGTACGACTTCTTGCTGACTCTGCTCCTTTCGCTAGTCGAATAATCGTTCAGACCATTCGGGTTCTGGTCCTCCAATAAGATACCAGTCTGCAGATGAGATCGTTCGTTTTATTCTCGATGACCACGCCTCTCACTCTTCCGAGATAAGTCCCTCTGGCGAACTTTATCGGGCCATTGAAAGATTTCAGGCCAACGCTCATCGCCGCGCTGGCCTCTTGCACAGTGCTCGGAGGGAATTGGCAAGGAGCCATTTAAATCGCTGGGCTACGGCTTCAGCCACGGCTTCCACTTCGGCACCGGGCACCCGTCCAGCTTTGCAAAACGACATGTCTGCGGACGCCAATGGTGGCTCCGATTCGCGGGATATAAACCAGGCATCATCAGGAGTACCTTCACTTCCTCCACTGCGATCAATCACAAACGGCACCCGCCGGTCGGCAGCACTGGCAGCATTTCAGACGCACACGGGTTCGAGGCATGGAAGGTGGCGGGCCGAGCGGCTTATTGAACGACACATGACTCGGGACGGTATCTCGGACAGTGATATGCGACGAACAAGAGCATCACAAAACGCAAGAGACTATCAGCATCTGCAGACCATGCGAGCACTGCACGATACAATGGACGACACAAACAATGAGCTGCGAGCTCTTCTGGACTTTGCACAACCATCACCGCATACTTACTCTGAACAACTATCATTTCCTTCTCCGCCACTTCAGACTCAGGAGTTGAGCGACGACAACCCCCGTGCCAAGCGGCGAAAGCTAGATTCGGATTGCCTTTCCAGTGGATTTAAGGGATTTCGTTATGGCAAATATGGGCAGGTCGAACCTGGGGCTCTGACCATGGAGATAGTGAGCTGCGATGGGGGCATTTACTCGGACGACAGTCATATTTATTCCGCCGAAAATATTCTTAAAAATGACGCCTCCGTCTACTGCACCAAAGGGCCCCGATGCAATATTGTCTTGAGGCATCAAGGCTCTACCGTGTTCACTCTGAAAGAATTGGTCATCAAGGCTCCTAGGCACAACTTTTCTTCGCCGGTTCGAGAAGGCATGGTTTTTGTTTCCATGAATGCAGATCTTTTGGCGCGCACAGCTCGATATCAGATATCCTACTCACGAGCTACGGGCTCCCGCCGTACAGATCGAGATGACCAGCCTTCGGTGCCAATTTTGTCAAGTCGCAATACCGAAGCAGGTACCAGTGTCTCGAGGATGCGGGCTCGCAGACTCGGGAACATTGGCATGGACGGCATGGAAGACGGCGACGAGAATGAGTACAGGAGCGCACAAATACCACCCGAATTTACCGCATCACCGCCACCGTTTCATGTGACTACAGTCTGCAGCGACGACGAGGACGATCCGAGCATGAGACCATTTTGGCAGCAAGCACCGAATAGGATTGGCGCTTTGCCATTCGAGAGCGAAGACAGCGGACTAGATGATTCAGATACAATGCCATCCCGCGATCATGGACTGCGTCGCCGGCGCTACAATCTCTTGGGCTCGACAGAAGTAGAGACAGCACAGGATTCAGCGGGTGGCCCCTCGTCGGCTGGCGAAGGTGATTTAATGGCCGCGCACGCAAGATTCTTCATTGAACCAGACAAGAGCAAATGTACCATCAAGTTCGACCCACCAGTATCGGGCAGGTTCATTCTACTGAAAATGTGGAGTCCTCATCCGGATTCGACATCTAATATCGACATACAGGCAGTGGTTGCCAGTGGGTTCGCGGGGCCGCGATACTTTCCAGCCGTCGAAGTACGATGAGGCTTTGGGGGTTTTTTTTCTCGCTCTCTTCTTGATTCATGATGGTATACAGGCGTTTGGAATGATATTCACACTGATATGGTTGTGTTGTGAGGGTCACAGAATGGTGTTTGGCGCGGTGTTGTTGAGCTTGCCAAGCGCATAGACATGAGATACCCCAATAAGTCTGTTTTTCAATACATGGTAATTCTGGAATATAGTGTGGGTGCTCTTACGGTCTGGGTTTTGGGCTTGTTAGTTTCAAGCAGGTCAGGATATTGATTGACAATGTAAAAGGAATGAGACATGATATGATGGGAAAAAGGACGAACATGAATATGACATGAAATTGATACTCTATGAATAAGCAGGCATCTATGCACAAAGACGAGGCTAACGTCTCCACAGCCACAGACTGTCCGCAAGTCCGGAATGAATCATAATGATTGCACCCGGAATATTGGGGCATGAATCAAAGTCCCCCCACGAGACCAGACACTTTGCCATGTCTGGCTCGAAACAACTCTTGACAATAAACATATACCAAGCCACCTGAGCTAAACCATTGCCAGAAATTGTCAAGGTTGTTCATGTTGAGGAATATGAGAGTCATCGTCTGCTGTGGCGATGCCTTGGGTTGAGTCATCGGCTGCTGAGAAATTCTACTCGTCCTTGACCAACTAGCCTGTAAGGTACCTAGTACGTCAAAGGTCTGGGCACTGGCGCAGGTTACATAAGTCTGGGGCGGCGGGCAAAAAGAAAGTGCAAACTGCCCCACCACACACGACTTCTACCTCTTTATCTGCACCTCAATTCCGCCCATTGATCTTTTTGCGATTGCTGATCTCATTCGCAAAAAATACAACACCAAACCACAAACTTTCCCCCGAGCCCGAGTATTCAAGAGACAGCTTCTTTGTCTGTCCATTCCTCGAGTACCTTTTAACAAAATACTCGAATACCAAAGTTACTGCAATAGCATCGACTAAATCATGGCGGTGCGAGCTCAGTTCGAGAACTCCAACGAGTATGGCCCCACCATCCGAAGAAAAAGAAGACCCTGAAAGCTCAAGGTCTGCAATTTCGATATGCCCGTGGCCCGGAGGCTGACTCGATGACAGGATTGGTGTTTTCTCAACCCTCACCAACTCTTACGCCTTGACTGCTGTCGGCGCAAGTGAGAACTTTTACAGGTATGTCTCTACTGCTTCCAAGACTGCGACTTGCCTGCGCAATTGCGGGGCACAAGTCTGTCGCAAAGTGATCAAGAGTCTTTGAAGCTGACTGCATGCTTGGCTATATACAGTGTCTTTGAAGCAGAGTTACAAGATGTCATTCCTATTTGCCGGACAACGATTGCGGGCACGCGCATTATTGGCCGACTAACAGCAGGGTAAGTTGTTGCGCGCGCGATCCATGGCTCCTGCTTGCCATGTGAAGAAATTTTCTGCTAACCTTTGTCCTTGCCCTTGAATAGAAACCGCAAGGGTCTCCTCGTGCCCACATCGACGACAGATCAGGAGCTGCAACACCTACGGAATTCCCTGCCCGATGAGATTCGGATACAGCGCATTGAGGAGCGCCTCTCGGCCCTCGGTAACGTCATTGTCACAAACGACCACATTGCCCTCGTGCATCCGGATCTGGAGCGCGAGACGGAGGAGATTATTGCAGATGTTCTCGGAGTCGAGGTTTTCCGTCAGACCATTGCCGACAACGTGCTAGTCGGCTCCTACATGTCTCTCAGCAACCAGGGTGGTCTCGTCCACCCCAAGACCAGCATACAGGACCAGGACGAGCTTAGCAGTCTGCTGCAGGTCCCGCTCGTGGCTGGCAGTGTCAACCGAGGAAGCAATGTCGTCGGAGCTGGCATGGTCGTCAACGACTGGATGGCAGTGACGGGCTTGGACACGACAGCCACCGAGCTTAGTGTGATCGAGAGTGTGTTCAGACTAGGCGAGGGCAACGCACCGGGTAACATTTCGGGCAGCATGAAGGACACCATGGTCGAGAGTTTCTACTAGTTTCTGCATACCATTTAGCAGAAGCATCAAGCAGGGATCGGTGGTGCTTGTATGGTCTGCTTCTTTGCATTAAGGGGGACTTGCTGCTCCTTGTAATGAGCATATTATGAAAGAGAGATTGGTTCGGTTTGGTTGTATATCCCCAATCAGATGCTCTCGAGTGCTGCCCTTGATGGAACAGGTATACCAATACAAAAAATGCTCTTGCTTCAACTGTTTTCAAACTTGATTCCAATGTGGCGTGTTGTTGGCAACAAGTTATGTTATGGCTAGATTCAGCTATGGGAGTTTGGGTATCCTCTACAGAGTGGTCTCTCCTTTCCCTAGTTTCCAAATACTTGAAATGTACCTACCTAGTCTTGTTGACGCCATGTACTTGGGTATGTGATTTGTTCCAATTCGAATTCCCATCTTAAGCTTCGTTCATTTCCACATCTTCCAAGTCTCGATCATCTTCCTCGTCAAATGGATCAATGTAGACAGACCCGTCTAGAAGAGTCAACTCATCACCTAATCCATCATGTTCAGCTCGGCGAATAATTGCTGGTGCCCATCCGATAGCCCTTGGAAACAGGGGTTGTGCTATGCCAGAAGTCTCTGCAGACACCCAAGTTACCATGAAAGCAAACATGACTATGGGATAAACCCGGGGAAGAGCCAGGATGGCTATGGAAAAGCTCTGGACAAGTGCCACAGCAAGCCACCTCCACTTCCATAGGCTGCTCAGCATTTGCTTCACGTCGTACCACATGATTTCATGTTTTTTAGGATTCATGAACTTGGTCCATCTTTTGGATCTCTCCCAATGGTCCGCCTCGGACTCCGCGACGCCGCAAAGGGAAGTGAACCTGTCGAGACGCTGCCGCCAAAACGGGCGCAGCTGTCCTTGGCCGTCGTAGGGCTCGCGGCGGCAAAACTCTCTCCATCTCTGCACCACCTCCAAGGCCACGTCCCTCGGCACGTGGAAGTACTCCCGATGAGTCCTGACCTTGCAGCGGCAGCCGACCGGCCACCTGTACTCTCGCAGCTCCTGGTGCGCCAGCGTCTCGGCCCGCTGGTAGAGCCGGATGGGCAGGTGTTCCGGGTCGTCTTGGGCCTCCACCATGAGGTGCTCGCAGTCCCTGGCAATGCCCGCCAGCCTGACGTGTTCGGGCCCCTTGGTCACGCCAATCTTGATGATGGTCATGTCGGGAAAGTCCTTTGGGGTCACTTGGAAAATGTAATTGTTGCCCACGCCGCTGGACTCGCACTGGGCGCGGGGCAATGGTTTTCCGAGGCAGGTCTGGATTCTCTTGTCGGCAGTTGGCGGTTTTGTTGTTCTCGATCTGGGAGATGTCTCGGTAAGGGGGTCTGGGCTGTCATGGGTTGGTGAAGAATTGTAGGTTTGTGATGTTGTTCGTGACGGCTGAGCAGTACTACTTTTGGGCAATCTCTTCCTGAGGTAGCCCTGGGTTGGCTTGTCGACATTTGGCGATTTTGTCGTTTCGGGTTCAGGAGATACCTTGGTAACGGGGTCTGAGATGTTATGGTTTGGTGAAGAATTATAGGTTGGCGATGTTGTTCGTGACGGCTGAGCACTACTACCTTTATGCAGACGCCAGGACGGATGGAGTATCTTTCGACTAACGAGCTCATTGTACTGTTTTTTCAATGTTTCCAACTCTGAGGACAGTGCTTGAATAGTGGCCTGGCGGGCAGCTAAATTTTCGGCTCCCGGTACTGGCTTTGTAGGTGTAGCTGCTGGCGTGACGGGGGGAGTGCGAAGACCAGGCGACTCGGGTGTGACTTCTCGGTGAGCCATACTGAGTGACTAAACGCTAAATCAGGGGGGATAGAATGTCGTCGCTACACTGACTCTGCTGCAAAGCTCTGGCAATATCATCATTCCATTTACAGGAACCAACCTCTCTTTATCTCTTATTGACGGCCCGGCCCGTTGGGAAGTCGCTAAGCGCCGGCCTGACATTCCGGCCCGTTGTATGCACATCCGAGTCAGCCTGCCACGTACCAAATGCTGCCTTGCTAGGGCAAGAAGTCGAAATAGACTGGCAGCTGAGAATTCTGAAACCATATTGTTGGATACCGAGGCCATGGTCCTCCAGGGTTTTCTGCATGTTGGCGTGGCGCAGCGTTGCCTTTACTACGGTTGCATTCGAGGTGGAATACGCAGTCTATTCTAAGCACATGAGTTCTGCATCTGCGCATGAAAATCGAGGGCATTGGGATTCAATGGTGGGCCAAAAGTTCTCTAAGGACCTTGTATGTTATTCCAGTTTCTTATCGCCTTTCATGGCAGATGTCTATAGGTAGTTGTGCTCCATGACAGCCCCACAACGCGTCGTGATACATGACCACTATAGCCGACTGCCATTGGTGTCGTTTCCAGCAATGGTCATGTCGCAATGTGCGCTTCGGGCCGCAGCGAACACCCAGCCGGCCAACCAATTGTATTTGCCCAAGTCTGGATCTCGCTGCGCGATCACGGGAAAACGAACAACATTGCTGATAAAGAATGGGGTTTGCCAGCCGGAATGCTGAATCAAAGGATAGAGTGGACCGCAAATGCAATCCAGAGAGGCCTCCTTGAAGCGCTTGCGGCCTCAAATTGCGGTTCAAACAATTCAACATGGTATGAACTTGGAATATGCGGAATAAAGTCGAGATATTGAAAACTGGATCCAGTTTCAAAAGTTGTTCCCTTGTTTACTTAGCCACGGCAAATGTGATGAATTGCCAATGATGGGACTTGGGAGCCGGACAGCGAGACGAGGCCCCAATTCTCGCCAGTGGGATGGTTCTAGCATGACCGGACCAGAATTCATAATGCAACATGATCGAGACACATTCAAAGGACACGTGACTCTTTTCTCCTTCTCTCCTAAAATCCAAGTCTCTGTTTTCCAGCAGGTTAGTAACGTTGGACACGTGAAGATCAATCGTGGGATTGAGAGGCCGGAGCAGAAATTCCGGATATACAGCTTCTGGGTACCTTGGCGTTGCTTGATTGGTTTTGTTTTGGAACGGACCCCCAAGATCCATAGAACAGCAGGAGAGAAGCTCAGTGACTGGCCACCTTAATTAAGCATACATGAGAAGAACCAGATATACTTTACTAGCAGGAATAAAAGGTTCTAACATCGCTGAACTGTGCATATACAGGCATTGTAGTAACCACTAAAAGCGACGTCATGCGGGGTTGCGTAACAGCGGACGTTCAGTAAAAACAGGTCTCGCTTGGGGCATGTATTCCGTAGGCATGAATTCTATCGTCAACCTCTGAATCTTGCGGTTTGCTGTCAATTCGTATTTTTGATCATCTTCTCATAATACCACATGACTGCTTCAGCGCCATTCATCCGTGAACAAGCTTTGCCATAAGCTTATAATCAATGCTGCGGTGAGTATAGTCGACCCCCATCGTCACGTGTAGCCTGGGAACAGCTGCGGAATGACCCGCTCGTGTGCTTAGTGATGTAGGTACTTTCAAGACTTTCTTCGTAGCGGTCTCATTGCACCCGAGCAGACTACACACAAGGCTCTATCTGCCTTGCTCAATGAGGATGATCCAGACGAAAAGAACAGGCTCACGGAGCAGTGGCGAGATCACAAGCTAGCCGAGCTCAATTTTATTGGCGTTGTGGTGAGTCCATGACGGCCTTTTACTACAACGCAAATCTAGGGTCCCCAAATATTCATCGAAATATAATAGGGCGCTTTACTAGCTGGTGTTCTGACCAGCACCGGTAGCTGGCCGTCGGTGCTGTCCAACGGCAAGACGCAGCCCTGGACGATCCGAGCCCTCTGGTTCAGCGGCACCTTGTTTGCCCTCTTTGCCGTCCTCATTGCCGCCAAGCAGAGCCTCAGTCTGCACCGGCTCAGCGGCCACCGCGATGGTCTGCTCTACATCCGGAGCTGCATGTCGGGACAGGTCACGCGCGACGGCCGGGTCGAGCCCCGTCGCGCCCAGGTCTACGCTTGGCAGATGAGCATCCTCATGCTCACGGCGGCCGTCTTCTGCATGATTTGCGGCATCACGGTGCTCGTCTGGACGAGTGCCGAGTGGGGGCCGTCAAAGGATGGCAACCAACAATCGTGGTGGGATGACAGCGCCAAGGTAAGAAGATCTGGCTCGCAACCAAGAGTATCCTCCTTTGAGGCATGTATTAACTGTTGACCAGCTTGCTGTGACATTTACAATTGTCTTGGTGTTTACATTGGGCATTTTCTGCTTCACTCAGGCTTCGCTGGCGGTGAGCAGCGTGGTACAGGATGACCGAGGGGGTAGACGGAGTCGCGACCATCCATTTGTCTTTCGCAGCGAATCATCAAACATTGACGCATGAAATAAAGTATGAAATTCTGCAACGTGACAGCAAATTTGTCGCTGTCTTTTCCTCGTGCTATCTCTTTCATCTGGGACTGGAATTAGTGACTTGGTAATGACATGGGAACAGGCAATGGACCATGCTGAGCCAACAAGCAAAGCCACGAAAGGCCTTTACCGAGCTATTGCTTTCCCAAAAGGTGGCGGGTTAGACGTCTGCCGCGTGCGCCACTGACATATGGCGACGGTTCCCGCTGTGATCCTCTCGTCTAGCAACACTTGTCTGTTTCGGCCGCCCAAGTATCACTTGATGAGTCAAGACGATGGCAACAGCCTTTTCAGTGTTACTATACAAAAAGAGAGAGACGGAAAAGAAAGGAGGGAGATCTTTACTAGTTCAATTCATTCGTCTTTATACCAGAAACGTACATCAACTATGCCGACTCTCCCATGGACTGAATCATGCTGACCGTCCCACTGGCGACGCCTTGGAAAGTCTTTTGAATCGACTTGGCCACAGACCCGACCAATCCATTGCCGCCTACCAGTGATGGCTCACCCCAGCCTCCTCCGCCCGGAGACTGCACAACTATTCTGTCCCCGGCATTCATCATGGCGGTATTCTTGCCGCCCAGATTTATCACACGGCCATTCTTCTTGACCCAGAGGTTCTGACCCCGCTTTCCATCTTCGCCGCCTTCCATGCCGTACGGTGCAAATGCCCGCCGCTCGCTGAGAATCGACACCTTGATGGGGAGGCAGAATTCGATGTCCCGAATGATACCGTCACCTCCCGGGTGGAAACCCGCACCACCGCTTCCGGGCCGTAAGCAGAACTGCCGCAATATGACGGGATACCTGCGCTCCAAAATCTCGGGGTCCGTGATACGCGTATTGGTCATGTTGGTGTGGACACCACTCACGCCGTCCCAGGTCGGCCCACCGCCAGCACCGCCACAAATTGTCTCGTAGTAGCCAAAGCCGTTTTCCGGGTCGTCGGTGCCAAAGGTCAGATTGTTCATGCAGCCCTGGGACGCGGCGCAGGTGCCAAAGGCTCTAAAGATGACGTCGACGATGCGCTGCGAGGTCAAGACGTTGCCGGCGCACACGGCCGCTTCCTCGGACGGCTTGAGCAGCGAGTCGTCTGGAATCAGGACCTCGATGGGCTTGATGGCGCCCTGGTTCAATGGGATTTCCATATTGACCATGCAGCGCAGAGCGAATAGAATCGCCGAGTTGCAAATGGCAATGGGCGCATTCCAGTTACCTGCGGCACGTGTCAGCATTATTGATCTTGGAAAATAGGCACTTGAATCAACACTTACCGTATGCTTCGGGACCCGTTCCTTCGAAATCAAAGATTGCACCTCCAGTCTCATTGTCAATGGTGACCTTGAGCTGAATAGGTGTACCATCGTCCATGTAATCGACAGCTTCCAGCGGCTTGCCATTCGTCGACTTGTATATCCGCTTCAGCATGTCCCGTACGGCAAGCTCTGCTGCCCCAATGATCTCGCCCACTGGTCAAATTGTTAGTGTCTGTGCAGTCCAAACACGATCGCATCATCTTACTGTAAAACTGTACAACTTTGAGTCCGTAGTCGGCAATGAGACCGTGAATCAGCTGACTTCCGCGGTGGTTGGCAGCAGCTTGTGCCTTGATGTCCGAGATATTGTCCCGCAAGCAACGAGTTCCCGACACTCCAGGGATCTTTCCCGGAGCCATGAGAAGCTCGATGAGCTCATCTTCCTTGAAAACACCGCCTTCAATGACTTTGAAGGACTTGATGACGGCACCCTCCTCCCACAACTCTTTCGAGTTCGGCGGCTAGTCTACGATTAATAAAGATGAGGTGCAAGGCCTTGTGGATGTGACTTACCATGGATCCGGGTAGGATACCACCAACGTCGGCGTGATGACCTCTCGACGCTGTCCAAAATATAATCTTTTCATTATCGTCAAAGACGGGAGTAATGACCGTCATATCGGGCAGATGAACACCACCACAGACTGGCGAGTTGGATAAAATCACATCACCCGGCTTGAGATTTCCTTTCCAGTAATCAATCTGCCACTTGACTGCAAAGGCCATGCTGCCAATCATGGCCGGGACGTGCGGAGCATTGGCGACGAGGCCACCGTCGGGCGAAAAGACAGTGCAGGAAAAGTCGAGTCGTTCCTTGATGTTTGTGCTCACGCTCGTTTTTTGCAGCGCGCGACCCGCCTGCTCCGCCACGCCCATGAATCGATGGCCAGAGATGGAGAGCTGGATGGGGTCAGCCTGCTCCGAGGAAATGTCCTCCTTCTTGGTCACCTCAATGTCAATCACGACATTGTTGGTGAGAACAGTCGCCGTGGCTCCCGGCGTCACGACAATGGTCTGCTTATTGTCCATGATCAAGGCCGGGCCGGCAATCTTGGAGCCCGGCGCAAGGTCTCCCAGGTAGTGCATGGGTGACTTGTGCCAGCCCAGCTCCTTGAAATAGAGGTCTCTGGTCTCCTTGGCTTCTGTCACGGCGATTGCTCCCAAGGTCGTGAACTCGGCCTTCCACGGCTTTTCAACGTCGACCGTGCTAGCTCCAATACACCGCACCCGGTAGTCGTCAATTATGACATCTCGGTCCACGGGCAGGAAGCCGAATTGCTGCTGGTGTGCCGTCTTGAACGCGTCAAGGAATCCAGGCCGGTCGGGTGACTGTTGAATCATGAGGGGATTGTCGCTTCCCTGAAATCTCATGTTCAGGTACCGTTCCGAGGTGATTCTGGACTTTTGTATCCGCTGCTCGAGTAATGCAGCAGTCGCCCTGGCTTCGAGACTATCCAGCTCGGCAGAAAAGGTGGCCAGTCGATCGTCCGAGTAGGTCAACGCGCATGGACTTCTCTCTTCACGGACAACGTCTGCGAGGGCCATGCCATAGGCTGAAAGAACGGAAGAGTACTTGTGAATCAGCACTCGAGAGATGCCAAGCTTTCTGGCAATGTCGCAGGCATGTTGGCCACCAGCGCCGCCAAAGGAAGCTAGGTTGTGAAGACCAGCATCATAGCCCTTGGCTTCGGTGAGAGTGCGGATCGGCCGGCACATGCTCTCGTTTGCGACGTCTAGGAAGCTATTCGGCGATTAGTGATATTCAAACAAGATGCTTTTTTGGACATACCCGGCAGCAACCTCCTCAAGGGTCAGCTTGACAGTAGTTTCTTCATTAATCTTTTTTGTAATATCTTCGAACAACCTTCGACTGGCGTCGATGTCGAGTGGCAAGTCCTCGTTGGGGCCGAAGATTTTGGGGAAGAATTCTGGCCTCAACCGGCCCAGCACCAGGTTGGCATCTGTAACGGTCAGAGGACCGCCTTTCCGGTAGCAAGCAGGTCCGGGGTGAGCTGAAGCGCTGTCTGGGCCAACCTTGAACATGCCGGCTTCCCATGTCAGGATGCTACCACCACCTGCAGCCACAGTGTTGATGTCCAACTGTGGACTCTGGACTGTGACGCCTGCTGTAGTGGTCTCGAAAACCTGTTCAAGCTTTCCAGCGTATCTGTGACGAATTGTTAGCATGTCACGAGTGCATCAGGACTTAGCTGGCCATACCGAGAGACATCTGTGCTGGTACCACCCATGTCAAACCCAATAACGGGCGTCTTGTCTTGCTCGTCGTAGGCCGTCCTCGCGTATCCGACACAACCTCCAGCCGGACCAGAAAGAATGGCGCGAAGACCCGAGAGACCCGAGAACTCGACCAGTCCTCCATCGCTCTGCATAAACTCACAGCGGCAACCGCTATTTCTGAGGTCTTGGAAGCCGCTCTCGAACCCGTCAATGTACCGCTTGATCTCGGGCGTCAAGTAGGCGTCGGCAGTCGACGAGTTTCCGCGCGGGACGATTTTCACGGTAGGCGACAGCTCTGCGCTGAGCGAAATGTGGGTAAAGCCAATCTCTTCTGCGAGCTTGCCGACTGCTAGTTCATGGTCCCGGAATGTATAGCTGTGCATGAGGCAGATTGCGACGGAGCGATAACCCTCGTCGTATACCTCTTGGAGGGATTTTCTGGTGGACTCGATATCTATTCTTGTTAAAAGGTGGTAGTAGGGAATCCGGAATGCGACTTACCAAGAGGTTCTAGTATCCTTACTGCCTCACCAGTGACACCTCTGATCAGTGCAGGTTCTGACTCTATATCAATTTCTTGGGGGACTTTTCTCTCGGTCCAAGCCTCGAGGGTAACACGCTCTGGCACTTCTACTACTTTCGAGTAGAGAACGTCGGGCTTGTTTATCGTCAAATCAAACAACTTTGGCCTCGACTGATTGCCAATATGTAACAAGTCCTGCCCAGTGTCAATATTTTACCAAGCGATAGACGAACCAGAGTGGTCATACCTTTAATCCTTTGGTGACAACAAATGCCGTCCGCTCTCCTTTCCTCTCGAGTAGAGCATTTGTAGCAACAGTAGTTCCCATTTTGATTGATTCTATAAACCATTCAGTGAAAGTTTATCGGAAGACGTTAGATACTACGTACCAACTCCTTCTAGAGAAATCTTTTGTCCTTTCGGATATGATCTCCCCGTGGCCTTTTCCAGCACCCGCCTAATTGCCTCGACGGGGGCATCTGGGTAATTGCTGGGATCTACCGACAGAAGCTTGATGAGTATATCTTCCTGTCCAGGTACGGCTGCAACGCACTAAAATGTTCTGTCAGTCATGACGACGGCATCTGCGATCGATGGGGTCCACTTACATCTGTAAAGGTACCGCCGCGATCAATGGCGATGCGAATCCCCCGTACCGGCTCCGACAGCGACCCCATTGTGCAGACGGTTGAATTAATGATGATGATTTGGTTGAAATGCGAGTATCAGGGTCAGATCGACTTGCGGAATGTTTGCGACGTCAACTGCTCTAGATGTAGTTTTGAACCCACGCCGCAGACATGCAAACATGACTGAACCCCAGGAGCCACCGAGCTTATAGCCAAGAACGGCTTCTCCAAGGGAGGCCGAAGCCGGGCAGGACTATGGCAATGGTGATTGCATGCCACTGTCCACCCTCCATGCCCATGAGTTGCTCTGAATGTACCAGAAAGCAGTTTGCCGGCTGATCGGTCATTCTGTATCAGACCGATCGACCTATCAGACGAGCCAGACGCATGGCTAGACTTGATTGATCACGTAACTTGGAGTGTGATAACGGCAGAACAGCAAGTGGAGCGGGGGGGAGGACAGGACCAAATGCAGTGGAGCTCCACCACCACATTCACTGTGCTTTAGGTACTCTTCAGTGGGGCATTGCCTGTGGTTTGGTGGACAACTGGAGGACGAGTCAAAATCCAATCAATTCCTGGTTTCCTCTGCTTATAAAATAGCTATTTTGAATTTGTTAGTACTCAATGAATGCCAATTATTGATGGAGAATAAATATTGATTGTGAGATAAAAAATACAGCTATCATGGCACGCATATTGTACTGTATGGTGAAAACAGTATTGTACCAAGAAGATATCTTGGTGGAAACCTCGGCGCCATCCCCGAAGCGGCCTCGGATACTGATCCGAATGTAACAACTATAATCAGCAGGGATGATGGATGCCTCCATTCGATATTCCTCTATATGCCTTGCTCGCAGAAACAAATGTTTGACTCTTTCTTCCATATCAGAGTCTGAGCTCATAACTTCCTTATAGATCTAATGCTACCCTACTTGGTAATCTGTCCGAGTTTGACACTTTATTATACCTAGGGAGTAGTCTTAGGCGCTCCGACGCTTGTGCGAACCGCAAGTGAGCTTGGTTGGTAGAGGGGACGTGGCGGCCGACGAAGCAGATACACTCTGCGATGATACAGCGAGGACAGTTTCCAGCGTTGAAGCCGCCGAGATCAAAGTTGTTGGCGCGGAACTAGCAAAAGTGGCTGTTGCAATTTCCGACAAAGTATCCTGAATGGACTGTGCAGATGTAGTAGCGCTCAAGGTGTTGGTAACGGCAGGCAAAGTCCAGGTCGCATCAGTCGGGGCCACGGTCACTCCAGATGCCGTGACGTTTGCATCTACAGCATTTGGCCATGGAACAGGTCCGGGCATGGTGTAGTTGACAATCCATGGTCTGTACATGTAAAACTCAATGCCCGGCTCGTACCCAGTATAGAGACCGGGAATCTGGACAACCGGGGACGGGATAGCTGTGCTCTCGCTCTCGACTTCGATCTGAGCGCAATTGAAGTAAAATTCAGCACCGCCATAGTCACCCGCGCCATGAACGGCAATGTGCTCGATTCGGAGCAGGTATTGTCCCGCTGGCGTCTCTTCCGGAAGAGTAAATGTAAAGTTGCCAATGTCCGTCACGCCCCATTCGATGCCGTCGCTTGAGAATTGCTGAGGACCCAACTCCCAAATCTTGAACCAGTCGCCGGAACCGTCGTATTCTCGCACATCGCCCGGCGCCTTGGACATGTAGACCTGCATGGGACCGGGGTGCTGGATCAGGGCGTTGAAGTCGGTTCCGAAGCCGAGCTCGTCGCCGGCCTTTACCTTGTACACCCCCGTTTGATTGGCAAAGTCCTGGGAGCCAACGTTGCATCGCAAATCGGTACTGCTGTAGCCGTCCTTGAAGGACATGTAGCCTTGGGTGTCCTCGCGAACATATTCGAAATACCCAGTAAAGTTGTTGTTTACAATCAGGTGAGGAAAGAAGTAATGTGCCGATATAGTGGGAAGACTGCCAGCGGCAAGTGCAAAGACGCCAAGGTTCTTCATGGTGTCGGAATGTAAAGATCGTGGGTTATGGTATAGAAACGAATGTACGCGGTCCAAGGCCGTGAGGAATAGAATCAAGATGAAATCTTAAAAGACTGTAAGAAGAAGACTGTAAAGAGCGAGTTGATCAAAAAAGAGACACATGAAGCTGGAAACAACCACGACTATACATGAACATCTTTAGGCCTATCGACGACTCCTTTACTACACAGGTAGTAGGTATACTGGATGGATCATGACCCTCTCCACTCCACTGCGGCAATTCGCGAATCTGGACGAATCGACTTTCAGTGGGGTGTTTCACGATTCGGTATATATTTCCGCTGGGATTTTGTTTCAGGACACAAAGTTTACTTTTCCGCAATGTCGCTTGGGATTCCCGCGCCAGTGACAGCTGTGAATACTTGACGCTAGGGCATGGCTTGCAAGGATAACCCTCCATTTCATTTCCGGTACGCGGGGATCAAGAGCCCGAAAAAACATCTAGCCACCGGAGCTGGAAATCGCCAAGATGAATGATCAGAGGGACCTTCACCGTCGACTAGTTGGAGGATTGGCAATAGATCCCAAAGAGCCATGGTTGAGCTTTATCCAAGACTTGAATGAATGAGAATCGGGCATGAAACGAAAAGGGGTAATCCTAGCTAGTATCATTTGGAATATGACAAGAGGTTTCTACGGGAAACATAGAAGACAGCGGAAGGCGACGACCAACGCGCATCCGGGTAATGGCCCCGGCCATCTCCCGAGGACATGGCGGCACGGCATCTTGTGGGGCCCAAGAATGCGCTATAGCAATATTTTCAGCGCTTTATGGTGGAGCCCTAAAGCTGAAGTGCATTATAGTGAATGGGCCCGGCGTCAGCTATGTCATCAATAAAGGTTTACTTCGAGCAGCCATCTTCACGACAAGGCATTGATCGTAGCTCAATTCACCTTTATGAGTATCTGTCGGGTCGACATGGCTGACCTAATCTTGTCAGAAAAGGAAAAGCCATGCAATACGGAATGGGCAGTCGGGGCCAATATTTACACTGGCTCATGTCCGGAGAAGCCTGATGCCATATCGAATTGTAGCTGGATGAGTAATGAGTTTTCCCAATCTCACATACGATTGTCGCCAAGTGAACTATCATATATAGCTGCTTACTTGACGGTGAAGCTAGTTGATTAACTCCAGCTTGAAGGAATTCAAAATCCTGTTTGAAGAAAAGTGCCAACTTAATGCATAAAGTTTTAGTCCATTCTATATTTTTATATATTAACTTTGAAAATTTAGTCGATCACAAAACTTCTTTTTTTGCGAACGCCCCCCGGGGAGGATGCTCCAAGCACGTCGACACATTTTTCTCGTATTCAGGTGCGTCTCAAGGTGCTGGCCGAGAAGAACCATCAGCTGCATACTTTACGCTTAGAGTACATGTATGGCCTATAGTGTGTTTGAAGCTTTCAGGAAAGGCTCCAATAATTTTCCACCTGGGTAAGGGTAACGCTGTCAACTACTGGTTATTGTTGATAGGGGCTGACACATCTTAGGTGGGAAACATTTAGCCAAGAAATCGTCAGCGCTCTCACGAATTGTGGGACATCGGCTCTGAGCCAACTCATGATGACACATATGTTGAATCTGAACCCGACTGCGAAAACAGTAGCGGGAGCGGGAATGTTCAGTGATTTGATTTATCCCAAGAGAGACGGTTCCAGTGGCTCATCAGCATCTGCTCAAGAACATCTCCCGCCTGCACAACAAGTAGTGTCTGCTCTCAGCCAAGATCCGGCATACAGTGTAGTGCAGAAGGAGATGCCCTACCTCAACGTACTTCACAAGTTGCTAACCTCGGGCAACAATGGCGGAGTAAATTGGGACGAGGCTACTTTGAGTGCAGATTATGTTCTTCAGATGCTGCAGGACGCGGCTCACAACTTCAATGACGTCTCAAGTTCCGACGGTCAACCAAGCAAGAATCTCAAGAGTATACTAGCCACTACTTCTGAGATATCTGGCACATTGGTGCCGGAAGCGAAGAAGGGTGTGGCTATGGGCAATAAATTTCCGCAGGCGGATAGTGCGGATGTGAAAGGCTGGCAAGCCCGAGTTCAAGAATCGTACAAACAAGCACAACAGATGACTGCCTTTGCAAGGGCTCTTCCTGGAGGCTCACCTGTCGGGGTTCGTCGTTCATAAAGACAAAATCCACGCCGAGTGCTGACCTTTATATCTAGTCGACTCTGATGGCTATTCCCCTCGACCCTAACGAGGTCATCGCAAAAAGCAACGTCAAAAGCGCCCAGGCTCAAGCTACCCCGGACGCAATCAAGAATCGGTTGTTGACGGCTCAGGATTGTTACATAAAGACAAAAATGCTTTACAACAACAGCATCAAACTCGCCACGGCGCAGAAAGAGAATTTGATTGCCACACAGACTCAGCTCAAACGACTCAATGAGAAAAATGCCGGCATCGAAGAGATCAAGACGCTTCTCGAATCTTGTATTAACGTTACGATCGAGGTCAAGACCCAAATCATGAACTTGGTGATCCTCCTCAGATCAGTCTCAGCGACCATCGAAGAGGTGACAAAGTTCATTGCTGCTCCATTCATCAAGCAGATTCAGGCAATAGAGACGCGCGGCGACCAAACGAAAACTATCGGGCCATTTTCCTTGATCGATCTACAGAGATCGCTTGTCTACTCATCTGCTACAATGATTTGCAGCCACTACTCCGTTGTTGGCGACATTGCCGCGATGTGGGCCCGATTGTCAGGAAACGACATGCAGCCGGGGTTTCAACTGCTGGATGAAATTTTCAGCACGAAGAATGATTTATCAAATCGGCAAGCCTGTCAAACCCTGCTAACTTGGGCTGACAAGGCTATCGGTGATATTCAAAACTTCGCTGAAGAGTTCAACAGGAAGATCAGTGACGATATGACAACGCAGAACACAGAGATGGCGAAAATGATCAACCAATTCAAAGTTCCTAAAACACCAGAAATAGTGAACGCGATTCAAGCTGGCACGGACGAAGTCCTGAACGCGGCTACGGTTACAATCACTGCAAATGCCGACGCCAGGCCACTGGATCGCTCTGCGCCGATAAAAGTCTGAGAGGGGGACCAAACCAGGAGATCTTTGCGAGAACCTAGAAGCGTTATGAGTGAAAAATGACAGTGGGGGAGGTTTCTATAACGTTCTTTTAATCCTTTCCAAGGACAAATAGCTTGAGCTGTCCTTTCGTAGAAACTGTCAAGTTGGATCACTCTCTTATTGTCTTGGTAGTATTATTTGCAGCTCCAATCTTTTGGTAATATTAAATACTTCTTAAAAGTCCATTACTTAACCTATCGTACTGACGTAGTCAGTACCCACCGCAGATCACCTGCGTGGGTATATAGTCGCTCTTCAGTACATCTCTTTTGTTGACTAGAGATCAACTCAGACAACTTTCAATGCTTCCTCGATCATCTCGTCTTCAGTTCCCCCTTCACACATCGGCTTAGGTGAGATAACCCGTGAGGACAATCCATACTCTCTTCTAGATTTATTTGTTCTGTTTCTTATTAGCCCACCGATATCACGCCGCTTTTGAAGGAGCCTTTCGTGGCCGGCGTCAAGCCTGTGCCCCCTCACTTGAAGATTCACCCATATTTTAAGATTGCTTGTGGCAAAGCCCCTGCCAAGCCTCGAACAGTAGATATCGTGTTAAACGATGGAGAAGCCAGTTCCGTTCAGACATTGTGCAAGCATATTCAGAGACTGGTAAACGTTGATCAGAGCAATATGCAAATCAGACACGAAGGATCAGTTATAAGACTCACCATTGGCGGAGATAAGCTCCACGATATCGCCGCAATAGACAGTGTCAAAGCCGTCGAGGAAGTTCGCCCGCTCGTACTTCATCGTTGCAGAATGATCTGAGCCTCTCAGCTGCTGTAGATGACGGAGTTTGTCGATTTGGCAATCTCGGTGACGGGAGAGATCACATCAATAACGTGGACCAAGTGATTTGGAAAGATATCAACAAAGACCCCGAGATCACGTTCAAGGTCTCCTTCACATCACACACTGTTGAAGTCAAGCAGAGCTTTGCATTTATTTGGAGCTTAGATCGGCTTTGGGAACGGTTAACATTACTGTAAAAGAAGGTGTACATGAACATATAAGTACTGGAGTGTCACCATGATCTAGTCTACAGGCTCATATTTTAGGGAGGACGATGGGATATACCCCAAATAAGTCAACAACCAATACGCTCAAGATCATCCAGGGCATCCTGCCTTTTACAGTTGCCTAGAAGACAACCTGTTGAAAAACTTTGATTGCGCAGCGAGTAGCTAAAGTCACGGTATTGACAATTGAGAAAATGCAAAAAGAAAAAAAGGAAAAGGAAAAAGGAAAAACGAAAAGAAAAGGAAAAACGAAAAGAAAAGGAAAAAAAAAGGAAAAAGACAAAAACGAATTGTGATTTTGAGTATATTTAAAATTATACTTTATTTTAATGTTCTTTTATAATAATACATTATTACGGCTATTTAAGCGTGAGTATTTAGGATAAAACTGTTTTTTCTTTTTTCAATATTTTCTCCTCTGGTGCTCCGTAGCCTTTATGGGATTTATCCTCATTTCTAAGAACGAAGAATATGACGAGGTTGACGAAAGCCTTACCTCGCAGGCCACACAATCATGAGAAAACAAGACAAGTAGAGAGCTAGGGCGACGCCAAAAAAGGGAATTCCACAACCGACATCAACAGCGGCTGAGCTAAAAGTGAATGGCTTAGATATTTATTTAGCTGATCCAGTTCTCTTTCAGGATCAATACCAAGATGACTACCTTGCTTGGTGACGACACCAAGGCCAACGGCGGTTCCCCAGGTTATCATACACGGCGTCCGATATGCTGATGATCGCTTCGTCGACTATGGAGACAGAACGCCAATTTAATAGCGCCAGAACAATAATAAGTCTCACCCGAAATCATCTAAACAGGGCTTTTATAGGTCAGTGACAGTCTATAGCATCATGGAGTGATCAGGGTATCTATAGACCAGAGCTGTCTATCCAGCTACTGCAAAACTAACATGAGCTTACGAGAGACCGAAAACAAAATGCAATATGGCACCACAAGCAGTATGGGGAGCATTGCACTCTGAATTCCTTGGTTTAGAGCAACAACGCGAGAAACTAAAGGCCAGTCGATATATCACTGAGGGAAACCCCACAGGAGAATGACATCCGGCCATTAACCAGTCAAATTCGTTGCAAACGAGACAGAAGAAATCGAATTATCTAGACTTCGTCGAATTAATTGTGAAGTTCCCGGCTGTTCCTCGGCGTCCATCAAATTTGAAAGTCTGGATGCGTACAGAAACCATGCCGAACGAGAGCATGGTTCTTGGTAACAACCAAGGACAAGTCCCCG